ATTTAGCAGCTTACCTTTGTAAACCACTCCAGAATTCAGCTTCACAATCACTGGAGCGCCAATGATTTCGCTGAGGAAAGCTGAAGGGTCCTTTCCTTCAGAGGATGAGTTGTTCTCCATGTTGCCGATATGCTTCCAGAGAGGAGCCCAGCAAAAATTAGCGGTTTGTACTCAAGGCAGAGGCACCTCCAAAGTTGAGGCTAATCAGGTGGAGCCAAATCTTTTGGGGGACGTCGCGTCGTGCGACAGTCCCACCAAAGGCGGTGAGAAGAGGGAGCAACGAATCGTTGCCCAGCTAGCTATTTAATTGTTGCTTATTATTCCACCGAGCACTCGTCAACTCGTTACACCAGAGGATCCAAGTATTCCTGATGCAGTCATTCTTCAACAAGCCATCCTGGGCGACTGTAGACGGAGGTACTGGGAACGAGTTTTACCGACGATCCAAGCAAACTTATTCAGATATCATCGCGGCTAACCAAGAAGCCCGAAAGGTACAGCAGAAAGAGGAAAAGGAATCTGAGAGTCACAGTATTGTCTTTGTCGAGGAGACCGCACGCTCTAAGCGACCTAGATTATCCGAAGAGATCAAAAGAGTCAACCCCGAGACCGAAACAAAGGTGCATACGGACAGTGATGGCTTATCAAATGACCAAAACGAGATAATGGACAGTGATCAGCCCACCCCGCACCACTCAGAATGGCCAGCAAGTGCCCGGAGAAACGATCATGATTGCTATGCTGCTCCTGCTGACACGCCCGTCCCTTGTAATCATCACACCCCTTCGGACCAGATTGGTCATCCATCACTACGCAAACCAACAACAAGGCACCCTTGGTCGGGCTCTACATTAAGCGGAGGGGAGCAGCGATCCATATCGGAGAAGCCTCAATCGCATCCAGTTCAATCTCCAGTTTCTCAAAAGCTGTCATCGGCTCTCCCATCAAACAGTGAGCTGGTTGTCCGGATTCTCGTCACATCGGATATTCCAAATACCAAGCCTTTTATCTTCAGCCGCAAATTGTCTCAAGGGTTACGGCAAGTTCGTTTGGAATGGTGTAAGCGCCAGGGTCTTACTGATGAGGCCACGGCGGCCATATATCTGACATGGCGAGGTCGGCGACTGTTCGATGTAACCACTTGCAGAAGCCTAGGAATTCAGAACGAGAAGAGCCGGGTATCCCAGGCCACGGAAGACGATATGTCTGAAGAGCAGAAGGAATTGCGCATACATATGGAGGCTGTTACAGATGATCCTTCCCTCCTTGGCTGTCAATATTCCCTTCCAATTGACGCTGGGCGCTGGTCCTCCCCTCCACCCCATTCTGACGCTGGCCTGCAAAAAGACGAAGGAAACAAGCCTTTGAAAATTGTTCTTCGAAGTCCAGGACTCAACGATTTACGGATCAAAGCAAGACCAAAAACACCGGTGTCGAAACTCATCTCCGCTTTTCGGGAAAAACACTCTATTGGAGCGGATTACCAAGTGTCGCTCTCATTTGATGGCGATCGACTGGAACCTCACACATGCCTCGAAGAAAATGATATCGCCGATTTAGACATGGTTGAGGTGCAGCTCAAACCGCAAACCTAGAAGCATTGCTTGCTTACTGTGGTTTTTATGAGGCAGGTACATTTAGTGGGGCGCCGCGGGGAGATGGTCACTCTTATCGATAAGGTCACATGACCTATATACAGGCGGCCCCCACCAAAAAAGAAATACCAATGAATTTGAATAGCCTTCGTTGACTTCTGGTAAGCCATATTGAAGTCCTCCACTGTCTACCACCTGGTATATGTACTCACAAAACCCCAGGTAAACAGGGTTCTAGCCTTACGCATCAGCATTGCCACTATGAAAGTGATCACGGCGAATTTTGTGACCTGTGCGGTTAAGGATTGCAAGACATCAGCAGCGTCCTTCCCTTTGCATTTCCACGATGCTGAGCTTGAAATGCAAGAGATTGATTTCCAGCCTGAATTCATTCGCAATGTGATACCACGTATCGATTGGGAGGGCCTTCGTGTGACTGCCAATGAGGTACCTACTCTGCTTGCTTCCCTTCCCTTCAATCCGAAAACTAACACCGTCGTCTTACATAGCTTGGTTTCCCCAGTCTCCCAGACTCAAAACCCGAGGGCAAAGCACTTGAAGATGAAAGAACCTTGAAAGACCTGCACCGTCTCCTACTAGAGACACAGGTCATGGAGGGTAGACTGGTGTGTGGGAACTGTGGCCATCAATATGCGATTAAAGAGGGCATCGCCAATTTCCTTCTGCCAAGCCATCTCGGTGAGACTCGTTCCCAGGCGCATCACTATATTATATATTTACTGATCTGTCTTAGTCTGAGCTTGCCACTAATTTCAACGTTATGCCACCTTTCCCTCGAGATGCGAAGATACCCACTCGGAATAGTGAAATGTGGACAGGGTGCTCTCTACTATGCTTATCGGGCAGGGCAGCCTTTCAATAAATTCAAAATCTTTCCATTATATTGTACATGAGGCTGAGCGTGCTTTGGGATCATCATGTGCCATTAATAAAAACCTGGAATCCCCCCATCCAAAAAAGCCACCCCAACTAACGCGCCAAGGAGAACGCCATGAATGTAATGCGCTTGGTTTAATTGAGATATCCTTTGCAGCCAGTCGAGCCACAAAGACAAGGGATCCGATCGTCACTATCCCATTCTCGCTCGAATTTGTAATCGTATGTGAGCTCCTCGTCTACCATCCCCGTTAGCATGCCATTATGTTGGCAAAGGAATAGAATGACACATACCTCTTTCGATATCCCGCAGGCATATATCACAATGCGCTTGCTCCCATCAACCCTGATAATTTTAGCAGTGCAGTTTGGGGTACAGCTATGGTTGATGAAACGTGCTATTCCACCTCGCTTAGTAGCATCAATGACGGCGTTCTCGTCGATCCGGAAAAGGTAACTGCTGCCAATTCCGCTCTTCAGATACCGCCGTTCTCTCATGTCGGCAACTTGCTGGCGGACCTTCTCACCCACATACTCAATGATCATATCATTGGCCGAGATATTCTCTTCCGCATAAAGGCCCCAATTGTGGATAGCCGAACGGGCGAATCGCACAGGCTTTTTGCGTTTTTTGAGTTGATTGAAGCGCAGAACGTCACCATCTCCACTAGCGGTAGGAAGGGCTTGCTTCTGTGCGTTGATGTCGGCAATGAGGCGGCGGTTATTGACTCGAGTTGACCGCGAGGTTGATTTCGAGATTGTTTTGGCAGCAGCGATTCTCGCAGCTTCTGCAGCGGCAGCTTGGGGGTCGGCTTTTGCGTTTGCCTCACGCTCCTCGCGGGCTTTCTGAACTTTGATCCGATGTGGCAAGTATTTAGACTTTTCAGCCTCCAGAATTCGCTTCCGACCCTCCGTGCGAGCAGCACCACTGACATTCGGAACATAGTACTCAGCGATGCTAATTGTGTCGTGGGTTGGCCCTTCATCCTGAGGTTCATTGAGGATTTTGATCTGTTTTTGTTGCCATGCCCATGCGTTGATATTATTGATGGCTGATGAAGCGTGGCTCATGAGCATATCCCGTAGAAACTGGATATCTTCCTCGTCCTTGACTAGATTTTGCCAGCCGTCCAAGTCCAAAATGATTGTCGCATCATCTTGGACGGTTGCGCGGGTGCATCCTTGGAGACTCCCCAGGTGACCTCAGCTTCAACAGCGTCAGTACTTTCTGGGCCTGGCGCAAATTCGAGGCCGAACGCTTTGGCTCCCGTTGTATCTTCCGAGGATTTTGTAGGTTCCACCACAGGACTTGGGTGACTGGTACCTGGGGTTGCGAAATCCTCTGCCTGTTCTGGGCCGGGCTCTTCAGGTTCAACCGTTTGCTGGGCCTGCTTCTGCCGCTTTGGAGCCCCCAAGACTCCATCCTCCAGTTTCCTCTTTCGTCCATGATCGAACGTATCATCCTTGTCCACAAGCGCTTGATTTTTCGTAGAGGCATTGTCCACGCTTGCTTCAATATCCGACTGAAAACCATCATCTTGCTCAGGTTCCGATGACTCAGAGCTTGCCCGACTAAGATGCCGACTACTCCTTTCTTCAGTGTCCCCGGCAAGGTGAGCACTATGCTCCTCATCTGAATCGTCATCATGATGGAGCTCCTGCAGTCTGCCCAGCAACCCTGCCCGCCTCTTACGAAGCGGCTGTCGGCGACGCTCGTCCTTGAACGCTTCTCCAGCCTGGTCCACGCCATATCTTTTGCGTATACGGGGAAAAGCAGAAAGATCGGGCTTCTTGTCACCAGTGGTCCGTGTACCTAGACTGTCGATACCTATTCGGAAAGCAGGCTGCACGATACTTTCAGGACCTGAGATTCCCAAACGTTCCCGCCTGGCAACATGCCGACCAGGATCAAGAAAGTCATAAAGTGACGGGGCCACAATTCGAGACTTAACGTCCTCTAAAAGCTTGTCGTGCAAATCTCGAATGATGATCGACAATACTTCTCGGCAAGGGTCCAGGTTTGCCGCACGCTGCTGCTTTTCTTCCTCTATATCCAACAACGCCTCTTTCTTCGTATGTTCAAGGTGCGCTTTCTCCTTTTGCGCAGCACGAACACGTTCCGGACTCGGACTGCGGACATAATTGGGATTCCCGTACGGCTGGCTCTCCATGTTCATGATATACGTGAATAGAGGTTCCATATGGCATAGTCGGTAGCAACGTTCAGTCTCCTCCTCGCCCCGGCGGGAGTTTTCGAAGATGATGTAGTATCCAGTCTTGTCACAGCGAATAGCTTTATAATTGAACACCTTGAGCCTTTTCCTCAAATGAGGGATCGTAGTGCTCAGAACGGGTACATAGCAATGGGCGATGAAAATGTAGGGATCGCGTTTGATCTGGCTCAAAATCGGGACTTCTTCCACCATAGACTGTACAACTGGGGATCGGGCACTTGCTCGGGGCCCCTCTGGAACGGCCACTCCTGGACGGATGCTAGATCTGCCTGAAGGGCCTTTAGGCGCGGTAGGCGGAGGGCCCTCCTTCTTAGCATCCACTTTGGCATCGACAGCGGGTTTCGAAGCCATTCGATGCGACTCAACTGCTTTGGCGGCCAATCGTTCCGATACGGTGCCTTCCCGATCTAACTCCACCCTCACCCTTCGAGTCCCAATTCGCTGCCCTTTCCTGCATTCATGATAGGCTCGGTTGGCCGCACTGGATGCTGAAACCGGGCTTCCACCGCGAAAAGAAGGACTGTCTTTGTATTTGATGGAGCAAATACCGAGAAGACGGCCAGTGACGGGATCTGTACGATTGTTGATTTCGCTAATCTCGCCAAAACTTGAAAAAAGGGCGGTTAAAGGAGCAACCGGAGTGAGAGGATCAAATCCGGTTACCACCACTTGAATTGGGGGACCCGGACCAATACTTGTCATTGCATCATATTGCCATGGTTTTAGGACATATGGGGCGGGCCGAAATTTGGTTTTTGGCTTACAGCCCGATCCGCGGGTATAATTTGCAATTGATCGACGAGGGTCAGGGGGCGCTGCTGCTTGATGGCTGGAAAGAATGTCCACATATTCAAGTTTCCTTCGTTTCTCTTTGGATGAGCGTTTGTCCAAATCGGGATCATAGACTATTCGGCAGCCCTTGACGATGATTTCTGGCCGGCTTTGAGATTGAGGTGTGGGCGGAGTATGAACAGGCGTCATGGTGGTCTTGACAGGCTCCGCGGTTGGGCGAAGAGGGATTCCTTCCGATGTCTTCGATCGTGGACTGTTTCCTTTGCGAGGAGGGGAAGATTCTGTATTTGTCAATGGGGTGAGGGTGTCGATGTTAGGATGGCCATTTGCAGTGGCTGCCAAAGAGCCGGGGATTTCCTGGGCCTTTGTTGATTTCTCTTCCGGAAGATTTGATGAAGGCAGAGAAGCCTGCACCTTACCGTTGGATTCATCAGCTGCCCCACTGGGAATGGCACAGGAAATGAGAGAACTGTGACCGTCGGTTGAATCGCCATCGAGCCCTTTATCGATTCGATCCCCCACTTTGACGCGCTTTCTCTGGAGGACTGAAGGGGCCGTAGAAAGAAATCGGCGAAGCCAGCGGAGGCGCGTGACATGATGAAAAGTGGCTACACGCCCGGAACCACTGCGCGACTACTGGGCAGCATCCTTGACGGCAATCCGACTTGACCAACCCGCGACGAGACCGGTTTTCGGCGGCACGCAGCTGGATTGAAGGTAGCGGAAATAGAGAGCTTGACGGCAGAAAAAAAAAGACGAGGGTTTTGAGGGATCGATGTTGTCGCGCGATGCGGAGAGAATTTGCAGGGAGCGAAGACGCGACCGAACCGGGAAGCGGTGGACCGTCACCTGCAAGAACCGGATCCACCCTTTTCCAGGTTGATTTTCGCATGCACACATCCTTTTCTGCCCTCTTTTGACGCTATTGACTTATTTGAGCATGCCTCTTCCAAAAGGGGCTCTTGAAGCTTCTCATTGGCTATCTCCAAACAGCTACATCCAAGAATGGTATCAATTTCCCATTCTGGAGCACATGGTGCTCTACAGTATCTTGTAGGGGATGTCGAGGAACTAGTATCGCGCGTATGTAGGTGACATAATCGACCAAGGGGGGCATTTGTCCCTTGCCTCGTGGAGAATCCGTGGGTGATTGGAGCCTCGAAGACATATTCAGGAACCATGAGGCTTATCCAGGGCCGACAATGTGGCGAAGCTCATGGGGCTCCAAGGCAGGCAGGTATAAAAATAGTAATCCGTACGGGACCAAGTGCTGGGTTGGGTTAGTGGCGGTGGTGGCCCTGAAACCAAACGGTTAGATTGACTTAGTCTCGGACCGGGAGAGAGGTCGTTCCAATAACCGGGCATCGATGGCTCGATGATTCTCGGTAGCTGGTAGTCCCCATTTGAACTTCGAATGGATTCTCTTTGATACGATGGAGGGAGACGTTAGCTCATATCCTCGAATCGCACCTCCCCTTCCGTAGGAACCGTTGGAGTGTCTTCTGTTCTGAGGTGGAAAAAGCAAGGCGCCGGACAGGGAAAGGGCAAAGAAAAAGAAATGCCCATCTTTTCCAACGAGAACAACGCCAGAATAGCAACAGCAGCAATCCTGCATAGATTGCAGATCTATCAGAATTAGAAACTAGTTCCCCTTTTTCGTGCTGAAGAGTTGGAAGTGAGACAAATGGGCGCATTGGCCCCGGTAGCTTCCCGGTGGAGCTTCTCTGGAGTATTTGGGAGGAAAAAAAAATAAGGAGCTAATAATAATCCACTAATCCACCCCCCCTTGTCCACTTCCCCCTCTATAAATACGAATCAGCTTTCCTCTTCTCCCTTCATCTCCAAATCCTTCCAATCGTTGATTCCCTCTTTTCATTTCTCCCATCCCATCTATTCCAATCGACTAATCCAACTCCTCTAATTCTTCTGCCTTCTTCATCATGTGGTATGTTTATCTCGGGCGTTTTGCCTGCCCCTCCCTTTCACCTCCCACCGACATTTCTGGGCATTCAGATGCTGACCTTATTGTCTTCTCATTTCAGTGGAATTTTTGGTTACATTAACTATCTCGTTGAGCGAGACCGCCAATTCATCATTGACACCCTTCTCAATGGTAAGTCGTGCCGATCGAGCGCCGATCCCGTGGATGTACCCCCTCCCACTAACAAAGACCTCAAGGTCTTTCACGGTTGGAATACCGTGGCTATGACTCCGCCGGTATGGCGGTCGATGGTGACAAGAAGAATGAGGTTTGCGCTTTTAAGGAAGTCGGCAAGGTCGCCAAATTGAAGGAACTCATCGCCGAGGCCAAGCCCGACATGACCAAGACTTTCGAATCACACGCCGGTATTTCACACACTCGTTGGGCCACCCACGGTACTCCCTCTCGCAGCAACTGCCACCCTCACCGGTAAGAATACCTTTCCATGGTCACACCACAATCGCTCGATTGATATCGACTGACCCAAAATAGTTCGGATCCCAGCTGGGAGTTCGCCGTGGTCCACAACGGTATCATCACCAACTACAAGGAATTGAAGGCTCTTCTCGAGAGCAAGGGCTTCCGTTTCGAGACCGAGACCGATACTGAGTGTATTGCCAAGCTGGCTAAGTACCTGTATGACCAACACCCGGATATTGAGTTCACCGTACTGGCCAAGGCCGTGATCAAGGAATTGGAGGGTGCATTTGGATTGCTGCTGAAGTCTGTCCACTATCCCCATGAGGTGATTGCCGCTCGCAAGGGCTCGCCCCTTGTGATTGGTGTTCGCACCGCCAAGAAGATGAAGGTCGACTTCGTCGATGTGGAATTCTCGGAAGAAGGTGCCCTTCCTGCGGAGCAGGCCTCCCAGAACGTGGCTATCAAGAAGTCCGCTGCCAGCCTCTTGGCTCCCCCCGACAAGTCGCTGCTGCACCGTTCCCAGTCACGCGCTTTTCTGTCTGATGACGGTATTCCTCAGCCCGCTGAGTTCTTCCTGTCTTCGGACCCCTCCGCCATCGTGGAGCACACCAAGAAGGTTCTGTACCTCGAGGATGATGACATTGCTCACATCCATGAGGGTCAATTAAACATCCACCGCCTCACCAAGGATGATGGAACCTCCAATGTCCGCGCCATCCAGACTATCGAGCTGGAGCTCCAGGAGATCATGAAGGGCAAATTCGACCACTTCATGCAAAAGGAAATCTTCGAGCAGCCTGAGTCCGTGGTCAACACCATGCGTGGTCGTCTGGATGCCGTCAACAAGAAGGTCACCTTGGGTGGTCTGCGGCAATATATCTCGACCATTCGTCGCTGCCGCCGCATCATCTTCATCGCCTGTGGTACTAGCTACCACTCCTGCATGGCCGTGCGTGGTGTTTTTGAGGAGTTGACTGAGATCCCTATCGCGGTCGAGCTTGCCTCGGATTTCCTTGACCGACAGGCCCCCGTATTCCGTGATGATACTTGCGTGTTTGTCTCTCAATCTGGAGAAACCGCCGATTCTCTCATGGCTCTTCGATACTGCTTGGAGCGTGGTGCCCTGACTGTGGGTATTGTTAACGTAGTGGGTTCCTCTATCTCTCTCCTCACCCACTGTGGTGTCCATATCAACGCCGGACCCGAAATCGGTGTTGCATCTACCAAGGCATACACCTCCCAGTTTGTGGCAATGGTCATGTTTGCACTTTCTCTCAGTGAAGACCGGGCCTCCAAGCAAAAGAGACGCGAAGAGATTGTTGAGGGACTTGGCAAGGTCTCTGAACAATTCCGTGAGATTTTGAAGCTCAACGAGCCTATCAAGGAGATGTGCGCCAAGTTCTTCAAAGACCAGAAGAGCTTGCTCCTTCTTGGTCGTGGTGCTCAGTTCCCCACAGCGTTGGAAGGTAAGCATTCCCAGGACCTCCCCCCCATTTTGTGACATAGATGCTAACCATTTGTCCTCTTTCTTTTTTGCAGGTGCGCTGAAGATCAAGGAAATCTCATACCTCCACTGCGAGGCTGTCATGTCCGGCGAATTGAAGCACGGTGTCTTGGCTTTGGTGGATGAGAACCTGCCTATTATTATGATTCTTACCCGTGACAACCTGTTCACGAAGTCTCTCAACGCTTATCAGCAAGGTAAGTTGGCCTGGAAAGAATATTGGCCCCCCTGCAACGCAAGACTAATGTTTTCCCATAGTTATCGCTCGAGGTGGACGTCCTATTGTTATCTGTAACCAGGATGACCCTGAATTCTCCGCTGCCCAGACCGAGAAGATTGTTGTCCCCAAGACCGTGGACTGCCTTCAGGGTCTGCTAAACGTGATTCCCTTGCAGCTGATCTCCTACTGGCTGGCTGTCGGTGAAGGTCTGAACGTGGACTTCCCCCGAAACTTGGCCAAATCGGTAACTGTTGAGTAAAATTCTTCGAGCCTTGTGTTTTATCTCAAGAGAGTTTTGGAGTAGACGACCGCCATGATCTTCATATCTTTAGGGCGTTGCGTTCTTTTTTTTTTTTGTGTTATTTTAGCTATGGGAGAATGGGAACCAATTATGTGTGCATTACTGCCGAGTTCGCGACGCGTAGTTTTCCACGAATATCATTCATGTGTATGAATAAATCGAGGGAGTTAATGGGAGAGTTTGTGAATACATTCGTGTACCGCCGCGCTCGCCGCAGTCGGAAATTGTTTCATCAACTCCGCCCTTGTCCCCGCCAGATTTGCCCCGCGGACCATGATGTTTTCGTCGGGAACGGGAAGTTAGAACTTCAACCTCTGTCGAAAGTGACTCTTTTCCCAGACATCTACCTTCCCTTCAGTCCACAATCGATCTTCATTTATCCTCCCATGGCTTCTATCAAGGGAACCCGGAGCAGCCCAGAGCCTCGACGGTAAGAGGACCTTCCGTTCTCGCTTCGCGGCATTCTATGAACAGCTCCTTCACACCGAACCCCCTTGCTAACAATTGGACCTGACCTGCAGGTTCTGGACTGCGTGTTGCTATTGTCCATGCGAGATGGAATGATGCCATCATCAGCCAGTTAGTAGCTGGAGCCAAGAAGAGTCTCCTGGCCGCTGGTGTTACGGAGGACAACATCACCATCCAGACTGTACCCGGCAGTTACGAACTGCCGCTCGGTGTGCAGCGGTAAGTGGTTCCTTCTACCTGGAGAAGCTCCGGACTCGGAGTGATCTGATTATTTATGGAAAATTTTTTGAACCTTTTTACTTTAGCATCTACGCTGCCTCTCAGGTCCAAGCAAGTTCCTCTGGGGAAGGCTTTAGTGCCACCGATCTGTTGTCCGCCTCCACCTCCGACCTCACCAAATCGGCCTCTTTACCCGCAAAGAAGCCTTTCGACGCCATCATCGCAATTGGTGTACTGATCAAGGGTGCGACGATGCACTTTGAATACATCGCGGACGCTGTGAGCCACGGACTCATGCGTGTCCAGCTGGATTCGGGAGTACCAGTCATCTTCGGACTATTGACCGTTCTGACGGAAGAGCAAGGCCTGGAACGTGCAGGTTTGGGTAAAGGTGGAATGCACAACCATGGCGAGGACTGGGGTAGCGCAGCGGTGGAGCTTGGCGTGAAGAGGCGCAATTGGTCCGAGGGAAAGTTCGAGTAAATCGTCAAGTAGTACACATGGCATCAGAGCATCAGATTTAAAAATGAAACAATTGCTGCTAGGTCTAGTTTATTCCTCCATCTGCTCTCCAGCTGGGCCCTTGTCTTCCTCTTCATCATCTTCACCTTCTAAAGCCCGCTTTGCGAAACGCTCTGCCTCCTCACGCAGCTCCTGGGGCACTTCCTCATGACGACCTTTCGTTGGGCCATCGACCGAACTGATCCATGACATTTCCAGCTCGAACTCCTTGTCTTTACTGTCTTCGTGAGCAACGTAGATGATGCGAGCAGCCTCCTTCACTCCATCCTGCAAGGATAGAGTACCACCGGTCAAATCAAGCTTCTCCAGCTCCGCCTTCGCCGATTGTCGTCCTTTGCCAGTGGCAGCTCCGTAATACCCCTATGTATCCTGTCAGTTACCATCTTACGATTGAGGTTTTAGAAGACTAACCCAGTAAAGACCGCTCGGCTCGATCATGTATAGGCCAGGTCCGCCAGCTTTGGCCCCCTCGACCTTCCCGCCGGAGCCAGATTTCGGTCCACTACCGACCTGTCCATCGACAGCAAGCTCTGCCTCGCTATCCCAGCCACCGATAATTGAGGTGACTCCAAATGGCCGAACGCTAGAGTAAAGTGTGTAAGCTTGGACATAACCTCCCAGGCGGTTCGCGAGGGCGGAAGTAGGAATGGGTCCTTTGTAGACACCTCTCCAGGATGACGCTTCATCCCGAGCTCGAGCGACAAAATGACGGCCATCGGGGATAAGACCAGCGGATACCTATGTAGAGAAGACAAGGTTAGCGATAGTCGTTCCAGGATAGATTTTCGATATCTCCAGGCCGGTGATCGGGGGGGGTTGTTTCTCACAATGCCAACATGCCGGTCGACTGTCGCAATTCTTTTATTGGCACCAGGCTTCAAAAGCTTGCTGGTGATGATTTTCTCCACGGCTAGCACCACGCCGTCCTTGCATCGAATGCCGATAGCTGTGCCGCCGTTCTCGACAGCCTTGACGGCGTATTCTACCTGCAATCAAGTCAGCCTCAAATGTCACAAGATTACATGTTATGTGATACCACCCAGGGGTTCATACTTGGAAATTGCGGCCATCTGGCGAGAAGACCGAGTTGGAGAGATCGTAGCCCGTGCCGATCGACGTCTGCTCACTCCGTTAGCTAGTTTGGTCGAGCACATCAGATCCAGCGCGGGGGATAAGCTTGCCATGGTCGTGAGGGATTATGTGAAATAGGGGGGTAGGCTAATCTCTCTGGGAGCTCGGGAGAGACGAAGAATGGGAGACAACACTCAGTAATGGATAGCTCCCACGATCGCGCTGGGCATGGTACAGCTGCGTCACGGGAGTTGCCTAGTCACGTGTTAGTGTTTGTTTGGTTTGTCATCTTGGATCTCCGAGCCCTGGAGCTGTGGAGTCTCCGTGGATGTTTTACTGCGTCGCATTTGGCCGCCTCTTAGTTTCGGGAGTTCGTGGATCGGCTATTGATATCTATTGTGATACTTGATTCCTTGGGTTGGGGGGGGAAAGGAGATTGTGTTACGCTCTGTGATTGCAAAGCTCCATCGCCGGTTGCTCTTTGCGCTTCCAACGCATCCCAATACGTGATTACGACTCCTTACATTTAATACAGGCTAGTATCCTTAGGTACTAGCTCTAGCCTAAGTCAGGTACCATATTAGGTACAATTTCAAGTTTTGGGCAGCGGGAATGCGGAGGAGGGGCAGTGTACATTTAAATATCGTGCTCTTCCTCCTCAACTGAAATTCATATCTGTGTATCTGGTCTTGTCATGTCTTCTACTATTCTACACCAGTGCCCTTTCTGCGGCCATGTCTCCGATGTTTCCGTTTCCCTGGCTGCCTTTGTCGAGAACCCACACTGTAACCAGGTAATAGAAAGCAGATACTCCTTCTACTTCCCCCCCCACCCCTGACCGGTGATATCGCAATAGTGCGGATTGTCTGCGTCAGAAAGCAACGGGAAAATGGAAGACGAGTTGGCAACCCTTTTTAACCAGCAAATGAGCATGCGTTCTCTTCCATCCCAACCTGAGCCCCAACCGATCTCCTACAGCATCTCCCAGCATTATCACCACTCCTCCCACGTAGCATCAATTCCAAGCCACCAGATCGCCCCCGATGCCCCCGCAAATGACTCTACGTCCGGTATAATGGAGATCCTATGGCAGCATGGGATAGACCCGAGTTCTCTGTCCCCTAGCCAGTTGGATCTATTCAAGCATGCAGACCTTGAGCAGAAACAGCGTTTGGTCCAAACCTGGCAAGTGTACATGCGATCGACAGGCCCCCTGTCCGAGTCGACCAACAGCACCTGTGACTCCGAGGATCTCGACATGAATGTGGCCCGAGACGAAGCCGAGCCTTACATGAGGAATGGATACGAGCCGAATGCACTGCCCATAGAGCCTACGACTGGAAGACCCTATGCGTCCGCGAAGGACCCGGTGTATAATTCCCGTCACTGGTGGGAGACAGCGCACACGGCGCCCATAGAATCACAATATGGAGCCTTTGAGGAGATGAACCGGTGCTACTGAGTGCGACTGCGTGGCTACAGCAATGTGATCTAATATCGATATCCCCGTAGATAGTTTGAAGTCTACAAATGAAACACCCGAAAAGGAACTTTTCCGCTAGAGGAGCCCGCGGCATATGAAAGGTCAACATTGATAGTACGACCCCCGAGGATACGCAGTGCTATCGTACTAATAAACAAGCCTTCGGTTTTCCGTTGCCTTTTCATATTTGCTTCCTTTGGTTTTCTCGTACCGGTCGAATAGAACAATGATTCAAGCCATGGCCAGTGTAAAATGAGTGTCCGCCATGGTCCCCTACCCCCCGCAAACAGATATTCGGATCCCTCAGTCAAGCTTACTCCAGGTCATGTGTGATACCGGAACAGCTCCAGGCGAGCAGATATCAAGAGACACTCTAGAAAGAGAACCCTAAAGATCTGGTTAGCATAAGCCTGACGATGTAAGGGGTAGAGACTTGCCTCTTTACTACTCATCCTGCAGTTCAGCCATGGCAGCGGCCATAGCCTCAGCAGAGCGCTTGAATTCATCCACAGCATCCACAGTACGCTTCATCATGTAGCAAGGTTGTCCAGGGTGGTAGCACCATGAACCCCCGAACTTGTACTTGGCATCAGGCGCAGCAGCCGGGGCAGCGTCGGCAGCCGGGACGGCAGCAGCCTGGGCAACAGAGGCAGCGGCAAGGGCCAAAGCAATAGAGAAGAGCTTCATCTTGGTAGGAAATAATGGATGAGGAGGGTGCAAGTGGAATTGATCCTTGAGTGGGTGAGACGAGGGCTGGATATCGAAAACCTTGGAGCGCTACCCTCGGGTTTTATATCTGAGCATCGAAGCCCTCGGCCCCATGGTGAATTCAATCCTCCCAGGGTGACTCAAAGAACATATCCCTATTGGAACCCTAAACAGGAAAGGCATAGAGCCACCGTGACAGTAGCCACTGCACAGGACCACTTGTTTAGCCTTTGATTTTCTTTGAAGGACTGCAGTTGATACATTATTCACTGGATGAACCAAGCCCAGGCTGATCAGGTGGAAACCTTCAAGTGGATTTTGTTTGTTGGTTCGAGGTTGGGAGGGGAGGATACTTACCAGAAACGTAGGTCTATAGGCCAAGGTCAAAGCGGAGAATTACCGGAAGAGGGTGCCAATAGGGGAGATCATCCTTGCGAGGACCCGATTTTTTGAGAGAGCACAAGTGAAGGCGATCATTTTAAGAAAGTGTACAGGCTAAGTGAAGCACTGGAGAAACCCAGCTCCAAATTCCCCCCCTGGAATGTGTAGAAAGAGTATGGAAGTTCTGCTTGGAGAGATAAGATCGGGCCGCCCACAGTAATGCCGAGTCCATCCGGGCCCTGTTTTTCCGTTCCCTTTGAAACTCCACCCCCGCTTTTTTCCTCATTCTTGCACCTGACCCGACTTGTCCTTACCCACCCCATTCCTTTTTTCTTGACAAGGGAAGCTTCTCACCATGTTCTCCAGATCCGCTCAGCCTGCCCGGGTTTGTGTCCCAATTGTGCTTTTTGCTGCGCCAACACTGACAACGTCCAGACTCTGCTTCGCAGCGCCTCCGTGGCCCCCTCTGTCGTTCGCTCAATTCCCGCCAGATGTATGCTCAATCCTCCCCGTTTTGAATGCCTATGAGCTGCCGAAAACTTTTTCTTGCCGCATCCATCCGGTGCCATTGGGGGCTCATCGCTTTTGAATCCCGCCGCTAACATTTCTGCCGCAATCAGCCTTCGCTAGCGTCCAGGACTCCGACATTTTCAAGCCCACCAAGTATGGTGGCAAGTACACTGTCACTCTCATTCCCGGTATGTTAGACTTATAATTGCTTGGATTTCGCAGCCTGCCGGGGGCAGCTGCTGATGTCTGTCATAGGTGATGGAATTGGTGCCGAGGTCGCCGAGTCTGTCAAGACCATCTTCAAGGCCGACAATGTCCCCATTGAGTGGGAGCAGGTCGACGTGACCGGCGTTGACACCGGTAACAAGCACTCGGAGGAACTTTTCAAGGAGTCGCTGGCTTCTCTAAAGCGCAACAAGCTCGGTCTGAAGGGTATCCTACACACCCCGGTGGAGCGCTCTGGCCACCAGTCTTTCAACGTCGCTCTCCGTCAGGAGCTTGATATCTACGCGTCAATCTCTCTGATCAAGAACATCCCCGGATACCAGACCCGCCACAAGGATGTCGACCTGTGCATCATCCGTGAAAACACCGAGGGTGAGTACTCCGGTCTGGAGCACCAGTCGGTTCAGGGCGTCGTCGAGTCCCTGAAGATTATCACCCGCGCCAAGTCGGAGCGCATCGCCAAGTTCGCTTTCAGCTTCGCGCTCGCCAACAACCGCAAGAAGGTGACTTGCATCCACAAGGCCAACATCATGAAGCTTGCCGATGGTCTTTTCCGCAGCACTTTCCACCAAGTCGCCGAAAACTACCCCACCCTGGAGGTGAACGACATGATTGTGGACAACGCGTCCATGCAGGCTGTTTCGCGCCCTCAGCAGTTCGACGTCATGGTCATGCCTAACTTGTACGGCGGTATCTTGTCCAACGTTGGTGCCGCTCTGGTTGGTGGGCCCGGTGTTGTTCCTGGCTGCAATATGGGTCGGGACGTTGCTGTCTTCGAGCCCGGCTGCCGTCACGTCGGTCTTGACATTAAGGGCAAGGACCAGGCCAACCCAAGTGCGTTGATCTTGTCCGGTTCCATGCTGCTGCGCCACCTTGGACTGGATGACCATGCCAACCGTATCTCCAAGGCCGTCTACGATGTTATTGGCGAGGGGTAAGTCTATTGATATTGATACCCTCCCCGCCTCCCCTCATCTGATTCAAGAACGGAGCGCTAACAAATCCTACAGTCAGACACGCACCCGGGACATGGGCGGTCAGGCTACCACTCATGAGTTCACCCGCGCTGTGCTGGATAAAATGGAGGCGGCTCTGTAACTTTGAACCCCGTTGAATTATATGATTCCCACCGTCTACGAGGGGAGTTGCCCTAGAGTTTTTCTTGATCGAGGCGATCCTCCATTATGTATTATCTTTCCTTCTATTTAGCTCGCCATGTTCTCGCAAGTTATAGCAATAGACATCTTTGTTATGCATTTCGAATAATTCGCTCGTAGATCCCTGCGGGTATAGAATACTCTCGCGGTCTACGTACAAATGGAGAGCAGCCTGTAAGATGTCGGCCGCTGCGTGCGTGCTTTTTGCTTTGGAGAGCTTGTGAAGGCAGAAAAGCATCTGCTCCGGCTTCGTCGAAAGACTGGTCCTATTCGAGGCCCATCTTCAGCTCTTGCGCGAGCGACACATGTCATGATATTGCATGAAGACTGGCACGCGATGGAATGCTTCCGTGAATGGGTCACTAGTCTAGCGGCTGGGTAGTCGCGCCGGCGTGGTGAGGGTAATTAGTCGTAATCCGTGGGCGAAGTATCGTCTGAGGCTGAATATCGAATGTGTGGATAGGCAGAAGAATGATCAGAAGGCAATGCGTCGCTTGCGGCCAGTGTACTTGGAATTATGCTTGACCACTTTGCCCTTCTTCTCCATTTGCTCTTTCTTCTTCATGATCCAGGCTTTGTCGCCCTTGCGCGCTGGACGAGCGTTTTGAATCTCCATAGCTTTGCGCCGAGCATCCAGGACATCAACGTCATCCATGCCGTTAACTACGCCTGTGATATCACCCTGTAGACCACCACCGCCGACCGTGAGGACTAGGTACAGCTTACTGTTCTTGGTGCCCGGGTCATCCTCAAGCATACCAGCCCCAAAGCCAGCCTTGATGGCAGCTCCACTGATCATACTTCGCTGAACGTCATTCTTCGGATAAAATTGGCAGACGGCACGTCCGCCTCGGCGGAGACTAGCATAAAGGCCTTCGAAAAACCGCTTGAGTCGGCCTTCAGCGCTAACGTCGCTGGTCTCGGCATTACACAGCCACTGGATCGCACTAATGCTGATTGCAGCATCGAACGAACCGGGGCGGAAAGGCACCCCCTGTCCGATATCTGCAAGGAAAAGGTCACCCTCCACATCACGCTGTAAGGCCACATCCAGCATGCTTGGCGAAATATCCATGCCCACCCATGTGTGCGGTCCACCATCTTCGGGGGCCTCCTGGGACAGTATTTCGCCCGAGAGACCGGATCCACATCCAACATCGAGAATCAGAGAAGGGGACTTGAGGTCAAGAAGTTCCAATGCTCGATTGGTCATATCTGCCTGGATGTTGCGGATACGCGACGACGTTGTGTACTTGCGGGATTCATTGTCGTTGTAGAATAGATCTGGTGGACTGTGGCTCGCTCAGTTCATGCCACGAAGGGAGTGACAGTGCAGGCTTAACTTACAGGAGATCTTCTGGGCGAGACATGATGAGAATCGAGGTTGGGGTTTCTGCTCAGTGGACAGGGAAAGCGGTGCTTGTATTTCAACTTTTTTTTCTTTGGACGGTGGGGCCGATACTCTGGAGGTGTGTGGCCTCAGGCAGATTTCCCGAAAGCGTTAACCCCGGTTTGACTTGGAGATCTACTTGTCCACTCTACACCTCCTCACCTGTTGAACCCTTTCAAATTTATTGTCTTTTGAAATGTGGATTCTTCCTCTCGTGGGGTATCTGGGGGTAATTGTGGGGTTTGCGTTCCTCACCCTTGCTATCGGTTAGTGTTCATGCTGGCCCCCCTCGCCCGACTCCATCAGCACTGACAATTCTCACAGCGTCGGGGCTCTTACTACATGTCTGAATTAGTGGAAGAGCATACAGTTCTGACCCGGAAGCTATTGAGCCGCCTCATCTATACGATCATTGCGATCCAGCTCTTCCTAGTGGTTGTAGATGGCTTCCCTGTGTTGCTGTCCCTCCTCAGCATCGTCTCACACCTCGTGTACGCTAGTAACCTCCGCCGTTTCCCCATCGTGAAGCTATCCGACCCATTGTTCCTCCTGTCCTGCGTGTTGGTCCTACTCAACCATTGGCTATGGTTTCAGCACTTCTCGAGCCCTCCGGCCCCATCACAGCGGGCGGAGAACAACTGGCGGCAGCCATACCATATCAACTACGAAGACATGCCCTCATTCTCAGAGGTTGCTTCTTACTTTGGCTTATGCGTATGGCTGGTGCCGTTTGCGCTTTTTGTGAGTCTGAGTGCCGGCGAGAACGTGCTGCCCAGCATGGGGTCTGAGTACGCGACTGGAGAACACGCCTCGTCTGGTCTTGGTCACAATCCTTCAGATGGTAAATCGAAGAACAAGGGTATGGCAAAGGCTTTGGTGGACAATGTCGGAGATTGGTTTCGTGAAAATGGGGAGATCATGGGTTTATGGCGGGGGACAAAACTAGGCGATTTTAAGGATATGGGAAAGAAATTGAAGGACAAACCCTGCGGAATGTAATATATGATACCATATTTGAGATTCAATATCCTGGAAAGCGCAAATATAGCTTCAGCAAACGTCCCCACAGTAGTGATCATGCCAAGGGAAGAAGAAAAGAAGGAGGGGTATAACGATAAAGTAAGAAACAGACATCCACGTCAGGTAGATCAAGGTTTGTAGGGAAATTGCGTCTTCATCCCAATTACCATTATCATTAAACATTCTCTCACGACTCTGCGGTGCCAAGTGAGTAAAGTCATCATTCCGCGTACAAATCGTGGCCAAACACAACAATGAAACGAAAAGCAAAAAGAAAAGAAACAAACAGTTGAGGTGAGACTTGAGGAAAAGTGCAATCGACCCGAAAAATAGCAAATTGCGAGGTTTTGCACCTGTTTCGAAACAGGTAACAGAGATGGGTAAGGCGCCAGCTCGGAAAGAACCATCAAGGTTACCGAGATTCCATGAAAAGCATCGAACTCTCGCGTCTCTTGGACTTGGCCGAACGCGTGTCGTCCTGAGAAGGGGACAGCATACTATTCAAAGAGCCAAAGGGGGCAGAGCCGCCTGGGTTTTGGTTGTATATGTCAGGTCTATAGGTAGACGGGTCGTAATTAGGTTGCATAGGAACTAGCCCCACATCATGAGCGCTGCGCATGTTGTCCGGCTGGCCACCAAATGAGGTTTGGTTGTACGAAGGAGTCGGTATATTAGTGAACATCTGCTGGCGTGGAGACCGAACATCGTCCGGGGATAGGCTGTTATCCACCGTTAGCTCGACCGTAGTCGGGCTCGATTCAGGGCTTCCAAAGATACTGTCAAAGTCCGTAAGGAACAATGATACAACAGGGGCGGGGATATTGAGAGTCGGAGCAAAGACGATCCCCACGTTTCGAACGGGCATCTTGTTCACGTCGGAGTTGTTGACAATTTCAATCAGGAACAAGGAAAGAGCACGGAGCAGGGAGAGATTGGGCTTTGGCAGCTGATGGACCAGGGAGTTGAAGGCAGCCACCTTCTTTTGCTTATCGTCAAGTTCTATAAAGAAATTAGTATAGCTCCAAAGTCTGGATGCTGTGGGTGGCGACACTCACCGAGAACGCGAAGAAAGTCCAAATGAAGTTCCCGTGTGAGCACTGTTGTAGGGAGCTCTCGCAGGTACTGTTTGAATAGCGATGCGACTGCATGGACGTCATAATACTGGTCGCTAGAGATGAAGTCCAGATCACCCTCGGTATTGAACCGTTCTTTGAGGGCTTTGATGATGACATTGGAGCCACTCAAGCGGAAAATGCCTTCTTCCAAGGCCGCATCTTTAGCTCGAAGATACTCAATACAGCGATAGACCACCGCTGGGAGATCCACATCAACACCAAGAGGAGGGCAGTCTCGAACCGCTTCAGCTAATGGAATACCGAACACAGGCCTGACAGGCTCTTTCCGCTCTACTGGAGCATTGTTGCTTGGGGCAGCTCCATCACCTTGTGCCTGGGATGCAAGATCGAAGGAAGATGACCGAGTTCGGAAGCCCCAGATGCTACGCTTCTTTTCCTTTGTCGAGGTGGTGGTTTTGTTGCCCCACGCTTCAGCATCCTGGATAATAGCTCCATTTGTGGGCCCAGAAATGATCTTTGGTGACTGCATCGATTGCTCGGTGGGGGAATGGTTTGCATCCCTCGAATCGATGGAAATTCCAGCTGGCATCCGGGGAGAGCGAGGGGCATGGTCAAGAGAAGAACCTATGATCGGAGGTTCAGCTGCAATCGCATTATCGAAGCTGAACCCTTGAACAGGGCTGGGCTCATCTGGGCTTTCCCCGCGGCCAGGCTGGAGCTTGCTTTTGCTTTGGGAAGGGGGTAGCTGTCTGCTTTGGGTCTGCTGCTTGCCGCGCTGATCACCATCTGAAGCAACGTCAACATACTCCATCAATGCATCAACCCATGAATCGCGCTCATCATCACTTTCAGCACAGAGCACGTGCCGAACAAGGGCAGACGAATCCTTTCGCTTCGGTTCTAAGACCAGAAAGGCATGCCGGTACTGATTATCGGCATCTTCATCAGTCCCGGAGGAATTGCTCTGACTATTAGAACTCTGAGACTGCTTGCCAATTTGCGCATGGAAGAGCTTGATAGTTCCCATGTGAGGCCCTCCGGGGGATTCAAAATATTTGAGCTCGGGGCCATGGAGAACAAAATAGCGTGCCTTCCAACCACCAAAGTTTTTACCCCTCTTCGTAAGGTAACCTTCTTTTCTTGGTTTGCCATCTGGGCCTCGAGGAATGTCAGTTTTAGGACCCCCAGGTCCGTTGAGGAGACTAGTCTCATCATCTCGGGGCTCAATAGCATCGCTCGTTAGGAACTGGCAGATCACCAGAGCTGCCTTCTCATCCATAGGCGTGTCCAAGAGACTATCAAAATAGGCGTTGAGGGCAGCACGGCGCGCGTCCACCTTCGCTGGGGAGTGACCATTGAATACATTACGGTCTGGTAATCTGCCCGCGAACGAAGATAATTGGCGGACTTGTTGGTCTAAGTGGGGCAAAGATGCGATGACTTTTTCGACTCGCCAAAACTCTGACATATCTGACCGAGAGATTACACTTAGCGTGAACACTGGCTCCTCGTCCAAAGGCCTCGAAGCCATGTAGCTATTGCGAGAAGGACGAAGACGTGAAGAAGAGACCCGGACTTGGATCAGTGGCAGAGCGTTCGGAGGTAAAAGTAGACCAGGGTATTCATCGGACACCAGTCCTTGGTAGATACCGCTGGTGGGGAACCTAGGCGAGTGAGGACTGTCTATCTTTATCGTAGGATCAATAGTTGGGATCGTTGCCGGCGGGAAAGGAGGGGGATGGTTCCCAGGCCGTGGAGAGAGCGGTAGCCCGTACCTGAGCCAGTGACAGCGTTCATGTCTCGAGGCATTCTGGGTAAGGGGAATTGATGGGACGATCTTCCGGCCTCGGGCTCATCGGTAAGCCCGGACTCATGGGTAAACCAGGACTTTTAGGGTTAGGAAAGTTCGGACGTGCATTGGCGGCGGTGGGATTGACACGAGAGTTCAAGATTGAACCTAAGGACCCAGAAGCACCGACATTTGGTGGTGATCTCGTTGTGAGTTCCCTTGGAGCTGTTGGCGGGCTAGCAGAAGTCATTGTGTCGGGAGAGGAACGAGTAGATCGGAATTGAGCCTCCTTCACAGAGCCTTGGGCCTCTATGTCTTTATGCAATGCAACCTCGCGGTCTCTGTCATCTTCCTCTCGTGTCTTCCGCCTCCCGCGCTCCGAATTCGAATTCGATTGTCCATTTGGCCCGTCACTGTATTCAGACCCGGAATCAGGGTCAGCCAACCCTTGAGCACTTTCGGTTGGACGCAAGTTCAGTGGTGCAGGTGGAGGTTTTCGACTTGGAGCTGGCAACCGCTGCCCATCACTCCCAACTGGTGACACAACGCCGCTTGATGCACCTTCGGACGAAGGCGAGACAACGATCTGCCGTGGGTCCTCCACGTTTGTTGCATTTCCGATTGCCGTATCAAGCGTGGGGAGAGGAGGCGTAGAGTCCTGTACCTCCTTTAACTTCTTCCTGTACTTCTCTTTCTCCTTGTAAGCGCGCTCAAGGTCTTTATTCAGGCCGAGGATCAAAGTCCGTTGTTTGTCAACCAATTTCCATAACTGTGAGTTTTGAGAAGCTGCCTGATGCTTCTCTCTGAGGAGGTGCACTATGACGGCTTCTGCGGAGCCGGCGGCATTGATGATATTACCGATGTCGGCTGGACTCAAAGCGCTGGCATCGAAATTAGACTTCTGGGAGACAGAGGACAGAGAGGATATCGCGGAGTCAATGGAAGAGGTACGAGGCATGATGCGATGAGCTGGGCGGTCCGAAAGCACAGAGCTCACGGAAGACGACGCAGACCGATCGGGTTCGGACACCCCGGCCTGTTTGGAAATGCTGCCATTACCCGGCCTTGGGGTCGGCTCTGCCGAGTCAGTCATTTCCGGAGACCTGGATAGCGGTACTGGAGGGAGTTTCGAGGAGGCGCAGGGAACGGAGCATTGGCTATATGGCTTATAGGCGACCGGTGGGATGGGGAAGGGTTCGCGCTCGAGGGGGCCGACACCGGACTTTGGGACGAGGGAGAATCGTCGTGTGAAGAGGATTGGAGGAAAGAGCTAGTATGCAGAGGCGACGGTGAAATATGGTGAGTGCCAGGAGGGCCAGAGCGCGCCACGTCCCGCGAGGCGTAGTCACGCGGCATTCGGCCGCTGTTGAGAGGCGGGTATGCAGATGGCGGGTTTCCGCTTGATCCCAAGTCGTCTTCGCCTCTCTGCGACATGATTCAGGGATCAGCATCAGAGGGGTATATGGAGTAGGGAGGAGCAAAGGAGGGCACGGTGGACCCTCGGGAAGCTGAAGCTTAATGAGAAAAGGGGGGTTGTCTCAGCCAAGCTTCAGCCAATATCACCAAAGGCGGGGAACCGATGTAACGGGTTTGGGTGAAAAGAAAGGGGGGAAGGGAGGGGGGGCAAGAGACCGAAACAGGGGGGGGGAAGAGATCTTGAACTATGAACGAGTGCGTTGCTTTGAATCGGTGGAGCCACGACGATCCGCGAAGTGACAGCTAAACCGGAAAGGTGTTGCTGTGTGATTGTGACGAACCGGTGGCTTGGGGTTGTTTCATATTTAGAGGCTATTACTAGTATCTATATCTGAAGATATAGTTGAGAAATGGGACTATTATAAGCGTAGCCAAGAAGTCCATCCATGCTCTATACTCCAAAAAGGGACGTAAGGAGATGCCTCAGGGCAAGAAATTTCGAAAGAGCCAACTTGGGAAGACTTATGCAAAGACCCAGAAAACAACTCGAAGCCAAAAGCAAATAGTTCTCGAAATAGACTGTCTTACATGGTAGGATAATACAGAGAACCTGGAGTGAAGTATACAGAGAGGGGAAGGCAGTAGTGAGGGGGAAAGATATGCTGCACATAGGATCCCCCGTGATTCAAACTCCTCAAAATGCAATCGTTATAGAAGAACCCATTCAGATACCAAACGCCTTTCCCATGACACCGTCACAGCGACAAAAAAAAATGTACAAGAAATCATGCGATATTACCTGCCATTCCCATGAAGATGGCCTGAGCTGCGAGCTGCAGGGACCAAAATCCCACCTTTTTGAATCGCCTCATGCGTGCTTGGTCGTCCACAACATCACGAGCAAAAGCCTCGTAGGTCTGAAAGAGAGAGAAACAATCAGTTAATTTGTCTGAAGCAGAAGGCAGCGTCTGGTAGAACTTACCGCAGCTGATAGGTCATCCATTAATCCACTGTCGAAGATCGTCCAGCTGCCATTAAAGTCGCCCACCCGTTTGACGAGGCGACAATTGATGGGTATGAAGGTGCGTTTCGAGTTGATGTAAGCAACGATGGGTCGGATGAGCGCATTGTTGATGTAAGAAAGGTCCCGAGTAAAGATGGGCACCGCTGCCCGCACGTTGTTTAGATGGACCCGTAAGTCCATGGCCAGGAATCTTTTGTCTGCCTCCGAAACGGAGTCTGAGTCCACATTCGCACCGGGAGTATGAGTTCCAGAGATTTGGTTAGAGGTGACGGTGGCTTCCAGTCGATCGTAGAAATCCGTCATCACCTTTGCTAGGCTTTCGTCATTTTCGGCCGGGAACATTATGTCCGCCACGATGTCCACATTTCCTTCACGGATCCATGAGAAAGGCCCTTCAACGCCGCGGTTCAAATGGTCGATATTAAGCCCATCGACACGTATCCTGCTGTGCTTTTCCCAAGGGCTACTCTCGTCCAATTGGTTTCCAGTGAACCCATGGGTTTGACGGGGATGAATCGTGAAGAGTGAATTGTCGAAGGAGCCAGACATCATGTTGGCGGAAAGGAAATCATAGAAGAGCCACTGTTTGCGAAGCTGGGGAAGGTCGCAAGTAAAGATGCTGATAGAGAATGGGCGGAAGTTATCAGGCTGATACAACGTCACCAGTACATCATGCATTTTGAACGAGTCAATCTCAAAGTCTCCTGGGTGATGCTCGTGGCGAAAGGACTTGGGATCCATGTCATCTTCGGGCCAAAACACATGTCGACGATCTATAACCCCGCGAATTCCCCCTGACCTCGACATCGCGAAGAGGACCCTTGCCATTGAGCCACTTTGTGAACGAAAGGGTGACATTGACTGTTTCAATAGACACATCAAACTGTGTGTAATTGGTATCCTCCTCAGTCTGGTCTAAGGTTTCGGTGTTCGGGTGGCCTCTGCTTGCCGCGGCAGCGGCAGCAGCTGCAGTCTTGGAGGAACCCTTACTCACATACCCTGTTCCTTGGCCAGGTCGCCTAGAAACAAATACGTTTTTGAAAGTAATCACTCCATTCCTCCACTTGGGAACAATAGCAGACTCGAACACAACCTGAAGTCCCGATGACTTCGTAAGATAGTTTCCTACCCATCCAGCTAGCGTTTCTTGAAGCCTCATTAGCAGGATATAACAAATTGAATCCATATTGTCGAACATACCCTGTGCAAAAACGGTATTGATAGCGAGGATCAAAAGGGAGAAGAAAGTAGTGGTTCCAGCTACGACCCAAACGATATGGCCCAGAAAAACCCATGAGAAAAATGCGGCAATCTCATCAAGGTTGAAGGGCCGGACGCTTCGGATTGAGAACCACTTGAACCGAACTTTCAAGCGCGACCAGAAACCAGTTGCTGCAGCCAGCAGCTCTTCCTTAGTAGGTCGATGCAAATGAGGCATATGCGGTAGGCGATGCATAAGATGACGGCCTGAAGACGGCGCTGATGGTGGCTTGGGGGAGCCCTCCAGCGTATCTGGAAAATTTTCGCCTTCCTTGGTTGACTGAGAAGCATCTGTTTCCTTCGAGTTTCCAGATACTTCCTCCGATGGCGCCTTCTCGGGGCGTGTATTCGGTGTATGTATCGCCCGTCTCCAAATCAGTTGGGATGGGAGCGTTTTGCTTGGTCGTATACATTTCGCGCAATTTTCAGCAACCGCGGAGCTCGGAGAGGCTCCAAATATCAGGAATCCACTTGTTGCAAACTTGCGGATCAGTGACGGAGGCGATGGTGGTGTTGATAAACGGCGACTGTTCGAAACCGGGTCGATAACCTTCCTCCAGATGTTGGGGGCGTTGACGTGACTCGATCTTACGCGACCGAGGAATGGGTTGGCTGTTTCCCGCAAATGGGCATACAGACGCCGTCTGAAGTGTGCAGACATTTCTGCCTTGACATCCTCCTCTCCACGTTCTACAGCTGATTCGTAGCTTGGAGGAGTCTAAAAGTTAAGGGACCGGAACTTGAGTGCATGAAATCATGCAATGTTTGCATAGTTTGCACAGCGGCCTCCGCCCACACTGCCCGTTTTTTTCCCCCTTGGGGGGGCGATAAATCCTACGATAACAGATCCATCGCCCAAAATTTTCATTTCTGGAGGTATTAGCATTATGCCGGCTCCTACAGCTCTTCAGAAGCCTACTGAGGCTGTGCCTGTTCAGTCTACCCCCATAGGTAAATTATGTTTATTGCTGATTTGAAAGTATGTCACTAACAAATGATAAGACCAAGATGATGAAGTCTTGATCGACGCTCAGGCCGAGCCAGATCTCTCAGCCCCGGCTGTAGACTCGGCAGAGGATAGTGAAATGCGCATCGACGAAGAAGGCCGTCCAGTATTCACACCTGCAAAAGAAGTCAATCACGCATACCGGGTCGAGACTCGCAAAGTGCCCGTGCCACCACACCGCATGACGCCGCTCAAAGCCAACTGGACCAAGATCTGCCCTCCGATCGTCGAACACCTCAAGCTGCAAGTGCGGATGAATGTTAAGAGCCGAGCGGTGGAATTACGTACCTCGAAGTTTACCACCGATGTAGGAGCTCTCCAAAAAGGTGCCGACTTCATCAAAGCCTTCACCTTGGGCTTTGATATAGATGATAGTATTGCCCTTCTACGTCTGGATGATCTCTATATCGAGACCTTTGAGATCAAGGACGTGAAGACTTTGAACGGGGAGCATCTTGGACGTGCTATCGGCCGTATTGCTGGCAAGGATGGAAAAACCAAATTCGCAATTGAGAATGCCAGCCGAACACGAGTTGTACTGGCGGACTCAAAGATTCATATCCTTGGAGGGTTCAAGAATATTCATATTGCTCGTGAGGCTATTGTTAGCCTAATTCTGGGCAGTCCTCCGGTAAGTTTGGTGACTCTTAAGCACTTGAACCCCATTACCATGATTTCTAACACATAATAGGGCAAGGTGTACGGTAACCTCCGAACAGTGGCCTCGCGAATGAAGGAAAGATTCTGATTTATCATCTCTCTCGTGAAAAAAAGTTTTTGGCATGGTACGGGGCGTTCAAGGTGTACCCAGTCTCAAATCCTACGATGTTCATTGGGAATGTTTCTTGCAAATTATTATATATATGTGACGACAATACAATACCAAGTTCCAGGGATGCTTTAGATATCTCTACGACATTCTCGGGGTATCCAAAATTCCGTATTTCATATTGTAGACAAGATAAAAAAAAGAATTCTAATCTTTCTTCAAGGGTTGGAAAGCTTCCTCGATCCCATCCTTGGTGATTGTGACCAGCTGCAAGTAATCGCCGACCTCAATGTGTCGCTCCACTGCGCTGGTAAAAGCATCTCGCACCAGTCCCTCGGCCGTGCTGCGGGAGAGGGGCTCCGCCTTCTTTGGTTCAAGCGCATGTCCTTCTCCACTGCCTGGAACGTATTGATTCTTGAAATTCACCTGGTTGTCCAAGAATGGGGTGATCAAGCTGGATGCAGCACCAGCCGCACGGCACTGCTCCCTTTCGTATGAGCCGACAGGGTCGTAGCTGTACAGAGCTCCCTTGCCTTCCTCATCCAATCCACCCAAAATCGCGTGTACGTAATAGGGAAGAAGCGCTTCTCATAGAGAATCGTTGATAGGCGTTGCGCACATGCAGACACGGACATCGGCTTTCCATGTTTGTATTTGTACATCTTCACGATATTGTCCAGTCGTTCCTTGAGGGCATTACCATCTGCAGCAAAGCCCACCACAGATAAGACAATTTGAGCCCCTTCACCAGTCTCATCATCTCCACCGATCTTGAAAACCTTCGGAGCCATTCGTGAGTTGATGTTGTAACCGGATGTGGAGCGAGTGTCTCCTGCGAGAATTGCAAAGTCGGAACCAGTGATACCCAAAGTCGAACCGCCGTTGTCCGTATATCTAGATGCTGTTAGCTCAAACAGCTCCTCTAGGAAATATAGAGTGCACCGGTATCATAATAGGAAGTCTTACGGGTAGAATGAATGCTGCTGGACTGGAGCAGCTGTTGGCTGGGCAAAGGAGTAGCCAATGCCGTCGCCATGGGAGGCGTGGTTCAAAAGCATTGTCATCGCGGAAGACCAAATGAGAATTCAGGCTGTTATAAGAGGGGAGAGCGTTTTTTGAAGAGGCCGCAAGATTTGGAGAAGAGAGATGATGGGCGATAAGAAGGGGAAAGCGACGCTTGGGGGTTCCCGATGTGTGACGCGATGCTAGAGCTGCCTTATGCTTAGTAACTGACAAGCTCCGCCTTGCATCATCTCAACGCCGACGAATTATCTAACTGCATCTGGTGCCTTCACTTATTGATAACAGGACGGACGCACAAAACATTCCAGGCAGTCAGAGATTGTATTTCAATCATGCTCGGACTCGACGCCTACGAGAGCAGTAGCGAGGATGAGGTGCAGATTCAAAAGCCCTCACCAGAGGTAAGGCCTTTGCTTCTATGTTTGCTTGACTTTCGCTTATACTTTGAACAGTCAGAAAAGCAGCCGCTCAAGGAGGATACTCAACCTCAGCGCATCGGTAGGCCTTCTATGTAAGTACTTTGATTGACGACATCCATACTAACGTGTTACAGCTCCTACACCTTTGAAAGATCCGCGATCGAGCTTGAGTAGCGAGGCCGCCCCAAGCGGCCCCGTCCTTGGACCAGTGTCCATGGATAGTCAAACCCCAAGTGATCGCTCGCCTTACTCGACATCTCGGGCTCTGGTTCATGATTTGACTCTTCCTCCAGTTCCTAACCTGGATATTCCGCCTTCGCCGCCTGGGTCTCCAGACCCTGCCGCGAATGCCAAGTTCCAGCATTTTCTTTCTCTCAAACATCAAGGTGTTCATTTCAATGCAAAGCTTGCTACCTCTTCATCTCTCAAGAATCCTAGTCTTCTCCGGAAGATGATGCAGCATTCTGGAATCGAAGAGCAAGCACAGCACGAAACATCTCTACCAGGGGACTTATGGGATACTTACGCTTTTCCACGTTGGGGCTTCAAAGACGAGCTTCTAAAGACTCAGCAAGAAATTCGAAACAAAATTGAGGCCCGAAGGAATAATGAACAAAGGTCATCAATCCAGTTTGTCTCTGCGTCGAATGACAAGCCTAAGAGCAGCGTATGAGGCTAGCATCCTCATCTCGAACCATCTGTGATCCAAGCGGTGATAACCTCTTAGACGGTATTTCCCGGAGCATGTCGACTTTCTTCATGCTTGAAACCCTAGATTTTGCAGCGAGTAACTGCGATGGGGTTCAGACAGCGACAGACCGCGCGGTGCTGGTAATGGACATTGAACATTGTGGAATACCCAGCACAAACTCAAAAAAATCGGAACTTCGTAAACCTGACGCCGATTCTTTCTGCCACTTATTTTCTTGAAGGGGTCTCATAAACTGTGCGCTCCTGGCCCCTTGCACTACTCATGTTATCCTAGTGATGGCGTAGCGCCTCTGTAAAGACGCTACACCGGTGCAGAAGGTCTGTCATTGTCGAGTAATTCAATATTAAGGAACATACGTGGTGGGTCGTGCTAAACCTACCGCTATTACCAGCAGTCCGGAAGGTCTAATCAAGGCTTGAAGAAATCCAGGGCAATGAAACTCACTTTAGCTGATTGATTGTCTATACTCTTCAACGTAGACTAGAGCCCATCAATCTCATGCCAGCGCCATTCTGGAGGGGCTTGGCGACCAACGTGAACTAAATTGAATACATACTATTTCCTCTTGTCAGAATTACATCTAAATCATTCGGGTAAATGTAGAGCAGTAGCCAAAGATCGGGTGGTCAAACTTGCAAGAAGGTCGTAAGGTTCCAAATTCCAAGTTGGAAAGGCGGTGCTTAGTCACCCGAGCTCCCATCCACGCAGCTTCGCCTGCCTAATTGGAAGCTCCGGCGTCATCGCGCAACTCATCTCTTGTCCTCCTCTTTCTCTTCCTTCCAGGCCTTCATCGCGTCTGGTTTATCCCGTCTCCAGATTAATACCCCTACGCTTCTCTGTCCAGAATGGATCACTTCCCCGGAACCTGGGGCCGCGTGAGCATCATCGACACTTCCCAGCCATGCTATCAATGCTAACCCGTTGTAGCCCCGGAACGACGTCTACGGCGCCTACGACCACTCATACCTTCATACCACCGGCCCTAAGACACACACATCTTCCCCTGCCGTGACAGGAACGTCTGTGATTGGCGTTAAGTTCAATGGCGGTGTCGTCTTGGCTACCGACAACCTAGGTAAGATCCATCTATCATCTTCCACAGGACCACAACTAACCACGGGCAAAAGCTTCCTACGGCTCCCTCGCACGATTCACCGATGTTAAGCGTCTACGTACCTTTGGCGAAAACGCGGTTGTTGGATTCGGCGGAGATGTCTCTGACATGCAATACATTGATCGCCTGCTCGAATCCATGGATATTCGAGAAAATTACTCCTCCCACGGGAACATGCTCAATGCCAAAAATCTACACACCTACCTCGCCAAGGTCTTCTACAAGAGACGTTCCGAATTCAACCCACTATGGAACCACGTCCTTGTTGCAGGGTTCGACGGGGAAGGGAAACCATTCCTCAGCTCTGCAGATCTGCTGGGCACCACGTTCTCAGGTCCCCACCTTGCCACTGGGTTCGGTGCTCACCTGGCTGTTCCAATTCTACGACGATTGTTTCCTGAGGAGAGGCCCATCGAGGATATTAGTAAGGAGGAGGCGGTCTCTGCTTTGAAGGACTGCTTGAAGGTGCTCTTCTACCGAGACGCACGCAGTATCGATAAATACTCCATAGCCGTCATCACCAAGGATGGCATTGATTTGAAGGAGGATGAGCAGATCGAGAACCAGAGCTGGGCTTTTGCTGAACGGATCAAGGGATACGGTGCCCAGACGAAGTAATCTACATATTATGGTAGTTCAATGCATGAGAAGCCGGACATCGGTCCCAATGAAGGCAGTTCGGTCCGTTTCAACAGGAGACACGTATTCAGAGTCGACAGATACTTCTTGTGCCAGATATATAGGAAACAGTAGACAATATACAAGTAACAAGAGCCCCTATGCCGCACGGTACCTCTTTACAGTTTCGATCCCGGCTTGAAGACTACCTTATTAACACACGAGCCTACTCCCTCCAACGAAACCTCTACCTGATCCCCATCCTTCAGCCAGAGGTTCGGGGTTCGACCCATGCCCACGCCTTCGGGCCTATGGTCATGTTAGTGTTGAGCGTCGAGTTGCACGACCAGCGAGAATACTTACGTTCCAGTGAATATTAAATCTCCGGGCAGAAGAGTGGTGCCTTGGGATAGAAACGAGACGGTCTTGGCCACCCCGAAGATCATGTCCTTTGTCGATGAAGACTGGACAGTCTGCCCATTCAAAACAGTTGAGATCCGCAGGGCGTTGGGATCTGGAATCAGTTTTGTAGAGACGATGCCAGGCCCAAAGGGTGCCCAGCCATCGAAGGTCTTCCCTAGACCCCACTGACCACCACCACGCTTTATCTGCCATTCCCGGTGGGAGACGTCATTGCCCACGGCATAGCCGAGGACGTATTCCAGGGCCTTGCTCTCGGGCACATCTCTGGCCTCTTTGCCAATGACGATGACCAGTTCACATTCGTAGTCTAGGCCTTCGCCCTCCAGCGCCAAGGGGGCAATTGGAATATCATCTGTAGGGCCTGAAATAGAAGTGACAGGCTTGAAAAAGAGCACTGGGTACTTGGGAATGGGATTGCCCGACTCCTTTGCGTGCTGCGCGTAGTTGAGGCCCAGACAGCGCACTGCCGCGATATCTTGTCGGGCCAACGGAGCCAGGAGCAATCGGATATCAGCTACTTGCTCGGTCACCTTATGGTCCCCGAAGATATCACCCTGAATAACTTTCGCCTGTGTAGCCTTGGAGATGTCGCTTACGCCGGAAGGCAGGAGAGCATCGCCATAGTAGATTTGGCCATCCTTGGCCAGGAAGCGGACTAGACGCTGCGGGGGTTAGCCCTGTAATCAGATATATAGAAGCAACCCCCTCCATCTTCTTTTCAGATGCAGGAAAAAACCAGGGATTGCCGCGAGAACTTAATCACTTACTGTAAAAGAAGCCATACTGAAGCAGCGTAGAGGAGCCCTGAAGCAAGAATGCAGGAGATGGTACAAGGATCCAGAGCCGAGGTGATCCACTTTTCGTCATTCGATATCGGCCGGGAAACCTTGAGATGACGATCGCCGGATAACGGAATCTTCTCCTAAACCTCCCCGAGCTCAATGGCCCGCGTGTTTTGATCTCCCCCACATTTCCCTGTGAAGATGGCCAGGCTCTCCGGGCTCCAGCGAGAGGTGCTGTCACTTTATCGCCAATGTCTCCGCCACATCCGGCAGAAGCCCGAGGTGCGCCCCTTTCCTCTCGAGGCCCCCGAACTTCATCTGATATCGAGTACAGGAGTCTAGGGGCAACTTCAAACGCTTTGCCAGGTAAATCCCCTATCTTGTTACCTGGATTGCTTGAGGACTTTGCCGAGTACCGGTGCACCCGGGCTGACTCGATGGCAGGGCTGAATTCCAGAAGAATCTCTCGGTGAGCAAGAAAGACTTTAGTACCATCGAGTATCTCTTGCGCAGAGGTCGCCGTCAGCTGGAGACATATGCTTCTCCGGGTATTCGCAGTATCCACTGAGAGTTCCCCCCCGAGATTTCGTCGCAACACTCCGCGGGATGCCCCAGATCCTTATTGTAGAGGACCCCCACTACGGGCCTCTTGGGTATGGCTCTTCTCCCTGCTGCAACTATTGTGTTTTCTTGATGAAGGCTCACTTCATGATAGGTAGAGCATCAGCAGCCTTTCACCGCGTTGCATGTATGAATAGAAACAACACCTAGGTGACCTAGCCCGGCGTATACACCCTGTATTCTAGCTCAAAGAACAAAGGTTTCTCCACCAGTACCTCTGAAGTAAACTACGCTGCGTACTCCCACTGATTTCTGTCAATTGGGTAGCACAGTTCCAAACGTGAACTCTCGTGTACTTCCATCCCCTCCCAGGTTGCCCACCTGGCCACCTGGGCAGGCGGCGAGATGCTTATTCAGCGTACGTGGCTTCCAAGCCTCAGATTCCAAAAAGTAGCCCTGGAGCTGGAAGACGTGCTTACAACATCGGAGCGTACATGCCATGCATGGAAGATGAGAAAGCAAAATTTCTACACGTATTCAGCAGATCTCAAAGATCAAAGCTCTCAGAGGGATGGTTCTCGTAGCTGGTGGAGGGTTGGAGAAGATACTCGAAGGCGCCGGCTCCTGCGAGATCTGACCAATCACGGCGAGCTTGAAGTATATATACCCAGAACTTGCCATGTCCCAGGCACCATCATCTTCTTCAAATCAGAGCCTCTCTTGCAGTCCGACCTCCACTCCACACAATCACATCAACCTTCCTACGATCACAACAATGGCGTTCCTGTCCTATGCTTCCGATTTCAAGCCTCTCTTCCAGCTGCTGGATGACTACGAGACCCACCGCTCCGGCCCCACTAGTCGCCGCACGTTTGCCCCAGCATTTGATGTTCGCGAGTTAGATGATGGCTACTACCTCGATGGCGAGCTACCAGGCGCTGACCAGAGCAATATCAACATTGAATTCAGCGATCCTACCACCCTAGTCATCAAGGGACACATCAAGCGCGACTACCAAGACCACTCCAGCACCAAGAAGAAGGCGTACCATGCCACTGTGGAAGATGAATCCAACTCAGAATCCACCGAAACCAACTCGGTGACCTCAGATGCTTCAGGTCAGACCAAGACCCAGAAAACTCAATTCTGGGCATCGGAGCGGTCAGTCGGCGACTTCCAGCGCACTTTTACCTTCCCCACACGCGTTGATCAGGACGCGGTGCGTGCGAGCCTGAAGAACGGCATCTTGTCTCTCGTGGTGCCCAAAGACGCTACACCTCACACCAAAAAGATCCGCATCGAGTAGCCTATGAAATGCACTGGCAAGATCATGAAATTTGGCACAATTTTCATAATTTGCATTGCGGCTGGCGCGGGATTCGGACTCTCTGGTATCATCATTTCTTTTCGGGACAAGGTCTATGTGCCTTGGTACTGGCACATGTGAAATAGTTTGGAATTAGTTTAATGGAATAATGATGCGATGTTTATGATCTGTCTATGGCCAGTAAGAGCTAACTCAAGTGGCATAAACCGTCCCAGCCGCGTAAGCCCCCGTGCTCTCCCTTGCATCATGCAGGGAAAATTTCTAGACCTACAAAATATTGGGATGTCGGGGGACAAATTGAGTAAATAGGCCGTGGATGCATTTCCAAGGAAGAGGCGCATCGCAAGAGGTTGAATCAAATGGCCAATCAAATAATATTTTGTGTCAAATGAGAAGCAGATTTTTGGGGTCGTTCCAAAGAGAGGGAAATGATTCCAAGGACAAAAGCGAGAGTATCCGCAAGCAAAAAAGGAAATAACAAAACACGTCCACGTGGTGGTTTCAAACGAGGGTATATCCATTTCAGTAAACTCCAAATCCGTGAAAGCAGAGATACAGCCAAGCCAAACGCTAAACATCAAACTTTTGTAGACTCCCAAGTGAGGGTCAGAAAAGAAAAGTCAAATACACTAAATTCTCAAACGTTAGAAGTCATCGTTATGGGGGAGGAGATTCCATCAAGGAGAGATCGCGTGAGATATATGGTTTCGCCAACCTGCACCGACGGTGATCCTGGCTGCAGTTTCGAGGGCGGCCACGGCTGTCAGGCAAATAGCACTCAAGCTCTTTGGCCTCCCCAGAATGGCTATGGTCAGGTGAAAGGATGGTTGGTAAGGGTGGTACGTCAATGCCAGGTCTTTGGCACCATACCCGACTGCCTGCCCGACTGCGAGAGCGAGAGCGAGAGCGAGAGCGACAGATCCCAGTCTCACTGCTACCAGAAGTCGATCGATGCAGTGCATTTACTTGTTCATAGATAGGTAGAATGTCGGTGCTAGTTGAGAGCCTCGAGGTCTCAGAGACAATGCGATCTCCCTGGAACGATAGCCGAGGAGGCACCGAGCCATCGGATTCAGAATATTCAGTATATAGAGGGGCGCACAGAGTTGACCGACGATTACGGCTGCCCGGCTGAGGAGTCGCACTGCTTGAGTCATCCCAACGAGTCGAAGCCAGTCGGGGCCACGAGAAGTTTTCGGACTTTTCTCCATGCAAACTAGCGTAGTGCTGGGTCCGGTCGTCGGGCCCAAGCATACTGCCAGAGCCAGACGCTTGAGAGTCAAGCGAGAGCCTGGTCTGGCTTCTCTGGATTGAATGAAACGAGTTGGCGGAACTGTAGCCACTATCCGTCTTTCCGAGGGAACGAGATGTGCTTCTGTCCGAACTAACATCCATAGTATCCTTGTCCAGTTGTATGTCGGTATACATGGCGATCCCTTCATCTTCCATTTCTCTAGGAAACAGAGATTTGGCTCGAGGATGCACCGTAATGATCGGGGATTTCTCAAATGAAAATGGGCTTCCCGGAAGGTCCTCCGACTTCTTGATATCGATAACACTGGGAATCTCGAGAGAGGGTTGGGGCACAACCTCGACAGATCGACTCTCCAGGGGCACACGATCACTTGGGCACGGAGAAGCACAACCGTTAACTACTCGAAGTGACCCAAGTTTTAAGGCACCCAGTTGGGTATACCGCGGATCAACAGGGCTTGTCGGGCGTTCCGGGGAGAAGCAACCAATGAAGGCCTCCGACGAGGTGGAAGAGGCCATCGGAGAAAGTCTGCATCTACTTCATCGATTGCAGGCTCTCCAATCGTCGGGGAGAAGCGTAGAACAGCCCCAGTGCTTTGTCGAGTTGCGGTTCCGGGTCGTGTCAGTAAGGAACGTCTCCGGGTGAGCGAGAAGCGTTGATTGCCCACCAAGAAGAGAGTATTCGAGGACGCCGCGTCTTCTCTTACATCATTGTTGATTACACTTCGCTGTCGTTGGAGAGGGGTCTGGACTGAATTTGCCCTCCTTGGATGCTCAGGAGGCACCGATGATCGATCAGAGCCCTTTACAGACGCCGTCTGATATGACCGTCTGCTGGGTGGGCCAGAAGTGGCAGGAGAGATCGCATGGGATGAGAGAGGACCAGGGAAATTTTGCTCTGATTCCTGTTGCTGAGGCTCCGCATCTGATTCAAAAACGGTGGAAGGGATCTTCCTTGGCCTTGGCCTGATGTTCTTTGCGGCACTAGCTCCCACCCATGGATTTTGCCATCCAATCAAACCGGAGGCAAGCGCCGGTTCCTGTTCTGAACGACCGGGGGCTGTGGTCAAAGGCTTCGTCAGGCGGTTAGAGCGACGTCTGTCATTCTTGGAGGTCGACTGCGAGTTTCCCATGGCTTCTCCAGGCCCCGGGCGCAGAGAGGCAAAGTTCAAATCCCCGAACACTCAAGAACTCAGGGATGACATCCAGTATATAGGCGACCACGGCTCATATACGTGAGAATGCTGGGTGACAAATCGGGACCGGAACCGCAACGGAGCTGTATAGATGTGACTGACGTCAAACCACGTTCAGGCAGCTGAGGGCTCGATCCGAGCCCCAGAAGCTCGCACAGCCGGGTTTGAAATCTGGCGTGCGATTGGCGGCTGAAAAGAACCCGGGCGGAGACGATGGGAGACGAGCAGTGTTTCAGATTGGACCAGCTTGGATAGATTGGTTGGACGAGGAGGGAACTAAGGGTTACGTCAAGGAAAATTGGAAAGTTGGGAGGTCATTCAACCCTCCTTCGTTCTTTAACCCGGAAAGAAACTCTCGGAAAGAAAATATAAACAATTAATTGGGAGGATGCTGTACACTCCAACAAAAAACATTGAGGTGAAAAGAACCCCGAAAGGGAGGAGTATGTGGGGTGCGAAGAAGATCTATTAAACAACAGGCGCAAGATGGGCAGTATAAACGCAACACGCCATGATGGCAGGATAAGGCGGAGCCCTAGACGAAAGCGTATTAGCTTGGACCCATCTGCGTGGGACAGGTCGCGATCGAGCTACTGCAAGCGGACAGCAGGATATAGCTACCAGTCGTCTGGATGCGTTTGGGGGAAAGGGGGGGCAGGTCAGAGGTTGAGCAGTTGGGGGGGGGCGGAGAAGGGGCCCAAATAGATGCCCTTTGATACCGCCATTGATCGAGCCCCTCATTTGCTGTGAGGGATTAATATGTGCATATATCAGCTTGTACAATCTATCTCGGCCAAGGTCAATCTCAAATTGGCTTCCCTTACTACATCTTTGGGGTCCGTATTTACTACATTTCTCATCGGTGGGCTTCTGGCTATGATTGGCTCGGCCGCAGCCGCAAGCGGACTGGGGCAGTTTCAGGGCCACAGAAAGATGTACCAAGTACATTCCAGCTCTAACATATTTGCGTACTAATAGAGGTATCTGCTACTTATTCCCGCCCTTTGCTCGCTCCGACCACTTCATCCCAATGCAGCAAGAAAGGTTGATCCCTTCACCAACAATCGTCATTGTGTCCGTCTGCAGTCCTCTCTTTCATTTTGAGACGACGTGCAACGATTGCAAACACTGGTATTCCCTGAGAACGTCGGTTCCCCACCCCGGCCAACCTCCCTAATCCGCGTGGCTCCGGGTCGCTTTGTTCTCTTTTTTTGATGGTCAGAGTCGTGGCGAAACTAAGCTTTAGCTTCGCCACACCGCAATACGGCCACCACCATACTATGCTCCGTTCTGCATCCGGTTGACGTGGTCGATAACCTTGTGGGTCATGGCGTCTCTGGTTACCTTCCCTTTCCTGACGCCTACTGAGTTCGAGAGCGCCTGTCGAGCTTTGGCTGATCGCGCCCGCAGCTCGCAACGTGCGGAGACTTGGGCTCCTCGACTGGTCACACAGGTAACCCATACCATTCCCTGCCCCCCTGCCTGACCCGTGTATGATCGTACATGACATCTCTGGGGACTTGGATAGCGAGTCCGTCCGAACGTAGGGGGCTTGCTGGGGGCACCAACTTAAATAGGGAATTAACTGGTTATACGTTTCAATAGAATGGAACCAGCCTGAGGATCACCTGTTGGAAAGATGTTCAGATCGGCCCTCAGATCGACGTCTATGATCTGGATCATCCCCAGGAGAACGATCAGCCGGTAGAGGACGACGATCCGGTTCGCTAGATTCCCCCCTTCCTTGATTTTCCAGCAAGAGCCTGTAGTGAAGGGTCTGACCTTTTATCTGATCTGCAGGAAGCTTTGGTTCGGACCGACCTCAAGCCAAATCTACAAGTAGATTATGATATCGTGCTTTCTTCGACATATCGGGTGCCAGTTTTGTATTTTACATTGCGTTGGCATAACCAACCAGGCCCGTTGGGGCTCGACGCTGTTTATCGATATGTGGTCCCCGAACAGTACCAGAAGGGATTGAGGAACGTGGGTGTCATTGGGGGTATTAGCACTGGGGTAAGCTACCCTATCCTCTGGGATATCCCCTACGCGCGTACGCGTTCAATAGCTGATTTTGTATGTAGTATCATCCAGTGTCGGGAACTCCGGCCTTCTTTATTCACCCATGTAACACCGCAGACGCCATGGCGCAAGTCGCAGATGCCCAGAGCATAACCTCAGACACATATCTTCTTGTTTGGCTCGGTCTCGTAGGCCATTGTGTGAACCTGCACGTCCCACGTGAGCTGGTCATCTCTAATCATGCCGACCTATCCAGAGGTCCTTGAAATAGACACGATATATCTTACGCTCCCTTCAACTCTCGACCGGGTCCCTCAATCGCAGGAACCAAAGAGGGAACTCCTGGGTAAACTTAATCCTCATCAGAGGAGGCTTCCATTGGCACATCGCTATCTTCCTCCATTGGAGCTTCTTCCTCGTCGCTTTCCGCCTCGCGGGGCCGCTTAATTCCATGCGGTTCTCCGTTGGTTGCTGGCTTCGCGGGGATAGAACCTGGTGGTCCGCTGAAGATTGACTTTTGAAGGTCGGTTGACGAAACAACAGGCGCAGGAGCAGTAGGAGGCGCGCTATAAGTGCCACGAAGTTTGTCAATGATATTCGAGCGGCCTTTGCCGTACACAATTCTCTACTCCATCGTTAGCATCAGAAAGCCGAATATCATACGTGCAAAACACACCATTGGCTTCCCACAGAAATCAAAGTCTTGTAGAGCGCGCATCGCTTGGGTGCTTGTCTGGACATCCTTGAAAACAATATGGGCTTGGCCGCGCATCTGCTTTGTCTTCATGGCCACAACATCGAGCACGGTACCGTATGTGGAGAACAGGGTGTAAAGGGCCGTTCGCAAGTCGCGTTTGGAGATCTTGTCGGGCAAATTGGTGCAGTAGAGCCTGAGTCATCAATACTGGGCTCTTCGTCGCGATGTGAGGGTAACATACGTTTGGTTGGGAGAACCAGCCGCCTTGGAGTCGGAGCCACGCGCAGGAGCTGCCTTGGCTGCCATGATTTCGGTAACGAGAAAAAACCGGCGGCGTTTCCTAGCTTGGCGTGATGAAAATTTAGGCAAGACCGAACGGCAATCTGAGGTGGTCGCGTTCGGCAGAGCACAATGCTTGATAGCGAGGAAAAGCTTCCAGATCATGTGACTAACAAGTGGAAACCTTGGAAGGTCATGTGGTGATTAGCTAATGAGATGGCCCCCCACCAGCGTCAGGCGTCATGGTCTCCGGTTTCCCCCATTTGTACAATTTACACATCCCTCGCGTCCCTATACGACGGTAGAGAGTCCCTCCCGTCGTGACAATAATACAATGGCTACTCCCCAGGCACACCACCTTTTCCATGCCCCAATTGCCGACCACTCATTCTCCGCTGACCGACGAACCGTTGCAGTCGCCCGTGACAACAATGTGGAGCTCTACCAGTCGTCAGGCAGCAAGTTCACGCTGAGCGATGAGCTCAAGGGCCATGAGAAGACGGTTACGAGTGTTGACATTGCTCCGGGCAGCGGCCGAATTGTCACTTGCTCGCAAGGTGAGAAGCAATATCTCGTGCAAGCTCTTGTCTCTCTGCTAACCACAGCCCCGCATGACAGACCGCAATGCTTACGTCTGGGAAAAGACTCCCACGGGCTGGAAGCCGACTCTCGTCCTTCTCCGAATCAACCGTGCTGCCACGTTTGTCCGGTGGTCTCCCTCGGAACAGAAATTTGCCGTTGGCTCTGGAGCCCGTGTGATTGCTGTTTGCTACTTTGAAGAAGAGAATGATTGGTGGATCTCGAAGCATTTGAAGAAACCCATTCGGAGTACGATTACAACCCTCGCATGGCACCCCAACTCTGTCCTGCTAGCAGCAGGCTCTACCGACTCGCACGCCCGTGTTTTCTCTAGTTTCATCAAGGGAACCGATGCCCGCCCTGAGCCTAGTGCCTGGGGAGAGCGTCTCCCCTTCAACACGATCTGCGGTGAATTTTTGAACGATAGTGCGGGCTGGATTCAGGGTGTCAGCTTCTCTCCCAGTGGCGATGCTTTGGCTTTCACTGGTCATGACAGCAGTGTCACAGTCGTGTACCCTAGCGCACCGGAGCAGCCTCCTCGGGCCATGCTGAACATTTCTACCCGCCTTTTGCCGCTCAACAGTCTCATTTGGAATGGAGAGAATGAGATCATTGCTGCTGGTCATGTAGGTTTCTTCCAGTTTTCTTTCTTATCTCTATTTCGGCTGCAAGGTGATGTCGCTGACGAAAATAGGACTGTGAACCATACCGCTTCCAGGGAGACGAGAATGGGTGGCGGCTTACTGGATCTTTGGAAAGCAAGGCCGGTGCCGGTGCTGGGGCCGCCCGAGAGGAATCTGCGCTCAATATGTTCCGGCAGATGGATCTCAAGGGTCAGACCACCGTCAACACTAAGCTCAAAACTACTCACCAGAACACCATCAACACCATCCGGCCCTATGAAGAAGCCAATGGACAAGTCAAGTCGTTCAGCAGTAAGTATTGATATGTCTCTTCTGAAAGGATTAGTTAAGTTAACGGTTCTTTTAGCTAGCGGAGTCGACGGCCGAGTTGTAATCTGGACCCTGTAAGGTAGTTGATAGATAAGAATGGGATTCACACCGTAAATATAAAGCCATGATATAACTATTGTCCGAGCACAAGGATGCGGTCACATGCCAAATACGTATGACTATTTCAAGTTGATCGAACAAAAGCTCTTGCGATCAAGTCATCTGCTTCTAGGAACCCCGGGAATCTATGGATGACCCACCTGGGCCTGGGCATGATCGGCGCTTATCTAATCGTGCCCTTCCCCGGATTCTGATCGCCTGAATGATGCGGTCGGTGGAACCTCAAACCACAACCCCCCTCCCACGGTCGATTTCACCTCCCAAAGCCTGGCAAGATGGTGTTCTTCCAGGCCTGCACCCTGGGGTGGCTCACATTCGGGCTATCCATGGCATTTTCACAGAATGAAACACCGTCCGTCCCTGGCCAACTGTTCAACTCATTGGAGGAGTCCGCTCGGTTGGTGGATATCACCTACTGCGTTAGCACCACAGGCATCCAAGAGCCGTTCCAGTGCTTGAGCCACTGCGCTGAATTCCCAGACTTGGAACTGGTTACCGTAAGTTACTCGTTCCGGGCCGATGAGCAAGTTCTCACATCTTTTAGACTTGGAACACCGGAATCCTCTTATCTGACTCATGCGGCTATATTGCGGTGTCGCATGCTCCGACAAAGCGCATCGTTGTTGCGTTCCGGGGCACTTACTCCATAACCAACACCATCATTGACCTCTCCGCATACCCTCAGTCCTATGTCCCATACACCGGAGAGGAAGGAGAGGCAACAGAACGCCCGACATGTGCGAACTGCACAGTGCACGCCGGATTCATGACCTCATGGAACAACACCCGCTCTACGGTGCTTCCCCGGATCGAGGCAGCGAGGCAGCAATACCCGGACTACGAAGTGAGCTTGGTCGGGCACTCCCTCGGGGGTGCAGTGGCCGCACTCGCGGGGTTGGAGATGCAGCTGAAGGGATGGAACCCGACGGTCACCACATTCGGGGAACCGATGATAGGCAACGGAGAATTTGCCAAATACCTGGACGACCAGTTCTCGCTGAACGCGCCTGATCACGCTGATGGCAGCTTCAGGCCTCCACAGTTCCGCCGCGTCACTCACGTTGACGACCCGGTCCCACTACTCCCTCTTTCCGAGTGGGGATATACACCTCACAGTGGGGAGATATTCATCTCCAAGCCCGAGCTTCCACCTTCCATTGGAGATATCCAGCTGTGTGAAGGGAACCAGGATCCACGGTGCATCGCCGGGAGCGAAGCGCCGAGTTCTTTGATGGAAATCTACCAAGATGTCTCGATCCCTCTCAGTGTGTTCGGCGATCGTCTAGATCCCTGCTCATCTAGTAGACAATCCAAGTCGGGAAAGACCCACCAGGTCGTTTTGAGTCGACTAAGCTCCGCGAGAGAAGACGTGACATGTGCCTCGGACGCCACGACGCCGCTGCACCCCCGCAGCTGGAATTGGTCCCTGATCCCTGCTCGATACCGCCTATGGGAGCTGTTTTTTGCCCATAGAGATTATTTTTGGCGTATTGGACTTTGCTGGCCGGGGGGAGATCCGACCGGCTAAGCCGTTTTGGGTAATGTTTTCTTGCCCTTTCTGGTATGAGGATACATGATTGCGCTTTCGGAGCTACCCCGGGTTCAGGTTGGCGTTTCGGTTCGCAGAGTCATTGGAGGTTTGGAAGTATTTGTCAAGACTGACTAATTATACCCCTATACGAGAATTCAGACCCACCCGTTGAATATACGTGGATGGATGCCCAGAAAGAGGCGAAAAGATAGTTCAGAGTTAAACCCCCCCCCCACCAGAAATGTCCCTGCACCTTAGCGCCCCGTAAGACGCTGACGCAGGTGATGGTGCAACATGTACGCACAGCCAGCCAAATACGAGACAGTAGCGCGCAACCTCAGCACTTATCAGGCGAATGTGGATGGAAAGACCAAAAATGGTACATTCGGCATCGTCGCTATACATAAATAATACATCGTAAATCATGATACAAAAATCCAAGGGACAGAAGATCCACCTTGTGCCCTAAAATGCGCCAAGTCAAAAGCTCCAAAAGCTCCAAACCCCCAAAGTCGCAAAGTCCCCAGGTACCCAATTATTCCAAATTCGTAGCTCCGTGAAAAGTTGCCCAGCCCAAAGGCAGAATCCTAGACTAAAATCCAAAATTAACCATCTGCAGCCTCTCCTGGGCCATCAAATCGGCCCACTCCACATCGAGAGTGTGACCGACGCGCATGAGCCGCTCCAATTGGCGCTCGTAGACGGTTTGGAGGATGGCACGAGTGGTGGCTGCGTTACGGCCCATGCCATCCTCTTCGTCTTCCATCCCAGTCATCAGCTCCATCGCCATCATCTTGAGACCGCTGGCTGAAACGGTAGCCCCAGCCAGAAACAGCGGGAACACCAAAAAGTGGCGGTCGGCGCGACGAGTACTGTTCGTTCGCTCGGCGATGCGCAGGATCTCTGATGCGTGGTGGTCAATTTCGCCGGATGTCGAGTATTCCGATTCGAGACGCTGACCGGGCCACATGCTAGTATAGGAGAACAGGTTGCATGTGTGGAAGAGCGTAGCTGACTACCGAGTCCGTTAGCATTCGCGTCGTAACCACGCCACAAAATCCCAATCTTACCTGTTGCATGATCTCTTGGGATCGCCGGGGGAGGTTATCTTGATGCTGTTGCCAGAAAGCAACATCGGGAGACTCCCACAAGCGGCTGAATGCTTGTCGCAGATCGCCAATTTCCTTGGAGCGCTGGTTAAAGTCCGCGTATGACATGGACCGCCTTTCCTGGCGAAGCTGAGCACCAAGGAACCCGAGCTGAGCGGCCAGTTTGAAAGTCTCAGCATACAGGTGCATCATGACAGGCAAGCTATCAGCCTCTTTAGGGTAGATAACGCTGAAGCCCTCTGCATTGGAAGGGTAGCAAAGGCACTCGTAGCCAGGGAGCATCTGGTTGTCCATGATAGAGCGTACAAACTCGCCGTTCCCAGCTCCGCTGAAGAGAGCATACAGATCAATGTGGCAAACCCACCAGATGATGAATGGGTGGGGCTCTCTGCCAAAATGGGCCTTCCGGAGGAATGAAATGTGAAGGAGACGGGAGATATGGTGCGACCAGAGATTGGAGCCGTGCGGCTCAGCAGCAGCAACCTATGCAAGTTAGTATATGTCTCGTATCTGAGAAGCCTTAGGAAGGGAAAGAGAAAGACATACCTCATAGATCAGAAGCAGGAAATGAGTCAGGAAAAGGCCGTCCGAGACGAGATCATCGTCATTGCGGATACTATTTTGGAGGGAGGGGAATGCCTGCTGGTAGTACTGCAGCGCATCGACATTGTGGCCTGTGCCGCTGTGAGCGAGACTCAGGGCCGAAACAACCATGATAGCATGTGAAAGCTAGTATTGTTAGTGCAGTACTGCAGAACAGAAGTCGGGCAAGACATACAGGAGGAAAGCGGGCAGCCTCCCGCTCGATGAAATCCACATTCAAGCTCATGCCACTGCTCTCATAACCATAAGAAGCATCTTGTTGCCGATCGTGCGGAAACAATTGTTTCCAAACCACATGGCGGAAATGGCTGAAAAGAGTGAAATCCTGGCTTGGTTGCACAGGGAACTCGAGGAATTGAGCCAGATCTTCCTCTGCAATGGCTGGAGATGGGAGCGGGTCGAGAGAGGGGGATAGAGAGAGGGCACAGAAGGGGTCAGATATCTCAGATGTAGGGGAAACCCTTGATTTACTGGAAGGAGACCGGCGGCTGACATCCTCGAAGGTCTTTAGGATGACCACATTAGGATCATGCTCAACGTCGCTTCCAGCCCGGCTCGTGGTGGGGCTGTTGGCCGTTGGATTATATTCGGGAATCTCATGAAGCGAGAGCTTGTCGGTATCATCGGAATATTCTGGCAGCGTCGCGAAGCTATCGGGAACCACGACCACATGGAAGGTACCCGGAGCAGAAGCCTCGGCCTTCTTCTCCCGGTCCTCATCCGAGGTAAGGAGCGAGAAGGGCGGGAGAGAATCCCTTGAAGAGAAATAATCCGATCGGCTGTCTTCACTGGGTGTTGGTGAAGATACTATGATCTCAGATTAGAAAAGACCCACTGATACACGGGGGAGGGGTGGAGGCGTACAATCCCACACAATGTTTCCCGCAGTCTTCACGTCTGACATGCGGCCCATGATGCGGGGAGTGTCATCGCGAAAGGCTAGACGAGGCCGGTAGTCGCAGACATGGCCGAGGCGAGTACATTGCTAAGACTTGTCAGTCAACGACCCGGGAAGGGTGCCGAGGAATGCGTACATTGCATTGGGGGGTGACCTTCATCACATTTGACTGAAGAATGTTAGTCCAACAATCCCGCCACAATTCCCGGGCGGAAAGAGACCGTACCTTTGCGACTCTGTGAAGCACACCATTCTCATTAAACTCTTGTCCTAATTAATGGGAGGGGCAGCGACAATGACTCACGCGGCATGTCCTGTGGAACAGTTAGCTTTGGCCAGGAATTGGACGGTAGCCCAGTAACGAGAGGAATCATACCAGCAACCAGTCCGGGAGCGTGGTGGGAGGCGAATGCGCGGAGGAGCAACCAAGCTCTTCTCTGACTTTCCTGCAACCTCCTCTTTGGGTGCGATGATGGGGAGACGCAGTGGACGCTTCCCGGAGGCATGGCCTCGGCGGTTCTGCATAACCAGGCTAGTAACCGTCATAAGGCTGACTGGGAGCCCTAGGGAGGTCGGTGAGATGTACATGCAGACAAGATCACAATACACATACCTTGCGGTCGGAGGCGGGGGAAGCTTGTGCAAGGCAGAGATGTGTCGGGCACGGGTGTCGATGAGGGGGAAGGCGAACGTTGAGGGGGAGGTAGAAACGAAGGGCAATGGGAAGGAGAAAATGTTGGAGACCGCAGGGGATTATGTACATGAAGAGGAACGGGGGAGATGGAGATGCATGGTTCGGCGCAGAGGCGCAGCCCTGTCCCTATCTCGACGGGTGTGGCGGGAATGAAGGAATGGGATCTCGGGGAATCGGGTGACCTTGAGGGTGTAGGAATTAAGCAGAAAGAGGAAACTGCGAAACTGGAAAATCACGAAAATCACGAAAATCACGAAAATCATGGGAATCCAAACCCAGATCGAACTAGATCCGGTTCGTCCGGGGATCAACGAGAAACGGGCCTAGCTTCATAGAATGCATGACAATTCAGAGATTTCTATCAGCTTCCAATGGATCCAGGTCACGCCATGGTATGGAATAATCGTACAGTCTACGCAGAGCCCCGCGGCCTGAATACGATCGAACCAGACCAAAAGAGAAAATCAAACTATCAGCCACATGAGATCCAACCATTTCACCCAGTGGACTCAAAGTGATAGGGCGAGAGGGTCGACGATAGGGCAAGAAAGGAAGGAGATAAAAGCACGGGGGGGGGGGAGGAAAAAACCACACCCCCAAACCCGCTTGTTCCAATACGGATGGCATGCAGGTGCCAACCATGTGGGAAGACAAGACAGTCTAGCGGGGGTCTATATTTACTTTCTGGTTCTTCTCTTGCCTAAAACAGTTTGGCGCCTGAGCATCAATGGGTCGGGAAGTTTCAGTAAATCGATCGATTTGGATCTATCTGCATGGGCCACGAACCAGGTGCTCCGGGAGTTGCAGGTTACGGGACTCGTAGGGCAGACACAGGGGCCACATGTAGGAGCCAGGGGGGGGGTGGCTGGGCTGAATGGCTTATTAGCTTCTTAGTCAAGCCCACATAAGAACTCCAGTGACATCCAAATTCTCGGACCCGAGATCTGGGGAAAGGGGAGAGGAATGAGGCTAAGCCTGGAATCGAACAGACTCGACATACTTCATGTGCTGGGACGGCGGGGGTCTAGACTCTATTTTGTCAGACGTATTCTATACTTCGGTATTTTCCGGTATTTTTAGGGCGCCGCTGCCTTGTTTTGCTGCGTTTTGCGCTGTATGTAATATGTCCAATACGCGGTTCTCGTATTCGATACGGGGCTTGCCTGGTGTTCTGCCCCGGCTGTTATGCGGCTCGTGACGCCTGGAGGTCACGTATCTTGGGGTCACAGCTCGTCACACCCCGTAATCTATCGTTATCCCCTCGTACAGCTGGGTACGGGGTTTTAAAGCCGGTATTGGGCCTGCAGCTCCGAAACTAGGGCGGAAAACCTTTTCGTATAATGTGCTTTAGGCTTTAGGCTCGTGGCGACTGGCATGCCACAAAAAAAGGGTTTCCCAACTGACGCTTCCTACGGACATGCCCGAGCATTAAGCGAGTGGCGTTTCACTAGTTTGGCGGTTGCAGCTTGTTGCAGAACAGCAAGCCTCGGAATTTCGTGTTCTATTCGTGAAACCAGCTCGATTGGGACCCACGTCCGGCGAGGCTTCCCAGACTCCGGAATCTGGATCGACAAAATAGCCTTAGATTTGTTGGCCTTGAACCCCCCCCTTCCCAAGGAGCCTACGCGCTAAGAAACCAGCCTTCCTATCATCCACGTCTGACTCTGTCCAAAGAGGAAACTGTCGACTCCACCGTCGATCCACCACGTGGTTTTGAGGGCATATCGTCCCGGGCAAAGAAAATAAGAAAATAAAAAAAAATAAAATAAAACAATGACATCTTAGAATCATCATTCGTGGGGGGACTAACTACTGTCGAAGATGGGCCGAAGCATTAACCTAACTGGGACACCTGGCTCAGGGCTTCGTCCAAGGTGCGTTGAATCGCATGCGACCGCTCACTCGCCCGCCATCCCCGAACAGTTTCACCCAGGCTTGCGGGCACGCCGCGCACCGCCGGCCGAAGTTTGAGGAAAGCCAGAACAGCCTCTGCGCGACCCTTGCGGACAACCTCAACCATGTCGCGGTCGTGAAGTAAGAGTCCGGCCAGATCTCTCATCGGCCCCGTCAGTGCTGCTTCCCCGGTTCCAACCCATTGGTCCACCCGAGTAAAGAACGCTTGGAGCTCATCGTAGACCGTGCAGACGACCTGTCGGCCTCCATGTGTCAAGGCCTTGTCCAAAGGACCGATCACTTGTTGCAGGTATTTTCCCAGCGCTGTGGTTAAGGATTAGCTGAGCCGACGCTAGGGGGGGGTGGGCAGGTCCCGGCAGGACAAGTAAGCTCACCTTCGCCCGAACCGGCCGTGGCGGGGTTTAGGCATTGCAGGAGACACTGCACGCCAGCCGCAAGGGTGTCGCTGGGGTCTAGCCCATTCCCGGAGTCTATCTCCATCTGGTCGTCGAATTCCTCCACCACCCCAGGCACAATTTCCAGCGCCTGGGGCATGAAATCGACCTGCCGCGCCAGCGCAATCTCACCCAGTGCGCGGAGCCCATGTGGCCGGTATGCGGCGTTTGCTCGCTTTGCTTCGCGGATGGTAATTTTCTAATTCCCGTTAGCATCCACTTCTTGGGCACATTGTTGCCCCGAGATACGGGTAAAGTGGTAAAAGCGGAAAAACAGAAAAAAAAAAGGAACTATCCCCACCTTCATCAGCTCGCTCTGCTCAGGCTGATCAGCCCACAATGCTTTTCCCTGACGGGAAAACTTGACCAGCGCGGTCAGCACCACCTCCTTCCCTTCCCAGGTCTTCCCCGCTAGCGCCTTTTCCAAGACAGGCCACACCAATTGCGCCGTCGGGAGATCGACTTCCTGGTCTAGTGCAAGGATCGCTTGGGAGATGGCGCGCGCGGCCGTATGTTTGATGGCCCACCGAGCCGAGTCCAAGTTGTCGGATACAAGGCTGACGATCTCCCGAATGTAGAGAGCCACCGCACGGCTGCCACCCACATTATCCTGCCAGGTCTTCTCGAATTCCTCCTTCACATGGTCATCCGCATCATGCTTACACACAAACACGAACGGGAGGGCAGCGGTGGCGAATGCCATGAATCGGTCATTAGAGAGTTTGGATGAGGCATACAGGATCTCGGCAGCAATCGCCCGCGGAGTCGCATCTTCCGCATCCAGGTAGAGTTTCTTCGCATACTCGATGGTTTGCAAGACCCGCTCGTCCGACGCCAATCTCATCAGATACCCAAGGGACGTACAGTAGGAAGCACTGACCGTCTCGTTGCGATCTACCACGTACTTGCACAGCAACTGGATGAACCGGTCTGCGTACGGCCGGAAGAGGAGTGTTTTCATGCTGAGTAAGACTAATACCCGACTGCTTCCTACCTTGGAAGGCAGGCCCACGGCAGAACGAAGCACGTCTTCCAGTCGAGGGGCCAACTCTTGTAGACTGCTTTCGTCGAGGTGATCGATTAAGTAGCGTTCGATGACTTCCATCATAGGAGATGTCCGGATGCTAGAGAGCCGCATATTGTCGATCGCCTGCCCTGTGAGCCCATATTTTTCGGCGTTAAGATGTACATAGTTGACAGACTGAGGCTCAAGAGAGCTGAGTGAAGCCAGAAACTTCTCGAGGATGACTGGTACAAAGGGGCGTAGCAGCGTTCCTGAGCTCTTCTTGATGATCTGGACCAGTGCACCGATAGCGTATCCACGGACCTCCTCCACACTGGAGTCGAGTCCCTTGTCGCTAAGAAGGAACGGAATTGCACTCTTCAATAATGCACCCGCCCGTTGCTCGGTGCCGCTTGTTTCCAGCGTCCGGATGACCGAGTTGGTGATCGTTTGGCAGAGTTTCAGAGCAGCCGTCCGCACGGACTCCTTGATATCGTCCAGCAGCTTGAAAGCCTTGCTATAGATCTCGTCTAAGTATTGCGCAAATTTTTCAGGACGGCGGCCTTGAATGAGGTCTGCCACAGCAGCGCAACTTGCTTGTCGCATGCGCCATTCACGTCCAGCGAGCATACTCTTGAGTAGATCTTCCATAATCGCGTCAAAATGAGTATCGATGACTACCGTAGGATCCCTCACCAGCGACTGCCAAATAGTATTCATAGACCGCTGGACATTAGGATTAGGATCGAATCGGTACCGAAAGAGCTTCGGGTAGATTTTAGGGTTCTGTGATAGATAGCCATCCACACTAGAATCTGAAAAAATGCTACTGATTCCAAAGCGACCAAAAGCAGCCCTGTTAGTCCAGAGGGCATTGTTCGAGGCCATCGACATGAAGCGGTAGACCAAGGTTGGATCACCCGCCTCGGCGGCCAAATTCATGATATCTTTGTATGTATTCACAGATTGGCCGTCTCCAGTCGGAAGGGCGCCTGGCTCGAAAAGCTGGGTATCGGGATTGACATTACCGCCTCCAAGGCTGGGGCCGGTACCTGTAAAGGAGTCGACAAGGTCACGAACTAGATCGTCCTTGAGAGCCTGATCGCCGATCTCGTAGACCAAGCTAAGGCCGTGGGCGCCTGTCTCCTGGACAACCTCATCGCGATTTCCTAGAAGGCCAGTGAAAGTGGCTTGGCACTTGCGCAAGCGTTCCTGCATTTCCTGCAGGTGCCCACAGTTCTTCACCAGAGAGAGGAGCCAGATGGCAGATGACTTGCGGAGAGATGGTTTGGGCGCCACACAGTCACCAATAATCTTGTCGCAGATGTCAGCAAACACCGAGCGCGGTACATCAGATTGAGGAAACTCGGCATCGACATCAAAGTCTTGGATCAAAGCCGAGGAGTCCCATCCGACCGCAACGTTGCTCAGAGCCTCGCCTATGGTGAATTGAACCTCCGGACTCTTAATTTCGTGCAAGGCGTACAGAGAATCCAAAAACTCGCCGAACAAACCACCTGCAGTAGCTCGTGAGAATGTGAGAGTAACCAGGCCCAGCGACATGATTGGTATATCATTTTCGGATTTGGCTTCGCTCGAGAGCTTCTGCTTGATCTTTTTCCAGCCATCTTCTGGTAGAGTCTGTAGAGACAATACGCCTGACAAACTCGCTTGCCCAAGTGCTAGCTGGGCAGTTCGTTGAAGAAGTGTATCGCGAGAAGCATCGATGATATCCAACGTGGTTTCTATAAACTTCTGGACTTGGGCGTCGGGAATCTTCTTAGCAAGGAGACCTCGGTATGACAGTCGGCTCAACACATAGGCAAGACCTAGAATTGCACTCCTTACTCGGAGAGCCGCTTCGCCAATCGCAGTGTTCCAGGACTCAATGGTTCCTGCTAACTGGGATACAAGCTCCCGGAGCTCGTTCTCTGGGAAAGCAGGGTGAGAGGAGAGAATACCCAACGAGCGAGCTGCTAGGCCTTGCAGATCTTGGTTGTTACTGGATAAAGGACCTGTTAGAGACCTGGTCCGTGGAAGAAGCTTCTCGAGCACGTCGTTTGGTGCCAAAGAGCCAATTTCCACGAAGTGTGTGCCACATTGCGGACGATCAGCGAGGTCCTGACTAACAAGGCCGTCAAGTATGCTTGATAGGAATAGAAGCACAGATTCTTTGGCAGTACTTCGGATGTACTGCCTCACCGCTGTTCGTGCCTCGGGACTGGTGGAGAGCTGCAATTCAAGCTTATAGTCCCAATCTTCTTCCAGCTCTGTGTGAATTCCAGACGCCGAAAATGCCTCCGAAAGCAGAGTATTGCGAAGGAATGTAATAGCGGGGACGAAGGCAGTCTTATGAGACAGCAATTGGGTATCTTCTTGGAGTAAAATGCGAGTTGCGTCTGCAAAGGCAGGGAAGTGGAACCATGTCTCGTCGCGTTTCTGATCGCCCCATTTCTGATCTTTGGTAGGATTGAGGAGTCGGAACCAGTATGGATGGAGTCCCTTTTTGCCTTCTTCCACGATCTCCTGTTGCCGTTCCGGGCCCCGTGCAATCGCCATGAGATCGATCCAGCGAGCTACCACATCGTTGTATGGTAGGAACCGATTAGCAAATCGTACAGCAGCATATTGGACCCCTCGCACGACAGTATAGCCACTATCTTGATGTGTGTCGCCCGGGTTCAAGTTCATCTGTTGGACCAGGAATGGCCGTACTTGGTCTTGGAAGTTTTTGCCGTGGCTGTCTAATGAAGAGTTGAGGATGCTTCCCAGTGCCTGGTCGATGCTCACAAAGATCTCTGGACTTGAGTCGTCAGCGCTCAGAGATGTAAAAAGCCATTTGACGAGGTCAAACTCGAAGTTCTCTGAAGAATCATCTCCTCGCATCTGGAAATCGACCTTGGGAACCAGGATACCAATGCTTTCGTAAGCTAGGCCTCGCAAGCTAAGATCGGTAGCGGGTAGTCTCAGCCCGCTGGCACCTGGACTGGGCCACGATTGAGATTGAATGAAATCACGTAGCCCTGCGATGAGTTTTGGGGCAATTCGCTTCAGATCCGAAGGCGCGCCCATGCGGACAACCCATGTTGTGAATGTGAATATTTGAGTTCGTAATTTGGACGCTTGTAGCCCTTGGGCAGAACGTGCTGTATCAGATAGAAGTCCGTCTTCGATAAGTTTGTAGATGCGCTGAGTGTTTTCTGTTGCCTTGATAGACTTTCCCAAGAAAACGAGGATCCTCGCTTGCAGTGGAGTGCGTGCAGGTGGAGCGCCATTTGCACCAAAGTACAGATCATACAGCTGCTGGACTATTACGGGGTCCTCAAGATTCGTTGCAAATCGCTTCAACGTCTCATCACCGAGGTCAGCCAGCCGTGAGTTCGCATCAGCAGAAGCAATTAATGAAGGTAAAAAGCGCTGAATGTCCGTAAATGCACCACTTCCAAGAAATCGAAGCGCCACCACTTTCGTCTCGATCAAATTCAGTCCTGACTCAGTTGCAGGATTCCATGTCTCATTGGCTGCTGCGCCCTTATTTAAGAATGTGTACTCGTCCGGGGATAACCCTGGGCACGTGGGAGCCTCTGCGGCTGCTGGAGAGAGAAGGAGCAGTTTCGACAACCAAAATGACAAGAACTGAGAGTCTTCATCGGACAAGCCCAATCGCTGTTTCAATTTTTGGTCTTCTTCGCTACCTTTGGGAGGCAGTTTGAAAAGAGGCAGTAATCGAAGGACCAGATTGAAGACAATAGCGCCTTGAGTAGGTGACGTTCCGATCTCGGAAATTCCCTGTAGAAGAGGCAATAGGATCTCAACTCTAGCATCAGCCCCTAAGCGGTCGATCCCTTGCTGAGCATATACAAGGTCGAAGTGTCGAACCAGCTGCGACTTCTGCTCTTTGAATTGCTTCAACAAAGCGGCGACCGGAAGCTGGATGGTGGGGGTCTTGACCCGCGTGTTGACATGCTGGCAGACTGAAATGACCTTGTTTCGTACGGCCACACTCTCAGATGACAACTTCAGTAATAAAGGAGGGAGATAAGTCCCAAGGAGTGACTGCAATTTATCATCGGAATCAGCCATGGCAATACGGAATTCCACTTTGCCGATGAGGCTCAGTTCACGAGCTTCAGGGCTCGGAGACTCCGCCATGGTGGGAATTGAAGATCAAGAATGGCCAGAACAACAGGTTTAAAAAGAAAAACTATCTTCAGAGGTATCCTTAGGCAATCAGACACGCGTCAGTGTCGCTGACGCTACTCTCTCCTGCCTGTTCCTTTTCCTTAGCTTGACACTCTGGGCGGTGGCCGATTAATCAGCGGATCCCCCCGTTCCAGAGGTCCGCGTTACCCTGAGGCATAAGGCATCCATCCGGGCCTCCAATTTCCAAGGCTATCTCTACAATACGAACAATTTCATAAATATGTGTCGTCTTCATATTATACTAGGTCTGCTCTGGGATTAATCGGTGGGACCCACGCCATCTCTTCTGGTCTCCGCGGCTTCTCCCCGAAGGAATCGACCCACCTCTCGTTCGGCATCGACCAAATCAGCTTCATTCTTCCGCGCAGCATTTCCAAAGAGGCATTGCCATAGATCGTCCTTCTTAACCATCTCTCCCCCCGAAACACCGGAGGTCATTAATCTCGTAAGAGGAGCATCCTGCATTTCCATAGAATTGGCAGAATCGATGGCAGTCTCGGTGAGATCTTCAATTAATGGTTCGGCTGCTGCATTGTTCTTCTGCTTCTCCTTCTCCATGATGTGGGCGAGACGCCGAGCCACCGATAATTCGTAGATAGACTCCTCCACAGTGCCAGAGACCAAGTACATCCATACTGTGGTTGGGCGGTGCTGGCCAATTCGATGCACACGCGCAATTGCCTGAAGTTCAATTGCGGTGTTGATTAGGGGCTCGCACAAGAAGATGTGGGTGGCATTAATCAAAGTTAAGCCTGATGATTGGGCTTTACCATGTAGCAAAAAGCACTCAACCTAAGAATAGTTAGATAAAAAGTGGAAAAGGACGAGAAAGGAACTAAAGTATGCTTACCGAAGGATCCTTCTTGAACTTCTCAATACCTCCCATGGTATCGACACTGCTGCTCGTTATTTTGAATCGATGAAAGGCCCTTTGCAGGACCGCCAAGAAATTTTTGTACTGAGAGAATACAATCGACTTTGCCCCCGGGTCGGACTCTCGGAGCCAAATGATATGGCGGGCTAAAGTGTCGATCTTGGTTCCGAAGGAGCCATCCAGATCGATGGTCTTGATCTCGTTGAGGAGGCCCGTACTAATATCACTGTAGATGGCATTCCTTGAGTGCTTTTCATAATCAGAATCAGACTTGACCATAGGCTCTTCCTCTTGGGCAATCATTTTTTGTGGTTTGTATGTTATTTGATGAAAGTCGTTATGTTTTAGTGGCTTTTTGCACATGGGACAAGTCCGGTGCTGGCGCCACCATAGCCGCAAACAGTCAGTGCAATATTTGTGACCACAGACAGTGAGAACACCTGAAGGGTCAGCACGGATAATCATATAGCTTGGCTGAGATATCAGCTGCACTTACCGACTTCGAAGCTGGACTGGCAGATAATACAGATGCGCGAATTTTCGTCTGAGTTGGCGTCGTCACGAAGATGAAGTAGATATCGTTTCTTGGATTTTAGCGAAGAAATTTTGTGCTCCATGCCCTCTTCTTGCTTCAACTTTGTGGCAAACAGCTCTTCATCCATAGGTTTCCCGGCGTTCTCCTCATCGTACGGAGCGACTGTATCTGAAATTTGCTGCAGATGACGATAGTACTCGAGTCGATTATTCATCGTGTCTCGAAATATTTCAACCTCTTTTTCCAACTGCGACGACACTTTCAGTTGATCAGCTATCATCTGGCCGGCATTCTTCAAGACCTGTGACACTACTTCGAGTTCTGCACGAGCCCAAGACTTTCCTTCGCTCGCATCCCATTCAAGTGCAGTCGCTTTACTGCGCAGCTCACTTACAATTCCACGAAGAGACACGCCAGATGGTGGTAGTAAACTATCGCGGGTGTTCACGACGGAAATGTAGAGCTGTGGAGAAGGGCCCTCGCCTTTTTGTGCTTGGACAAGTCCAGCTTTGATCTCATGAGAAATCAGGACGTTGGTCTGACCAGTAAGAGCATCATGTCGGTCGGCATACATCGTCCGCAGAGCCTCCATGTAGACATACATCTCATCCTGGTGTTTTGTTGATCGCTCATACTCATCTCCCTCAAGCTGGGCATCTTCCTCTTGGTCAATGAGTGACTGCGAAACAAGCTTGGTCATAATATCACGCCATTCGATGTACTTCTCGGCATGTTTGTTCAAAGCCTCACAGAGGTCTTCAAACCTGTTAAGCAGACCTCGGGATTCGATTCCCCTGCTGTAGATGTGTGGCTTCATTTTGGGGATCTGTACAAATTTCTTGTCACGCACCATATCCTTGATTCGCTGCATATACTGCTCAACCTTTCGAGATATATCGCTTAACAGTTCCTTTCGAATTATTTTGGCAGCTTCGTAGCCCTCTTCTTCTTTTTTCTCGAGAGCTTTGAACTCTTCAGAGTCAGGCTGTGTCAATTGGGGATCCGACTTGATCTGGTAATATCCGTTGGCAGTGAAGAAAACTGCAATATGCTGGATCTCCAGAGCAGAGCGAAGTCGTATTCGCCATTGTCCGACGCGATTATTTTTATCTGATTCCTCGTCATCACTTTCTGCTGTTTCGGGGGTGGTATTTCGTGTGCCTTTAAGCATGTTCTTATGCATCAGAAGCTGGGCTCTGCTATCCTCCACCAGTTGGGTGGAGTGTTTCAAAGCTGCCTCCCATATGGCAAGAGATTCCTTCCTCCGTTTGGCGTTTTCCAAGATCTGTCCACGACGGAGTTGAGATAACAGCAACGACCTCTCTTCATTTCGGATTGCTGCATCTGTGTTGTCCATCATGACCTCGAGAACCTCGTCAACAGTGCGCAGGGGACCATTATTAGCACCCAGAACTCGCCGGTTCAACCCACTGACCTCGGGATGAAGGCAGGTTTGGCGAAGCCTCGTCAACCAGGTACGCATTCGCTCAACAATGGCAGGGTCCTCCGGATCCCAGTCCTCGTGAAGGGGTGCTCCTTCCGCATTCAATCCACACTGGTCACACATTTCTTCAAAGAGTTGACCGTAGTGTTGCTCCTCAATAGCAGTGAACGGAGTAGTAATGACAACCCTCTTTTGAAGTGGCAGCTTGAGCTCATCACGCACTTGATCCTTGCTATGCCGCAACGTGATAGCCTTGATGATGTGCGCTAGGACTGACCCAAATCTGGAATACAATCGTTTCCATGTCGCATTAGAATGACAAAATGGTTGGTAATGGAGGAAGAGCAAGAGGCCAAAAATATCGTCAATATCGCGACGTAACGGTGTGCCAGTCACAGCCCAGGCATTCTGTCGCGGAATCAACCGAGCCACCTTGGCTGCGTTGCTGACGCCACTTTCAACCATTTGTGCTTCATCAAGACAGACACGCCACCACGAAATACGAACCAATGGTGTTTTTCGAGGTGCGAAACGTTTCTCATGACGTAAAGCCCTCCCGGGGTTTACTCCGGAATAATGGATCTCGCGAGCAATTACATTGTATGTCGTGAGAACAACATCGTATTCTGCGAGCTCCTCGATGGTCAGATGGTCGGAATCTTCCTGTCCACGCTTGATGCCCTCATAATGATGCACCTGGAGATGAGGGGCATGCTGTTGGATTTCTTGCCTCCACTGTTCCAGGATCGCAGGAGGTGTGATAATCAAAGTGGCCTTCGACGCTCGCAATCCATCAGGATCAGGCTTTACCTCGACGGGCCGCCGGTTCAAATTCATCAAGGTGATGATCTCAACAGTTTTCCCGAGACCCATCTCCTCGGCGAGAATCCCACCTTTCAAGTAATGAGCTGCATCATCCCACGGCGCAAGATCAGTGGTAATCGTCAAGTAAAGATGGCTGAAATAGCAAACTTGTCCATTGGCGTCTCTCATCTGCTTGAAAGAGGCTGGAAGCACACCCTCTTGAACCCTACTGACGGGCACAACCTTCCCGTCTGGCCGTAGCTCCATTCCTTCTCTCCACAAGAGCCAACGGACAGCTCTTCGCTGGAAAGGGAAAAGTTTACAGGCCAACTCGGGGCATACAATTTCGGCAGACGCGCTTTCTGTGTTCGGTGGTACGTGGACACTCTTGTAAAATTCCCGGGGAGACCAATGCGTTGGGTCTCCCAATAGCTTTTCGCGGATCGTAGATTGAGAGTCCGCCTTCGCCTGCCCGCCTAGGGCATATTTACCAAATACCTCCAGCACTGAGTCATGTACATGATTAAAGTCAGGGATGTTAGATGAATTCTTCCATAAAATGGCTACCTCAAGGCAAAATGAGCCCCCTGTTGATGATAGTACTGCTTGGTAGCAGGCTGTTGGCTCCCGGTTCGAGTACCTATGAGCAGAGGGTAGGCCGTTCGTATATTTCAGGTGCTCAAAGATTTCTGCCCTCGAGTTATCGAACGTTTGATGGAAGAACGGCTTGCTTTCGGCATCAACAGTCTTCAGGTTGATTTTATGGATAGAACAACCTCTGTCCACATCTTCGATGGTGGTGAACTCAATCAATACTGGAAAGGAATATTTATGATCTGATAGAGCTGCAGTGGTGCTTTGGAAGTTCTAGATGGAAGGCGCGGTGATTAGCAGCTTCTTGGTGACTTAAAAGCGGTGTTTGAAACTCACCATGCGCAATGATAATCTAGCTAACGGAATGTATCCGACGGGTATTCCAGCTGAGGTGAGGCCTACGGTGTCTGACAGGCTGAACGGGCCATTCCTGCCAACCTTGCGCCGCTTTGTGGGGGGCTCATCTCCGTTTGACGCATTCTGGTGCTCAAGTGTGGAGAGTAATGACTGAGGAGCTGGGGCTATATCAGGAAGATATCAGCTTCTCAATCTTTTGCAAAATGTTCCAGAAACTGCAAAAACTCACCAGAGAACGATAAATCGTCTGCGACCACGCCCATTTTGCGCGATTTCTTGAATCGCGTTATAGGATTTCACAGCGCGAAAGGATTAAGAGAATGCGTGCCAGAATGCGTGCCAGAATGCGATTACTAGTATCTTATCAGCAGAGTCATGTGATGATAGTGGCGTCTTTGTTCCGAGGTTCCGATATGAAGGACATTGTATACAAGAAGTAATTCAAGGGTCTAATGTTCCTAATCCTTCGAACAGCCTAACTATAGGGGCCCTCTACCTAGCATACTCCTTACACTATCTCTACCCAGCCCATCCAAGCCATTCGAGATCTGAGACTGATCTTGTACCTTGCCCGCGCCTTCAGTATCATCGACGACAACGCCATTGACCGCCTTAACGGCTCTTGAGTATCCAATCCCGTTCATGGTGCTCTGGAAATGATCCGACGTGCTCCCTGATGATGTAGAATTCTCTCCGACCACGGATTTGTAGTGTGCCTTTCCGGACTGAGTTGTCATGAGCTTAGAGGGACCTGCGGCTAAAGAGAAAGTCGATATGCTCGATCCTCCTGTACTATGGATCTCAAGGCCACGCTGCATCCACGCGTCAATGGACGTTACATTGACTCCAATACCGTAAGTTGCGTTGACCACCAAGGGATACTCAAAGGTGGTCTCATTTGACGAGGGATTCTCTCCCAGCTTGATGATGACGTTTGTGCCAGACGTGAGCTGTCTATTGACCTGACTGTATCCATCTTGGTTCAAGAACCCGTAATTAGAGAACTTCAGGCTTTGAGACCACGAATATTGTGATGATTTGGAGCTGAAAGTCCTCTCTGCGATGACCGAATAAGCCAGTGTCTCGTTGCCTCCCGTCTTGTTCTGGACAAGGTTTCGGGTGATTTTGAATTCAGGGGCCGGTGCCTCCACACGGGGAGCTATGCTTTCAGAAGCAACAGTAGGTGATGTGGAGGTTTCAGTGAACAAGAAAATATTTCCGGTTACCACCCAGTTCGAATTGACAGTTTCAGAGAGCGTGGCCCTTCCATCTTCGGAAAGATTCAGACCAGTGACACGAATCTCGAAGGAATGATCCTTACCATCCTGAAGGATTGGTAAGAACGGTGAAATATCAATCTCTGGCTGTCGCAGATCGAAGGCATCAATACCGACAATGGGCCGCCAGAACCCGGGGGCTACACCTCCCGTAAAGATCACAGGGAAAGGCCAGACAACACCCGCAAGGGTTCCATCAATATACAATTGAACTTCGCGGAAGGGTGAGTATCCATAAAGCTCACCCACAGTCCCCGTGAAATCCTCGGTGTCCTCAGTGAAGACATTTGACCACCAAAATTCCTCCTGGGCTTGACCACAGGCTGAGATTGAAACAACTGCACGGGAAACCTCCGCAGGGATTGTGTGTAGGGACGTCGCGTTATCATTGGGTAGGGTGAAAGCACTGGCAGCGTTCGAGTTCGCTCTTTGAGCAGAGATTGGCAAAATGATATCTGCAAGTGTCGCAGTATTTTCAGAGGAGAAATGGGCTGTCAGAGTCACATTGAAAGGACCGGTATAAACATCTGAGATGATATTGCCCAGGTCAAAGATGAGCTTTTGAGGCTTCTTCCACAAAGCAATATACTGTGACATCTCCTTGATATAGGTCCAGATGATACCAGATGCCGTTGGCTCGGCAGTGGAAGTTCTAAAGACCTCCGAGTCTCCCAAATACATGAGTGCTAAGCGATCAAACTGACGACCACGGGAGGTGACCGTGAGGTTGATCCGGACGGTATCAAAATCACAACCTGGGGGCTGGTAGTTCCCTGGTGATATTTAGCAGAGTTTTCTGTCGAATTGTATGACACTCAGCTCCTACCTACGAACGGGGCCCCGTAACTGGAGCCGAACGAATGCTCCATGAGCAGCATATCGAGGTCGCAGCTACCGCCCGTGGCCATAGAGACGGGTTGATAAACTTGAAACACATCTTGAAGATGTGTTGTTCCGAATGGCTCTATAACCGACTGTCTAGCGGGCCGAAGAGGACTTGGAGATGATGAGACCAGTGGGAGGTATCCACCGAGGAAAGCCCATGAGACCAGTGAAAGGATAGCCATGGCCTTTGGATCTAAAGTTCAAATGAGGTGACTGTCTCCAAGAGGGCTAACTACAGAAGAGCCCAGTAGTTCAATGAAAGAAGGGCACCATGGAAGCTCCAGCTCGACGTTTGCCTACAAGCGGGGGAAACAACCAGGTATAACGAGCGGCAGCAAAGGCAAGGCCCACGCGGCGGGGTTTAAGACCTGTGAAGTTAGTCAGGACGATAACACACTAAATCAGAGGCAGGCACATCTTTCATTGCCTCGATCGCAACTGCCTCAATGTGAGCGGGGCCTTGAGATTAGTCTGAAAAATGCAACATTGGTCCATTTACCCCTGAAGATAAGCCGGCCCCTGAACGGGGATCCATGAATGCCCACCGGAGTTCCGGCGATGTGGTGGGCCATCGCCACAGTGCGCTCCTAAAGAAGCCGGCTTGACAAGCTCCATGCACTTTGTTACCCCCAAAGTGTCCCAAGTGATCACACAGTGTTTTGACGTTGAACGGGAGCAAAAGAGCTACCTGTTGTTGTCCAAATCCTGATAAGAGGCAGGCTAGTCCACGCAATACAGTAGTTCAGCATAGTAGATCTATTGAGCTCTAAATAAAAACCTCGGGAGAAGAAGGGGACTCGAAAAAGAAGCAAATGCATATGTGGTGTACAAAGGAAAAAAGAAGTTCATTGAGATTCTCTTGTCTCATGTGGAAAAGCACCTCGCATAAATAACAAACACTCCGTAGCCATGCATATTAGTTCCAAGGGTACAAAAAGATGATTTACATAAACAGGCGCCAGGCACCAAGAATCAGAGCAGCGGTACCAGTGCAGACACCCCTATAGTATGGTTAGCAATTGATCCTGTAATGGGCTTGGGGTACTAGGGAATCCATACATCAGCCATTGGACGGTCGAGAATTTGACCGATTCAACTCGCTCTCGAAGCCCAGCAACCTCCTGCTCGATGCGAGTCTCCGTTTCTTTGATTCGCATCTCTTGGCCATTTGCCTCTTCACGGATCCGTCCTTTCTCCAGGTTCAGATCTAGACGGACCGAGGCTTGTGTTCGGCCAATCTCATCTCGCAAGCGCGAGTTGAGCTTTGCAAGATCAGCAGAGATTTTCTCGTGCGAGGAGCGAGTGGACTGTGCTTCGGTCGAGTCGGCGTTCAGAAGCTCGGAACGGAGTTTCGCGAAGTCAACTTTTTGAGTATAGGTGGATCTCTCTGACTCTACGAGGCATTAGCATAAGGCGCATATGAGATTAGGCAGATAAGATGGTGTTACCTTCACGTAGCACCATCGTCCGGGTCAAATTCTGGATAGACTCCTGGATGATGTCGTTTAACACACGCATCATGGCGACAGCCTGCTCCTCACTGAACCCTTCGGCTTGTAGGCGCTTCACAAATCGTAAAGTATCAAAGTGATGATCACGCTGGCAAGCCGGGGTCGCATGGAAGGCACGGTGGGCCGGCTTGAAAGCAGCGACATAGACTCCATTATGACGAACGGGATTGCCGGTAGGCTCGGGGCGTTGAGACGGCACCGCATAGACAGAGCGTCGCCGGGCACCGCTGATTCCAAGTTGAGGCTCCCGCAGAGCAGTCGAGAACGCCCGGACGAACTGGGTCGAGCTGTTCGTTGAGGGTAATTGACGGGGAAGTGGGCTCCAGCCTTGGTGTAGCTGTTTGGTGCTGAACGTGGGGTGATGGGAGGAGACAGTCGGGCGAGAGGAACTGTTCCATGTTAGACGGGGAAGGATGCTCCGAGGCACCTCGACAATATGTTTCTGAGGCGCCATAGCGCAAGCGTGTATCGATCTCAGTGAGAACCTGCGAATTTGAAAGTGACGCAAAGAAGAGGGAAAATCGGAGGGGATGACTAACGCCGGGAAAGATCAACGGGCACCCGGATTGGCCCCGCTTGCGTCGGGAAACTATACACAGCCATCGGCCAAATTTAGAATCATTTCCATATATTCATTGCTTTCGAAGTTTCTTCTCCTGTGAAATGTTGATAACTATGCAAACTGCGGCTAGAGGGGTCATTTCATTCCCACCAGGTACTAAAAGTGCACCTGTCGACTAAAGACATATTATCGGACAAGACACCAAGAGCATTGGTCATATATTTCTGGATATAGCAGATTTTGCCGCAGCCGAGAGCATGAATCAGTGATTCTACCAAGTTTTACCTTATAGAATAATTCGTCATTTACTAGTCACGTAGAAATACTGCATAATCTGGCGCAAGCGATGAGTTGCCATGCCGTGTGTGTTGGGTAATATCACAGCTACATTGGCAGTATTTGCAACGTATATCCCACCTCAAGTATCTCTTTTGCTGATCTATTCTGGTAAGCTTCTATGTTGATATCTTATATTCCAAGGAGTATTGTGTGTTGTATCGTTTTGCGATCTTGACCCATGCACGTCAATAGATCCACAGTAGCGTTGGTCTAGGCTGCACGCTATCGATAAGACATGTAGTCCGGGGCATATAGTGACGATTCATGAGCATTCCAAGGTTGCATATATCTACATTATCTATCTGGCTTGTACTGATCCGATTCAGCCAATTCCATCCCCTTATAGTCTCCTATTCTCAACGCCCCATTGTGGTCTGGAAGACCTTGGCCGCCAATTCACTCAAGAGGCGGGCCCGATCTGGCTGCGGAAGGTCCACGAAAACCTCATACACACTTTTCCCCTTTGCATCACGGACTGCTCCGAGACGATTACCCGCCACAGCACCAGCGAGTGCGCCGGGAACATTACCCACGATAAACCCCAGAGCGCCACCACTCACGCCACCCACAATCCCCCAGAATCGGGAGGTGGGGCGGCTTCGTCCATTATTTCCTTCTTCCGCCAGGCCTTCCTCACGCAACATCTCCTCAAATACAGAGCCAAATTGTTCGGAGTCACGTTCGTCGCGGTTGCCAAACCCAAAGCTCGACCATGAGAACCCGCTAGGCCCGCCCTGTGGGACCTCGTCGTCGACCTCTTCTTCAGCCTCTTCGTAAGCGCAGGTAGCATCGTATTCTTTGCGCCGGTTTGGGTCGGAGAGAGTGTAGTAGGCATCGTTGATTTCCTGGAACTTCCGGGTTCGAGCAGGTCGGTCTGGAGAGTCTGCGGGCACGCGATCTGGATGGGATTTCAGCGATTCCCTGGAGCAGTCAGTGTGAGATAACATCGCAAACAGGCCAGTCGACGCTATTCACCTTTTGTACGCGGAACGGATCTGCTGCTGAGTAGCATCACGGGCGACTCCGAGAATCTTGTCTGCGGTAGAATTAGAGGCTAGTCTGGCATGAGCAGGAGGGATACATACAGTAGTCCGGGGTTTCTATTGGAAATGTTAGTTATGATTCCCCGGGGGAAACTAGGAATGCGGACGTACGTGGCATGGTTGATACTCGAATTTATCGAAAGGATAAGAGGCCAGGAACCTTGGGCAAGCGCAAATGATATATGAAGACCCGCGCGCATGACGTATCCATATCTAGTTATATGGGGTGAATGCAGCCTTATGGCCTGGTTTATAAGGTGTCAAAGACAGACTCCACGCTTAGCCCGAAAAGAAGGATGACAGGCTGTGCGATTCGTCAGGTCCCAGCCACCTTGATTTCCAGGGGCACTTGCCTGTTACAAGGGGAAATCTTTTAAGAGCTCTGTAAATAAGTGGATTATAACTAAGTGTGCCTTTTCTCATTCTACACGGTCCAGAACTTCTCTCTGCATAGCAGATCCTGTGGTGGAGTAGATGTACGCAGCGGCCTAGACCACTCAGTCTGTCGTCCTGCAGCCCTTAGCGGGCTCACCTGCATCGGTCTGGATTTTTTTGGGGCATTTTTTGGCCCGTCTTTTGCTCTTCAGGTTGCCACAAGCAAGACCCAATTTCTCCTCTCGTTTTAGTCGAAATTGCTTTTGTGCCCCTTCAATATTCTTTGCAAACGCCGGGAGCGCACTCTGGTCTGACCATTTCCCCGCAATCCTTTTCGAGACTCGCAAACGCCCGCGAACGTAACAGCATAGCTGCACCGACAGTCCGCTCAGAAGCTCAAACCACATCAGCAAGTGCGTATCCGCAACAATGGGTTGGTTTGACGGTCCAAAGAGTCATCACTCTTCATCAATCCACAATAACCACTATGTCCGCCGCCGTCAAGTCTCTCCTGCAGCCGCAAGTCGGACTACCTGAGCACTCACCATGCGCGACACTCCGCACCCTCTATCTTCAGCTTCGGACGAGGGTGGGTGGTGGTCGATCCAGCCCGTCTGTCTTTTCGTCTTTCTCGTCCTCGTCTCGCCGAGCTCGGCCTCGCGACGGGTTCATGCAGCGCATGGTCCGCTCGATCAAGAAGCTCTTCCGCGACATCTACCGTTACGCCCGCAAGAACCCTATCAAGGTCTTCCTGCTGGTGATAATTCCGCTTCTGACCAGTGGTATCCTGCCCAAGCTTCTTGCCATGATTGGTGTCCGGTTACCTCACGGGATCCATACCGCCCTGGGAGGTAGTGCTGGACCCGGTGCGCGGGCGATGGGAGGAGGTATGGAGAATAAGGGACTGTCTGACAGCGTCAACTCGCTGGTAAGCATTGCCAAGATGTTTGCTTAAGCGGTGCATTTGGACGTTGTACGCCCGGTCCTAGCTCCTAATGACTGATGATATGACGTTGAATTTCCTTTGTCCCAAGTTGAATCTTTGCTTGTTGATATTCATGCGTATCGGGGGGGGGCTCTCTGGTATGAAAAGTGTCTATGTATAAAGACTTAATATCCAGGAATGCACGTGAACAGTATAATAGAAAAGTCCTGCCTGATAGGGTACTTTGTCCTCTTTAAATAAGGAAAGCCGGGGGGTTGGTACCCAACGGTGGGTATCACTTGCGGGTCTTCATGCAAGACCTGCGCCCATTTGATTCTAGCTTGCCCTGACATATACTCGACTATTACTGGTCGCCTTGGAACTAGAGTTGTATGGCTCTTTAAGCTGATTCAAATTAAGAGTGAGGCGGATGCACCGAACGGTCTGGCTATGTGTTTCATATTATAGGTCGTCAAGCTCTATTGCGCGATACCCATTTTCCATTGCAATCTAAGAAATAATTTCGAGAAACAAACCTGCTATGAGATGCTTATGATATAAGGTTTCTTTTTCAACGGAATCAATCGCTCCGTCATGCTGTTTTGGACACGTCCTTATGACCGTTGAGCACGCTTTCCACGTCTGCGAGTGGAGCCATTGGTTGAAGTCGCAGTAGTCTCGCTGGCCTCGGCCTCAACCTCTTCTACCTCGTCGACCTCGTGAGAGGCCGAGGTGCCCAGAATACGACCAATGGTCTTGTTAAAGCCCCAGATGGGCAGACTGAACAGGATAGTATCCCGGATAGTAGGGCGATGAATCTCATCAATATCCAGCAAGAACTCCTGGCGTTCACCGTCCTCAGTCTCCTCCTCCAGGAACACATTGCCGCTAGACTCGACGATCAGCACCTTGCCGTTCTCGGCTATGACGCGCTTGCGTTCACCCGTGGGGACAACATTCTCTGTAGGAGTCGAAGTACCAGAGTTGTGACGCGCAGCCCGACCGCCCTTCTTTTCCTTGCGGCTCTCCTTGTCCATCATGCGCTTCTGACGACGGTTCATAGCCACCGCGCCCTCGGAAGGCTCCTGGGGTGCCGGGGCAGGGGCAGGGCCGTCGAGACCCGGAATGCCACCCACGCTCGAGTCATCGCCCCACGCAGCTCGGCGCGCCTGGCGGATATAGCGGTCGACAAACTCGCGCTGGCGCTTCCACCCTAGGTACAGAGCACCGTAGTGGGCGGCACCGCCAAAGACCACGAACAGACCCATCAGCACGGAGCCCAGGCCGGGGCGGAACCGAGTGTAGTAGTAACCCGTGCCCTTCCATCGAGGAAATCCGTTCTTGAGAAAATGGTCGTAGCGCTCGCGATTGGGACCGCGGAGAACGTTGGCGACGAGGTTTAGGCGTGCGGAGCGGGCATTGGCGTTCTTGACGGCGGCGTCGACTTCGCGCTGCGAGGGGCCCTTGTTCACATGGACGCCGGGCTGGGTGGACTTGGACTTGCTCTTGTCCTTGGCGTAGTTGGCAACGAAGGTCCGCTTGACCTTGTCAGGGTGGAGGGTGCGCGACTTTTGACGATGGGCCTTGGTGATTTGTTCTAAGTTGGCGTTGGGGTGGATATCAAGGAAGTCTAGGGAGGAGAAATCAGTGGATCATCGAGATCAATCTGGGAGCGAGGATCCGTACCGTAGAAAGTCACGTTAGGCCCTTCAGTTGCGGCGAGCTCGTCCCGGAGTCGAAAGATCTCATAATCTGCGAGTTGATTAGCACGAGCTCCAAGGGCTTGTAGGACACGATGCTTTGCCACGGACCTTCCTTGCTCCAGGCGGCCACCAGGCCAACGAAGACCAGGATCAGTAGAGACAGGGCAGTCTTCATGGTTGCTGAAGCACAGAGATTGCGTCCCTATAGAAGATCGATAGGTGGCTAGAACGAATCGCACCCGAAAGGGCGTTATCCACTTTTTCGTTTTTGTTTGTCCCTTTTTCTGCCGCTAGGTAGCCCCCCACTATTCCCCCTTTTCGCCTAAGCTGTATTGGTGATCTGATTAGGTTAGCTTATACGGGGAAATCCATTCCTACGAGGCTCATCATGCCTACCACCCTTGGACTATGGCTTTCGGAGTCTATTCTTGACAGGCATATTAGTGCGGCATTCCCAATTCTAGCTGTTTATTTCACCCGGAATCCTGCTAGTGATTACGCGAAGTATCAACTTGGTTTTCAAGATGAACTGGTTGTATTTTGCACGGTCGAGTACGTAATATTCGAATGCTATTCTGCCTGGCTTTAATGGCATATGTACCCGATTACCTGTTCAAGTGCACTGAGCAAAGGCTAATTTTCATGCTCAAACATTCATGTTACTCGAGCCTTCGGGATTGGTAGTGTAGGATATGTAACCATGAATATACATCAGTATTTGATGGGGTAGGTGAAGCGGTATGCACACAGACTTTTTGCCTCTTATTGTACCATCAGTGTAGGCGCGATTGTAAGGCCACTTTGCATCATACAGGCCCTTTAGGAATTCGGAAGCTGTCTTGCTAGAGGAACAGCGTGGTTGGAATCCATGAAGGTTCCACATCATATCATGCTGATAATCACCAGCACTAAAAGGAAGACACCCGCCAAAACCGATCGGTCGGAACATGCCTCGCCGACCCTCTTGGCTTTCTTGGGGGTGTATCTCCTCATATGTTTATCAATCACCAATATGTCGAGGACAATACGACCACGGGATCATGGGGAGCGATGCTAAGCGCAACTAAACTGATTATGAACTGGGGGCCTCTAGCGTTCATCTGCTCGGTGCCGCGAAGTTGCTTGCCGTATTGCTGTACCAGAATGCGGCCACGTAGAACTCGACCTCCTGTTGTTACGGGACAAAATGGAATGCCGTGGATAAGGATTATTGCGGGCAGGTCGAAAGCAGGTGCACTTCGCCGTATTTCACTAGTCAGATCAAAGTCAGCTGGCTAGAATCGTCCTCGATCAGTTCGCGAGAGCTGTTCAGATACCCAGTACTGTAGCTTATCTGATAAAGTAACATATCTTGGAGGTAACTTAGCAACCAAGCCCTGCTCAAACGCTAACTTAGCGTAGAGTAGACGGGAAGAGCTCCAAGATAACAGAGCAGCATCAGTCTTGGAAGGTCTTTCGTCGTCTTCAACCCAGGTTTATAATGCCTCCCACTTACGACGGCTATCGCTCAGTATTCACTGCTACATTTGCGAGCTGTGAACGTTGAAGAGAATCTATCATGCAGGCAGGAAGTGACTTTAGTTGTCAACGTTAGGCCAGTAGCCTTCCTGTTTCTTGTCGGCGTGACTGAGGATGTTGGGGATGCCATTATCAAGTGAGAATCTGATAGCCGCTCACCAGTGTAGTTGATGGTGGTCTAGGGATAATCCGTGTAAGAAGTGACGATGTAAGTGGGCTGAGGCAAAGATATTATGACGAAAGGTAGTTCTTAGGTTTTTGAAATAGGACTTGGCCATTCGGTGGCTTTGGCAGCACTGCATCGTCGAGTACGGAAAACTAGAAACCATATGAGGTCTTCTTCAAGAATGGCCTAGAGCAGGCACATGAGCCGGGATATAGAGACTTCGGGTTACCAGCGTCTCGTAGAGCATTCGGCAGTCATAGAGAAAACTCGGCAGCTCGCAGGACGAGAAATATTCTCGCAGCTTGACCATGAGCAACCCGATTGGCATATTGCAAGCACCAAACTCGAGAGCAAGAAATTCACTACGCAGTAGTGGATCAGAGGAGTGAGTCAACGGTGATGTCGGCCCGGTACCCAAGAGATGGGCTACAGTGACTTTCTTCGCAACTGTGACATAGGAAACAAACATTTCCGACTAACGATTATCTACCGAAATTTGACCCATTTCTGACCTATTTGGAGCCCTGAACAGTATCTGATATCTTTCCATGCACAGAAGACATAATCTGCATGGACATTACTGGTTGACTCGGTGGTACATTTCCAACCCGAGCTAAACCGAAAAGGCGGTCGGGCTGATCCACCGAATCTCATCGACGTGGCCCAATCGTCGAATAGGCGAAGTGAGGGGAAACCCTGGCGTTGCTTCCTGATGGACTAATCCAGACGTATAAAAAGATGACTGTCAACCCCAAGTAGTCGTATAAAGTGCGGTTGAGGGGTACGGCGCCCTCTCGACGAACACTGCCTATTCCGGGTGTTTTCCGCTCGCAGCTTGAGAACCAGTTCAGGAACCCGTTCGAGAATCAGTTTAAGGCATCAGAATGGCTATTCTTAGCCACTGAATAAACAGATCTTCTGGAGGTTCAGCTTAGGCTACCGGGTTAAAACCGGGGAGGGCAGTGCTGAAACTAGTCAAAAGGGGGTAAAGGCGCCGGGACAAAAAAAAGGGAGGCAGAAAAATAAAAACGGTCTAACGTGTTGTCCCTTCTGCCCCTGCGCAACCTTGGCATCTTGTCTTTTTCCGCTGACACCTCTCGACACAACTACTTCTCTTCTTCTTCATCTTCTCCATCGCTCCCTTCATCATGGCTATCCAAATTCCCATTGACGCGATCACCTCGCGGTTCGGCGATCGCTTCAACAGCATCCGCAGCCAGTCCCTGAGCAGTCGCTTCGCCAACTTACGCCCCATCTCCGAATTCCTCGACCTCAAGCGGATATCCAAGCCTGCCAACTTCGGTGAGGTCCAGAGTCGTGTCAACTACAACCTAGGCTACTTCTCCAGCAACTATGTTGCCGTCTTCGCCATGCTCAGCATCTACAGTTTGCTGACGAACCCGATTCTGCTGTTTGTCATCATCCTGGTCACTGGTGGCCTGTACGGTATCTCCAAGCTGGAAGGTCGGGACCTTGACATTGGATTCCGTCGCTTCAACACATCCCAGCTCTACACCGGCCTGCTGATCGTGGCTGTTCCTCTGGGTCTCTGGGCCTCGCCTATCGCGACCGCGCTCTGGCTGATCGGAGCCACTGGCGTGACCGTTTTCGGCCACGCTGCTTTCATGGATAAACCAATCGAAAATGCTTTTTCCGAGGAGGCGGTCTAGGTGGTCGGCCGCGAGCTCCTTACGATGCGCCCCGATGGGGAAGACCACCGAGGGCACGACCGGGGAGACACAATGGAGGACGGGGTTGGTGGGACGAGGATGCACGGGTGGAAGAGGTGGACAGTGAGGAGGAATACGAATGGCAGATGGCGCGCAACGGCCGTCCCATGCGGCAGCTGGAATATGGAGGACGAGGGCCACGCAGGCGGCCGGAGTACGAAGACTACTCCGATGAAAACGAATCAGTGATTAACGGCGGCGATTATGACTTGTACGATCATCAAGACTCGACCGTTTCCTATGCGGTTCAATTGGCGATGCGAGATAAGGAGGATCAATTGGTGGAGACGGCGCTGGAGCGGATTCGCCGTGCACAAATGCTTGGGAAGAAGAACGTGAAGCTTTCCAAGCGCGAACTGGAAGCTCTCGAGCGGAGACGTCAGACGAATGAGAATTCGGGCTCGAGCCGTCGGAACAGAGCAGGGTCTACCGCCAGTAGTAGGCCATCATCTCGTCGCAACGGGCCTACAGTTCCCGAAGAATTGGCTGGAGCATATCCGCCTTTTGCCTCGGGTCGCCCCCCTAGTTCGTCATCAAATCGTCCACGGACCCCGACCATGCAGTCATTGCGTCCGCAGTCGTCAAGCTCGAATTCTCCTCTCCGCCCGGGTTATCCTGGATTTCCTGACCGGTTCCCGCCTGCGGGTCGCCCGCAGTCAATCCAACAGCCCATATATTCCCGGCCGTTGCCAGACGATCCTCAATGGACACCAACGTACTACAATCCGATGCAGATGAATCCATACCTTCCGGAGCACGCTCCATATCAGCCACAACTTCCTACCGATCTTCGCGTTGGGCCGCAAAGCCGGCTGAATTATCCGACCGGGGTACCTCCGGTGGAGATGTCTTCTGCTCCAGCTCAGCGTCGGCAGTCGATCAGCAGCCGACAGGGTCAACCTCAGCCTCAATCACGAGGTCGGCCTGGAACTCCGGAGGAAGACTCCGAGACGTCCAGTGAGGAGGAGTCCAGCAGCGATGATTCGGATGTACAGATAGTCGGAGTGGTGGAGCGCCAGCCACCTGCCCAGGTCCAGAGACGTTCTGTCGCTGGAACCCGCAAGACTCGGAGCAGTCGATGATAATCGTAAAGGAATGAAGAAGGAAAGGCAAAAGTCTCCCTGGGAATGCCCTCTCGTGTTTTGTGTTTTTCTCGGGCTTCGTATTGCTATCGCATTAATCTTTGTCACTGTTTTTGGCTCCTGGCGTTATGGTTAGATCGAGCCCTGCATTAGTATAATAGATTCTCATGTGATCTTGATTTCTTTTCCCCCCTTCCCCTTCTTGGAATACATGCCTTTTTGCTTCTGCCTTATGGCACCCCAGATATACTATTTCGAGTGTGGCGCGAAGTAGAAGGCAACGATGGACGGAAATCAAAGCCACATGCTTAATGATCCGACCGGGCGCAATGGAGCGCGATTGGCTCAGCAGCGTCGAATTGCAGTGGAGCAGATGACGCGCTGACGAAACGCGCTTGAAAAGGAGCTTGGCATGACGCAAATCCGGTTCTACTCCAGCATTTCCAAGGAGAGCTGGTCCTTGCTTGGATCACATTTTCTTAAAGGGGGACCCTCCGTCCCTTTTTTGGTACCCCGAGGGTCGACTCGATCTCCAAGACAATACTCGTCACCCCGGATTGTCCCATACATTCCTGCTGTGCGCCACAACAAATTCTGCAACTGTACGCCTAATCTAAACCGTTCAGGGGTGTCGATCCTTCTTAGTGTTTGGAATGAGGAGAGATTGATATCTTAAAGCGATCTGTATAAAAGAAGTGTGAGTGGGGATATCCACAACTTGGACGATTTCGGCCGTGAAAACAAGACTGACTCCAGCAACCCCAGATTGCTTGCTTTGGACGGACTGGACGGACTGGACGGACTGGACGGACGTCTCGGTGGTGCTTGTCGCAGAATCTCTCCATCCATACAGCTATACAGGCCCGGCGCAAGAGGATAGAGACTCTCCCAGCTTAGCCCAATAAAAGTTGCAAGCAAACAGAGGCCAGCGCACAGATTGCAAAGATGTGGATTATCTCTTTCTGGATCTTTCCGGTCATCTCGGCCTGCATGTGGGTTGGTAAGTCTCCAAGCGACCCTGGTTGACCGTGGTGTGAGAGAGGGAATCTGACATTGAACCAGCGATGCTCATTGCCATGATCGCCACCTGGGCCAGAGATGGTGAGCCCATCTACCCCAACATGGACAGGAGCAGCGGCCAGACCATTGCGTAAGTGTCCCCTTGCCGAATCTCAGGATTGCCCCTCTAATTTTCTGCACAGATACATCTCGGACGTGGGTGCTTGGGGAGCAAAACCTCTCTTTATCACGGGCAGTGTCATCACGGTCGTCTTCTTGGACTTGGCCTTCCTGTCGGAGCGCTGGCTTCGACACGCTGGCCAGCTGATCCCCAACAAGGGGAAATTCGACAAGGCCTGCTCTATTCTCTCCATCTTTTTCGCTATTGCTGGTGCCCTTGGTCTGATCCTGCTGAGTATCTTCGACACGGCGCGCCACCCTCACCTACATGACGGGTTCCTTATTATGTTCATGTAAGTACGGGAAGACCTTTGATTGCGATTGACCGTTACCAACCTCAATATCTAGTGTCGGATACCTCGTCAGTGCCATTTTTATCTGTGCCGAGTATCTGCGCATCGGAATTTTCTACCGATCGCAGCACCGCATCCTGCTTGTCAGCTTCTGCATCAAGCTTGCCTTCGTCATTATCGAGATCGGTCTCGCAATCGGATTCGGTGTGTGCCATCAGAGCAGCAACAAATCCTTGAAGAACCCGGGCGCCATCCTCGAATGGGTCATCGCTTTTGTCTTCACTGGTTACATCCTCTCTTTTGTCATCGATTTGTTGCCCGCGGTCCGCACTCGGAGACATATTCCACAAGGCGAGAAGGCTGCTATGGCGCAAGCCCAGGCTCATGATAACATGCCCGCCGCGTCTTTGGAGGAGCCTTTGACAACTGATTCGGCCAACTACTACCGAGGCCAACGAGTTTAAACCAAGGACACCCCAAGATGAGAGCATCGTCACCTAGAATTGGCGCCGACGCCGGTTGATGTTTTTATGAGTCTCTATGTTTTGCATATTCCTGGTGCATATTCCCCCCCCTTTTTTTTTTTTGGGCATCTTTTCCCCCTCTCTTTTATTTGCGGATACCTGAATTGTATAATACTCGTAATCGGTTAATGGACGTTATGCAATTTCTTCTCTGTATATGTTCTAGGGTAGCTGTTGGTCCCCTTATTACCGTAGGCGTATCTACATAGGTCAAAAAAAGTATAAACAAACTCAAGAAAACGCTAATCAGCGACCCAAACCCGCTCAACCAAAAAGCATCTGTCGAATATTGTCTTGCACGTCCGCATTAATCCCGATCCCACTCAGATAATTCTGCACCCCACCGTATCTGCTCTGCAGATATTCCGTAGTCGCATCCACGAACCCTGGCGGGCAGCGCGTATATTCCTCTCCAAGCCCCAGGTCCCGGATCTCCTTCATGCGCTCTTCAAACTCCGGGACCAGCTCCAGCTCCGACCGCGAGTAGTCGTCAACGATCGCGGGCGTTGGGATCTTCTCACCCGCTAGAAGCAGCAGCATCAGGACGACCAGCCCCGTGCGATCCTTCCCTTGAGTGCAGTGCACCAGAACGGGATACGACGCCTTCCGCGAAAGCAACTCAAAGACAGACCGCAGCTCGGAGGTGCTCGCATCCAGCGTGTCTTGAGCCAGGCCCGTCAACCCACGCGGCTGCATCACTTGCTGGCCTACGAGCTTGACGGCGTCATTGCGGTAGCCCGTCGCGGCGAACGCGATAGCTTTTCTATTGACATTAGTTCCATTCTGACTCTTCTTTCTTTTTTTTTCCGTATCAACTCATGGCGAGGGCATACAAGTAATTAGACCAGTCCAATCTCCACAGCAGCGCATGTTCGAAGCTCTTGCCGGTCAAACTGATACGATGCAGTTGGGCATCTGGGATACGCAGCAGGTGCTCGTCTGGGCGGCCGGATGGGGGTCCGGTGGCGGACTCGGCTTTCTCAGCGCAGCGTTTGCGCGTGGCCATCTGGTGCTCCGTTCTGCCGAGGTTAGTGACAGGACTGCTTGCTTGCGTGCAGGTAAAGCATACGAAGACCGAAGATCGATCACCGAGGCTATATGCAGCTCCTCTGCGAGCCGGCGAGTATCGCGCTCCGAGGCATCATCTGGCTACATTCAATCAGCGGGGTTTGTCTAGCGCGTGGCTGGAGCGAGGCGTCGAGTACCCTTGCGCTACGGAAGAGCACGCCTTCTTTTACGATTCTAGGGAGCCGTCAGTGAATTCCAAGGGGGGTAAGAGGTTTGGATTCATGACGTACTGCGCACCACAGAAGTGGTTGATGGTGCGGCCGACATCCCGGAAGTTGATGATGTTGTCGAAGGGGCGATCTGGCGAGTCCAGGTCTACGCTGGACGAGCGGGCCATGAGGAGTCAAGATTCTTGAACCTTCAAGCTTGAAACCTTTCAAACTTTAAGATTCACGGCCAGGAGTGTTGACTGTGGAGACGAAGCTCCTAGTAAATGGCGGTGGGCGTTGGGCAGGAAATGGCCCCGTCTCGCCCTGTTTTGGCCTGAGCGTCGTCCCACTTATGCATTGCAGATCAAGTGAGCATCTCTACTCGTGTCAGAGGAACATGTTATCTCGACGGTTTGCATTGGTCATCTTGAGGCCGATGATAGGAGGATCTTTACAAGGGCAGCTTATCTGCAAAAGATACAATGCTGGCACAACTCTACGAAGTGCTTGTTAAGAGTCAAGTATGGACTTGGAGCGAGAGAAGATACTGATCGTCACACAGAAAGCCTTAAGACTTTGTTCATTACTAGTACTAGCATCAGTTTCAAGACGTACGTATATCTGGCTCCTCCAGCTCCTCCATCTACTGCATTGGAACTCGGGGGTTCCCTCAAAGAAAGGAAAGCTTGAAGAACGAATGTGCACAGATAAAGGGACAAGAGACGCCACCAAAAGGAAGAAAGAAAAAGCAAAAGAAAACAAAAAAAAAAAAAATCCGATATTCACACAAACTTTCCCGAGCATCTTCCAACGTAAATCACAAGAATATTAGGGTCTGGCGTATTCTTCATGATGATAAGTCTTCTGAAAACCTTGACTCTCGCCCAGCACTAGCAGTGTCGCCTAGGACGGGGGGAAGAGGGAGATTCTGACTCGCAGCACTGTCTCTGAGGCCCTGGATGTCAGTTCCACTCACTTGAGTCTCGCCAACAGGCTCAGAGCTCTTTCGCCCTTCAGTGGCGGCTCCATTGGTTGCTGGCGGCATCGACTGGCGATTGGAGCTCTTCCGGAACGTCCGAAAAAAAGCGTTGTCGCTTTCTTGGGCTGCTTGGTTCTGCCTCGCTTAAAGCCGAGTCTCCTGTTGCCGTCTTGTGGACGTCTTGACCGGTGCTGCCGTGGGCCGGCTCGCTCTGGTCTAGATCGGCGCCAGTGACCGGGTGAGAACTGAGGGCAGCCCCGCGAGCCTCGCCTCGTCCAGCGAGAGCTGCGCCTCCCGTAAACCCGACGCTGCTATTGGATCTGGATCCTGGGCCGGGTTGGTGGGGATAGACTTGCACCGGGCCGCTTGAGCGACGAGCCAGTCTATCGCGGAACCAAGTCTTCAGTTTGGAGTCTGCCTTGGGGCTTGAGATGGGACGGAATGCGTGTCCCGCAATGCCTCCTGCGCCAACCGCGCCTTCCGGTGGTGAGGTATGGGCTCTTTCCACGGCTGGTGGCGGGTTCTCGGATGGCTCGGTCACGACAGCTTGGGCTCCTTCTGGGGCAGCTGTGAGGACTGTGGTTGCACCAGCAGCCTCGGGTTCATCAGGAACATCGTGGATAGGTTCTTGCGATGTCGCAGCAGTGGGAGGCGCAGCGGCCTCAGTGGGCTCAGTGGGCTCAGTGGGCTCAGTGGGCTCAGTAGATTCAGCGGGCGCAGTGGGCTCAGTAGATTCAGCGGGCGCAGTGGGCTCAGCTTCATGCTCATGGTCGGGAGTGGCAGCCGTAGGCACGGGCTGTTGTTCCTCCTGTGCTGGCGGCGCTGGGCCATCGTCGGCGGTCTCTGGCGCCTTGACTTCAGCAGCAGCGGCGCCGGAGGACTTGGGGCGTTCTAATTTACTCTTTCTGCGCCAAAGCATGAAACTCTTCGTCTTGCTCTCACGTTTGTCGGCTGTATGCTTGTTAGCGTATGTAGAAGGATTGAATGAGATGAGTAGAAACTGACCTTTAGACCGTCTTTCGGCAGCCTTCACGCTTGCTTCACGCTCCCTCTCGATTGCAGCTTGCCGTCCTCTCTCCTCTGCATCTAGACGAGCCTCGAGCTCTCTCGCCCTCCGCTTCTCGACTTGGTCATCAATCTCGTCGAGTGCAGGCTGGATACGCGATCGAGCGACAGCTTCGACATCGGCCATGTCCATATACTGCCGGCCACCGATACTGATCCGGTGGTTACCATGACCGTTGTTGCCAGTGCTTACAGAGGCCGCCTCTACCTCTTGGCGAACACGCTCCTGGGCAGCGTCATCCCATTCCTTCTGCAGAGAAGGAGGCGCGCGTCCCGTGTTGAGGTACATTTGCATCTCCATGCCCTGGATTGTAGCATCAACGTTGCGTCGCGCGGCCTCCATCAGCATTTCGCGGTCTTTGGTCCTCTTCTCATCGACTTCGTTCAGCTTGGTGCGCAGGCTGTACATTTGCTTTTGGATGCGCCGTGACTGCTCAGCGTCTACTTGAGAGGCGTCCGCGTCACTCGACGTTCGCTTTCGACGAGTAGTCAAGCGCGATCGTTGTGATTGCGGGGCAGTGCCGTAGTAATTTTGAAGCTCCTGAGGACCATCCTGCATCCGGGCGAGTTTCTCAGCCGCTCGCTTCTGCGCAGCATCCTGTAAAGTGATTGCTCGTCTCGCGGTATTCCCCTCCGTCCCACTCACGCTCTTCCGGGCCTGTAGTCGTGCTGAGCCGGTTTGAGCTGCGGCGACAGCGGGATCGGCGCCCGATTCACTCCTGGAGGTGGTCACCTCGTACATATCTTTGGCCATCGAGAGTGCCGCAGCACGAAGGGAGCTTTGTCGATTGCGCTCCTCAACCTCCGGGGCGACAAGAGGGGCCGAGGTGTAGAGCTGAGCATTTGTTTTGGCGATGTGACCGATCCGACTTGCCTCCATTGACTTATCCAAGTGATCCAGAGGGCCTTCCTCCTCCGTCTTCTTGTGGTGAAGGGCACCCGCTGCCGAGAGAGCAGAGAGATCGTAGGAGGGTTCGGGAGACACGCGGGAGGCCATAGGGACCGAGCCTGAGCGCTGTCGAGTTGCAAAGGCCCCTGTGGCGGCCTGGAGGGCCTTGCGCTGGCCATCATCGGGGACCGACGCGTGGTGCTTGTGGCTCACCCGCGCGGGCGGCTGGCTCGAGGTCTTCTTCTGTTCTCGGACAGCTAAGATAGCCGCTCCAAGTCCCTCAGCCGTATACTTGGGGCCGGCCTGTGAAGGAGGCTCGGGCGGAGTGAAGTCTTTGACGGATAGCGCAGCCTTCTCGGCCGCGGGGAGTCGTCCCGGACGCCATGGTTCGATGGTCTTCTGGTTTGCATGAGCGAGAGCCGCACCGGCCGATGCAGCGCTGAGGTTGGATGCGCCGCCGGTCGCCGCTAGGCCTGGTACGATCGGAAGGGTCAGACGGAGCCCGGTCGGAGTCAGAGAAACGAATTTTACTCACTGTTCGGTTCCACGGGGGGGAGTCACAGAATCATGATCCTGCTTGCGTCGGGGTTGAGTGGCATAGAGAGCTGCTGTGGCGGCTGTTTTGGTAAGATTAGTTGATGTGGAGTTCGTGACGATCATCTCAAGACTCACCATCGTCAGCCAATCTGGCAGATCGCGGACCTACAGGCATCTGGGCTGTCGCCATGAGAAACTTCAGAACAGCATCAGCCCTTTGCGACAAGAGCTTCAAGAAATCTGGGGCGAGAAGTGGGAAAGATCACGGGGTTTTGTCGGCTGCAACGGAAAGGAGCCACAGAAAGCCATTGCATCATGGAGAACTCAATGAAGAACTCAATGAGCCTCTCTTCTGCGTCTGCCCAGGTCCCTCCGTCCCATTCGATCTTCCCCCTTTCCGTTTTCGTCCACCCGGACTGTGGCGTTGCACCCGCGGTCCGTACCCTCTTTTTTTCTCCATTTCCAATTGCTCCCGATACATGATCTAAGATGTTCATGATCTCTGTCCTCGGATCCCCACGAACCCCTGCGAGGGTAAGATTGCGGCGGTGCTTGATTGGCGCAGCCACGGGATCGACAGCGGAGACGGAGTCCGGCGCCTGTTTTTCTCACCCTTCGGGCCTCAATTTGCGATGAAATCATGACGCTTTCTGCCCTTCACGTTCTGAACGGATGGAATTCCTAGTTCTTGGTCTCCTTGTTGTCCTCCTTCCCATGAACACATAGCTACGTGATCATGACCCCCCCATGGCGCCCTCGCAAATGGGAATTCGTGCAAGAACCATGCGGGACCCGCTCCTGTAACCAGCAATTGCTGCCTAAAGAATCTAGTGACTTCCAAAGCGGTCTAACGTATCGCAGCCAAGCTTATAGTAGTGTTCATGATTTTTAGGCTGGTGAACTAGCTCGGTGGCTGATTTCTATGGATCCTGTGGGGGCGATCAGCTCCTCTTGCGCCGATCATGACATTTCATCTCTCCTACGGAGGACACAAAATGCCTTATGCCCCTGGAGGAAATCCGTGGGAAAGTCCCTGGAAAACCCTTGATTCGCAGGAAGATAACTAATGCGTACCGGGGAAATGGCAGGAGGCACATGGGTCGTCTGGGCTAATTTCTTTTCTCAGCCGGGTTGAAGCATATGACGTCATTGAATCTATAAACCTAGAGCTGGCGTGGAGAACCAGTAGAGATGAGGCATGAACTCCCCGGAGCATTGCCATATGGGGACTAATACGTCCCCATATAGGGATTTAGTCCTACCGAGGTATTCTTGTGCATTGAACACGATCATAACTATGATCGGAGAGATGCAGCCTGTAATGGTCCTAAGTAGTTCGGGCTATCCCTCTAGATGTGCCAAGGTATGTACCGGTAGAAAATTGTCGGCAGGAAATTGCCGATATGTACCCCAATCTTATTCTCTTCATATGATCAGAATAAAATAAACCTATCACAGCGTGGCAATTTATCCCCCCAACCCTTCTTATCATACAAGGTCCAGAATTTTCCACTACGGTCTTTGCTGTTCCCTATATAAGGTGGCGAAGATGAGACCCCCAGTCCAACCTAAGAAGCCTCCGCGCGAATGGCATGAAGGATTGTTCACCGATTGCCATCTGGCTTAGCACTCCAATGTTACGGGCTCTCATCCTTGACCATAGTCTCTGTGACACGAGCGGTCAGAATATAGATAGAGACTATGATACTAGACATACGTAACGTTCTTCAAACTCCAACGCGAGAGCTCTCATAGCCCGATGTTTCAACCTTATAGCTCTCCTAAAGTATGGAGACTTGCACGTGCTTCATCATTCTGATAACTCACCAGCAGATTATCTGCACAGCTACTGCCCAGCCCTGCATTATCGACCCACGCAGGCTCCCAGTAATAGATCCCTAGTCCGCCAGGCACCCCTCCCACGACATCTGCCAGCTTCTGCAGGAACTCCTCCTGCCCAGCTACAGAGTATGGAATATCCCGCAGGTCAGAAGGAAAGGTGTACTTGGGGTGCGGACACGAGTAAGGCCAATTGGTCTCCACTACGACAACATCCTTCCCATAGGTCGAATGCATGCTTCTCAGACTTGTCTGCAGAGCCGAGAGCGTAGCACCGGAGTTATAGAACGGGTAGTATGACACACCCATATAGTCAAAGTCAGAAGGGACGAGCGCTGACCCGTCAGCAAGGACCTGGTTATAAAAGTATTCCTGCGTCGACCAATCCCAGCCGTTGTCAAGATGTAACATGATTTTCGGCGTGGTTGCCAGAGTCGAGTCCTTGACGCCCCATGCACCGGAGTGCAGGAGCCGAGCGATGTTCGAGTAGTTCGGCGTCTTGCCCAGCGGCCAGAGAAGGCCGGAGGTGATCTCGTTGCCGACAGAAACGATCGCTACATCTAGACCATTCTCGGCGAACGTGTTGCAGACGAGAAGGGTGTAGTTGTAAACCTGCCAAGCCAGAGTGTCCAGGTCGGTTGTGGACCAGCCAGAGGGAGTTGTCTGGGGGGGTGGTGTTAAGCTAGTATTGTGCACGAAATAGGTAGGATGCTAACCTGGTGGCTTGGATCGGCCCACGTATCGCTCAGGTGCAGGTCAAGGTAGGTTGTCATCCCCTGTGTCTGCACCCGCTTTGCAAGTTTGACGTTGTAGTCAAGGTCATAGTCGCCATTGCTTGGATTCACCCAAATACGCTGGCGCACGGAGTTTATCCCGCTACTAGACAGGATATCCTCTAGAACCTGTCTCTCGCCATTCGCGTTTTTGTATGAGATTCCGGAATTCTCCTCTACGATTAAAGAAGAGATATCGGCACCTCGAAGGCTCAGTTCAGCGGAGGCGAGCCCCAGAGAAGTAAAGAGGAGAAACGAGGCGAGCATCTTGAACCTCTGATGGGAAATGATGAAACGGGAGGGTTGGCCTCGGAATAGAGCTGGTCAAGAAGGGATGGCAGACATTTTCATGGTCCAGAGTGTGAAGTAGTGGGGTTATATTGTTCTCCTATTTAGCCGCACTTGAAGTAATTAAACCGAGGACTAAAACCTGCACGGTGAAACGCCCGGTGCAACAAATTCCGCTCAAGAAGAGTTCCTTACTAGTAGGCATGTTGACATTTCTTTTTGCTCTTCCGGGTCGACCTAACAATTGAAAATGATTCTGTCAGTCAACTTATTGATGGCATCATATCTCCTTTGTTGAGATTTGGCATGAACTATGAAAGATTCGACTAGGAGAAGAAACGGACATGATTGGTGGAAATAGAACGGGCTGCGATTTTCTCCAAGCGAGATGTTCGACTGGAACCGCGACAAAGACAGGCTGTAGCTTCACCCCTTTACTCTGCCGGGCCTACGAGTAAGCACTGAAGGTGGACTCATTCTAGGACAAGTATTTGGAATTTGGAAATCCTTGAATCATTTCGTTAATTGTCATCGCAACAAGTGTCCCCGCACTTTGATGGATTCGGTCGACATCCTGGGTAGAAATCAAAACCATATCAGTCCCACACCGTCTCAACATTACATACAAGTCAAAGTGTGCAAAAAGGAGAAAAAAAAAGATCCGAGCATACTGGTGAGCAAGCCGATCATCAGGGAGAGGGCGAAGGGGGAAGTAACACTGGCATTTTGGTAGCCAGAAAATCATGGGTGGGCCATACGCCCACGGCAAAAAAAAATTATATGTACATAAGCCAAGTAGAATGTATGTCGAAAAGCTCTAGGATGGCACGGGCTCCAGGGATGAGGATGCGGGGATAAAGGAATCATGATATACAACGACCTCAAAGTATACAGAAAGTGTCGAAGCAGAGGCAAAGGATGTCAATCGGGGATGGAGTGTATTAGGAGTAAATCGACCAAAGACACCGGCTACTTTGCAGAGGGCTTGGTGCCGGTAGGAATAGGTGCCTTGGTGGTGGGTTTCTTTTTCCCGATGACAAGAACTTCATCTTCGGACTCATCATCATATTCGTCTTCATCGTCACAATAGTATCGCGATTCGTCCTCTTCCGGGAAGCGCGGAGGCGAATCTGGCATGCGAGCCTTGACTGTCTCGCCAGTGCGAAGGATAGAGGGAACAGGAGAGGTGTCTTCGGCACTTTTTTCCTTGCTGAGATATAGCCCTTCCCCGGAGAGGGAGGAAGCACCGGAAACCACGGACGGGATACTGGGGTGAGATGCGCTGTGCGACATGCCACTGGTAAAGTCATCTGCAGAAGAGGAAGAGATAGTGGCAGCTGAAGGAGTAGAGACAGCGAGGCCATTGCTGGAAACCTCCGCGTTCTCGGGGGGGGGGATGGTTGGCAATTGAAGGGAATCCGTGGAATACATCGCACTCTCCATGTTGGGTCTTAAGGTGTCATCAGTACCTGGGTCGAGGTCACTCCGTTTATGACGCAAAAGAGCTTCCTTGGTAAGGTTGAAGGATTCCGCAGATGATTTTCCTGCAAGCTGCTGCGAGCGGTTGCGTCTGTGCGCAGAGGCTGGAACCTCAAGGGGCGCAGTGGCTTGAGTATGCCACAGCCCAGTAGACCGTACTTGGCCCATGGCGGAAGCATTACTTAAAGCAACGCTGGGCTCCGAACGATGGTCTCCATCCTCTCCGGCCGGAGACGTACGGCGGCTCCAGCTGCCAAATGCTCCATTACGCGAGGATCGTCGTGAGGACCCAGAGAGGAGGCCTCCCAAGTGGGCCCCGCCCAAGGCTTCGATGATGCTTGAGGCACCCGTCCGAGGTCTGGCAGGGCTATCCATGCTAATCTTTCGGACGGTTTTAGTTGACTCTGCATTGGACATGGAAGATCTCGCACGTCGAGGAGGGTCAGGGCGGGTTGGCACACCGGGAGTGGGGATTGTATTTCGTTCCGATTTTTGAGCAGCCAGGTCGAAACATGAGGACCACAGAGACTCTTCCTGGACCGGACTTGCGGTAACGCTTTGGGCCAACGGATGCTCCCCCTGGCCAGAAAGTCTTGAAGAGCGGAGGTCCTCATCACCTTTCAAACTTGAGCGTCGGCTCTGAGACGATGCCTTGCCAAAAGTGCTGCTACTGGAGGTCGAGGACAGCGTGTCTGTTGATGGGGTTGATGTGTGCTTGCGAGGATCCTTTTCCTTCGACGAGCGACCCGTGAACCATTTTGCCACGTTGGAACGGACTCGTTGAATGAAGGGCACCTTACTGACGGCAGTGGTGACTTCTTCATTAGAGACCTCAATCCGTTTGCCTTTGCTTTGGTGACCGGGATCAGTTTCCTCTACCCAGGCCCGAGGGTTGGGGAGTCCGTAGAGAGTCCAGGGATGGTGCTTGATCTCTTTTAGCGTGATGCGCCTCACAGGATCTTTCGTCAACAGTCGGCGCAAAAGGTCGTATAGCTCATCATCAATTTCTTCATATACAAGCTGATCGCTGTCGCGACATTCGTCTTGTTGGGTATCAAAAGAGTGATCCTTGACAGGAACAAGTCGCTTGCGTGGAATGAATACCTCTTTTTTCACAATGCTCTGGAACATGCTGTATCCGTCGTCTGAGACGAAGGGAAGGCGTCCAAAGACCATGCCATACAAAGTGACCCCAAGTGACCACACATCGATGGCACCCGTAATTTTAGGCACAGACCCAATGGTTTCTTCAAAGTCTTCTCCAGTATAGCAGAGTTCCGGGGCGTAAAAAGCAGGGGTGCCCACGGTTTTAGACAGCTCGCGTGCATTGTCCGAGTCCGTCGCGTCAGTCTCACCAACCTGCTCTTCCTCCTCATCATGCATGGGTCGACCCAGGTAAGAGACACCAAAATCCGAAATCTTCACCCGATAACTGCTTGTCACCAGAAGGTTCGCCGGTTTAATATCTCGGTGGATGATGCCCTGGAAGTGAAGATACTCAAGCCCGAGAACAGCATCTCGGAATGCACTGCGGGCCTCGGAAATCGTCAGACAAGGCACATATGCCATGTCGTCCCCTTCAGCGGACCATTCTGGCTCGGAAGGCGCATATCCAAAACTGCTAGATGCGGTGCTGAAGCGACGTTCAAACGGATAATCAGTGTAAGCACCGTACATACTACCCTCAACAGCAGCCAAAGTTCTATCTTGAAGAGAAGATTGACTGGGAGAGTCCTCGGTCACTGCCACTGAACGGGTAGACGAACGCCTCATAACTAATCCGAGGTCCTCGTCGTCTTCCGCTTCTTCATCTGACTCAACACCGTGTTCCAGACTCCAGGCAGGAATGGGGCCTTGCTGGGCATCTGCCGCCTGGGCCTGCACCCGTTGCCGTGCCTTTTCCCTTTGCCGACGCATGTGCTGAGCAGTCTTGATGAACTGGCGGCTTTCTTCGAGGAATGCCGGAGTATCAGGAATACCTGCCTTTTCGCGTTCGAATCGTATCTTATCGACATGGACAATCTCTCGGACCCCCTTCTTTCTCCAAATAATCTCACCGTTCTCCACAAATTCCAAAACGATATACACTTTTTGGCTATTTGGATCATCAATGACCTCTAGCAGACTGACCACATTTGGATGACGAGCCTTTTTCAAAATGGCAACCTCCTTCTTCACTTTATCCTCCGCATCACCTAGCTTGCCTAGTCGACGACGTTTGGAGTAACGCTGTACGATTTTGATGGCAACTTTCTGCTTGGTGTTTATGTGTTGGCCAAGTTTCACCTTCCCATGCTCTCCCCGTCCCAATTCTTCGAGAATCTCGTACTGGTTGATTAATTTGTTCCCCGTAACTTGATCCCGATCTACTTCCGCAGTATTGGTTTCCTTAGGCGGCTGTAGGTGGGTGGGGTGGAGATACGGGCTACCGAGTGCGCTTTCACCATCGGATCCAGAAGGTGGCGTCGTTCTCGGGCTTTGCATCGAGAACAATCCTGGGCTTGAGATGGGGGTATTTCCAGCAGTCCGGGAGACGCGTGCGAATCGAGGGATGGGATCGACATGAGATTGGAAGAGTCCTCTAGATCGGCCATACGGGGGTTGGGAGGTAGGGTGAACCTGCGATTGCAGAGAGGCATAAGACTGATCAGGGTAAACGGGATAATCCGGCCTCGCGTCTGATGGACGAGAAGTCCTCCGGGGACTTCGTCCGGTACCGCCAGTTTGCGACCGGGCATCCACAACGGTGTCTTCATTCAACGCCTGGAGGGAACTGGATGAAGAGCGGGTAGAAGGGGCTCGCGAGGATGAATAAACGTGAGGAAATGCTTGACGGAGAGTCGCCTGGGTGTCTGAAATATCGCTGTTCATGGGGACTTTGGGCGCCTGCTTGGTTGTGGTTTGACGAGGCTCGGGATTATCGTTTAAAGCAGAGAGGGCCTGCATGGTCTCATCAGAGCGAGAAGGCTCCCTCTTGCCATCCCTTGGGACATGGCCATTCCGTGTTGTTCGTTGAGCCGAATCGTCCATAATTTCCTTTCCTTCCCCCGATCGAGGGATTATAAATTGCGTGGGGGAACGGCAGGCGGTTTAGTTGCGCGGGCCAACCGTGCCAAAGTTGCAGTTGAGCATCCTCCTTGTAAATGTATTCCTCTCTTTGCTCTTGGAAAAAGTTGCTTGAAGAGCTGACAGGAAGCTCAGTTGGCACCGAAATGAACCAGCATTCCTTTCTGTGAGATACTGTGAGGTACCGAAGACGATATGTGGCACCGAGTACCGGAGGTGGCAGAAAACGGTGAAGGTCGCAGACCTGCTACTGCACGAGCAAGTCGGGGGCGTGGCCGCACAGAAGAGCACACGTGTAGGGCGGATAGGGGGGAGGGTCTCAAGGAAAAAGGAGCGCAGTCCGCAGCTGGAGGCGATACTATAAATAATTGGCGTGAGGATTTGGGATTTGAATCGTAGGGGAATGGCGATGAGAGGAGTGACGAAGGATTCAAGGAAAGTCCCAATGAAAGATATAAGGAAAGAAATGGGGAGAAACGGGGAGGGAAAAACCACCGGAGAAAGAAGTGGTTAAGAAAATCGAAAAGAGTGGGGGAGCAGGAAGTCGAGGCCAGGGAGAGAGGTTGGGTTCAACTAGTGGAATCAAGGCCCAGAAGCGATGATCGGATGCCAAGGAAAATGGAAATCATTCAGATTACCCCGTACCACTCGTGACATCTGAGTTGATGAAAATTACACCTACATGCTCAATCCGGGGAGGGGCGGGTATTAAATGGAGTCGAGCTTGAGAGGTTTGGAGCGATATTGGGTACCAGAAGATCCGGGAACCAGATAAAATGAAATAGAATTGAAATAGGGCTGCTATGGATCCGTGTACCTTGAGTAGAACTCGCCAAAAGAGGCCCCAAGAGTCAGAGATACAGAGGCTGTACAGGGCTGTACAGGTCACAGATACGGCAGTTGACCGCAGTTTACCAGCGTTTACACGTTGCCGCCGGGTGGGGCCAAGTAGCGCTAATCCCAATACAGGCGAATTTGCTGTTTTTTTGTCCTGTCATTTCGGTCTTTTTTTGTCTCAACTTCGACTTCCGGCCGGGAGTCCGTGGGTCTCTCGGTTGCAGATGCTGAGACTCGACTGGATCGACGGAATCTGGTACTTTTGGCTTCTGATATAACGTCGTTGAGAACATTTATGACTTATGAACCCTTACGAATTGCATCCGTACACACTGTGACTTCCCTTTGCTTCTCCAGTAGGGCCACTGACATCGCCAAGTGCTTGGCTGCGTATTTTCTTCCCTCGCAGGATTGGCATTGTTGAGGGATCTCCCTGATATCAATTGATGATGTTGGGGGCAACTCGCAAATCCCCTAATTCTGGCCGCAATGGAGCCGTCATCATCACCGAATCTGATTGCGCCTCGTTCACACGGCACCACGGTTGTCTGTGGCTTTGCAATCCTTATTCTATCGACCGGTTTTGCGGTTTTGACACCTGTCAACCTCGTGTTTCTTCTCGCTGAACCATTAGACCATATTAGTGCCCACCAATTACAGCCCGGAAGCATTATATGATGCTCGACTAACCTTCTCTCCCGAGTTGGCCCCCTCCAAGTAAACTTTGTGAGCTTTGGCTCCCTAAACAGGCCCATGGATATCAATTACCTATTTTCTTGCTTCCTGATGGGCTAGTCTCGGCCACGCTAATGTTTCACCCCGAGCATTTGCAGCGAGGGGGCCGCAGCGAAAGGAACAGGGGTTCCGGAGCCATGCATGGTCCATCCACCGACATCGGGACGCTTCGCTTTTACGTGCAGACCGACTACTCGATCGAGTATTTCCTCGTAGCTATAGGGAGATGATAAGCGGACCCCAACATGAACACTCCGTCTCATGGACGGCGAAAAGGCCAGCGAAAAGGCCAGCGAAAAAGCCAGCGAAATGGACGGCGAAAAGGTTCCGATCCAAGCTCTGGGGAAAATGCAGATGTCCGTGCGCCTCAGATCGTCCCTTCCTGCTCTTTTGCTTGTTTTGCCCGTTTTGAAAACGCCGGATACAGGTGCTTTACGTCATGCATCAGGGTCTAGGCCCCTAATTAGCCTGAGCTGCTCGAGCCTGCGCTTATCCATCTTTCAGCGCACAGGCCAAGTCGTATTCTCTCCCAGTCCCAGCACTCAACTGCTGTAGTTTGGCCCTTAATTATCGCCTTTTCGACTCCGAGCCCAACCTTTGCCCGACGGTTCTTTACGTCGACACTCTGGTACGACTCTCTTCCGGCTGCACGAATTCGCGGTTTTTGAAAAGTCTGCCCCGCTAGCTTCATCCATCAGCTTCATCCCGGCTTGATTCCCGAAACCCCGCATCCTGGAGTTCGGCTCGCTTTCGCCGGCTCAGTACTTTGATGCCACCCCATACCGGTTCTCACGATGCAGGCCCGATCATGCCAATCTTCATTGGACGATGAGCCAGAAGCGGCCCACAGTCCTTGCTCCCCGCATCATCAAAGTCCCACTTGGGCAGGCTTACGGGGGTCAATACCAGCGCCATGACAGGTACCCCCCCCCGTACTCCATACACTCTGAATACTAGAGCTGGACGCTCAACACCAAAAAATCCGCCGCGATCCGTTAATATAAGCTGGGCATACTTGAATATCCTCTCAGTCTATGCCTTTTTGTCTCAAGGGATCCAAGCTCTCAGCGCCTCATGCGCAATAGTGGCGATCCATGCACCCTTTCCTTTTGCCCCCATCAGCGAATCGCGCCCGGTCGCTGATCAGTGCGGATCTCCCTCAGCGGTTTTGATGGTGTCGGCGGTGCGGCCGCTATGTGACACAAGCCGCGAGGGGCCTTTCTCCGACCCGCACTGCTGGTCAGTGCCACATTCGCCTTTCTTATTACTCTGTGTTAACGTCCGATACCAGTGGGCCATGGGAACACAGGGTATGCTTTGCATGATGTACTAGCATTGCATTGTAGAGCGCAGTTCTCATATCCGTATTTAACACGCACTACTTGGGATGGCCCAGGCTTTTGGGACTGCTAGCCCGCCATGGTACGTGGTGCTGTAGACGCCCAGCCTTCACTTCATGCTCAAGAATATGGCGGCCTTCCATATACGACCTATGATGAATGGTGATATCATGCGCGGCCTACAATGCTTCCGTCCGGACTAGGCTCGAAACGACGTTCTATATCCGAAATTGCCCTAGCCTATAGTAACAGCGAAACTAGCTAGGAGAATGACGGGAAGTGCCAGGTATTGCATGGATATGGAAGTTGGTGCAGGGCTCAGTGCCCAGTTAGATCCTCTTTTGGTATGGGCTCGAAGTTGAATGTAAGGAGCGCTCTTACATCTGAATATCCCAATTACGACTCATAATCTCGAGGACAGTGCATGTCCTTCATTCGATACTGATGTATAAGCTGCGGCGACTGATGAAAAAAAAACACCGCCACCATTATCCGTCTTCTTCCGGCCGTAGCGGCGATTCATAATGCCAGCCAGTATATGGACCCGTGGACACGTGGACCTCACGAGCCTTGGAAATTGGTGTATAATATTTACTACTAGTAGTATATAATCTACTAGGATGTAAGTATCACTGACTTCACTAGCCTTATTTACTTTGTAGCTCGGTAGGGGGTCTGGAATAAGATACGCAACAATGACGCCTAGATTTGAAGAAGCGTGCGTTGATAGCTTCGGCTATCAGCCGGGATGAGCTGCATCCACGGAACAACTTCAACCAGGCCGTCTATGAATTACTCGGGCAGAGACACATGTTGGGCCTTGATCTACTGCCGTTCTTTGATACTGCAGGCTCCGAGGTTGACAGCGGCCGCTCGTAATAATTCATTTTATAGGGCTTTTGTTAGGTTCCGATTCGCTGGGATTTCACAATATCCCCACGGAATGGGCGGTATCAGGCAGTCTACCTCCTGTACCATGTAAATAAGACAATCTACTATATCATCCATACATAAAACCGCGTTGAACGAATACTCTACACTGTACGACAGGCCAATAAATGCCAGATCCAGGTCTCGCTTCCTATACCAAATTACAGGAAAGCAACACCCGATCTACATAAGTCAAAGGCAAACTCACCTGCAAAGCTCGTGCTCGAGGCCCTATGTACCTGTGGAGCCAGTTCGAAGAAACCATCGGGGACCAGTCGTACGAGGCAACATACCAATTTCCATCCCAACCGAGTCCAGGGGCATCATCATGCCGTGTTCACATAGGACGCACAGCTGGACTGAGCTTGTCTCATTTCCACATCAGCCCAGACACTGGAACCCCCGCAAGCTTAAGGCGCGCGCATTGCAAGTGCGACTGGAACCGCTATCAGGATTGCCACCAGTGCAGTCAGCTAACTGTTTTTGATGGAGGCGATCGACCATGCCGCGGGCAGCGTCCAAGGCCGATGCCCCTATGCGCTGCCCCTATGCGCTGCCCTTCTTTGACCAAGGTGTTTGAACCGGCCGTGCATGATGTATATTGTACCCGGGGCTTAGCCAAGTGAATGCTGGTCTAGCCGGTTGGCGTCGGATTGTCTTGCCCGGTGCTGATTCTGATGCCCCTGAATGGGGCTGTGCAGGTTCGCCAGTGCGCGGGTTCGCTTTCTTTGGCTCGAAGGATTGGGTTCGCGGAGCCTTGGAGAAGGTTTGGGGCAAGTACTGCCACTTGGTGGGTTTCACTTGCAGGGTTCTCTGTATAGAGCGAAAGACTATAGCCTTATAGAAGTTAGTGATATTACGTTTTTGGTTTTGTTTAGGATTGTATTTTCGCCGGATGCAAGTGCTCAGGCCCTCTTGGGGAAACAAAGTCTAGTATTCGTCGGCTATATTGCCCCTCGTTCTCCCAGTGCCTCCATTGTTTGACGAGCGCTGAAACTTATTGACTGGAGCCGAAAAGGGTTTGCTTTTGGGAAAAGTCGGGGAAAACGCAGGCCAAGGCTTTCAATCATCAGCGTATACTAGGGTTATTGTGGGCGCATGATCCACTAACCTTCTCCGATTCCATACATATAGTGTTTTTCAGTGTTAGGGTGGCTTTTTAGAACCATCTCACGTCGAAGAGACCAAATAAGAAGATTTTGGTTCATTAAGACATCAATCCTTGGGCATTCGATCGAGCGTACGGTGAGCGCGGAGAAGATAATCATACAATATTTTCTGGTATCCAAAAGGCCATGCTATGCACACATAACAAGAACGCTGTGAGTTGCGTCCAACTTTGTACAGCTGCTATAATCCGTCGGATGTTACACCTTGTCAAGCCGGTGGGTTGCCAGCAGCCAGTAGATCTTCGAATCCCCGCCCGTCCAGGTATGAAGAGCCCATGACATGATAGCCATCTTCTCTAAGGATTCCCCAGAGTAGCTTGTTGCATCTGTTAATTGAGGGCTCCAGGGCTCCAGGGCTCCATTCTTTGGGATGAATAAGCAATATGAATCGACCTGTGGACCCGTGGACGGACAGAGGACCATTCTAGGAAGAAGAGAACGGCAATGCACTTAGAGCTAGACCAGATATAGGGAACATGCCGTAGCTTCTTTCAAGCATCCTTTTAGCTTATCTTAAGGAAAGACGCTGGGCATGGAGAAAGGGTGCAAAAGGCATCTAAGGGTTCCGAGTTCTTGATAGTTGTTAGTTCAAACTATTCCAATCATCATCCACTTGTCTGGTTTGACCGCAACGTGGATTACTGGATCCTCCTTCAATAGAGCCTCAAACGATGCCTAATCCGATAGCCTCCAAGCAGCAGCCTTGAAAGTCTGATTTAGAAGAGAGAATTGGGTTGTATCAAGGTAGTCAGGTGATGTACCAGGGAGATCCGAGTGTTTACGCAGCGTAGGGGCAGATCAAACGTTCGGCTGCTCTCCAGGCAAGGAGAATTCGCGCTATGCTCGGAGCATATCATAATCTTACCCCACTTGAAGAAAGGATCTAAAGCTGTGAAGCAGCGGGCTTGTTGTATCCGGCACAAATCAAAAATACGACACTGGCAGGCTTCTGCTTTTGACGAATGTACTGCATTTCGTAGGAGGATGGCCCAGACCTTCTTTCACACTATACAAAAAGAGCTAGATAGAGGGGAAGCAGCCGAATCGGCCAGAGACCCTCGGATGACCCCTCCTAGCGTGAAGATTCGTGGATCCAAGCGTGCGTCCGCGCAATACAAACGCCACGGTGATCTGCGTTGCCCCCGCAACGATGTTGATCGCTGGCCAATGTGTCGGCCTACTGGTCGTGTCCAGAGCGCCCCTCAGCCCCGGGACGATGGTATTGCAGTAAAAACTAGAGGACATAGTCCTTAAGGTGGCGTGTGATTGGCGTGTCCCCTTTGAAAATCGTAGTCCAAATTTTGTGGGTGTGTTTACTCCCTCGGCATTTTGCATCTTTACATCCCAACTCTGGTCCTTCTCACCCCAGCAAATTTTGTTCGGTCAGAATGCCTATGCTGCAATAGAGAGACTTGTTTTTCTATCGCGTGGCCGCCATGCTTGTCGATCCTGGAATGCACACTCTCCCTTGAATGTCTCAGATTGCGATTCCTAATGCGATGGAGCCCCGCGGCTGCTCCAAGCGTTCTCCGCCAGCCGTCTCAGTCTTATCTCTAGCATTTCTAGCGTCGCTGAATGTTGCTGCTGCAATCCCATACACGCCCTCGACGATATGCGTCTCCTCGTTGCACAATGACTCGATCGCATACCTCCTCCGGCCCAGTGGCTCCGGCAGCACCGAATTCCTCTCCCTGAATATCTCGAGCATTGATACCGGAAAGACATCCTTTGACACTCTACTCCAAGAGACTCCCTTCCATTATACGAATCAATCGTCCACCTTCATTCCCACGGTCGATGATCATGGTGTCATTACTGTTTACGCGGGAGATTGCCACGGCACGCTCTCCCAATCAGTATGGCAGTTCCAACCCGACAACAGCAGCTCAACTGGCAATGGGACCTGGAACCAGCTCTCGGTCAATCCAGGGAAAGGGCTCGTACAGCCCAACTACCTAGCGGCTGGCTTTAGCTTCACCTCCGCCGACTCAACCGACACCTCCATCTATTCTTTTGGGGGTATGTGTCCGTTCGCCAACAGTACCGATGAGACATGGGTTTCTGCTGCCAATTATTCGCAAAACATGATCGCGCTCAAGCTTTCCGATGGAGGCAGCCTCGATGCAAGCATTACCGGATCTCGCGCACCTCCTGTGCCCGAGGCAGGGATGGCCGTTGTGCCATTGTCGCCCACCTCGTCACGGACCGAGAAGCAACAAGACTTCCTTTTGATCGGCGGACATACCCAGCACGCTTTTCTTAATATGTCGCAATTGGCTATATTCTCGGTCCCTCAAGAAAGCTGGAGCTTCGTCAAGGTCAATTCCGCGCCCTCGGCGAGAACCGAATTAGCGATTAGGGATGGATACAGTGTCGAGCCTCGATCCGGTCACGCAGCTGTGTTGTCGGAAGATGGAACGAAAGTCTTTGTCATCGGTGGCTGGGTGGGAGATACTTCTGTGCCGGCTGATCCCCAACTCGCAGTGCTTGAGCTAGGCGAAAATTATGGAGGCACTGGAGAATGGACTTGGAACTCACCATCGTCGTCATTAGCTTCGGAGGCTGGCATCGCAGCAGGAACCGGTATCTTTGGCCACTCCGCAGCTATGCTCCCAGGAGGCGTTTTGATGATTGCTGGGGGGTATAGTATTCCAAAGAAGTCGTCAAAACGGGCTACATCGTCTGTGGAGCGCAACCCTCATGTTTATCTGTATAACTCCACATCAGGCGCCTGGGTCACATCTTACACGAACCCAGTCGCTAAGCCACACAGTGCTTCCCCAGCGCATACCGGCGATAAACTCAACAAAGGGCAAAAGATCGGATTAGGAGTTGGCTTGAGCCTTGGGCTCCTCGTCGCGTTCGTTATTCTAGCGTTTGTATTGCGATATCACCAGAAACGCCGGGTGAAAGGGAAGCGAGATTCACAACTGCGCGAGCTTGCGCTCGGAGCCGAGCGCGCACACTTCTGGGGCCATGATGAACCGTACCAAGCAAGCAGCATCCGAAGCTCTCAAATGAGTGAAAAAACCGATCCTGCCAGAGGCTATGCCTGGGCGACAAATCGCAACGGCACAACACACCCTTGGAAAGACCAAGGCGATGGAACTGAGCGAACAGGATTGCTTGCTGAGTCGCCGAGTCCAAAGAAAAGCCCTCAGAATACCCGTCCCACCAGCAGAGCCTGGTCATATCGCCCGTCGGGAATTAACGATTACCGGCGAAGTGAACTCACAAGTGAAATTCATCCAATAGATGAACGTGAAGAGGACGAAGCTATTTTCCGTGAGCGCTTGATGGCAACCATCCCTAAAGATGAAAGACCCCACGTGCACGACGAAAATGGTCCGTTTTCTGATACTACATTCGCAACTCCCCGGAGCACCATCTTTGGGGTTGGCCTAGGTCCTTTTTACACCCGTAGGAAGGGCATGGGCTCCGTTGACGAAGATGGACGGTCAACTCCCACGAAAAGTGAACGCACCTCCACGGGTCTGTCTGAGGGATCGAACTTTTCCTTCTCCTCCGGACTAACCGGGCAAGTACAGCAGGCACGGGCCGTTTATGTTAATCGGCCTCTTAGCTGGTCAAGCAGCGGCGGGCGTTCTGTCGACCATGTTGCAGCCGCATCAATCCACAGCAGGGACACAACCCACAGTGAAGGCGATGGGATGATAGCACCCTCGGAGAAGTCATACTCCGGAGATTCCTACTCAACGGCCCAGACAACCATGCTCGACCGTCAGGCAGAAAACACCTCGCTCATGCTTGATAATGACCTCAACCCCTCTCATGAAACATCGCCATCGAAGCTTCCACCTTCCTCAAAACCACGAACCTCTGGCGTTTTCGAGACTGTCCGCCGGGCTCTTACTCTCACTCGACGCGACTACACAGTTCCACCAGATCTTGATGATTCTGGCGTTGCTTCTGGTATTGACCGTCGAAGCACGGTGGTTGGGTTGGGGCTCAGTGGAATCAACAGCGGTGCCAGCACTCCTCGCCGAGCCGTTAGTGCTTCTGCTGAATTGTTTCGACGGAAACAAAGCGCAAAAAACTGGAATGCGAAGAAACGCGAGTCAGACAATGGCTTTGTGACCGCGAGATCCACGCGCGATGACCTCTTCATCGGTGCACCCGGCTACCTGGGCGATGACGAGACCATGGACGACGAGTGGGATGGTGACGGCGTCGAGAACCGCAATGTGCAGATGGCCTACCTGGCTCCGCGTGAAAGGCTGCGAGTCGTCAATTCCACAGCCGGAGACATGGACAATATCTCTCAGCGCTCCACGAGTCGTGGTCTCAGTGGCTCTAACACTCCCCGCAGAGTCAGCAACTAGAACGACAGTTACGGGTCATGTTCTTCTCTTCCCTTGTACTTATGAATCCCCTTTTTGAATCTGTCGCAGTTCTCTGGTCGCAGATTGTATACAAGATGATGATGTGTGATGGTTATGGTTTTTTCTTTTTTTCTTTTTGGCGCTCGGGTTCTGGATTTGACGTTTTTCTGGTTTTCATTTATCTGGGGTTTCCCAATTTCGTTCGCTTGATATCCTCGGGGTACTGCCCATGTTCAGACCTCATGCGGAGGCAGGAGTTGTTTCTCGAATTCATTTGAGACTTGAGAATGTGTGGAGTGTTTGGAAGCGCTTGACTAGATATTTCGTGTACAGTCGGAGAAAATGAGATTTGATTCAGCTTTTCATACATTCTACTATGACTCTTCGACGTCTGACCTGGCGCAAACTGGTGTATTGTTAAGACCGTTCTAGAGGAAAAGGCCTTTCATGTAATCGTATCTCATGCATTTCATTCAACAATTTTCTTTGGTCAGATTTCAGGGTTTACAGAAATCTCAGACAGTTCAAACCAGAATAAACCGAGCTTCCATCTCTATTTATACGATGGCTTTTTATGGCATTGTAGTATCTCTCTATGCCTGTTTGATGTTTCCTCCCCAAGGTGTCAATGAGTGCTACATTTACGAAGCAGGAGCACCGCTGGGAGCAGACTTCGACGGCAGGTTGGTGGCCAAAGGAGGAAGGAGACTTCTGGCAGATTCGCGAGCACTCTGGGCCATCAGAGCATCAATGATGACAAGCGAAGACATAGCCTCAACGATAGGAACAGCACGGGGCACGACACAAGGATCGTGGCGACCCTTAGCTTCAAGCGTACCATCCTCGAAAGCGTAGGTAGCAGTGGTCTGTGCTTGGCCGATAGTCGCAGGGGGCTTGAACGCGACACGGAAGTAGATCGAGGCGCCGTTGGAGATACCGCCCTGGATACCACCCGAGTTGTTGGTTTTGGTAGTCAGTCGCTGGGTGCCATCTGGCGAGCTGGCGGCGATGAACGGGTCGTTGTGAATCGAGCCAGGAACCTCGCAGCCACCGAAGCCAGAGCCAATCTCGAAGCCCTTGGTAGCGGGGATGCTCAGCATGGCGTGGGCCAGCTTTGCCTCGAGCTTGTCGAAACAGGGCTCTCCCAGGCCGATGGGCACGTTGCGGATCACACACGTCACGGTTCCACCGATGCTGTCGTGGTTGTCGCGGAATTTCTCGACAACCTTGGTCATGCGCGCGGCGGCCTCCTCGTCGGGGCAGCGGATGGGGGCATACTGGTCCACGGTGGGGCGGTCGATAGTCTCCAGCAGTTTCAGGTAGTCAGGGTTGGTGGATGCGGTCGGGTGTTCGGGAGTAGGAGGAAAGAGATGCTCGTTGCCCACAGAGGAGACAAAGGCGACAATCTCGACGTTGTGCGCCAACCTGAGGTACTTCTCTGCGATAGCGCCAGCTGCAACACGGCCTGGAAAACAGGGTTAATTGGAGAGTTCTTTGTCTGGGGCACTTTGACCTCAATCTTCACCTACCAATGGTCTCGCGGGCACTGCTACGGCCACCACCGCTGCTAGCCTTGACCCCGTACTTCTCAAGGTAGGTGAAATCAGCATGACTGGGACGAGGGTAGAGGTCCATTGTGCTGCCACCGTAGTCCTTTGGTCTTTGGTCCTCATTGCGGACTATCATTCCAATTGGTGTACCCAGGGTCACTCCGAATTCTGTGCCGGACTGGATCTCGACGCGGTCCTTCTCATTGCGCGGGGTTGTCAAGGCACTCTGGCCGGGGCGGCGACGGGTCATTTGGGGTTGGATATCGTCCTCGGTAAGTTGCATGCCTGGAGGGCATCCGTCGACAATGCAGCCGACAGAGCGGCAGTGTGACTCGCCATAGCTGGAGAAAGGGTGAGCACGAGGTTTTGACAGAGGCGGGGAGGATCATTTACGTGGTGACGCGGAAATGCTGACCCCACGTCGACATTATGAGATCGTTATTTGATTTTCAGGGAACGGAGTGCGCAAAACAGGCCAATGGCGTGGGAAACGGAGTTATATATATTCGATAGTTTCCGTTCTCGATAGAAACCCACGATGAGTCAAAAAGCGCCGAGCAAATACAGACTTACGGAATGAAGAAAAAAAGAGGGAATCGACTCATCGTACGACTTCCTATCCGGGACTAGCGTCCCCGGTTTCTATCTTCTGTTGATCGCGTGGATTCTCCGACTATTGAAGCTATTCAGCTCCCTTGCTCCCTCATGCTTCGAGGATGCTCCTCGGTCTTCGGTAGGTCGATCCCCTTCGTCCGCCACAATTCCTCGTTTCCCGTCCAGAGCTTCGCCGAACTCGCCAGTCGCCCGACCTCGCGGCACCAGATTTACCAGTCGGTATCGACGGACCCGTACGTCAATCTCTCAATTGAGCACTTTCTGTTGGAGAACGCGCCCGCGGACTCCAGTATACTTTTTCTCTACATCAACAAGCCCTGCGTGGTCATTGGCCGAAATCAGAACCCATGGCTAGAGACAGATCTCCGCGCGTTATACAATGATCGCAGGCCGACTACGAGCGATTCCGACGCGGCGCTCTACGTGCGGCGAAGGTCAGGAGGTGGAGCTGTATTTCATGATGAGGGAAATCTGAATTATAGTGTGATATCGCCGCGCACTTCATTTACCCGTAACAAGCACGCTGAAATGGTGGTCAACGCTCTTCATCGCGTCGGAGCTCTGGGCACGAGCGTGAACGAACGACACGATATCGTCCTGGCGTCCAAGGAACAAGACAGAGGAAGTACACCCAGGAAGGTCTCTGGCTCCGCCTTTAAATTAACGCGAGACCGAGCACTTCATCACGGCACCTGCTTGCTCGACTCGCCCAACATCCACGATCTCGGCCGGTTCCTGCGCTCCCCGCGCGAGAATATATCCAGGCAAAAGGAGTTGAGAGTGTTCGGTCTCCGGTTGGAAACGTTTCGAGCGCCCTAGCGGACTCGTTCTTTTCAATGCGATCTGTGATGGACCACGTGGTGGAAGAATTTGCACGGCTTTATTCGACCCATCCAGACGCGGTTCGGCGGGCACGACGAGCGCACGCAATCGAACCGGAAATATTTGCAGGTGATGACTGGGTCGCAGGCACCGTCGGAGACCTGCAGGGCGAGCAGGAGCCGGAGATCGGCAAGGGGATTGCCGAACTACGAGTGAGTGGATTTCTGACATGCGAGGGGGTCTATTGCTAATATTTGGATTAAGTCTCTCGACTGGAAGTACACCCAGACGCCACAGTTTACATTTTCCACATATCCTATTGAACAGGACCCTCGTGAGCGTCCACCATTGTCACCCTCACTTCCCCTTTCGGTATGCTTCGATGAAATTTTTACCAGCTTATAGTTTCCGTGCTCACACAGCTTGCTAGACTAGGGTTTTCATTCGCTGCAAACACGGCGCAATTATTGAAAGCAATATTTCTGTGTCTGCTGAATCATTCACAGCTTCAGAGCAAGCTCGAAGCATTCATGATCTCTTGCAAGGACAAAAGTTGCATGAAATGACCATTGAGCGCTGGTCAGACACTTTCCGACAGGGTCTTGGCCCACATCAAGTGGATGGAGCTGTTGTAGAAAATCTCTCAAACCATGTTGGGGCTCTGTTAGGAGGGTCTTGATGCCTCGTGCATGCTGTCACTCAGCATAACGCCAAGGATCGTCACTTCTGAGCAAGTGATCTGTAATTATAGTCGGAATAGCCGGGCGCCTTAACACATTGCTCGCAAGCAATGCTTAAGCATTCTCTATATCGCAAACCAATAATGCTCCGTAACCAATTTCACGAGCCACTACAGCACGCCGGTAGGTCAGTAAATAACCTAGTAATACAAGCCATAAGCCGTATCCACTGATTATAGATGGAATTAATACTCTTCTACTTTTGAGTTGAGCCTCCTATTTTAGGCGAACTGATGCTTCTAAGTTTGAGAAGATAGTTGGAAGACTGCTAGTGCTTGTACATCAGCTAGCATCCTATGCGTGGGCGTCCGTCAATGACCTCAATTCATCTGACTAGTTGCTGTGATGCCTATTGATTGTGTACATGAGGATACATTTTCAAGTTCGAGCGATGGGCCCCCATTTGCCTCCCTCTACCCAAATTCTGTTTCCAATTATCTCTGTCTTTTCCAGACTATTGATAGCAGCCTCAAGGAATAAGGTCCCTTTCATCATTCTGGTAGTCTGAGGAATTGAACTCGGTGCCAGTTCCAGGGAACTCATTGTCTTTGTGAGAATTCCTCTTCCTGGAAGGCCTTCTTGCTTTTCAGATCCCACTCCGGCTTAGGCGGCCTCCGCTCTGTAGGGAAGGGTAGCTTCTTCCGCGCGCGAAAAGCAGGCACGGATTCGGACTGAACCTCACCAGAAGCCGCAGTGGGATTCATAGCAGATGGGCATCTTTTTTTTCCGCATCGATTGCAGCTGCCATCGGTTCTCTGACCCCTGCTTCAGCCAAATTATCCGCGTCCACTAGTCGAGCAGATTCTCCGTTCTCATACCTGACCGAAGAACGATCATAAGGCTCGGATTGTTTAAACAAAAATTCCCTTTTGTTCATCACATTCGGCGTCTTCTCAATATCAGGCGATACCTGGGCTTGCTTGTTCTTGTGTTCGTCGATATTCTTGAGGCCCATATCCTGTATAAGATGACGCCGAAGAGCAGACGGAAAGCCTTCTGAAGATTTTGTGGCCATACAATGATTTGCAAGACATTCATAAAACTGCTCCCAATCAGGAGTATTTCGGCCACAATGTGCACATCTGCCTGGGCAAGTCCTATCAATTGCAGACTTCTGAACGTTTGGCCTGCTGGTCCGAATTCCGTGCGTGCTTAGGAGATGCTCCTTCAAGTGGTCCAAGAGATCGAAATGTCGTTTTATGCATCCTGCTTGACAAACATATGTCACAGAGGGGTAATGTTGTATTTTCATATGGCGGACGAATACAGCCTTTCTACCAAATCCCCTGTGACATTCAGGGCATACCCAAAGTGACCCAGCATTGCGGTTATGCTCATCATTGGCAGTATGCAGACTGCTGAGCATAGGAGAAGGTAAAGGAGTCTCATCCCTAAGAGGCTGCGCAGCTTGAAAATTTTTGTGCTCAGCTTGGATTTTGTTATGGTACCCTTTAGCCAGGGCAGATACATTATCAAGAGGGAGGTGGACACGCGTGTGAAACACGGTGTCGAGAAATTCTCTGGCTATTTCCCAGTCCATAATCACACTCGCAGAGGGCTCTCGCCATCGATAAACCAGAGGCAATGCCTGAGATTGAAAGAAACAGGTGATTGGGTCTACCTCCTTGCGGGTCAGGAACTCTTTCTGTTCCAAACTTAGAGCGGACAATTTAGCTTTGATTTTTTGAATCTCTTCAGGAGACGTTTCAGTGAGCAGTTTATCTGCAAGGGAAAGAAGTTCCTCTCGTTCAATGGAGTCTAGCCCATCAAAAACGACTTTGTCTTGAATAGGCTTGCTCAAGCTTGTTTTGTTGTGTCTGTCCGTGGGGTTGTTGCTTGCACTGTCAATTCCGGAGATGTCGTCACTTAAAAGCCCCTCGTTCCGTGGGAGAGATGCCAACGATATGTCTTCAAGGTGTCTTCCCATATGAGTCACATAAGTATTTGTGGCCTTCCAGCCAGTCTGTAAGCATAATGGGCATTTGTAATCCTTGAATTGTGGATCGAGGACCTTCTCTTCAGCTCTTGAGATTTCAGCTGTCAAATGATGGCCAGACAAGTTGATTGAATGTGTCACGCTCATGTGCTCGACCCAGCGCGATTTGGTGGGGGCTATATAATTGCATGTGGAGCAACGCCATTTTGTCACGGTGAAGTGCTCATCAAATTCATGTTCTGCCCATAGACCGCGGCTTGGAAATGTTCTGAGAGCATCTTTGCATCGATCATGTGTGCATAGATATGATTGCAAATCACCGAAAACATGGACTCTGCCCTCGATCAGCTTTTTTGGCCACTTTTGATGAGAAACGTTACACACTCACGTCCATTGCGTTTGGCTGCGCAACCTTATATTCCTTTGACAATAGTTACACCGAAAGAGCTCACCCTTCTCAGGTAATGGTGGCACGCGGGGGCGATCCTGGCTCTCTTCTTGGCTGGATGACGTAAAAGAGATATGAGAAGAAGCAGTACCAGCGTATACAGAGCCTAAACTGCGTCCGAGGAATAAAGGGTGGGGCTTGGAAATAGTTGAGATATCGTTGCCTTTTCCTGCGTTGTCATCATCTTGTAACTCTCGGAGGCGAATCGACCTCTCCCAGTTCGCCTCCGCTAGCCGCTCTATGAGGAAAAGAGGTGCATCGGCAAATCTAGGCTTATGATCAGCCTTGTCAATGGGATAGCTTTGGGCATTACCAACCTGTCCAGAATCCGCATGGCGTATGGTTGTGCACTTTGCGACAAATTGGAGAAAGCCCCTTTGGGCTTGCTGGATGTCTCTCTTTTATTTTGCAGGTATGAACCATACTTGTCAATGAGTGGTATAAGATTCACCATGCATTTGATGTAACAATGTAATCGGCCATAGCGATTTTGGTCCCGTTCAGACTCCGAACATGAATCGTCAGAAGTCTCGTCATCAGACGAGGGGCAGGAGTCAGAATGTTCTTCTGTCGAAAGAATGATCTTTGCCTTCTCTAGCTGAGTCCTCAACTCTTGATGAGGAGTTATTCTGAGGCGGGTCTTTTCTTTGGTGTCGACTGGAGTCTCCGCTGGGGCGGAGAAAGATACCAAGATCTTCCCGATCCCCACCAAGTTCTCGATCACATTTATTCTCAAATGATGTGATTGCTCAATGGTAGCGTCGAGATTTCCAGGCAAGAAGTTTTCATCCCACCTGCTAAGATCCGCGACATCCTTTCTAAGGATGTTCTCTCGAGAGCCAGGTGTTGGTCGATTTCCATATTTCCATAGATGAACCAGAACAGCAGTGCAAGTTCGATAAAGGGTCTCAATAAAGCCGATGTCCGGGTTTTGAGCACTATGGTCAATTCTGGATAAGATCAGGTCACGGTCGAGTGGTGGTTCCTCTTTTTGGATTTCCATGGTGCTGATTGAAAATGTTCAGCTGGACTGACTTTTGAGGAGGGATGAGGCTGATTTTGAGGGGCTAATCGGGCGAAAAAAGCAATATGCAAACCAGCTGAGCAAGGCTGACTTGGTTGGTGTATGGGCGGCCTGCGCCCCCGTGTCAGCCAGCAACTCAGCTCGATCCTCTTCCAAGCAACGCTGTCCATGTTCTTCCAATATCTACGCACGAAATGGTCAGCAATCCCCCCAAAAGCCGGAATGAATTCGATGTCGCTGTTATATGCGCCCTGCCATTCGAGGCGGATACCGTGGATGCCCTCTTCGACTATCGTTGGGACGAAGAAAGTGATCGATATGGGAAGGCTCCAGGAGACAGGAACACATACCGAACTGGGCTGATCGGTAGTCATAATGTCGTGTTGGTGTGCATGCCGGGCATCGGTCGGGGCCACGCAGCTGGCGTTGCAGCAAATCTACGATCGAGCTTTCAAAATATCCGTCTCGCCTTGATGGTCGGTGTCTGCGGAGGGGTACCAAATGGAGCTGAAAAGGGAATATTTCTTGGCGATATAATAATTAGCGATGAAATCGTGGTATACGACTTCGGCAGGCAATATCCTGCAGGCTTTCGCCGCAAGGAAGGCATAACAGAGTCGACTCTCAACCCCGAAGTACGAACTTTCCTGCAAAGGCTAAAGAGCCCGAGTGGTCACAAAGCTCTACTCAAGAGAGCCCGTCATCATTTGACGAAGCTTCAGCAGACTGGACATGTTTCAGTCCCAGTGCTGAAACAAGACCGGCTTTTCCCAGCAAATTATCATCACAAACATCAAAATCATGCAAAATGCAAGCGATGTAGAAAAAATGAAAATTGCCAAAAGGCCCAGGAATCTACATGCGTCGAACTAGGATGTGACCAGAAAGCCATCAGCCGCTCACGTTTGTTGTTGGATGTCAATGATGTCAATGATATTCACTTTGGGCGAATCGCTTCAGGTGACACAGTCATGAAATCCGGAACAGAGCGAAACAGAGTGGCTTTAGCAGATAATATCATCGCATTCGAGATGGAAGGCGCCGGAATCTATACCAACTTGCCTTGTCTCGTGGTCAAGGGGGTATGTGACTATGCAGACAGCCACAAGGATAAGGAATGGCAACTTTATGCAGCTAGAACAGCAGCTTCGTGTATGAAGTCTGCGCTTGAACAGTGGCCAAAGATAGATCGATCCGATGAAGGCCCCAAAACCTATACAGGCCCATTGCTTGAAGCTTCTCATGGAATTGAGCCATCGGCTGAGCCTCAGTCTCAATCAATATGCCTGGACGAGGGTTCTCACAGCCAAAACATCCATCCGGATCCTGTCACCGGGACCGATCAGCTCTTCCAAAGTGAGCTTAGCATTTGCTATGGGAATTTGAGAGTTGCCGCTAACAAAGTCTAGTTTTGCCCGAGGTTGAATTGGCATTCAAAGAAACTCTTGCCTGCTTCAAACGCAAGAGCATTCGCAAGTTCCTACCCCGAGATTTTGGTCTCAAGCAATATGTAAGGAACCAACAAATTATTTACTTGGACTGCTTGAGATCCTTGACGTCACAAGATCGGACATACGAGGGCAATGATCAGGCATCTCAAGCTACTCGTCGGGATGTTATTTTAAGCATAAAAGAAAAGCTTGAGGAGATCTCGGATCTGGCAAAGTGTCTCCCTGTGTCGACAAAGGCGACACTAGATTCCACAAACGCTACAGATGTGCTGAAAGTAGGTATACATTATCAAATTGTTCGATTTTGTTCGTATACAGGATACTGACACAAACCTCAGGAGTCTGTAGAAGACTTGGAATCACGAGTCCAGGTTCTCTTGTCGTTGATGACTCAGGCTGAAGAGCCTTCTTCTTTCATAAATGACACCGTTACAGCAAACCACGCGCGAAATCGCGAGTTCAAACATTTCCAAGTGATCCAAAAGGCCGCCTATAGTCTATACGATGCATTAGGCACCGCGTGCAATAAGCATACTACGCATGATGTTCATTTGTCTCTTCAGCCAAGTTTTGAACGATCGTCTTCGCAAGTGCAGTTCAATGTGGCCTTTTTACAGAAGTCCGCATCCGCCATGCAAGAGATCTGGATCAAAGTGGAATCGACAATCAAGTCGGCGGACACAGATTCTCCCTCGATATCCACAGTTACTTCTAGGAGACTACCCTCTTTCAAACGACCTACGCAATATCCAGAAGCATCCTCTTCATCAGAAGTCAGGAAGAGAGTCTGCTTTGAGGAGCGAATAGGCCCTGACAACCCCGGGCAATGTATCTTGAACGACCGATTGCAAGAATCCCGAATCTATACCTACAGCGGAACTTTTGTGTCTTGGTTGAAAGAGTTTTACACCGGAAGACCTGCCAAGGCTGTATTGGCCTTCTGAGGGACAGTGAGACCTGGAAGCATTTAGCATATCTTGATGATAAAACTAAAAGCAATCCCTCTATGTCACTTTCTCAGCTGGTGTGGCTTTCAAGTATTGACCCGATGCAATGTATGAGCCAGTACCGACGCATTCAACTGGCCAAGTATCTGGCTACTGCTGTGCTCTGCTACCATGCTACGCCGTGGCTGAACACTGCATGGCGCAGTGACGATGTTCGCTTCCTCGGGGGGCCTGAATCCCTCCTGCAGAAGGCATCATGTACTCTGCCCTACATGGTCACGTCTGTCCAAGCATCGTCCCAGTCCAGCTCTCCATCTCATCCTTCCGAGCTCCACTATATAGTTCGCAACCGCGTTCTCTTCGGGCTAGGGGTCATGTTTCTCGAACTTGCATACCAAACTCCCCTTCAAAAGCTTCGGCTTCCTATTGATCTTGAACGAGGCCAAACACCCGAACTTGCAGAGTATTTCACTGCCCGTCGCGTAGTAGATCAGAGCGCTAGCATGATGGGCGGAAGGTTCAAGAGGATGATCAAGAAGTGTCTGTATTGTGACTTTGGACATGACAGTGACTTTACGAGTCCAGCGCTTCAACAAGCCTTTTACAACGACATAATCGGTGGCCTTGAGGATCTGGAAGAGAAGTTCCGGGAACTGCAGCTGGATGAATGACGCTCCGGCTCTACTAGCAGTTCAATAGACAGAAGCTCTTCACAATATATCAAAGCACCTTCGTAGCCCTTGCATTCCTACTAGGGGGCGAAGTCCGAGCAATCACCCCCGCAGCCAAAGTAGCAGGGATCTGCTGGCCTCGGCTGAATTTGCCCACTTCCGGATGAATAGACGGTGGTTAGGTGGTATTAGGGTGGTGTCAACCCCGTATTTCCCCACACTCTATAACCTCCTGATCCACTTGCCCCCACGCCCCCCCCCCCGCTTTGGAGCTTTTCAAGGTTAGACCCTGAGCTTGGCATCTCATGGAGAGCAGATCTCGGATTCGTGGAATTTCTTCCCCGCGCTTACTGAGCTGCTTGAGATTCCTATTCTTGTTATGATAGGCTTGAAAATAGCTGCCAAGAAATCTTAGAGCTAGGGATGGAGGTTAGAGGAGGTCTACTCTCTGACTATATTTAGCAGAGAGCAGTCATCTACCCGGCTCGTTCCCAGGGCTCTTCTTTCTGTGAATCAATAAACTAGCATCGCTACCTGGTCCTTGTATCGGAACAAGCAAGTGCGCGATGTCGTGGATACTGCAAAAGATCGTTCACAATGAGGCGATGAGAACAGACCCCCCAGAGATCTATGGATGGAGAGTCTACCTGCTAGCCTGCTCGGTACTTCTCTTTACTCTCACTCGGTGAAGAGCCAAGCTAAACTCCATTCAGGCTTGCTGCGGAGGAATGTTATTTGGAATGGATTCCGGCATTATCGGCGGAGTGTTAACTATGCCACCTTTCATGCAGTCGGTCATTCCAACCGGTACCTATGAAGAAGCAAAGGCTAATCTAGTACGTCGTTTAGTACGTACGGCCTTGAGAATCTCGATAAAGTTGCGCAGGCAAACCTCTCCGCCAATATCGTTTCAACTCTTCAAGCAGGTTGCTTTTTCGGAGCTCTTCTCGCGTCGCCTGCTGCAGATAAATGGGGCAGACGATTTGCCCTGCTCGGCTCAGCTGTAACAGGAGTTATAGGAGTCATCATGCAAGCCTCTGCTAGTGGACATCTCGAAGCTATGTATATTGGACGGTTAGAGGATCATTCCCCGCACATAATAGACCGATCGACTGACCCGGTGCTCCAGACTAGTCACAGGCTTTGGGGTCGGTGCCGCCTCCATGATCAACCCTCTGTATGTATCTGAGAACGCACCGCGCGCAATCCGGGGTGGGTTAACTGGTCTATACCAGTTCTTCATCACGATGGGCATCATTCTCGCTTTCTGGATCAACTATGGCTGCCTCCTCCACTTGAGCGGATCCGCAATGTACCTTGTGCCACTAGCGATGCAAGGCCTACCGGCTGTACTTCTCTTTGTTGGTATGTCTCTTTGCAACGAGTCGCCTCGATGGCTGGCCAAGCAGGACCGCTGGGAAGAAGCCCGGGCTACTTTGAGTAAAGTCCGCGCTTTGCCTCCTGATCATCCGTATCTGGAAGAGGAGTTCCAGGCCATCGCAGTGCAGTTAGAGCAAGAGCGGGCTCTCGTAGGGGGCTCTGGGTTCTGGGACCTTATGAAAGAAATGTGTTTGATCCCTGGAAATCGCAATCGGGCGATGATCTCGATTTTCTTGATGGTTTGTCAACAAATGACGGGCACGAACGCCATCAACTACTACAGCCCCCAAATTTGTAAGTCCATCGCATTTTACTTGAGAGTGATGCTAACGCTAAGTTGTCGCAGTCAAAAACGTAAGTCACGGCTCAAATACCATCACACCCCTCTTTTCGTCCCGTCTTCCCATCTAATCAACAGCTTTCTGAATTAGCTCGGTGTCACTGGAAACGCAACCAACCTGTTCGCGACAGGCGTATATGGAATAGTTAAGATGGTCAGCTGTGGCGTCTTCCTAGTCTTTGTCGCTGATTCCCTCGGGCGCCGCCGTTCTCTACTTTGGACCTCTGTAGGACAGGCGCTAGCCATGCTGTACATTGGTTTATACGTCCGCATTGCACCGCCCGTGGAAGGCGCCCCGGTGATCCCAGCCGGGTACGTTGCGCTGGTCTGCATCTTTCTCTTCGCGGCGTTCTTCCAGTTTGGCTGGGGCCCGGTCTGCTGGATCTATGTCTCGGAGATCCCTACTGCTCGCCTGCGGTCCTTAAATGTTGCATTGGGAGCGGCGACGCAGTGGCTGTTCAACTTTGTGGTTGCCAGGGCTGTGCCGAATATGCTCGCCACTGTTGGGGCTCATGGATACGGGTGAGATCCTCTGGCTCTCGACAAGGCTGTTCTTTGCTAATATGGGAATCCTGCTTTCGAACAGGACATATATCATCTTCGCCTGCTTCTGCTTCTCCATGGGTGTTTGGGTGTGGTTTTTCATACCAGAAACGAAGGGTAAGGACTCTTCATCCGGGGAATGAACACTTGGCTAATATCCATTCGCAGGTATGGCGCTGGAGAAGATGGATGACCTGTTTGGAGTCACCCAGCTTGTTCAGAATAAGGTCGACCCTGAGCACGGATTAGATACCGGTCACACAGAAAAAGCTACGCAGTCGCAAGTCGAGCGAGTGGCATCTATTGGGTGAAATTACACATGGAACATGAGGGCTTGCGGAGATGTATTCTTGCTCTTGTCCCGGCTTCCTCCGGGCTTGCTTAGCCTTAGCCAATACAGGAGGTACACTTTGAGTTTGCGGCAATTGTTGAAGCCCTACTTACTCACATACGAACCGTGCTTAGACCTATAATAGTTTGCTAACGCCCAATCTGTCCGGCTTGACATTCCATCTGATTCCACGCTGGTGCAGGTGTAATTAAAGTGGCCGATGCATGAGTGGAGCAATAATGTTATAACCTGGCGCCTACTTGGTCGATTTTAACGAAACCGGCCGAGTGCCACACAACTGTATTGCGAGTATCTTGCCAAGGTCTTCGCTATGGGGGTCGGGCATTGGAATCACTGCCGGCGTGGTTGACGCTGGATATGAAGGCGCCATAGGAGCTTTGCTGGAGGTGAAGAATCCTAGCGGGGTGACGTTGTACAAAGACGTTAAGCTAGCGCAAATTGTCTTTGAGGAGTTGGGAGAAGCTGTCGAAGGGTACAATGGGATATACCAATCCTCAACCACTAGTACTAGACGGGATGGAGCAACGAAAGTGTAACATTCAAGGAATCAGAAATCGGGGTTGTCTGCGTCTTATGCCTACATTCGCCCAGGAGCTTAGAAGGAAGAACAGGTGAGCCGAGAAGATAAGGCCCCCTCTTACTTGACTAGAGGGGGAAATTAGAAAGACAATGGGGTTGGTCCAGGAATCAATCCACTTTCTTGAGATTTCCGTGCTCGCTAAGGCTACCAGGCTCACTTGGCAGAGGGGGGTAGGACTTCAGTTGCAGTTTTATCCCTCGTCTTGGTTATGGCTAACGAATGGCTTGTTTTCCTCTCTGTAGACTTTCCTTGTGCCGACCGCTGCCAGTGTGCCATCATGAGGCACTCCAAGTACAGTGCGCTTACAATAGTATATCTCGTCAACAATAGGACAATTTGATGAATAGCATAAGGATCGGCAGATAAACGGGTCGATCCATTCGCTTGATCTGATATCTGATTAGATGCTCTGATATTCACATTCATTGAGGTCGTAAATCATATGTCGTGAAGCAGGATATATACAGCACCCCAACCCGGCTCTCAAAACAAAGGAAAACAAAAATAGAAACGAAGTACCCTCGGCATGGATATTGAAAGATGCACGCTTGAATCAACAAGAAAGGAAATGCCAAGCAGGAAAACATAAGAAGAATAGGCAAATATCGAGGAAATAAACAGGTAGAAACACGATGTAATATCAACGACGAAGGCGGCTAGATAGGCCCTGTCCTGCAAAAGCGCGCTGGCTCTGGCTTCGAGTGATACGGCGGGAAGATGGACCGTCATCTAAGCTCAAGCCACCGATCCCAGGCCCAAGATCACTCCGTCGTGGAGAGTAGACATTGCTATACGGGTTTGCTTGGCCAGTGTACCGAATGTTGCGAGTGGTAGCGTCCGTGGCATTCGTGGCCGTGGTCGCAACCGTCTCCGTATCCGAATCTTGCTCAGAATCCGATAAGGGCTCCATTTCTTTGAGAGACTTCATGGTCAAACTCTGCGGCATTTGTCGTAAGCTGTCAAGCCCTCCGGATGACAAGGACTGAAGAGATTGGGACGAAGATAGTCGATACTGCGGAGCAGTTGCCGGTAGCGCAGATGAGAAGCTCTGTGTTCCAGCAGTGGAACCGAATGAAAGAGCAGGAGCAGATGACTGTGCACCAAAGGAGCCTAAGGGCGGGGAGGCGAGGGTTGGGGAATTTGATGGGGACCAAGCGAGAGCATCACATTGCGGAGACTGCTGCTTAGATGAGTCAAATTGTGGCGATGTGGGTTTGGTCGGGTCTCGTTCCGAAGTTTTCGAAATGGCTTGGTAGAGCGCGTAGAGACCCAAGGCTTCTTGGATGATCATGAAGCCGAGGAAGATTTTGCCGTATCTGTCGAAATAGTGTCTGTCAAAGGAATCCTGGGGGAGATGTGCTCCAAAGTGGACGGCAGCCCCAAGTTCGGTGATATAGATCAAGATCTCCATGCCATTCCACTCCCCGAGGGGTCTCTTCACAGCTTCCAACAACGCAAACCCAGCAATTAAGCTTGCGCTTCCCAAGGCCCCAATTTCAATGTAGTTTCCACGAATGAAGAACAATTGGTTCTGAGATAGTGTCCAAGCGACAACCGACGCAGACAGGAGCGACAGTCGAAGACTTTGGAAAATCAGATGAGCTTGTGAATAGGTGAGAGGCGACTTTTGGCTCGTCTTCGGTTGGCGCCAATTCCTTTTTGGCTCATCTCCTGTCTCGATGGTAAACGCACGGTCAAACAAGGTTTCCAGCCCGGTCGACGTATTGTGGTCACTGCTCGGAAAAAACCTGGGAGGCTTAAAGATCGGCTCTGAGCTGTCAGACTTGCGTTTCCACGAAGTAGGAGATTGAGTGGGACTGCGGTGGAATGGATTAGGCTCAACAACCTGCTCAATTGGTTTCGCCGATGTCTTGGTGCGGAGAGTCCAAGCAGGTGGTTTAGGCGCGGCTGGGATCTGGCCTTGAAAAGGATTGGGCCCGTCAAACACCGATGGCTGGCTTCGGTTACGGTGGTAGACACTTATTTTTGGTTGAAGGTCTTGGGGTCGAGAGGGTGTCCAGTCCATGTCATCATTTTCGGGAGGTGGTGTGGGAATAGCCGGCGGCTTCTCTACAGTGACTCGTGGAGCAGCTAATTTGTCCACAGGGAAGCGGTTTCGGAGCGCATTGGAGTTGGCGCTTGGTGCCAGCGGACCCTTTTGCTTCTGGCTCGTAGAGGCGGGCGAAGTTCGAGTGCTTCGAATCGGCGCCATTTCCCACGAATTGTCAGACCAATTCACCAATGGGCTAGTATCATAATCGACGACACGGCGAGAAAGCAGGACACACTATCTTGTATTAGCTTCTGTAATCTGGAATCCCTCATTCGAGAAGTGTGCTTACAATGGCAGTGAATGCCAACATGACCATATGCAGAGCCGGTGGGAGGTTTTGTTCGAGTCCGCTCGCGGAGGGATCCTTCAGTAGAGCCCAAAACACACATCTTACCACCAATGCAATGAACTGAATTTGGTAGTATTCCCCGAGACCAGTGAATCTCCCAGATCTGCCATTGATCTTCGCACGCAGTTTGGGGTTCCACCAGAGCGATAGGACACCTACAACGAGCGCAGTGCCTGCGGATGAACTCATGTCAAGAGCACATTCTTGGGGGATTCGATAAATTTCTATGGTCTGTACTGCACAGGACCAGAGATGCATTGACGTATCAGACGACATGCTGAGATCATCTGTCGGGGCAGTCGCAGTCAGAATGCTGGCAATATCCCACACCAGTTGTCCAAGGACGCTCGTCCAATAACCAAAAGCGCCGGCATATACAAGCAAGCTCTGCCAACTCCGTTCTCGTGTCCGACGAGCTGCCTTGCTAGCCTTGCTTTGGTCCATCATGCGTCTGAGATGGTCGGCCTTAGCCTCATAGCCCGCCTGGCGAATCCGCTGTCTGACACGAGGCTCGCATTGATCACAGACTTGGGGGGTATCGGTCTTCCAGACCCCTGCGGAACTCTGAATAGCCACGCTCGTATTCCTCGTCTGAAGGTTCATCGCTTGGCGGGAAGTATTCCGCAAGGGAGGCTGTGAATAGATGCTGGTTGCGAACACATCGGGAGCAAAATAAGTCGGTTGACTCGAACGGCTGCTCTGCAACAATGGGAACTTTTGCCTCGATCAGGTTAGTCGGCGGATCTGTAATTTCTCCATTCTTTGTTCGATGTCAGTTATCATCCCAATGTCGTAAAGACGGCGGCGCGCACCTGATCTAGGAAATTCTCATAGCCGCAACTCTCGCATTGAAAATAGTCGCGGATAGGGCCATGACTGGAATTGGCAGGACGTTTCCCGCAGCCATGACAGGTTAGACGCTTAGAAAAAAGCGCCATACTGTCATCGCAGCAGTCGACACAACCGGGTTGGGAGGTGTTTGTTGTGGTATCCAGGAAGGGCGGAAGTTGCGAAAATCCAATAAATCAGGCGGCGCACAGCGGCACGTGTGGACGCGACACTTGGATTCGGATTCGCTTTCAACGTGTACTTGAGCGGCCACCGCCGGTCGCTTTGGCTTTCGCTAGTCGGGGGAATTCTTATCAGGTCTTTCATTCAAGGATGGGCTCCTCCTGATGAACCACATTCCCCCTTGAGCGACTCTTCTCTGTTTTGGCAGACAATCCCAGTGACATCATGGCATTCAGCGACCTTTTTTGGAAGCTGTTCATTCCTACAGCAATCATTGCAGCCCTTGCTGTTCTGGTAAGTCCCATCCCAGCAACCGGTACCATTGTCTCTGCCTTGGAGTTGACTTGACCATCCACAGATCGTTGTCACCTCGCTCGCGATCGCGCATCATGCCCCCGTCCCTCGAATGCGCCGGCGCGGCACACCTATCCATGTTCTCGTTGTGCTGGGCAGCGGTGGCCACACCACTGAAATGTTCTACATCCTAGAAAAGGCTTACGAACAGAAGGATTGTACTTATCGGACCTATGTTGTGACCTCGGGGGATAAATTCAGCGCCAAAAAGGCCGTGGACTTCGAAGCCGAATACAGCAAAAGCCTGAAGGAGAGTGGTCACGCGGACATTGGAGAATACGATGTGATTACTATCCCACGGGCACGCCGGGTGCATCAATCGTACTGGACTGCGCCATTCTCGACCCTCCAGTGCTTTTGGGCTTGTCTCCTCGTCCTCCTCGGCCGGCATCCGGGTCAAAAACAGCTTCCCTCGCAGTACTTATCTGTGTATCCTGATCTTATCTTCTCAAACGGCCCAGCCGTTGCGGTGTGCATGGTTTCGGCTGCTAAGGCGATACGGTTCTGCATCTTCATCTACCGCTGGATCACCTTGCAAGGCCACATACCCACGATGCCCAAGCTCCGTACGATCTACATTGAATCATGGGCGCGCATCTCCAAGCTTAGCACTTCTGGTATTTTGCTGCTTCCACTTGCTGACAAGTTTCTGGTTCAATGGCCTGACATCGCTGGCCTCCGGGCCTGGTGGGGCATGAAGAAAACAGAATATGCAGGCTGGCTCGTCTTGTGAGCCGAGGCGTCATGAGCCTACTAGGCGGAGCTGATATCAATAATGTTCTTAAAGGCTTCCAAATGACCATTGTATTTTATTCGCCCAATCTAGCAATGATCCTAGTTAGATCATGGCTGTGCTACTCGTCATGATACTCTGGGTTTTGTCTTCGTTTTCTTCAATGGTCGTAGACTTCGGTTGGATATTTTCGAGAAAACCAGCCTCGGAACGCTCCCGCTATTCGCTCTGTCGATCTCGCGCAGGAATCCGCTCTATATCTTACCCCGCATTTCACATTCTCCTTCAACGAGATTCTTTCTATCTGGCTGCAGTTGCACTGCACTTTGCCTGATCTGGTTTGCATTTATATCCTACTTATATCCTACTTAGTGGAACGATCGCCAGCATGCCGTACTCTCTATCTGGCCGGAATGTCCTAGTCATCGGTGGCTCTCGGTAAGAAAACAACGTCCCAGAAAATCGACCGATGAATTGACAGATTTCTCTGCCCAAGTGGTCTCGGTGCTGCCGTCGCTCAAAGGTTTGCTAGCGAAGGAAGTAATGTCGCGATAAACTACGTCTCGAGCAAGGACACTGCCGAGGCCCTTGCTACAGACCTCTCGAGCAAGTACAACGTGAAGACTATTACAGTTCAAGCGGTATTCGTCATGTTCAGATGTCTGGATGATGATCGCGATAACTGATTCATCCCATAGGACGCTGGAAAGCGAATCGAGGCAACGAATGCTGTTACGACAACCATAGAGCAATTAGGGGGCCTGGATGTGGTGATCTCAAATGCCGTACGTTATAATGATCTCTCTTTTGTTGATTCGTTCGTAATTATCTCTCTAGGGATGGACTAAGATGACCAACTTCGGTGATCTGGATTCGATGGATGATGATGACTGGGATAGGGTGAGTATTACTTGCGTATGGAGAGGCCAAAAAATAACCTTTGATCTAGTGCTGGAATGTAAATGTGAAGAGTAGCTTCTACCTATTCAAAGCGGCTGCACCAACGTTCAACGCCAACCCAGATGGTGGAGCATTCATAATCACTGCATCCGTTGCGGTATGCTATCACACATTCATTGCCTTCCCCCCTTTTGATTTATCACCTGGCGCTAATCTGTTCTCTCCGTAGGGTGTCATTCCAAGTGGAAGTAGCTTGGCGTATTCGGTATCGAAGGCTGCAGCAATCCACCTCATGAAAGGTTTGGCTCAGTCTCAAGGGGCCAAGATCCGCACCAATGCTGTTCTGCCTGGTCTTTTGCTCACAGAATGGGTATGCCCCCTCGTCCTCGGTTGAGGCTTCTATTGACACAATATAGGGCCAGAAGTTTCCCCAGGCAAAAATTGATGCCATTAGAGAGAGAACCGTGCTCAATAAACTGGTTTGATGTCTCTCCTATAGTAAAAGCCTTGCTCTTTGCTAATATGCCTAATCATAGGCCGAGGTCGATGATACTGCCGAGGTATACGTGAACATTGCCAAAAATTCGTCTATGACTGGTCAGACAATTCAGATCGGTATGCTTTCCATCTTTCCATCCCAAGCTATTGACGTGCAGAGCTCATACCAGTTACAGATTCCGGGTTTGCGATAGTATAGATTTTCGAGAAGACACGGCTTTCTACGTCATAGACATGTCGAAGACCACTCGACTCCGAGTCCTAGGGAGGATAAATTCGAGATTATATTCAGAATGTCATGCTTCCAGTGGTGTAAACTTAGATACAAAGATAATAGCTCGTCTTAGCAACTTGCAAAGTCGAACATTAATTTTCAACAGCCCAATGTGGCTTCCCAGACCATCGCCCAAGCTGGATATCGGCGAGTTCTCTCATCATCGGCCACTGGGCTGGCTTCTTTTCTGTGGGTTTTTGCTTCCGTTCAGATTCCTCTTTCCGAACTCGAGACCCATGAATCTCGGCGGATGGCGTGCCCAGCTCATTAAATTCGTTTATATAGGCGTCATTTTCCAGCTGTTCCATTTCATCCAGAAATTCGAGCTCGCCAGGGGAAAGTGGAACTCCCAGACTCTTGAAGGCATCGAGAACCTCGTACCGGTACTCTCGGATACCTTTCTGGATCATTTCTTCCCATCGGTCCATTACTAACTTAAAACTTTCCATCACCAGAGGCAACTCTTCTTCGCCTATGAAAGCATATCGATCATTCGAATAAATATCTGGGAATAGTCATAAAACATTGCGCGGAACGCATTGTATCTCCCGTATTGATCAAAATATGGATCATTGTGGTAGTTGATATTGCCGTAGTCGGGGTGTGAAATTCCCCGAGTATTATGTCGAGGGCATTGACCTTTGACGAGTCGGGTGATTTCCGGACAGGACAGCGATGGAGTCGATCTATACAGGATACAAAGACACATGAGATAACGATTAGTGATATTGAACACAGGTTCCCATTTCATCGTCAGTCGGCGACACACCATCTCGATTCTTTGAGGATCATCATGGTGCTTGGCCCTCGGTCTGGGTTCATTTTCTCTCAAGTTCTTCTGCGAATCTGCATGGTCTTTGGGTCTCGACTCGGAGGTTTTTGATGCGTCTTCAGGTCCATTTAGGCGTCGAAAAAAAGGCATCATGAGGCTCATATGGAATATCGTCAGGTTCCACCCAACGGATCTCTAGCTCACATTCAGAATTAATTAGCTTTTCGTCAGTTTTTCTTTTTTTTTTCTTGTAAAAGAGACCTGGGCACCTTACCAAGTGCTAAACTGTCGACGATATATGTTGGTGTGCTGCTCTTTTCCGCAGCGCATGCATGCAAAATGGTTGAAACCTATCATGGAACACATTATAAAAGAAACTTTTCAGCCCTTTTCCTGGTGTCACATGCATGTCTCAAGTATCCTTGTCGAGTTTTGTCTTGTTATCCGCAGTCCATAACTCGACCTGCGATTTCTTGATCAAACCTAGCCCCGGGAGCTCGCGGCTTTTGAACTTATGGCCGAGAAGGTCAAGAAATTCTTGCAGCCAAGATTAGACACTGTTCATTATGTGGAAAGCTTTCCAAACCTATGGTGAACAGCAAAAGCACAACGGTAGATAGTATGTGCCAAGGCCATCATCAATGCGAATATGGTCCTGGGGCGCACCAGTTTCCCATGGATACCCCATATCTTTGGGCATTTGCATGCCTGGACCTTCTAGCAGTGGCTTCCACAGGAGTATCACAGCCTCCAACTGCTGTTTTATTGACTGCAGCTGTTGAGTAATGTGGACATCAATGTCTCTTTTTAGTATTAGCATTTCTAAACCCAGAATCCAAAATTAAATTGATACATCTGGTTATTCGTCACAGCTCAAGGTTAATCTGCTCGCAAATAGTGATAGGCGAAGCAAATAACGTACAGTTGGAGGCCTTGTAGCATGCATATCTGCTGACTGACTTGCTGCTCGAGCTTTTTTTCGACTTTTACCACACGTATCGCAGCCTTGATATTTGGAATAATATGGCGTTTTCCCTTCCCCTTGGAGGAGTCCAGGACTTGGGCCATCTTCTCGAGGACTTGACGACAAGCTTGTATATGCTCCCTGTCGACTTGAATGTCAGGGACAGACGCGAGAAATGCAAGGTCTCTCAGAAGAGCCTTGATCTGCTTCCTCTTGTCCGAGATTTCTTCGAGCGTTCCATTTACCGACCGATACAAAGCGAAGAAGCGCCTGAAAACCTCTATCCCGATTTGCGTGAACTGGGCAATGCAATAGTACCGGCCAGACTCAATGCCCCCACGTCTACCATTATGCCTGCCAGTGATGTGTAAATATAGCTGAAGAGTAACTTGACTACGAGCTATCTCTCTTGATTTGCGAATAAAAAATGGTTTCGGCAGATTATCCACGGGCTAAGATCCTGTCTAAAACCCACCTGAGGCTCCTTTTGCAAGTGGGGTAGAATCAGCTGGCTGCCTTTCACAGCCGCATACACTGCATGTGCCCAACAGGGCCGTCGAATGAATCAAGTATTGTACATATCATATTTACAAAGATTAGGCGGGTCAAAAAAAAACCCCCCCTGTCTGCCTCGCCCCATTCAGGTAAAAGGCTGACGAAATGGTGTAAAATCCGTGCCGCCTGATTGGAAAGACTGTACGTCAAACATACGAGCCTTGATCGCCGCCTGAAGTCCGTCGGTGACCGGCTCCCCTTCCACCTTCATTCGGTTGATGCGCAGTATCTTCTTGTCTTGGGTCAAGACGTACAGAGCCCTGCCCTTTTTCGGCTGAACAGGATGCGGTGAATTTGTGAATGGCTGACCAGGGACTACTGGAAAAGAATCACATCCTTGGGGAGGCTCCACCTCTTCCAGATCAGTTAAGATAACTCGCTTGTGGTCGAATTCAGTCTGAGCAGATTTCTTAGCAACCAGTGCTTTGCTCCATAAAGACCCAGTCCCAAGGACCCGGTTGCGTCGTTCGATATCTTGCTTGGTCCAAACTGCCCAGTCAATATGCCTATTCTCGGGCTTAATTTTCCCGGCGTGGATGAGATGAGTCTTTCCATCCGGTTTCCACCCTACATCTTTGACTGGAGGCACAAAGAGACCTCTGTCAATGCCGTCCACGAGTAGCTCGGCGCCTTTGGGGGACACAAGATTCAACAATTCAGGAACATCACATGAATCTGGGTTGGGAATACTGAATCCCGGTGAGGGCGTTTGCGAAATTATAAGCCCGTGGTCGAAGCTTTTATGATGCAAGGTTTGCAGTGTTACCCCCGTCGTAGTTCGACCCGCCATTAAAGTATGATGCAAAGGGGCCGGCCCACGGAAGCTAGGCACAGAACGGTCAACAACTTAGCTTCAACACTTTGCAAATCTGCTTACTCTGGAAGCATTGAGGGATGGACATTGAGCCCACCGTAGCTCGCATTGTTCAGGATACGTGGCGGCACAAACAGTCCGAAGGACACAGCAATGATCAAATTGATAGGTCCATTAGAGGTTACCGGGGGCTATTCTAGTTAGCTAACTGCATATACTGGCATAGAACGAACTCACAGCCCAGCCCGTAAAGGTGTCAATCTCGTGGATGGGGAGCGAAAGGGCCGATGCTGCAGCCTTAATAGGAACTAATTTGATCCCGTTAGTTTGCCAAATATTAACTCCAGATCAGATAGACAATACCTTCTCGGATCTCCTTCAGTCCTCTACCAACTCGCTTTCCTGGTCGACACACTACATCAATTGAAGCAACACGGCTTGGTTGCCTCAAATGATAGGCATGGAGAGCATTCAAAGAGGCAATGCTGAAGTCGTCGGATCCACAGAAGAGAATCCGCAAAGGGTCATAATATCGGCTGGAGTAGAATCGACGTGCAGGGAACTTGATAGAGAAAGGCTGCCTACAGAGGGCAAATGCCCCTGGGCCCTGCATTAGCCGCATTATTAGCCGGTTAAGCTGCAATTCAACAGCCGATGAAGCTTCTAAGATCAGTTCGCGATTATCGGCTTATCGGTTTATCGATAAGTGCCACGTGATAGCAACACCGTCAGTCCCACGCCTCCCAGAGAAGCAACTCCTCTTGCTGCGTACCTCTCAAACCTGCTCAGTGCGTGGTTCGGATGTTAGCAGTGCCATGCCGGAAAGTGAACATGAGCCCGTGATCCCCGCGCAGCTGTCTTTCCTCGCCATATACAATCCAACTCTCGGACCCACCGACGAGACCCTCGAAGACCAGATTGTGTTCTACACGTCACGTTCGGGCTATATACAGCGTACAGAAGGCTCAAGCAATGAGGAAGAAGGCGCAAGCCCCCCTGCAGATGGGAAGAATGAGAGATTGTGGCAGATTGGCCTCGCGCAGGGGATGGTGAGCTTTGCCAGGTACGGATCACTCTACCAGCGGGGCTTATAGGATGGACGCTCATGGTTACTTCGAATAGCACCTTCTCTAGCAAACCTCTGGAATACGTCGAGACGGAGAAATCCCGCATAGTTCTTTTTGAGCTAGAAAAGGACTGGTGGATTGTTGCTGTCAGTATGCTCTGAGCTCAACTGTATGAATTAGCTGCTCACATTCAGCCCAGAACATTGACCTTACTCGGCTGTTAGCTGAAGCGAGGCAACCTTCTTCGACAGATAAGAGTAATGGGCCCAGTTATCACTACTCCTCGAGGGAGATGGGACCTCCCCATTTGCTCACTCAGCAATTACGCCGTGCTTACTCAATATTCCTTCTGCATCACGATTACTCGCTGAACGATCTATATACACGCGTGGGACGATCTGCTTTCTGTTTATTCATGGAGCGTTTTTGGGAGAAGTTTGCCTGGAATTGGGAGCTTCTGCTAAGTGGGAACCCAATTGTCGAGATATACAACGGAATCAAGCTCGCCGCCGGCGGGGAGCTGGGTATCGGCGTGGGAGAAGAAGAGTGGGGCAGCGGAGAAAGAGAGGTACTCGAGGACTTTGTTTCCAGGACAGAAGGACTCCAAGACTTGGTCGTCTCCAGGTTTGGCGAGCCGCACAGCCATAACAGCGACTCGCCGCCGTTAACAGACTCTAAGGGAGAGGCATGGCTAGGAATGGACGCAGACCCTCAGTCAGCGGACGGCGTAGTCTTCTCCGGCGTTCATACCATCTCCCGAAGATCTGTAGCACGAATTTCTCACTGGATGGAATGGATTTACCGGTATGGTGACGCAGCTTACGGCATAGGGCGAGACCCGAGCTCAATGCGCAGGCGAAAGCCGCGAAGGCATCGCGGTAAACATCTCCACGGAGGTACTAGCAGTCATGGCGAAAGGAGTTCTACCCCAGAACAGACTCATCTTCCGGGTATTCCGCGTCCTCTTATCACCGCTACTTCGCAATCTCAGGTTGAGGTGCCTGAAAACAGCGGTGCTTCTTCGCCTGCAAACAGCAGTCAGAAGAACGAGGCATCAGCATTTGGTACTGATACCATGATGAAAGTGCTGACGCTGGGATATGGATCTGCCTGGAGTTTCCCTAGCAAGATTGCATCTCCTCTATCTACTGAGTCCAGTACCCCTAGTCCAAAATCGTCAGCGAATGCAGTCCAAACAAGTGATCCTCCTCTGGAGCCCAAGCCCAAGCCCATGGGTCGATTTATTCTGGGGGCTCGAGATGATTTAGATACTTTGGATGACTTTGAAGAAGAGAGCGCAGTCCTCGTGTCAGATACAAATACGAAAACTCGCATTGTGCATCGACCTCTCCACCTTCACTTGCGCGGTGGTGAAAATGTGGACAGTCGGCAGAAGCTCCATGCAGTAATCTACGTGGTAAGACTGAGCCAAGCTTGACAAAAAAGCCCCTGCCCTAACCAAGTTACTAGTACCGACCCTTCATGTTCACTTTCTTATTCGACTCAGAATCCGCGGCTCTCTCTTCGCCTGCCCTCTATTCTAGCATTCATCACCAACTGGGCCCTCTCCAAAAACCACTCGTGTCGTCCACTTCAACTACAGCCGCCACGTCTCGTATCGCAAGTTCCAATAATTCAGAGCTTAATAAACGCTTCGCTCCCCGAGATCAGTCAGTTTACGATCTGGTCTATGACCCATCCAATTTGACCATTCGCACTTCCATACCCAACATACCAAATCTCGGCACACCTTTCCAACCCCTCGAAACCTCTCACTCACCTCGCACCTCATCATCGACTCCTAACCAACCTTCAAAGCAATGGACCCGCGTCGAGAGCCTTACGATTCACCAACACCTTCTGACTACATATATCGACACCCGATGTCGGCCCCAGGAAATTGAGCGCACTTGTAAGATGAGTCGTGGATGGTGGGTCCTTTGGGTACGCATGCCCTCAAGTCCTAGCGATTCAACACCTCGAGCTCTATCCACAACTTCTTCGTCCGTTGCTCTGTCCACGATGGCCGATGACCAACAAGACCCATCACCAAAGTCTCGGCTCGAGTCTTGTGCTGAGCCCCACGAAGCCTTCATCATCCGCATGGCGAGTGACCATGCCTCACAGGCCGGACATGCACGCATGAGTAGTGGAGCCCGCTTCTTTCGGGACTTGGGAGGCGCCTCGTCAACGAACACAGTAGGGGGCGTGCTGAAAACACGCCGTCTAAGCTGGTGGAGGGACTTGGGATAGATGCCCGTCGATACGTTGAGGGGCTGCTGCGACTTAACAGGTAGCTTAGCTATTCTTCCCGTTCAGGACTAAAGCCATATATGTTCAGTCTGATCTCCAAAGGGAATCTTTCAAGCTTGTTGCTGAACTTATAATATCTTTTCTACATCTCTACGCTGCGACGGTTGTCGAGAACAGGTAGGCACGGGGCTCAAGAAAACAGAAGTAGAGTTATGCATTAGCTTTAGCAAAAATCAATATAGTAAAGAAGATAAAATAAAAAAAGCTCAACAGAGCTCTTCGCGAGGGGGGGAGATATCCGAAGGGAGAGAAACGGGAATCATCTATCATCACACACAGGGCGACGTCCAAGGGCGAGTCACGGCGTTGCCCACCTTCACCACCGGCGCTACATTCCAAGGCTTCTCTTTCTTTCTTTTTTTTGGGCTTTTTTTTGTTTTGTTTTTTTTCCAAATTGTATACTGCGCACCAGTCGGCGGCAACTTTGTCATTTGAGATCCACGATGACGGATTTGAGGAAGAAGAGACACGGAAAAGAGAAAAGCCCACAGGGTTATGATGAAGACAACGCCTCCCTAGACAAATTCTGCAAAATAAACGCAAAAAGGAGAAACACAAGGCCGATCAACTGCAGAAGGAGTTGGGGAGGGGGATGATTCCACGACTCAAAGCGACCAGGCTCAATATTATCCAGGGATGCCCGAGACCCGCTGAAACCTCCACTCGAGTCGGACCATCTGCTGGCGAGTAGTTTACAGGATCATGCACTTGCTCTTCTTGCCGCTGCCCTTGCGGCCGGTAGTGCCAACCTTCAGCAGAGCCGCGCGGGTGGCGGCCTCGAAGACCTCCTTGACACCCTCGTTGGTACGAGCGGAGCACTCCAGATACTTGTAGGCGCCAATCTTCTTGCGGACTTCCTCACCCTGGTTGTAGGTTAGTCATGGGGAACTTGGTGCGGATGGAGGTGAAGTTCCAGTCGGACGTACCTGTTCAGTCGAGACGGGGCTCTGGGAGGTCTTGTTCAACTCTTCAATGGTCTTGGGGTCGTGACGCAGATCCTTCTTACAGCCGACCAGGATGATGGGGAGACCTTGGCAGAAGTGAAGAACCTCGGAGATCCACTGGAAATCGATATTAGTATGTAGTTTCGATATCATCCGGGCATTGGCCCCGGGCGGTATATAGAACGGACCTTCTCCTGAACGTTGTCAAGCGAATCGGGTGAGTCGACAGCGAAACAGATCAGGATAACGTGCGAGTCTGGGTATGACAGAGGACGCAAGCGGTCGTAGTCTTCTTGTCCAGCCGTATCCCAAAGAGCCAGCTCAACGTGCTTGTTGTCAACCTCGACATCGGCGACATAGTTCTCGAAAACGGTGGGGACGTAGACCTAAAGTATAGCCGCGTCAGTTTTGAGGGGACGAGATTTGAGGAGATCGCATAAGGTTGATATTCCCAGATCGGAGATAGGACATGTGATCGGGGTCCGCGGGCGTGAGATAGGAGCTCACCTCAGGGAAAGTGCCCTTGGAGAACACACTGTTGAACGTCAGTTTCACGTTCGAGGGATGAAGGGAGACCCGATGTATGAAGAGATATCGGTGATAACTGCGGACTTACATGAGCAGACAGGTCTTACCGCAGGCACCATCACCCACGATGACGAGCTTGCGACGGATCTCGGCCATCTTAGCCAGGAAACAGTCAGCAAAACTGGTGACGAAAAAAAAAAAACGATGGGTTGAAAAAGCCGTGCTGTTAGATCTGCGGGGAGGCGATTCCTTGGAGATGGATCCAGTGGGGAAGGGGGAGGGGGAAGAGGAGGTGAGGGATGGGAAAGGGACCAAGTCAGGCCCGGGGGGTAGGAAAAGGGTTATCTCATCATACTTTGTCGGATCTCAGGGGAGCGTCTTAACACACGGGCCGTAGGGTAAATGACTTTCAAGCAAGAAGCCCACAATTATCGCAACTCGGCGTAGCGATCGAGAGATGGAAGGGACAGAAATTGGGGGTTGAGGATGGGAAGAATATTTGATGACTTGGAGGAAGATAGAGGCCAGACTTGCCCGGGCGGTGTATTGGCTGTATTTGTTGTGGTGCTGCGCTGTACCGTCCAATACTACCTGAGTACCTTCCTGTAATTTATTGGCGGCCTTCGGGGGATGTACCGTTCTGCGGCCAGGGGCTACGGGGACCAGAGCGCGAGATAGTTCTACAATCTATCTTGGTGGCTGTACCAGGCTATTTCAGGCCTTAGTGCTTCCTGCACATGACTCGAATATAACGTCAGGCTCAGCTCTGCTGCCTTCCTCTCTCGGTTTGCTGTTGTCGCCTATTTCAGGACCTCTGGGGCCCGGTAATACCATTACTCTGCGCAGCCCTAGCAGGCTGTGTGTGGCTGAGCTGGCTGGTATTCCCCGTCGCAAAAGGCCCACTCTTTGTTTCGTAGCACAGCCACCGTGGCTGCAATGTTGAGGGCACGAGGCATGCCGTGCTGCTGATATCATCGCAAAAGGGAGGGAAAAAAGGGGGGCAGTTTCAAAATGCTCATGCGGTTTTGGACTTGAATGGTTCTCGTTTATGGTGTTGTTACGCCCCCAATGGCGTAGCAGACGATCGGTGGCCCCCTGCACCAGAGTACCAACCGTTTCTCCCGTACGGATACAGAGAACAAGGTTACTTATCGTATGCTAGTGATACAATAGTTACCGTTCGATCTATGCAAGCACCGAGCCTTGTCCCGTCACTGTGGGTGGCCTGTAGTTGTACAATACACGCAGACGAAAGGGGCATGCAGGTCACATATTTCGATGAAATCATCTCTTATCACAGACACCATCCATGGTGTCCACTATTGGACGATCGTGGACCTCGACAGTATATCTCCGTGTGACGTTGAAGCAAACGGGCCCCAAAAAAAAATAACGGTCTACCCGCTGATGCATAGGAGCCGATCTAAATGCTTGGACATGTTTGTTCTGACGATCAACTATCATAGCTTCCTGCACCCCTCTCTGAATAAACCGGGGCGTCTTTCTATCACGCTAAAACGCGGCTGAAAACCGGCACGCTCGATCTGCGGCACAAGTCTCGTCGAATTCGATACGCCATTCAGGGGCCTCGGATCGATGTACACCGCAGATGGCCTCCCAATCACGCGCCCCGTTGGATCTCGCTGGGTGCAGCTAATGAGGGACACTCAAGAGTTCCCGTAGACGAAAAGCGGAGTCTATGGAATCCTCCGTTTGTCGAAGGAATACTAGTCAGTCAATTTCCCCGAAAATAGATTCGAGGAGAAATTAAATGTCCCTTGAAAGTGTAGAATACACTAGCTTTGAGGGTCCGTACACCCGAAGTATTGGGAACGGAGTTCGAGGCAAAGAGCACTTTTGTGTATGTACACGTACTTGCACGCTATTGCTCCACAATTATCCACAATTACGAGTAAACTCATTCGCCTGGGCCGCAGAGCATAAGTACCGAGTTCCGCTTTTATGGTCCGCACGTCCTGAGAAAGCTCTCGCACTAACGAAAGCCACCCAAGTCTGATCGACAAGGAGGGTTAGCTCTCCGCTGCATTTGTCCCAACGTGCTGATCGCCTAGAATTTGGAGACAAGCCGTCGAATTGATAATGCTATTCCGCCTTCTGTTCTTGTACGGATTACGGGCCGCGACGACCTTCTAGACCCGTCCCATCCTTGAGGTTTCACCCGCAGGTTGCGAAAAGAACGTGTCATCCTGTTGGATCGTCCGCGATCCGAAGTCTTCTCCACAGCCGAACATCTCTCCGGCCGGCATACGTGAGTTGACCAAGCTTCTTGAGTTGTCCGTGCTAGGCACTCGCTGGGCACTCGCGATTTAAGTCCGGGTCTGCGGGTTGCCTTACTCCTCTTGATGTTCATGTCGGAAGGCAGTTGACCAAGCGGCCGTGTTTCGATCTTGGCATGGAGCTCTCGGGCGCCCGGGTGAGGGCCGTTTTCACAACAGGGCTTAACGGAGTTAAATACACCTTTTTGCTTGGCTGTGCGCTGCCACAGCGATCTTAAATTTCATGCGGAGCTGTCATCTGATCTCCGATCTGATTGCCTGCCTCAAGATCAGGATCCAATCATGGTGTCAAGATGAGAGATTGGATCAATGGTGCCACGCTGCATGTAAAGTCCGGGCTTCTGTACGGAGTACAGGAAGTCGGATGCCTTTGATGGGGTCACCAAATTCGAGTTCACCATTCCCTTCGTTACACGTAGTTTCTAACGAGTTTCCCCGGTGTAAGAGATTATTGTCAATACATGTACAACGGGCTGTGCAGAACTGCATGTTCTTATACGGTCTTTAGGCATCGACTTGGAAAAGTCCACGATATGCTGATTTAAAAGGTATTTCGGTACACAAAATGGAATTTCCCCAGTTCCTATATCTGGAGCAATTTATACTTGGGAACTTCACAGGTCAACTGGGATACTACTGTATGGTAATGATCACGATTCTCAAGTTGGAGAAGAAGCAACCCGACTCGGAGCGCGTTGCTGCGTACTAGTATAGTCTGGTGCCACTGGCAGTGATAGCTGGTCCCTGCTCTACTAGGAGATGGAACTGATCGGTACAGGTAGTAAGAGTTTCACTAGGTCCTCATTTGGCTGCGATCTCGCTGCTTCAATGTTACTTTACAGGCTACTTGGTAGATGAGGTCCTCAGACATTCCTTATGTTTTTTTCTTCCAAATGAACTTTCGTGGAAATATAAATTTGTCAGTTCGGACGCCGCAGGATCATTCTAGCTCGAAGACACACATTCCCGTATTGATTGACCACCACGAGGGATACATAGAGTAACATGATGCCTGCCATCAAATTTCCAACACGTTGACCAATTCCAAACAACACCGTTTATATAGCAACTCGATTCAACAGGGCCCCGGGGTGCGACAGCATGCTTACATAACCACACTGTTGGGATCCATCCATGGATAGTTAGTTAAATCACGTGGACCGGGGTGCGGCCGTAATTTTCGGCTCGCGACTCGCTTCGGAACATTGACGAGCAGCACCGTTCAGCCATTGCTGGACACCTCCCTCGCACAGCATGCAGAAAGTCATCCAACGGGCTGCTACGGCCCGTAAGCAGGCTCAGTCCAAGGCTTTTCGCGCCCGCAAGGCCAATGAACGGATCGAGCGCATGGACAGGACTCGCACCCGGAAAGACTACAACAGTGCCCTGATGTCCAATATTAAAGGAGCACAGCAGGCTCGCTGGGACGACTACTACAAGAAGGATCTGGCCCCCATGAGAGATGCTGGTGATCGACCACACACCTTCGGCGCTGCGGACTCTGTCCTTTTGCACCCTCCGGCACTGCCCAAAAACAAGCGCCGCAAGCACATCCTCTTCGCCGCTGGAGACCGAGTCTGCGTCATTCGAGGTCGAGATAAGGGTAAGATCAATGAGATCACCCAGGTCAATAAGGAGAGCGAAACGGTCATTGTGAAAGATACCAACTTGGTATGTCATCTCCTTTCAACTGATGCTCGTGTCTTGAGATCGCTGCTAACAGGTAGCATTATTTTAGACCGAAGTCGTCGTCCCCGAATGGGCTAAGGATGCCATGGGAATAAGCCAAGACGTCATGACCCAGCCACTACCGATTTCGATGGACGACGTTCGCCATGTCGTTGCGGTGGAAGACGGAGACCTCACTAGGGATTGCATCGTGGAGCACGCCTATGCCGGCCCGCCGCACTTTGAGCGCCCATCATACAGCCAACTCCCACGATACACTCGCTATGTCAGCGGAACAGGAATGGTCATCCCATGGCCTCACGAGGCCGAGCCTGGCAAAGAAGTTTACGAATCTGACACAAGAGGCCCCGAGGTCGCAGAGGCGTCCTGGGTGCCCACGTTAGATAGCCCGCCATTCCCTTCTAGCGTGATCGATGAACTCCGCAATAAATACTCTCGCTTCCGAACACGCCACGACCCCGAATACGTCAAGGCCAAGGTCATGGAGGAATACCGACAGGAATACCTCAAGAGCCAGAGCCTCCTCACTCCGAAGGGAGAGAAGCGAGCATTGTCCGCTGCCAAGGGCGTTAAAGCCAAGCAATCGAGACTGGATGAGAATGGCAATGTTATCATGGACCAATCAACCAATGACTTCATTAATCAGTTCATGTCAATGAACGTGAAGTCAGAAGTGAAGAAAGCAGACATCTATTCAGCCACGAAGGAGTCAAACTAGTCCGAAGATAAGGGATATGTTTGAACACGCCAGATAGTCTGATTGGATGTCTGCGTCCTTTGGTCTTTTCTTATTGTCAAGATAGCGATTCGTATAAACCCAACTGTATTTTAGTAAAGATTCCGTGACAAAATGAAATATTTTCCCCAAGGAAAACATTGCGTTTTCACTAGATCCATCGATGTATTCCTGAGCTGGGAGGCTCAGTCAGTGAATCCTGCGGGCCGCTCAGGGACCGGTTCCGCTGGGGGCGCGATCGATCCTTGATCTCCGGCACTCCTGCTCTTGCGGAAGTCTTTACACGCTGCATTTCCCCGGTAGGGCAGCCGTCTCCAAAATGGCGTTCGCCGCAATTAATTCCACGAATGGCCCCATCGCCGCAATCGAAGAGGCCTTTGCGACCGAGCCGTCTTTGAAAAAAAGAGTCTACGATGCAATCGGTGCGTGGCGCATCTACGCCCTATGGGTGCTGTCCCAACTCATCTACTGAGAAATAACTGACCGTCCATTGATCCGGAAATATAGATACAACGCCGCAACATGCCCCTCTCTTCGAAGAAATCGCTAGATATACTTCTGCTCTAGGTGCGACTTCTAGCACTACATCCCTCCCGATTGCGCCCAGCAACGATGGACCTGCTGCGAAGAAGCGCAAAACCCAAAATGGAGCGATTGCCCAGACGGCGCAGGCGCCAGTCAATCTGAAGGGCAATGACGATAGCGTCCAATTCTACGTGCAGGAGCTATCGTTCACGATGCCGCAGCGCAAAAAACTCACGCTCGAGATTACTGGTGGGCATCTTCGTGCCAGGAACAAGACCAGCAAGGAGGTGGAGTTTGGGATATCGCTGGACCAAGTCCGTGAGTGACAAGATCTTGGGTTTGGATAATTGGTATGGAAGGACTAATTTGTGAATGCCGTTCTTTAGGTCATGCCCTTTGTCTCCCTGTTCCTGAGAAGACGCAGAAGCAGTTCAATTTCTGCATTATCCCTGAATTCGCGGATGGAATAACGCCACCTCCCGAGGGTGTCGCAGCTGCCGAGGCTATGGTCTTTACTGTAGCTCATGGTCCGGCAAAGACTGCCTTCACAGGATTGGGCCAGCAGGTCGGGCATAACGAGGGAGAGAGCGCCGAAGGATTGATTCGTAAGATCCTGAACGACAGCCTGCCCAATGCAAATGTCATATGTCCCGATGAGAGACAGTTTGTGAGCGCTACACCCGAGGCGCATCGGAAAGGCGAGAAGGCTTTCCATGTAAAAGCCTTCAGAGGAAGCAAAGAAGGTAGGTTTTTTCTTTCTTTCTTTTTTTTTTTGCCACTTGGCTTTGCCCAAACTATCAAGGATGATTGATGCTAATAAATTGGTGACTAGGATATCTTTTCTTTCTGTCTGTGGGGATCCTCTTTGCATTCAAAAAGCCACTGCTGTTTTTCTCCTTTGACACTGTCGACTCCATCTCATATACTTCAGTCTTGCAACGGACTTTCAATCTGAATATTTTGGCTCGCCCTCGCAATGGCTCCGAAGATGACAATATGGAGTTTGAATTCTCCATGATCGACCAAGCGGACTTTGACGGGATTGATCAATACATTAAGCGGCACGGCCTGCAAGATTCCAGTCTCGCTGATGCCCGACGGGCCAAGGTGTACAATGTCAATGCTCCCAAGACCCAAGAGGAGAAAGCTGCCGCCGAGGCAGCCGGCGAGGAACCAGAGAGCGAGCTCCAAAAAGCCCAACGTGAGCTGGAAGACGAAGAGGAGGAAGATGAGGAAGACTACGACCCGGGCAGTGACGACAGCAGTGACGGCAGTGGTTCGAGTGACGAGGAAAGTGACGATGACGACGACCAAGAAGATGGTGAAGACAGTGGAGATGAGGAAATGCAGAACGAACTAGGCAGTGAGGCCGAGGAGAACGCCGAGCAGGATTAGGCGTGACACCTGTATGTCTTTTGCCCTGTTGAAAGGAGTATAGCCTCCGAAGCTTGCAGCCTCAAATTGCGGCCCATTTGATCCTACGTAGAACTCCCCCGGTAACTCTACGACAGTCTTGGGAGACTTTCACTGCTCTCACCGTATGTTATGTGCTCGCGTCTCAAGGAACAACGGCCCGAGTGGGTCAGGGACGTGTCCAAACCTTTACTCCTGAGCTGCCCAAAATGATGCATTGAATCAGCACCTAAATTCTACCATGCAAGTAACAGTGACAGGTACGGAGTCCATTGGCATATGCCTCCATGGATTGGTAGTCAACTGTTTAGAAACTTCTATGATCTATGAGCTCAACTATCGACAACAAGCAGGATTTTGCAAGATTTGGAATCGATAATTAGTTAGCGCATACCGAGAAACCCACGAATACCAAACTTAACTCGATAAGGAATCGTGTGCGGTAATCTTCCTTGGATAAGCGCATTCCAGACCGAGTCTAGACATCCCCTGAGCGGTAAAAGAAAAAAATGAAATCAAATCAAAATCAAAACACTTACCGCACCCAAAATTTCCGGGGGCTTTTACTGCGCAGTAGCCATCAGAGCCGCGGTGTGATCTTGGCAGTTTACCGGACAACCCGTTGGCGTAGAGAGTTGCTAGAGTGCCCGAAGAGTGCCTTAGGGGGGTTGACCTTTGGGCCTGCAGGATCAAGCTGCAGGGACGTAGTCAAAACCTCATGCCGGAAAAGCTTCGCCCAATTGGAGGTTTCACGAAAGGCAGGTCGAAAGGCACATTTACAGTGATGGTGCTGAAGCGGGTCATTGGGATCTTTATTGCTTCTGTCCCTGATACGGTGAATGATCAAGAGAAGCTCCTCCAACGATGACGGTCGTACCTGGAGTGGAGAGGGTTATGGGACAGCCACTAGGCGTGATTGGGGCATGGTGAACCATCATTTAGAAAGAAGCGAAACTAAAAAGGACCCGAAAGCGACCAGAGGACCCCGGTAACGCTGGTATGGCCCAATACCGCCCGTGACCGCCAGTTCCATCGCAATTTCGCCTGCGGTTTTGCTCTCAACGGCGGGTGATGGGTACCAGCCCGTACCAAATACACTGCAATACTCTCCGCTCCCTTTCTCTCAACTTCTCCCTATCTTCTTCTTCCCCCTTCAACCTACCCCCCCTGCTCCATCACTGCGGTTCGACGTCGTCGAGTGCCTCCGGTGCTCCTTCTACTCGACCGCTTTTCCTCGCTTTGGCGTTTCTTTTCCCCTAATTCGCCACTGCCCGGGCGCCTGACCTCCCCGAAATCTCGCCCCCAGTTCTCCGGTTGCCCCGTCCAAAACTCAGCCCTGAACAGTCAGTCTTTGCTCAGGTCGGCCCAATTCAGATCAATATTCATTCTCCAATTCTTGGCGACCTTGTTCTGCGTGTTTCACTGCGCATCCTCGGCCGTCTGACCCTACGCCGATCACCCTCGCTCGAGTGCGTCTAGCGATATCGAGATTGCTCTGGTGGATTACTCAGTGTGGCTCAGGCTCTTGCCCCGTGATTTAAACCGTTGTCTGTGAGCTACAAACGGCCATGGCATCGTCTTCATCGAATGTAGTGGGTGTCCACTACCGTGTGGGAAAGAAAATTGGCGAGGGCTCCTTCGGTGTTATCTTCGAGGGCACCAACCTTCTGAACAACCAGCAGGTTGCTATCAAATTCGTGGGTGTCTTCATCATGTGATAAGCAAACGTGTGGTACTGACTGTATACCAGGAACCCCGGAAGAGCGATGCTCCTCAACTTCGTGATGAGTACAGGACGTACAAGATCTTGGTCGGATGTCGTGAGTATCCACACGTCTCTGCATGAATAGAAATGATTGAACTGATTGATATTTCCAGCCGGTATTCCCAATGTCTATTACTTTGGACAGGAGGGGTTGCACAACATCCTCGTGATTGACCTCCTCGGCCCCAGTCTCGAGGATCTTTTCGACCATTGCAACCGTCGCTTCTCCACCAAGACTGTCGTTATGGTTGCCAAGCAGATGGTCAGTCTCATTCAGTCTATGTACGCTATACATTCGGGCTAACATCTTCCCAGCTGTCCCGTGTTCAAACCATTCATGAGAAGAACTTAATCTACCGTGATATCAAGCCTGATAACTTCCTTATTGGCCGGCCTTCGTCCAAGGCTGCCAACGTCATCCACGTCGTTGATTTCGGTATGGCAAAGCAGTACCGCGACCCCAAGACCAAGCAGCACATTCCCTACCGGGAGCGCAAGTCCTTGTCTGGCACCGCTCGTTACATGAGTATCAACACCCATTTGGGTCGTGAACAATCACGAAGGGATGATCTGGAGGCATTGGGTCACGTTTTCATGTACTTCTTGCGTGGTGGACTCCCTTGGCAAGGACTCAAGGCCGCGACCAACAAGCAAAAGTACGAAAAGATTGGCGAGAAGAAACAGACCACCGCCATCAAGGACCTCTGTGAAGGATATCCCGGTAAGCCTCCATGCAATGAATTCCAAACTAATCTGGAGAATGAAATTAACGCCTCCAAACAGAGGAATTCAACAAGTATCTGACCTACGTCCGCAACCTGGGCTTCGAGGACACCCCTGACTACGATTACCTCCGTGATCTTTTGACTCAATCCCTCAAGAATGCTGGAGAAGTTGAGGATGGCGAGTACGACTGGATGAAGCTCAACAACGGCCGTGGGTGGGACTACAAGTCTTATTCGTCCCAGGCCCATCTCCAGAACCAGCACCAGAGCTCATCGGGGCGCGAAGTGCACGGGAGAGAGCACCGCAACAGCCAGCGCCCGGGAGTGACTGCCGATCGTTTAAACGCGGCGCAGCCGCCTCCTCCATCTCCAGCCAAGGGGGGAGCAGGCAAATCCCGCGACCGGCCAAGCGGCTCCGGATTGCCTCCCAAACGCCAGAGCGGTAACCTGGAGACAGGAACACCGGCGGGCTCGACCCAGGCTCAGTTCCAAAACTCCAATGCTCACCTTCCTGGACGTATTGGAAGCCCTGGAAACCAGGGCGGGCAACAGGGTGGCCAGCCCGGGAACAACGATGCTCAACCCACCTTCGTGCAGAAGATTATGAAGGCTCTGTGCTGCGGTAGGTGATCCCAGAGTCGGATAATCCAGCTTAGTGCAGCTCGCTCATTCTTGAGATCCAGGTTGAACTCGCATGCAAGAGTGAATTGCAGCCTATTGCTGGATTGGTATCAATCTAATGTCCCACCTGCTCTTATCTCCCGCGAGGCTCGAAGGACGCGGTTGAAGTATTATTCAAGAATGTCGCCCCTGGGATTGTCTCTTTCTTCTCTCTTTTTCTCTTACAAGGTCTCTTCTTTCTCGGCGTTTTGCGATGTGGTGTCACCCGCTTTAGCGGACGGCATATCACTGACCAAACTTCAGTGACCTTTTCTTTCCACCCTCTTCAGTCCCATTCGACGCTTCAACCTGCAGCTTGCCTCCGGGTAGAACGACCCTTCTCTCATTGATGTTCACGTCTTCCTCTTCTCATGGTGCCACGGCTCGGAACGGCGAACTTTGGAGAGATCTTTTGTTTTGTGTTTCAATTTCCTTGCTGTCACCATACTCGACGTCCCTCGACTAATCCAAAATTCTCGCCTTTGCAAGCGAGCAGATCCCAAGGTTTTATCACACGAACCTGGGCATCATCCTACATCGTTCGGCTACTGCGGAGTTGTTTGTTTATAGTCGCTCTTGCGACATGGCCCCTTCGAAAGCCAGGTTCCGACTTGAACCGTGTTTGGTCTAGAGGTTGGAACAAAAAGGGGCACCGGCCATGATCTGAGGATTCTTGCCATGATCCATGAGAGTAATACCTGGTCTCTGGTCTTAACCATTGCCAGTCGACGTTTGCATCTTATTCGTGTTTCGAATCTTTCTGCTGAGATTCTCCTCACGCCCGTATTCCGTCTTACCTGGTTTTCTTGGCCCACGCCAGCATGTTCTCGCTCAGTGGTCCCTTCACGCACGCTGCATATATTCCTGGTCCTTTTTGATTTCCCCTCGACCTATCCCGTCACCTACCTCGTCCCGCATGTCTTTGTTGTTGCCATTCCCCTTTTCAATCTATTGCCCTGTTCATAATCGTCCCCTGTTCTTGCTTGTCGCAGAAGCGAGTTTTCTTTGGTAGTTTTCTTCGGCATAAGATAGCATTGTTTTTCTTTTTTCACCCTTGTTCTTTCCTTCGATCCTGCTTCGGCCATGGCTTCTAGCTGCATCCGACCGCATAATTTGTCGATGGATCCAGCAAATAATAATACATTGCATTGTTCAGTGAGTACCGGGCAATCGTAGGCGTCGTATCTTACCCGTCATAATAGAGATTCGGCTGCTTCGGGACTTATTCTGAGGAACAACCTCCGATGTCTACGAGATTGTCCGACATTACTTAACAAGTGCCGGTGTATCCTTTCCTGTATACCTCGACCACCGCTATAATACCCATCCCTCTATAATCCAGCACATGATATCACCGTTGCGCCCTTCAACGCCCCGACAGACAGGGGGAAACCACGCATTCGGTTGCAACTCCCCCCCCCCCTAATTCCCTTGCAGCTACGGGGATCCATCATTTACACCCAACCTTCACACCACACGCACTCTGACGTGGACTTGCCCCTTGGCACCAAACAGCCCACCCAATGCCAACCTCACATCCCCACAGTCCCTTGGCAGAACAAAGATATGATATATCAGCTCCTTAAACGTCCCTAACCCCATCCAGCAACTCCCCGAAACGCCGTGCGGCGCACCCAATCAGGCATGCAGGGCACGCATAAGAGTCGCCGGACACGAGGATATGGGCTCATGCGCTATCTGCGCCACCCGCTCTCGCCCTAACTGTCTATGTCATTTGTTGCAGTCGTTGCTGGGTAGCTTCGAGTTGGAGACGGGACTTGGACTGGATTGGAACTAGGATCGTTTGGAAAGACAAGGATCTACGAGTCTCGCAACCTGACGTCCAGAGAGACAGGGGTAAACCGGTCTGCAAATGCGATTAGCTGGTAACCCGGTACTCGTGCTAGTGCTGGGGGGGGGTTAAACCTTCTCCCCGGATCTGCACATGGAATCCCTTGGAAGGATTCGGGGATGAGGACATGTGCTACGTGTGTAGGTTTACTAGGAGAGACTGTATGGTATCGTAGGTATGAAGTATTGTTTTCTTTTTCTGTTCTGTTCTTTTTCTTTTCTTTTCTTTTTTTCACTTCTTCACTTTCCTTTTTCCCTGCGCTGCATCTTCTAAACCTTCTCGGGTTGTATGCGCCGTTATACTTTCATCGTAGATCATCGGTCCTAGTCCAGTCTGTTTGCCCGGAGGTAGGGATTAGTATACCGCATTTGGACGCCATTGATAATGATCAACACTTCTTCTCCTCTTCAGTCTCTTCACATCCTGACGAGATCCAGAACATGAACGCGAACGCGGGGCTGTCTCTACAAGGAGAGATAGCATGATCCCCCCAAATGGCCTATGTAGTAGTCGGCCGGGTTCCCTGATCCCCCATGAAGTCATCCCATACCTGACGCCACCCCCCCTTCGCATCTTCACAGCAGAAAAATGCAACTCTTAGCCCTGCGTGCATGACACCAGCCCCAGACTACGCCGTAGCCAGACTAGAACAGGCAACGAGCGTCGCAGGTCTGCCGCTAACTCCTGCAGGCCGCTGATTGAGTTCGGCAAGCAACCAACCAGACGGGTCCATCCCCGCATGGACGCAGGCATGCATCAGCCGATCCGTGAGCTGATTAGCCAGAGCCAGGCAGAGACATTATCGGCCTGCGTGGCTGTACTGCATTCGTACGGCGTATAGAAGATTGGGGGGCCTAGGTGGTGTGAGTCGTGGCTGTGTTCGAGATGTGGGTTTCATTGGGATCCGGTCTTACATACGGAGTTACTGACCCGGGGGCTTGTGTGTGGCGACCTTGGCCGTGTGACGGGCGGCAAGAGGGTTGATATCATCTGTTCAGGGACATATAGCATTTGGGGAAAGATGACGAGGCCGTTGTGTAGCGCTGAATTTGAGGGAATGTTGCTGGATGACTGCATTCGCAGGTTTTTGCGGGGAAGCGGTTGGGAAATGCGGGGGAATTTAGGACCAAAGCTTCCGACTGCTTTTCTTTTTTTTTCTTGGTGCGTCGAAGTCTGAGGAACGGGGGGATCGACGATCTTCCCTTGATCAACATTCATCATGAAATCAGCATACATATGTGAGTTTACTTTATTGTCTCGCCACTCTAGACACTCTGGTCCGCGATTGGGTGGGGTACCCCCCCGAAGCATCAGAGTTTGGGTGAGATCATGATGTACTGTTTAGATACTTCTTTTGGATTCAGTGTGAATTCAGTGTATAGGAACCAAACGCCTCAGGTGTATTGGATTCGAGCCTCTGATCGCCCCCCCTCCAGGAAACTCTGATAGCGAGACGCACGCGACCCGCCAATCTTTTGGTTTTCCAGCCCGAAATGGATGTATCGGGCAGCGGCTTACGGTCAGCATTACTCTCGAGGTCCCAAGGTTTCAAACCCTGGGAGCTTGAGTTTCCGGAAGCAGCGGAACCTGGCGGATCAAAAGGCTGAAACGTGGAGATTTCTTCTTCCAGAACACGGTCTGGAAGACCGATGCCAAGTGCCTAAACAAGGGAACTATCAGCTGTTCGGTTTGGCTCTCGCAAAAACTGCCTGCGGTAAAGCAGCGTTGAGTGGAGCCTCAACTGGCTGGAGCCAGATTTTCTCGTTAAGGTTGATTCCAACTGGGATTCCTGTTCAAAATGAAGAGGCGTCATCGGGGCTCCCGTCAAATACGAGCGGGCCCAGCCAACTCCCAATCTCGTCCTCTCCGTGTTGGAAAAGAACTTTCCGACGAAAAAGCCAGTCAAGATCAATCCAGCAGAATATCCACATCATGACTCCTAAACAGACCAGATAAACTCCGGGTTCAGCCCAATCAGACGCCCCTACCAAGCCGCTAAAGCAACCATGTGACCCTGCGCTTGGGTCTCTTGAAGCCCATCCGCACCCAATCACCGCACCGCAGTGACCCGCCTAACCAAGCAGTAAGGAGGCGTCCAACGCCCAGGGCCGTTGATTTAAGACGAAATGTGGAGGTGACTGAGGCCACGAACTCATGACAGCGGCTCACCCCAGAATCCTACAAACCTTGTACCAAACCAAAAAAAGAGAGGAACTACTCAATGGCCAATACAGGCTCCGAAGCGCCACCCTGGCACGCGGCGTACCCAACGCCTCAAATCAAAGCGCCCTCGGTCAGCCGCGAAGAAGTGTTGCAGTGGCTTCGCGACGGCAAAGCCGGAGAGGACTTTGTGCTGGTGGATCTGCGTCGCAATGACTTCGAGGTATCGGGGCCACGATGCCCGAGAATGAAAAAATCCCCCAGGTTGGGCTAAAGCTAACAAACTCTGTCCAGGGGGGGCACGATCCGAGGGTCTCTCAATTTGCCAGCGCAGAGCCTGTTCCTGACTATCCCTACCCTGTACAAGGTGCTAGAGGGTAGTGGCGTCGAGAAGGTGGTTTGGTACTGCGGTGAGTTGAAGGCTTTTTTTTTTTTGTTTTGTTTTGGTGTTTGCCTCCACAACTATGTTAGCTGCTGAGCTGATCCCTGTCTCTTGACGCCTTAGGGTCCAGCGGAGGACGCGGGACTCGTGCGGCCGGGTGGTTTGCGGATTACCTGGCTGAGCGTGATACGAGGCTGCAAAGCTTGGTGCTCACAGGGGGAATTAAAGGGTGGGCTTCGGCCGGACCAGAATATACCGAATGGATGGACGAGTATGATGCGGCTGCGTGGGCGCGTAAGTAAGATGTTTTTGTTTTTTTTTTTTTGTTTTTGTTTCATTCTTTTTTTCTGTCCTGCCGTGGCCTGATAGTCGGGTCCGACGGATCGGTGCAGGATGCATAGAGTCTGGCTGCCAATTGCAACGCTTGTACAGCTGGGATGGTCTGGTGTCTAGACCCTTACGATGCAGACAGAATGAACATATTGCTTTTGGTACTCCGAGCAGAGAAAGGACAGCCTGAGGCTGACAGGCAATCGATGGCGTGTACTCCGACTGCAATTACTTCATTACTTCATGATTCCGGACGAGAATGATGTAGACCACCCCCACCGCACCCAGATGAAACAGCTTCGAATCGAGGCAAAGTGGAAATCAAAATGAAACCAGATCGCCCCAGCGGCTAAAAAAGTAGCAAAGAAAGAAACAGCGTCAAATTCTGCAGGGTCGCAGGGGTTTACCGAAGCAAAGCGAATCGCCTACGGAGTATCCACCGTTGCAACGTAAACGACTTCAGCTCCACCCGCACCATGGGCCCCCTCTTCCCGCCCCTCAGCCAATGACGCAGCGACAGGGATGGAAATCGCAATACCAGTAACGGACAACAAGAGTCTAGCGCGCAGATCTGCCATTGGTATCCGGCGAGAGAGGGCTTTTTTTTCTTTGGTCTTCTCCACCCGCAATCTACGGCACATCACGGCCTATTTTGCCTAATCTACCGCCCTCCGCGAATCAGCGCAGTGAATCCAATCGGGCCTGGCGTCCAGTTGGCACCGATTAGGTTAGTCGAGGAGGACCTCTCCAGGGCTCTCCACTGTAGGGGGGAGCAAAACAGAGGTCAGCATTTGAGCACGTATTGGAGAAGAGAAGTACGGGATGCGGTTTCAAGTAAGCGCCATTGGAGTCCCTTCCAAGGTTGCTCGGGCGCTCTTAGGTTGCTCGGGCGCTCTTGGGTTGCCCCTACTTGCCCTGATCCTCGCTGAGATCCTCCTCTCTCTGCCCGTGCTCCGCTGGCTCCATTTCTTTTCTTCCGAGTCTAGAAGCGGGTGGGTGAAACAAGTTCAGGCTCAAGACGTTCCCTTGTTTGGGAACGTTTTGTTTCCTCTCCCCCTTGTCAGAAATCAAGATTTTGGGTCGATGTGGAGTGGGTCGATGAAGTCATTCACGGCTTCTGCCGCTCTGATTGATCGACTGGTTTGATTCTGGACGCGGGAAAGAAGGTGTGGGATGGTCCTATCCGGAGACGCAGAGTGGGCGAGGCTAACCGCTTTCTCTCCAAGCCTGGAACGCTTGATACCACTCGATGTACCTCGAACCCCACCAGGCGGAGTTAAAGCTTGGGTCAAACAGAAAAACTTACCTATCTCTCTTCTTGAGGATGTATAGTTCTGCGTTGGAAGCTTTCCCCGGTGAGACCCCCCCCCTGCGAGCCCATTATTGGGATGAAGAATCCACGTAACACAGGGCCCACGGGAAAGGATGGTGTCGTGATTCGAAGGGCCACGCAGGGATTCTTCGACCTCTTTGTGTACACATTACCATTCTAGGAAACAAAACGGCTCCGTGGAAAGGTGTAAAACGACCTGCAGTCGTTCAATAGCTCGAGCAGAAAAGGTAAAATGGGATAGATCGTGGGCTACACTGCCAATCGCCTCCCCACGTACTCCGTATCACAACAGCATTGCAGGTTGTCCTAGAACGGGATTTGGGAACACGAGACCTACGAGACCTCCGAGCACATTAAGCAGTCACGATAGATCGGAGAAGAAAAGAAAGAAAACAAAAAAGCAACCCCACCAAGCTTCAGTAGCGCCCGTCTAAATTCCCCTTCCTCTCCTCCATAGCGCCACCGTGGAGGGATGTTATTCCCCCGCTGGACTAAGCCCGCTGTTCTAGATGCGCCTCGCAAAGGGGGGGGAGGGGAAACAAACGAGGGCAGCCACCAGGATCCCGTGCGCCCTATGTGGGGAAAGTGGACAGACTGCCGAGGAATGGGAGTCGGGGAAATAGTGGAGGCAAGAGGGCAAAAAAACAAGAGGGCAGAAAAAAGGGCTACCCAAAAAAAGGGGGCAGAAACCTCGAAAGAGTTGCCGGAGGGGCGCGCTACCGAAGTTAGCCTGGTGCACATGGGGGGGAACGACGGCCAGGGCCGGCAAGCCATGAGGGGTTTCTCGGCGCATTAGGGCGATGCATGGAGAGCCTCGACCCGGCCGAGCATGTCGGTCGCACGGGGAACAGCTTTTGCGGCGCGATTATTGGGGGCAGCCCGGAGCTTTCGAGCCTTTCGAGCAAGGGGAAAGCTTTTCGAGGTGCTTCTGTCGCACGTTACGTACAGTGCGTGTCTTGGCACCGTTAGGGGTCGGGTAGAGAAGGAGACGGTTATCGATGGGCTGATACTGATCTGGACTGATATTGGCTGATGTTGGCTGATATTGGGCTGATCCGTGACTAGTTTTGATAAAGATTGGAAGGTCTGCCGCCTCCTGCAGTAGAGTCAATAGGTTCGTGGCATGCTAAACCCAAAAGCCAAAACCAAAGCCCTGGTTCCTCTAGATACAGTTCTGCAGGGCGGAAAATCTAGGAACCTCCCCTATAAGTCACGAAGCATTCATGATCCCCCTATCATCGGAGCCAGATCTGCCAACTCCGGGCTTATCGTGATACATGCGAGTGGAGCTGCCCAAGTGGATTCGCATGGAAGCCTTTTCCCACTGAGAAATCTTGGGGAGGCTCGAGGGTATGAGGACCTTGATTGGCCGGCCCCGGTCCGGTCCCACGTAATCCTGGTTGCTATCGGTCCTGATCGACCGGATTCTGAAATTTGCAGGCCGGATTGCATAATGTGACGGGATCAAATGAAAGATATCAGGAGATCACTGCTACGGAGACTGATAGAGCGATGTGCAAAACGGCGTGGCGACTCCGAATTTTTCAGACTTTGCACACACACTGCAGGGATGGAAAAATACCTTTGATCCTGGGCTGTGCTCAGGGGATCCGAGCTATTACGACCAAATACGGGGGGGGTTTTACGACAGACAGAAACCCCCATATGGACACAGTGAACTTCCCCAGTTAACATGGGGGGGAAATAGTAAAATGAAGGCAACGGGCAATTGAATGTAACTGGGTTCCAACCTGGGTAAGCAGACAGGGTCTGAATGAAATTCCCCCTTGATTTTCGGAGCGACCGGGCGTGGCGATCGTGGGTACCGGGAGGAACTAAGATGCTTCGGCCGGGCTTCTAGAAGGCTGGAAAGTCTTGGGCGTATTGTGCGATCCTGCTCCTGCCAGGCCCTACGGAGTATTCCTCCCTTGTCTTGCTCGTTTTCATTTTCTCATTTTATTATTGAGCTCTGATTCTTGGTAATTTTCCTTTCGAAGGCGGTCGGTGAGGGAATTGTTACTTCATCGTAGTAGGTCTTGTGCCGGGGCGCGATGTCTTGCCACACAGACATTCCTGAGTTCCACGAGATTGACATGAGTGAATTTTGACGCTAGAATGTCCCTCGAATGGCACGGAGTAGACACTCATTACTACGAGTCTGTACTCTGCATTCTCCAGAGATCGGCAGGGCAGCACATTCGTGACGTGACCTATGCTCAAGCAAGGGGGACGAGAGCGTGTCACGCAACTAGAAGGCACTAAAAGCCACTAAACACATGCGGGGCCTAGGGGCTCCCTGCCTGATTGGCAGACCCTCGCACAGAACCGTGGGTCTCGAGGATTGACATTCCGAGACCGGATAATGGCGTGCTTAGTGCTGTTGCGCTGGACATCGTGAGCTGGTCTGACCTGGGGATTGGCTTCAGGAACTGAGATAGGCATGATAAGAGCCCACGAGTGGCCACGCGGCAGGATTCAGCCTTCTTTCTAGAATCTCTCCTGGACAGCTTTCTGGAAGGCTGCAGGGGGCCCCATCCCTTGCGCCCCCAGGCGCGTGCTCAAACGGAGAGCGTTCGTCCATGGGCGCGTGTAAGACGGTCCTCGCTAGGAGTGCGAGACCTTGGGAGCCAAAGACTAGAAGGAAAAAAAAGAGGGGATTGAGAGGAGCGAATGGAGAAAAGGGGTCGCCACATTCAGGCCCCACCGGTATTGTTGTGTAATAAATACATCGTCATGGCGATCATCCCAGAATCATTCCAGAACCAGAACGCCCCGCTTGGAGGATCCACCTTTGGGTCTTTTCCTTTTTCTTTTTTTCTTTTTTCGAATTTTCCATTTTTCCTTTCTCTCGGGGCGCCCTATCTCGACCAAGGTTGCTGTTGCAAAAGGGTATATGTCCATCGTGATCGCCCTGCTACTCTACTTTTGTTCGTTTTAAACTCTTCTGTTCCTTGTTCCCCTCTTCCCACCCCCCCATACCATTATTCCATCATTGGAACAGACTTCCCATGTTCGATCTACTCTTCATCTCTCGCCAATAACCCAATTCATACCAAGCTGGATTCCCATCCAGCTTCCGGAGGGCGAAGACATCGATTGTTGAGAAGACCTTGCGGGAATTTCTCCGCGATGCTGAAGAAGAAATCCTTGGCGCCTGCCTTTTTCTGGAACTTCTCCCCCAGTACAACCCCCGACCTGTCGCCCACTTCCTCCGACAGCGACTCCGACGAAGATATGGAGTCGTCTGGCTCCCGACCGGTCAGCCTGGCCGTCTCGGCGGGAGCCTGTTGTCCCATGCGCCCCACTCTCGACGATGTCCTGGCCAACATTGCACCGCCCCCGTATACCTTGAGCGCTTTCATGGCCTACCTGTCACAGAACCACTGTTTGGAGACCCTGGAATTCACCTTGGAGGCAAAGCGGTACCAGGAAACCTACTACGCCGTCGCCACCCACAACTCGCCCCTCCGCCCCGGGACCCCCGAGAGCCAGCACTTGTGCATGCTCTGGCAGCGTCTGTTGACTGCTTATATCTATCCTGGGTCCCCTCGGGAAATCAACCTGTCTAGCGAAGACCGGGAGCCCCTGCTGCGGTTCCGGGACGTGGATGTCCCGCCGGCCCCCGAAACTCTCGACTCAGCTGTCAAGCGGATTCATGACCTGATGGACGAGTCGATCTTCATGCCATTCCTCAACAGCCTCACCGTCTCCCCAACCATGGACCCGTCCGAGCCTCCTTTCAGTGTGGACGACTCGGTCAACCTCTCTACCACTAGCCTCGAGGAGAATCCGATGCGAAAGATCCGGTCCCGAGCCCGTCGTCTCTCGCCTCAGTCCTCTACCAAGGACTTGGATGGGAGCCGTAGTCCTATGTCTCTTGGTGCCATGCATGCCATTGGCAAACGGGCATCGGGTGCCTTGCTGAGCATTAGTGGCGACTCCAACCCAATGTCCCTGACCGACGACTCTAGCCCCCCAGTCCAGCCCCACCGCCGAGGAACCAATGACACCGCCTACTACTCCGCCCGCCAGTGAGCCTCATCTCCCCATGCACAGCCCCAAGCTACGCACCGAGAACCCTTGGAAGAAAATGGGCATGAAACTGGGCTTCAAGAAGCGGTCGGGAACCACGGGCCGGGACCCTAAGATCATCGGCCTCGACGACTAAAAACCAAACGAGACACCCTTGAAAAAAAAAAACAACCCTACCTACATCATCACGACTTTATTCCCGTCATGCATACACCTTTACAGACTCCACGACCACCTTTCACCTCATTACCGACGTGCATGATCTCATCTCAAACACGAACCTGCTCCGACCCTTTTTTTTTTTTAGCGTTTTTTATTGGCGGTGTATGAGAAATGATGCATCGAAAGCATACCGACGGCGTTTTCATTAGGGAGCCACATTCTCAACTTCTTCATTATGATCTGCATGTTGTATTCACAAGGAGCATCGACTTGCCTTTCTTCTGTGCATTCTTCGAAAATGTTTTTTTTGTACCATCGCCCCTTTATAGATTGGATGGTGAATCTCGATGAGATTCGAGCTGGCATACCGGATCTGTTCATGACCAGCACTGGTTAATCTGTGTCGATAGTTATGATAGGTGCGGTTTGAACTGAATAGACTTGATACCCCTCTCACTCTTTTCCATGATCATTCGTACACGTAATTAAGATTTGTGATCACCGATAAGCCCATGCATGGTCATGGTATGTTGGTGGGTCTTGTCTTCACCGCAACACATGGCGCAGTCGCTCCACTTGGATGTCCGGTTCTAGAACACTGATTTTGGATCGAGTGAGTCATCTGATAGTTATATTTATATGAAAACTGGACCTCTTCTACCAGGATAGCATCCTGGACCCTCTACTTTGGACGGCAGCCTGACACTAGTATATCCCCGGAAATAGTTTCCTCAGACAGGCAACCATAGTAAAGTAGTAAAGAACAAGACCAGGTACGCCCTGGCCTGAGTCCCTTTCGCTCTTAGCATAATGACACACAAAGCTGATCTGACTCATGATCAGGTATGTAATCCCATTCTGGAACCTCCAGTTGAGTGTCGAGCAAGTTCCGAGCGTAGATTGTGTGGCCTGATTCTCCACCCACTGCTCCCGTGGACTAGACATGCAAGGTGAAAACTCCCCCTGTCTCCTCAGATTACACCCGGCAAGAAGAATACGTAGACCGAAGAGATTCCGATCTTCTTTCGTCTCATAGCGATAGCGCTCCGTTTCCCCCCGAGTCTCTGGATGTCAATACCTGTCAATGCAAGTCACCCACTACGGGAGTAGAGCAGTAGCAGCACTAGTATTCGAAATGCTAATTAAAAGAAGAGAAGGGAGGAAAGGAAAGAAGAAAAGATATTATATAAGAACCGGACGTCCCCTCTACGAGTCTCGTCCTATAACATACGTAGATCAGACGAACACTAGGGACTGGAAGCAGAAACACGGTTTGGATTACGCGACTGAGTGCGTTTTTCTGGAACTGGGGTTCGAACTGCAAGATAAGGTTATTCAAAAATCGAGCTTTTGATACACCTTGACATGTGTAGAGAAAATGACGTCCAATAGTGCATTGAATCTTCGAATAACGTGGAATTTTAATGAAACCTGGTGGAAATTTTTTTGGACTGGGTGTGTCTTTCTAAGATCAAGTGACACGCTGGAATCGAGTGCTAAATCGGGTGGATGAAGCTGTAAAATTTGCTTGCGTTAAAACGAGCTTTGAGCTTTGAGTAGATCATCAATTCGAAGCGTTCATATTGAATGGCGTTCGAAGCGTGTTTTTTGATTCTGGTGACGATCTCTGGAACACGGTGACTGTTTCTAGGATTGGATATCAATTCTTTAATATTAGGCTTCGAATGGATATAAGAAAGTATAAGAAATCAATTTTAGATTTCCTCATAGACTCAAGCACTTCTAATATCCTTTATCGAGGGGTTTGAACGAAATGACATCGAATGGCGTGCTGAAGCATGGAATAGTGCGCAAAGAGTGCATTTGAATCTGGTAGTATCTTGCTGAACCTAGTGGTAAGTGCTTGGACTTGATGCGTGTGTCCAGAATCGGGTGTGGACTTTCACAGCGGTGTTAGAAAATCCGGACACTGGAAGGCTGCCGGGTGAACTTCTTCCTAGCATACCACGGAGGTGAATTGAGTTCGGCCTTTACTGGTGTTAGACCTGGAGGTCCTCAAGTTCTCCAGAATAGAGGGCACGTTTCTATAATAGTAACGAAGTGCCGAAGGAAGACTAGAACCAAATATCTATATCAAGAGCGGGGTCTACCATTAGATGGCCTCAGCTAATATAAACCAATACTGAACGCCCAAATTGGCGTGAATTAGCTTAGACAACGGGGAGTCTATCAATTCGATTGGCAAGTATCTATCAGTAATCACTGCTCGAAGCTGACTGTTGCAATGGCCCAAATGACATGCATGTAACACTGACTATGAATGAGCCCCGAAGAGTAGAATCGAACTCAACTTTCTTGAGACATCCCTGCCGTACTGCCTTGGGTTAATGGATATTGATTCTTTGGAGAAGAGACAGTCACCGCATAAGACAAGCAGATATATGCCGATATGCAGGACTATGTACTGTATCGTTGTTCAAGAATAGCTTCTCCGTCCATATGTAAGAGTCGCATCAAACAGCCTCAACCCGCCTCCCTGCCTTCGTCTCCAAAGCCCCAATCTGCAAATCCCACCCCAGCTGCAACAGCGTAAGACAATACTTCTCGAACCTCTGTCCAGTATTCAAGAAGCCCAGAACCCGCTCCACGACCGTCAACACATCCGCCACCCCGTCCTTTTCCAGCGCAGACCCAGCCAAGACCCGAGCCGCAAGAAGCGCATGGACCCACGCTTTGATCTGCCCGAAGACCTTGCAACCCTTCTTCAGCACAATGCAGGCATGCCACTTGGTCATTCGATCCTGCGAGCGGGGGAAGAGGAAGAGGATATACTCCTCGCCTTTGAAAAGGGTATCTAGAGCGCGCATGGGCAGAGTGGTCTTAAACGACAAACGCGCATTCCGGAGAAAAGACGCCAAAGGAACGCCGATCTCTGCGGACCCGAGGTCTTGCGATTTATCTGGAGTGCGAGAGACCCAGAGCAGAGTGCCGGAGCGATGGAAGATGCGTTCTTTGGCGGCGACATCAGCTGGGGTCAGTGGCTTGCGCCACAGTGACGAATTAGGACGGGGCAGGGGGGTGCGAGGGCGTGGTTGGGAGGGTCGCAGGGAGTAGATGTTTAAGTCTGGGTCAGATTCTAAGAGGGAGGTGAATACTATGTTGGTGCGCTGGCGGTTCAGTGATGTCATTTGCACGGACCGGACGGCGAGATAGTTGCTGCTGAGATGGAGGGCTAGCAAGGTTAAGAGGGCTGCCCAAGTTTTTTTGAAGCCTGTGATATGTGAGACGACAAAGGAGCCGACCTGTTGGTGTAAGCGGTGGTTTATATTGTCGCATTGGGATGTCCCTTACAAGCATCCCGATCAGAGAAACGACTGTTTCTTGAGAAGAGTCTTTCTGTGGGTGTCTTAGAAGAGGATCCGAGCATACGCAGAAGTGGAGGCTTACAGCATTCAGTTCAGCAAGATTGCCCCATCGTGCAAAGTGTGCACTCAAGCTGGCTTTGGAGCTGCCTCCAGCGACACCACAGAGTGCTCGTAAAACTCCGGCAGTGCTGAGGATGCCCACACGCTGAGTACCGGCTGGAACCATAGGAGAAAGGCAGTCAAGGATCATGGCGATATCATTGAATACATCGGCTGCTAGTCGATACATCTTGCATTCTGGCTCAAGGGCTGTGCCGACTCGATGTGCAAAGAAGATGGTTGCGATGCGGCCAGATGTGTCTTGTAGTATGTGAAGAAGTAGAGCAGATGTTGGCGAGGCATCTGCATTTCCGACGCCCACACCTGGTTGCCGTCAGTCTCGGCTTTGCTACGATTGCAATGGCATTGACAAACCTTGTAGGACAGCTCTAGAAGAGAGGAGTCCAGCAATTGAGCTACAGAAGGCTTGTAGAGAGTCCTATCACAGCAGCCCAGTCAGTGGATCCGAGATCGGTAATACCGTCTGAATGGGAAGCTCCGAGAAGTTGAGGACACTAACATAGACTTGGTATCTAGAGTTCATTAGTATAGCTGAAATGCCTAGGTCGCCAATCACTCACGGAAGATAGTCGTCGCTCACGCTATGAGGATATCCCGCTGGTAGGAAGAGATCAGCCAGATATGCAACAAGAGGCTGATTTCTCCAGGAGTGCTTGGACTTGGGTTTCTGGCCATATGTTAGAAAGGCATTTCAATTGACACGCCGCGGCGACAATTCGCGTTTGGATGAAGGGATGGCCAAGAAGGTGTCAATGATGTCGAACATGTCCGGGCATTTCAGCCTGTGCATCGCAAGATCCAAATAGAGCACAGACTGTAATTTGCTCGGGGGGGGGGGGGCTATCAAGCGAGATATGGGGTTTGATCAAGGGCTTATGCATAATTGTCAGATATGAAGTTCACCTTACCATGACGTCTACCCGTCCTCCTTCGGCTCGCTTCGGGTCCTCATCTGGCCCCGAGAAGATGTAAGTGGCAGTGATATTATCGACCTCATCTGTCTCCTGCAGAGCAAGACGAGCATCTTGTGAAGCCATGGCTGTCCAGGCCAATGTCGGAGATCGAGTTGCGTGGCCGAAGTGTCAAAAGCGGTTGGAAGGCACGTGCGGGCGGCCGGGATGCGACCAGACGTTCAACTTTTCGATACTACGTTTGGACTGTGGAGAATGCAGCTCATCAATTCTACGGATACAGATGAGAAAGGAACGGGGAATATTCTTTATTTCAAGCAATTGCTCTCAGAGCCGAGTATGTCACAGGGAAGAGAATGACCAAGCCAGACACCAGATCTAAGAACTTGCACTCCTCTTTTTTGACATCCAAAAGGAACGATCAGTGTTGCGCTGCCCAAGGTATAAGAGAAGGGAAAAAGAAAGAAAGAAAGAACACCAAAAAGAACCACCAGCGCCAATTGGGGGAATAGTCCGAAGGGATGAACCCAAAGAAAAGCAAGTAGCGAGGAGCTCAGTCTGAGGTTGCGTGGAGTTCTTCCGAGGATCACAAAGATCCTCGCCGCTCGCTGAGTGTTACTTGAGCCATTGGCGGAGGAACCAACGGCGGCATCCAAAACCCGAGACCTTTTGCATCGAGTCAAGATCCAAGATCGTCGCTCCTTGCCCAACGGCCATTAGCACCGACTCTCGCCCGGTGCCAGTATCGAAGCCCTTCCTTCACTCAACTTCCTCATCAAGAAGTTTCGTACCCCATTGCTTCATGCATTTTGTAGTGAACGCGTATCGTTCAGACATCTCTGCCGGCAGAGGCCGGTCATTTTTTTTTAAGCGAACAAGCTGGCACCGCCAGTCTCAATGGCCTCAATCTCAGCTTGAGACCAGGGCAGACGACCGAAGCGTGCAGGAAGCTCAGCGCGGTCAAAGAACTGACCGGGTTCGGGGCGGACGGGGCCCAGGGAGGCGCCAGGCGTGCCACCGATGGTGCCAGTGAACTGAGCGCGACCGAGAGGGCCGTGCTGCTGGGCCTTTTCACGGTAGGCAGCGAAGGAGTCAGGGAGAGAAGAAGTAGGAGCGGCGGGGTGAACGCGAGGAGTGTGGTCCACGGACTCTGGGACACCGGTTAGCTTTCTGGCCTTCGGACATAGCTCCTGAGGGCATCGAACGTACGAGGAACTGAGCGCTTGCCCACGAAGCGGATCAGGGGAGTCCGGGCGGCATTGCGGAGAGCGAAAGTGGCACGCATGGTGTTATGAGGCTGATAAGTTGTGAGAGGTGGTTGGTGTCAGGAGGAAGAAGAATTCGCGTAGTGTGCGGGAAACAGGTCCGACAGTATCCGAATCGACCCGACGCGAAGTGGACGCGGCTATAGCAAGAAGCGACGGTTGGTTGACGAAGACGAGGGGATCAGGGTGATGACTGGTGAGCAGGCGAGAGGGGCGAAAGGAGTGGTGTGAAGGAGGAGAGGGGAAGGGCCGATTCTAATATTTTTGGCAGTTGGAGGCAGTAGGGGCCGATTTCCTAAAACGGACAACCCGCCTATTCGGCTCGGAAGCGTTTGAAGGTGTGCTGCCACTCGTTTCTTCCAGTCACGCAATGATTTCTAGACTCCCGCCTTTATTGGTTGGCGGCGCCGCGGAGCACCCCACTAGCATCTCTCGAGTCATGCTATGCTGAACTCTCCTCACTCTTCTACGCGGAGGACTCCGTACACGCCACACGCCTTGCTACCGCCCATCCCCGCACCGTCCAACCCGGTGGTTTCGTGGTTTCGCGTCTTCGTACAGGGTACCTCCGACACTCTCCCCGGGGGTTATCTCCGATCCCCTTCCCCAATCCGTCACCCCGGTGAAGCTTCCCCCCCAAATCTCCCCATTGTTCCCCGGAGGATCATATTCGGGCAGTTTAGCTACCGGTGCTGTTCCCCTCAAAAGAGCCGTGGGGCGTTCCACTACTGCATCAGCACTGGCATCGATTGCCTACCTGATACCTCTGTTTTTAAACCCTCCAGATTTTTATGAGAAACGTTGGATAAACAGGAGACCGATTCTGCGCCAAGTGACCGGTTTTCTTGTCTTTTCGTCCTCCTGCAGGGAGGAAGGAGGATGATCCCTCGTGTTATGCAACACCAAAACCATTACTCAATTGACTTGGTTTCCTGCACACATCAAAATCGGACGATCTTGATAAGCTCAGATCCTCACGCTTGGCGGTCATCAGAAGCTTGGACCCTGACTAACACCGTCCCGGCTTCACCCGCCTTCCAACATGCACGAGCTACTGCTGTTCGCCTCGGTCCCCCAACACCAGCATCATGAGCTTCTTCAGCAGCTGGCTGGGCTGACGGCCATGCAGCCCCGCCACGCTCTCGAGCGTCGACTGATTTTCAAGGCCTATCGGAAGCCAGGCCTGGGCGCCTCTCGGACGGGCGGCAGCCAGGATCTGCAGGCCTCGGGTGACCTGCAAAGAGTGACGAAGATGTTGAACGGTGGCATGTTCTACACTCAGGTGGTTGGCCCCGTTGCGGAAAATGACTTCTCGCCATCCGGCCCCGACGCTGATGTGCAGATGTCAGGGACGGAGGGCAACTCGGCAGGCTCGGCAGGCGCCTACGACTACGAACAGCAGCCTTGGAGGCTGGAATTTCGCGATGTGCCCGAGGCTGGTACGCGTTCAGCCGTGACGGCCCGGGTGATGGCGACTGCGGCTCTGCCATGTGGTGATGTCGTGCCTGCCATGAATGCATGGGGTTATCAGTACGTATGGCGTGACGAGGGCCGATCTTTTGATTGTCATTTGCCCGGTAACTAACGTGGCCATAGCTTCGTAACCGAGTATGTCGTTGAGGGTGACATGTTCACCTACGGTGACATTGTCTTGTTCCTTCATCGGGTGCTCCACTATCCTTCGACGAGTTTGGAGGATAAGGAGCCTCGGAAACACCTCCCGGCGTTGTCAGAGATGTCGGTTATGGAGAAGAGCGGGAGCTATGTTCTGCAGGCTTCCATGACCGTGCTGGACGGCAGTAACCAAGAGACGATGAAGACGGCCTCTCGGCATCTGTTCGCGTTGCGGGAAAAGCTGAGATCTGCGGTGAAGCTGGAGATGGCTGATCGCTTGTCTCTAGACACCCGGGCAAAATGAATGATTGGCTGGCACGGTTGACGCGGTTGGTACGGTTTTTTGGGTTGTCTTTATCCGCTGCCAGAATACCCGGAGAGGCAGCCTCCGCGGAGTTTCGAGTCAATGAATGATCCCCACATGAACCTCTACTTTTCATTGCTATCCGATCTTCCTAGACTCTTATAGGCATTGAGCGCCGTCGAGTATAGCAGCTGGTAGACATATGAAGGAGACTGTTAGACGTAAGAACGTTGGTACTAGCTCAATGAATACTCAGTATATTTTCACATGAGTCGTAGAGAGCGCTCGCTACATAACTCGAATCGGATCGATTTGTTCTTTGTGATCGCGATCAATTCTGCCATTTCGGGCGGCTGACCATGTGACTTCGCGAAGCTCGCGTTTGGCGCGTTAACAGGGTCTGAACAGCTCCCACACCAGCTAGAACATTCACCCCGCCGACCGGGGTTCTATTCATCACGCTCGCCTTGACGAAAGCCACCAGGATGGCCGAAGGAGGCGTCAAGCGATCAGCGTCTCCCGCCCGTGCCATCTCGCCGCCTCCGATTCGGCGCAAAGTGGGATCGACGACCAACAGTGAGCTTCGTGCCACCCTAATGAGAGATCTTATTCTGACAAGACTATGAAGAGAAAGCAATAGACTCGTTCTTCACCCCCAAATCCCAAAAGAAACCCGAATCAATCACATGGCGTACCATTGGCACTAGTTTAATCATTGGGAGGTGCGTACCTTCGAAGCCCTCGACCCAGCCGGAGAAGAGCAAGAAGATCGCCGGTTTTGACCTGGTGCGTATGATCGAGCGGAACATCGTGTCTCGGAACATCGGACAGACTGGCTGATGATGAATGACAATGCATAGGATTCAACATTGATCAAGACCAAGTCAGGGAACGTATTTCCCAAGTCGTCAGAAGACTGGAAATGGTGGGATAACACGGTCGAGTCTCGACTCAAGAGCTTGAACTCGGAAGGGTGCGTTTGCTATCAGAGAATCAAGGCAGGTTGGCTGACGACAGAAAGCTACCAAGTGGTCGTCTTCTCCAACCAGAAGATGGTCAAAATCCAAAAAGATATCAAAGCGGGCAAGGCCGACTCCAAGAGCTACGAAAACTTCACCAACAAGATGACGACAATCATGCGAATCCTGGACATACCCATGAGCGTGTATGCCGCAACTACAGACCCCAAGGTCCGAAAGCCGCAGCTCGGCATGTGGCGCGAGTTCATCGACGACTACGACCTCGACGTAAGCGGCATCGACCTGCCCAACTCCTTCTTTGTCGGTGATGCTGCAGGCCGACCAGGAGACCACTCTGCTGTCGATCGGTGAGTTCCCAGCTCCGTCTACAGCGATGCAAGCCTAATGCGAGCAGTGGCTTCGCGAGCAATGCCGGTCTAGCGTTCAAAACTCCCGAGGAATTCTTCCAGGGCAAAGCCCAACAAGTTCCGACCGACCTGTTCGATCCTGCAGACTACATCCAGCCCAATGATAACGAGTCTTGTATGTGACAGTGTGATGAAGCAACCCCTTCCTGCACTTCCCCCAACCCCAACCCGCGCACGCTGACAGACCCCATCAAGCGGTCACCAAGTTCGCCCGCAAACACCCGCTCGAACTGGTCATTTTCTGTGGAAGCCCGGGCGCCGGAAAATCGACCTACTACTGGAAGAATATCCAGCCGCTGGGCTACGAGCGCGTAAACCAGGACCTGCTAAAGACGGTGAGTCCCTAACAAGTCACCTAGTCCGAAGAGACCCGGCGCAAAAAAAAAAAACAACAACAGGAGAAGAAACAAAAAGAACAGAATCCACTGACATGCCCAGCGCCCAAAATGCCTCAAAGTCGCCCGCGAACACCTGGAGGCCAAACGATCCGTTGCAGTGGGTGAGTCATACAAGCTCATCCCCTGGGCATGCAGAGAAGCGTTGGGCATCGACTGATAGCTTACCAATAAACTCCTCCCCCTCCCCACAGACAACACTAATGCAGACGCGGAAACTCGCCTCGTTTGGATCACGCTAGCGAAGGACCTCGGCGTGCCTATTCGCTGCGTCCACCTCCTGTCTCCACCCGTTTTATGCAGGCACAACAATACTGTTCGCGCTGCGAATAAAGAGTTGGTCAGTGGTTCCCCTTCTCCCCTTCTCTCTCTCTCTCTCTCTCCCTGCTACCCTACATGGTCCACGTGGTTTTAACATCCCGAGGAATTGTTGCGGTATGAGCTGTGAAGCTGTGACTAATCGTTGTTTATTTTCGTAGAATCCCGAGTCCCGCGCTTCGCTACCCGGCATTGCGTTCGGCGACTTTAAGAAACGGTACAAGAAGCCCGAGCTTAGCGAGGGCTTCGATGATATCATCGATGTAGAGTTCCGATTCCAGGGCACGCCTGGCGAAGAGAAGGTGTGGCGCCAGCATTGGATCTGAAGCTCTCGCAGTCAGGCACAGTGCTTGGCGCTGTTAGGGCCGTAAGCTCAGGCAGGCCCGAGGCGATGGCCGGCCTGATTCCTTTAGCGAATGAAAAAGCCATCTTTTACCATAAGGTCCTCGAATGACTCGCAGCCCGAAATCTCCATAGAAAATGGTGTATTGTGTACAGACAGTCTCGGCTGCAATGCAGAAGACCGGGCATATATACATACAAAGGAAGAACAAAACAAGCTTTTGGGGCCGTCTTCACAGATCTATTGGATACAAGAGAAAAGAGAAAATGGGGTATATGATAACAAAGGAACGGACGGGCTGGTCGAGAGGTGAGGATCCAGCCCTAAGTAGGAAAGAAAAAACGAGAAAGGAAAAAAACAAGATTTCAAGTAGACTCGTGGTTCTCGAAGAAAAGGAAAGGCAGATCTGCCGAGGAAGTAGTCGGCGATCGGAGTCGTGGAGTCATCATATAACATGCAAGAAAATAGACGTTTAATCGTTACATGACGCTGCCTGACCGGGTCAGGCATCGCGGTATAGTCTATGGTCATTATCGTAGGCAGGGCGCAGGGCGCTAAGAGATGAAGGAGGGTGGCGAGGGGGGTGACAATCAAGGACGCGAGACGAGGTCGTGGAAGAACTTGAAGAAGTTGTTGCGCTTCTTCTCCTTTGGACGGCACGATCCGAGTTCGGTGGGAGCCACGACAGTCATGGGGCCAACGATATCTTCGTCGCCCATCTCGGGGAACTTGGCATTGTCGTGCAGGCGGGGGATCCGCACTTCTTCGCAGGGGTGGATGTTAGACTGGGTGAGGGTGAGGGCGATCCCGTCGATTGCACCGAGGTAGTTGAGGAGAGACTCGTGCTGGAGACGCCACTGTTCATTCACAGAATCCCATTTTTCGCCCGTGAGTTTGTAGATGTTGGATGTAGTGCCGTAGTGCTCGCCGGTGCGGACGAGGTGGCGCGCAAAGTTGCAGCGGGCCATGTCCCAGTCTGCCCGCAGCTGGCGCAGACTGTCGAGGTCGTAGACGGCTGGGGTGTAGGGTTCGGGTTGGATGGTGAAATTGGCGTGGCCGAGTTTGTTGGCCCACTCGTCGTTGGGGTCGGAGAGGGAGAAGGGCACGGAGTCCCCTGAGGACTGTCCGGGCAGTGCTTGCCCGGGGCCGGCTCATCGAGGCGAGTGAGGGCTTGGTGGAGAGGGGTGGCGAGGGGACTCCGTAGCGCGGGTCGGAAGCCATGGCACACTGGAAGGGACCGGGCACGCTGACGTCCGCGACAGAAGGAGATTGGAGAGGGGATTGCACGCGGGAAGCAACCACGAACGAAGGATCGTCACCCATGAAAGGTGGCAGAAGCGGGGTGGTGGCCTGTTGGGTATCGTCTTCTTCGTCCTTCCTCAGGCTGTTGGCGCGGGTGATATCGATTGGGCGCGCCCCAGACTCGCTCATCCGCTCCTCGAAAATCGTGCGAGCAGGCGAGGAGGAATGGAGTCAATGCGAGTGATCGGGCTTGCTACTGGGCTGGCCAACGCCGAGGAAGCTACCGAGTTCGCGCGGGAGCGCAGATCATCTGGGTATGCTTCGCGTTCGGGGCTGGAGCCTGAGACACGCTTGGGCTTCCATCTTGTTGACATGGTCGAAATGTGGGAGCCAATGCGCGAGACGCCCTTCATGGACATGCTGTCTGATCGACGGTTTTCCGGCATGGGAATGTCCATGCCGGTATCAGTGAGGTCATAGCCATCAGCGGTATCCATTGGGAAAGAAGGCTCCTCGGCAGGCATCTCGCAGTCGAAGTGCTCTTCGCGGGGGCATTAGCCTGGCGGGGAATTTCTTATTTTTTTTCAAGGTGGGAAAGAAGCTCGACTTACGGAAATACTGGTCTTCTAAAGAGTCACGGACAGGCTCCTCCTTCACACCCGACAGATGATTGCGGTTGGGACTCTCCATTGCGTTGCCCAGGCCAAGCGAGGAAACGGAGCTCGAGACGCGATTGTGGCTGGAGAAAAGAGAAATAGCCGGGGAAGCAGGCGCAGACGTGAAGGTCGGAGGCTCTAGCGGGTCGAAAGCGTCCGCGTCGGTATGAGACAGTTTATGCATCGTTGAGGGAACCGCGGTGGGTTGGAAGATGGAAGCAGCAGCATAAAGAGGGAAACAACCCTAATTAATGGGCGGCGGTGAGAATGCCAAAAAAGAAAATGAGAGAAAAAGAATAGAAAATGGACCGGCAGACGTGGACCAAACAAGTGGGCGTGAGCTGGCTGGGCAGGAATTTGACGGCAAACGGACGTGATAGATGCGCCTGACAGGGTGATCCCCGCTCTACTTGGTGCGACCTGGAGAGTAAAGGTTATTGCAGAAACGATCGAGCAGAATCGAAGAGATGTGCTGAAGAAGGAACAAAGCCCAGACCCTAAAGCAACTAAGCACTCTTTCGAGCCCCAAGCAGATCCGGATTAGCTCCGACACTAAAAACGGGGCACCTTTTTTTTTTCTTTCTGTTTTCCCTTTCCTTTTTTTCTGATTCTGGAATTTTGTCCGTTGAGACACCCACAGCTACCGGTTTTCCGGAGCAAATGATGCGCTTCTTTCACACGCGACCCCGATGTTCGGGGCGTCTCAGCCAGTCGCTCCGTGCAGTTCCGGGGGTTGACAGCGTCTTCGTCCATGGTTGTTTCCTGAGGGCAGAGCCATGGACCTCCCAAATCTGATTATGAGGATTTGGAGGCCATGTGGCCGAGTAGAATTTTAAAGACTGGTCTAAAAATTAAGCTGTCCGCTAGTGTATACGTCGATTCGATCGGACTTTGCGTTAGAGAGTTCGATGCTGGTGACACATCCAGGTGATAAATCAGCCTTCCATTGCTCCTTCGAGATTCCCGCTCGCCCTCTCTCTTTGTATCCAAGTGGGTTCCCGACTCCGCTCGGCGGCTTCTAGACTTTCTTGTCGGTGGAGGCCGCGGGTTATGATGCCATTTTGCCCCCCATCACTTTCCGGGTGTGGCCCTTTTCCCCAATCACCTTCCGGCCTGGTCTTGGAGGGGATCCAAGCTTAGCTTAATCTATTTGTCTTTTGCTCGAATCCGATTCCTGTTCAGGTCTTCCTGTGTGGAATCAGGGCACCTGAGAGGGTCGCACAAATGCTGCCGAGTAACCCCATAGAATCGCAAAATGACACCCATCAGAACCTTAGACCGAAGGGGTCGTACATGGCCCATCCCGACTCTCACAGCCTGGTCCGATCAGTCGGACCTTGTGCGCCCTTAGCGAGGAAAGCGCTCCAGGGCTACGAGAGAGCCCACATGGCTGAAACCCGTTAAACGGCTCGCAAGCGGGAGGCGAAGGGGTAAATCCACCGAAAAGCAGGAATCACAGAAAAAGCACAGATCAGATTGACCCGGGACTGGTCATCTCTTCTCTCATTTCCTCATTTTGACCAAAAGTCTCGTTCCCACTGGTCGCCTCGCCCGCCAATCAATGCCCTCCGTCCCCGCGACCAAAAAAAGGCTTCCAACCTAATCGTGTGGAGAACCGAGGTCATCATAGCGGGTTCTCTCGGCAATAGGATTTGTCTGCTCTGGAGGTATCGACTGGAGAGCTTGCGCGGGATGCGACTATAGCTCAGGGATGACAATGGAGGAATGTGAACTACTGGTCGCGATAGGAATACTCTGCGAGCGTCGTACCTGTACTCGCGGCCGCCTATTCCTGCGAACCCAGGTCTCCGGCGACCCTCAAAGTGCCATGTAGTATCGGTCTTAGACCCGTCGAGCTATACCAGTAGTATAACAGGCTAGGGTCGACATGTGCCAGTAGTTCTTCCCTAGAAAATAAGGCTCTGGGGAAGAATATCACTGCTGGAATAATCCCCAGCAACGGGTTGGTGGGACAGATCTAATCGTATGCCTTCCAATTTCTTTATGCCTTGTTGCTGCGCTCGATACCTGGTCCATCTCTTGTCTCGGGAGGACCCTGGTTCCTGTCCCACCTCCCATGCAGGAGTAACACATGTGGTCGGCCAGAGACGCCCGGTCAATAGATGGGAAGACGAACTCGTCCTCCATAGAAGGAATCCAAATGCGGTGGCAACGCGCCACATACCTATCGGTGACAGATTGGCCTAGCATCTTAGGTATCTCCATCTTCAAGTGGTGTACCCCGCATCCACGGTGGGTGGCGCGGTGCTCATACACGAGAAATGACGCATATACCGGTCCTCCAGGGCTCTGTCTATCCCAATCACGTAACAGGCCCGGATCAATGGACTGACCCACATCCCCGACTCTAAGTCCCATCAATCTCAACTACTGCATATAAATTCCCGCCTCTCATAGTAGTAGATACTATTACATCCACAAGCCTGATAACATAAGGCAGTATCCAGCGCCACACGCAACCTGCCTATCATTAGCCTCCCCAAAAAAAGGATCAACGATTGTGCAAGGGGGGGGGTGCCCCCAGATATTGCTGGCCATATCAGGGGCCTTATCGAGGATGCTGGGTCGACAGAGCCAATAGAGACACACTTGCCCATGCCAAGGCTGGAATGATACTGTCAGGATACTAAGAGGGTTCATGGCGGCGCAGAGGCTTGGAAAGATTAGCCAATGTCCATGCGGAGGAGTTGAGAACGAGTCTAAGAACAGAGTGCATGAAACGCCGCCCCAACAAGGTTGTATAAAACATCGGGTGCTTGAATAAAGAAGGATGCGGGTTATCGAGCTCGGCTTATCATATGGAGGGGTCATGTCGCCATTTATCCAGGCTGCGTCATTACTGACGATCATCTGTGTTGATGTCCCCATCTCATGATTTGACAATAATTTTGGAAATCTGTCGGTCGCAGGTGTTCATTGTGAATTGCCTATCATGATATCTGGGGTCTATCTCTTGATAGCCTAGTTGACTGGTCCACATGAACAAAGAACGCAATGCTCTGATTGAACGGGATGCTAAAATTAGATCGAGAACCGTAGCCGGAACCAATAAGCTGTCCCTTGGATCCAGAACCCTCCACTTCTAGACCTGGAGGCTCATTGTACATCTGGCGCTCGACTGTGCTTGTATTCACCTAAGATCGCGGTCAGCGTGCGCCACGTGGATTGAAAACAGAGTTTCTTACATGTTTAAGACCCAGCTCATCAAAGGCCCTGGCTCTCAGAAGACACATGCAAATCTTTATCTCATCGGACAAAACTGAAAGAAAGTAAGCTTGTGACCATTTGATCTCATCGAGGGTGACTTACTTTGAAGGACTCCTTCGACGCCCTGCACGCCTCCAGCTGACGGGCCCCAGAGAGCTGCGCGACCGAATCCGACAGCCTTGGCACCGAGACACAGTGCTTTCACCATATCGGTCTCTTGTTTGATGCCCAGACAACGCTTTTCTGGAAAACCCGAGGACAATACCGCTGGATTTCTAAAATGGTGTAAACAGCAGGCGGGGTAGTATCGAGGAATCTGTCTCTGTGGTTGGAAAGAATAATTCCCTTGACTAATGGAGTATACTGTACAGCCAGCAAAGGATCCTTATGTGTCTAGATTCCTTTTTATCAGAATCGGCCTGTCTGTCCTCTTGGATAACCTCTCTAGTATGTTCTGCCATGTGACAAAAGGGTTTGTCCCATAGTAAGCGCTTTTACCCACTCCTCTTTGGAAAGCCTACCGATGAGTATATTCCCGGTTTCCCGGGACCGGCGAATTAACGGTGATAACCACCATCTTAATAGTATCGAGTTTATTGATACGCCGATATATATCCTCGCTCACACTCCGGTCCCCCTTGTACAGACATCTGCCATCCGAGGACCTGATCCGGCCCAGCATTAGCAACAATCTCCTCCGGCGACTGCGAAGCGGTATTGGAAATGAGCTGCACAACGCCGAAAGCCCGAACACGCCGCTGCAATGCCGGCCTCGCCTGCCGGATGCCCGAGCCGGGCTTGGGCAGCTGGCGAAATGTAAATCGGGGAGGTTGACTTTGTGGCCGAGGAAGCTGGTTCTGGTGTGACAGTCTGCGGCGTCGATGAAGACGCACGGCCACAGGAGAATCGAGCGGTAGACTGTCGTCTGTGGCGGAGTAGTAGTAGCTCCAGGCCTTTTCGCTGGCTACTTGAGTGGCGGCTTGCTCGATGTCGTCGAGATTGAGGAGGGCGTTGAGGTTGATGACTTTCGCGGGTTTGGGTAATGCTTCTTCAGATAGGATCTGAGACCTATCGGCAGTATAGTATCACCCAGCAGCTGGCTCGGTTGTTGTGCTGCGCAGATTGTGCCGTTTAGCTTACTCCGCATGAACTTAAGGGGGTTTCATCACATACCCTCGGCTAAAGGAAATATCTTGTCCATGATAGCTGGATGTTTGAAATGGTGAGGCTATTGCGATATAACCGCCTTGCCAAAGATTCTCATCTATGAGGAATTGATTTCCTAAACAAGGTGTTGCAATTCATGATTTGCTCAAAATTGTGGGGTTTAGTCTGAATTACAGCCCTCAAGTCGTTATTCAAGGCTTTTGCCCTGACCAGATCGCCTGTCGCGAGGTTTGTGCAGCGGAAGCTCGTCTTGAATTCCACTCGAATGTGGGGCTTGTCATCACAACTCCCGGATTCGTGATTTGCCAGTTCACGTCGCATGATTCAGGTATAATCAACACGGCAAACTTAAATTTTCCCCAGGGTAAATTTTCTCGAGGGATCTCGAACCTTGGAACATAGTACCTGGATTTACGGCTGCTAACACCTGAGATAGCGAGTCTCCACGCACTTGGTTATGGGTACCTAATCCTGGGGTGTCTTCAGCGCTAGTTGCCCAAGGAAGCTTGGAAGATTTCTGCTCCATATTCCCAAGAGCGCTCGTTGGACTCGCACCACCCAGCCTGGTAGTAACAAAATGCAAAGATCTGTATTCACCAGCAGTTTCAGTCAGGGAAAATAGATAGAATTAACAAGGCTCTACGATCCCAGAATACCGGACAGGAATCAGCTTAGAGAGCCCGCTCGTGATACACGCAAGATAACAGACTTTTGGATGGCAATTTCTCAGGTCGAATCTCCTACCCGTAATAGCTGCACGGAAAATTGGTTCCATATGACTTGGCGAGACACATTGCCGGACGACCATTCAAAAGAGATGATCACTAGTTGAAAGACAGAACATTCGTGAGGAGCCCATGCAGAGTGCTCAATCAGGAACCAAGGCGACTTTCAGCTGAAGCGAATAGGTAAACAGCTGTCACTTACGTCTGTTTCGTCAATTGCGATTCGCCTACCCGCGGCTTATGCGAAAGCATATTAGAGGAATTCTAGTATATCGACTGACATGAGTAGGGGCGCGCGGGAATGATCACTGCGTATGTCTTCGTCCTAGTAGGCACGGTAGTTTGCCACATTATGCTAGCAGAGTTATCGTCGTTGTAAGTGGATCAAGAATACAACTCACAACCGAAAGGGAACCAATATCAGCAAGGAAGTATCAATGGTGCGCAATGCTTACTCCGTCAAGATGGAAGAGGTTTCTAAACCTTATCACGGGTACACCAAGAACGCCCTTGCAGGAATGGCGCTGATTGTACCGGGCGGTCCGTACTTATTGGCTGGCAAATAATATCCGCCTCCTCCGGTGAACGGTATACGCGTGTTATCCATAGAATATTTGGCTTCGACTAACCGTATTACGGACCGGTCGCTTAGATTTACGTAGATGGAAGATGTTGCTCTTCTATCTTGGTGCCAATATTGCAGAAACTAGATTTCTTCCTCCATTGGAGGGCCTCTCAGGATGGCCCTGTCGAGGGCGTTTGAACAATATTTGGATTTTCCAGGGTCTACAACAACAAGCCTGGCATAAGGGACTGTGTTTGGTACTTGCTGGAGGCGATGCTGCTCTGCATGTAGGACTCTCGACTTTACTGATCCCACGGACGATGTCTACACATCTGCGAGCGGTCGATATGAACCGTATTGACGTGATGATAGACGGGGTATCATTGCTTGTTACCGTGTATGATCGTTTCCGGGCTCGATACATCTACCTCTACCAGGACCTTTGATTCGGTTGTTCAGCTGAGTTTCACGTATGGGTGTTATTCATTGGCTCCATTTCAAGCTTTCTAGCCAGTATTCATATCCTCTGGAAAACTCGGAATATATCTGTGATTTGAAGTTGGAAAGATAGGATACAACCAGTTCTGGACGGTCTTCCCGAGTCTGTCCAGAAGGCTCTCTTCTACCGACAACAGTCACCAAAGAAACGGTAAATATGGTTACACCACACGTGCACAAACTCATTCAGACAGTGCTAGCTAAAATACCGCTCATATCTGAACCGGCTTTATCTCCATTAATCTTACACTAGACCCGATCTTGTCACACACCTCAATATCATTCGTCTTGCTTAGTCTCACAGTTATCGTCCGAGCGGGATAGATACCTCCTTAGAGGCCATAGCAAGAGCACATCAGGCTAAATATGAGTTGGCAGTGTTATCACCTTAAAATTGAGAATTTACCTACCGGAGCCTAAAAGCCTGCAAGCACGATTGAGCTCTGGATATTATGTGAACTGCTCATGATTCAGGAGTTGCTTATAACGGAACCGGATGGCGGTTGCCCAGCTCATACCATCAAAGTGTCACTTGAAGAATCTAGCTGTTGGGTCCCGCTATCCGATGTAAAGTTTGTCAAGCAAGCCTGAAGCCCTATTGCGCTTTTCACCAATAAACGCTCTTCCGGAGGAGCCGCCTAGAAGTGCACAACAATTGGTTTGAGATATTTGGATCCGCGTATCCGGAAAACGCCGATCACAGTGTAACGATTGAGTATATTACTCTAGTGTAGAAAATACAGCTTTCCAGCTAGATCTGTAGAAGACAGAACCGCCTTTCCGAATAGGATATGTTCGAGCAGTGAATCGTTATTCTTCTAGCTTTAGCTATTCCTATTGAGAGTCGATTAGATAAACTCCAGCAGTAGATACCATATCGGTACCCAGCTCCACGGTGTATGCTCTATCTGGAGCCTGGATTCTGATTAATCAAACCTATTTGCATGCTGGGAATGTGTAACCAGTCTCTTCGTGGTATCACCAACGCACAATAAAAGACACATTGTCGATGTTATTCGCCATGCTGCGCCAGAACTAAAAGGACTATCTCCTGCTCAGTTATTTCCTTGCGAGCTGGCCTTTGAACGAGAAGAAAAAAAAGAAAAAGAAAAAAAAGCAAAAGTAAGCCACTATTGCTGACTTGCAATGGACTTAGCGCACATCCCTTGGGAGGGAATATACTTCACTTAACATGGCTTGTGATGTTAGTGACCAGGGTATCTGCAAAGGCAGTGTTTTCCCATTTCATGGTGAGCCTCTCTGTAAGGTACTCATCTTACTCTTGGGTTACTAAACTATATCCGATATTCCCAGATGGCAAATACAGCCAACTATGAGTCCCACGATTGGGAGAGGGATATGACTCTCGCGCAGGAGGCCCATATCGATGCTTTTGCCCTCAACATGGCTTATTCAGTGGGGGCACATGAGAATACTATCGAAACAGCCTTCCAAGTGGCCGAAAAGCAGAATTTTCAACTTTTCTTCTCCTTTGACTACGTTGGAAATGGATCATGGCCCCAAGCAGACGTTCTACACCTCTTACAAAAGTACTCTTCGAGTTCTGCGCACTACCGCCACAATAACAAGCCTTTCGTTTCGACCTTTGAGGGATTCGATAATGCCGACGACTGGAAAGAAATCAAGAATAAAACAAAGTGCTTTTTCGTGCCGGATTGGTCGTCAGTTGGAGCCAAGGCTGCTCTTCAGCTTGCCGACGGCGTGGCTGATGGCTTGTTCTCGTGGGCGGCGTGGCCCTCCGGCGGCGGGAAGATGAATACTCTCGAAGACGCAGCCTTTATCGACAGCCTCAAAGCAGCAGACAAGCCATACATGATGCCCATATCACCCTGGTTCTTTGCTGATATGCCATTCTATGGAAAGAATTTTAGCTTCCATGGTGGTAGCCTATGGAACGAGCGCTGGGTTGAGGTGTTCTATATTGATCCGGAATGGGTCGAAATTATCTCTTGGAATGATTACGGGGAATCTCATTACATCGGACCACTCAATGAGAAAGGGTTCCAGCTCTTCGATGCGGATAAGGGTTCTTATAACTACGCCAGGGGGATGCCACACGATGGCTGGCGGCTTCAGCTTCCGTTTGCGATTGACGTCTACAAAAACGGGACGGCCTCTGTGAAACAGGAAAGCCTCGTCATGTGGTATCGCACTCAGTCGGAAAGCGCTTGTGGCAACAAGAGCTCCGTGGACGACGACCTGAAAAAAGCTGGCGCACATAAGAACCAGATATTCTTCTCTGCGTTGTTGGGCTCGAATGCTTCTATAAAAGCTACCTTCGGTGACATGGAAAAGCATGCTTCTTAGAGTTACAAACCCGACGGCGGGGTTGGCATCTACTATGGCAGCACCGACATACATCCCAATAACTTCGAGGATGCCGTCGTTGCCGTGTTGCGTGACGGGGAAGAGTTTATCAAAGTTAAAGGCCCATCATTGAATGACTCGTGCGCTGACTCCTTCGTAAACTTCAATGCTTGGGTTGGGGGCGGCACCGCGAACGCCAATACGAAGGCTTTCCCCGAACGGCCACTCTCGGAGCAAGTCTGCATCCAAGGATCTGGGCCGGCAAATTCTCTGAGCTTTGCCAATTCACTTGCTCATATGGATATTGCCCGATCGAGAATTGTTACTGCACAGCAATGGGAGCCCCAAGGAACAAGCCAAGCCCCACCAAGCAAAAAGGGTATCCGAAGGATGGCGACGGGAGATATCTGGGGCTGTGCTCGTTTGCGTGCTATTATGGTTTCTGCCCTACTTCAGCCTGCAAGTCCAATGGAACATCAACTGCAGCATTGCCAACATCTGCTGCATGCACGGAGACCGGTAGCGCTAGGAACGCTCATGACTCAAAGTGTCCTCCTCATACTAAAGAGACTGATAATGAAGCCACCTCGGTTCGCCAGTCTCCTGTGGTCTGCTCAATTTCTCTGATGTTTCTGGTTATGTCAGTGATTATTCTTTAAGCGACTTTTACAAATGACTATCTTGATTTGCATATCTTATACCATCTCTTAGGATGCAGACGTATTCAGAGACAGCACCAGGATTCCAAGCGAGCTATCAGTATCCTTGTTCACAGAGCATATCACATCGAGAATTCCGAGTCCATGTTGAGATCTTTGTGCTTTGTTTGCTGCACTATATTGACCCTCCCTAATTTCTCAACTCGCTCCCTTCGATATGGGTTGAGTGCAAATCAGCTGGTACAAACGGTGGATTGCAAGTATTCTTTTAAGCCGCGCCAAGTACGAAGATACCTTTAGCTCCGTCTGACTAGGCCCAATGCATATAGTATGTACACAATCATATACATAAGTACCACTAGAATACACCGTTAAAGGAGATCGGATCCACTGGCCTATGTCATAAATGGAGACCTGGAGCCAGATACTCATATCACACAACATATCGTGCTTCTATAGCGGTGAATCCAGGGATGAGCACAGGCCCTTGAGGCCCGAGAGAGCAGAGCATCATGACGGGCTGGGAGATTCCTGTAAAAACGTATCACTGGCAGGAATGGTGATTGATAGAGGCCAAAGCCTAAAGCCTGATCTGTGAGCTGTCAACCCTGGGCTTATTTGACTGTCCTAGCGCTTCTCTAACCCAAAGGACGCTACTGATCTAGCATCTTCAGAGCATCTTCACTGTTTATCAGACGAGAGAGACACAACACCTGCTCTTCATATCTGATCAGAAGTTTTTGGTCTGCCTCGACGCCAAACATCTGTTTAGTAAACAGGTCAAATAAGATGCGACTGCAACGTGGTTGGTCGTTGGTATTGAACGTCTTGTCCTTGCCATTCATTGCTACACTAGTACTCTCTGACTTGGAATTTATCGCACAAACCAATGACGAGACCAGTTAGCCCACTACCCTCGAATGGCCACTGTACGCGTCTGACTCTGCCGTGATGTTTCTTTCTATGGTCTGCGTCTACGCCCGGTGTCCCAATGAGTTTCATGCAGGTGAAGAGAGATCGTTCGAACCATGGGAAGTTGGGGTGGAAAATCGCTGTAGGGGGAGTTATTTATTGTAATTTCTTCCCTTCTTTTGCTTTCTCCTCCCCCACTCCCCTCCTAGTTCTAGTATTTCGAATGCAAGCGCCGTTGCCGTTCCGTCCCGCCAACGATTGGCTCCCATTGACAAGGACTGTTGAACGATGCGATTGATTGCATAAAAAGATATTATGTGCAGAGGGTCTAGATCTAGCTAGTTAGTAAGACTTAGCAAGAGTAGAATTTCGTACGCAAGCTGAATTGCGTCATAAGACAGATAAGGCAGGGCTCTGCCTCCGTGTAGTGGGTGTGGTAGGCGATGCGACGATCGCAAGACCTCCGAGTGTCCCCCGAGGGTTCTCCGTAAGTCGGGCTACACGCTCGTAATAAAGTGACCCGCTTAGCCCTTAACCGGGACACCCCGGGGCCTGGGTATGCGGAATTACGTTACTTGATAATTCTAATCCCCGATCCATGAGAAGTCCAAAACTTTCTTGAATCATGATCCGTCTAAAATAGATATACTAAGATAGTTTTTTCATACTTGTTATAAGGCGTAACTACCATGGCCCCTCTAGAAACATTATCAATCCGAATATTAAGTTAAGTAAAGTGAGCACAGTCTTAACATCATCTGATCTGCCAAATACTATGACGATGATCGACCCAGGATCAGTCTGGCTCTGATCTACCAAGCATGTCCCTATTCCTGTATATTCAATGACGTGGTCTGTTGATCTTCCGTACAGTACAGTAGCTTAAAAAAAGCGTAAAGTAGCGCTTACTTCACCGCATGGTTTGCAGCTAGTTTTCTTATTTCCTTGTGATTTTCCAAGACGCGATTATATCTACTGTAAAGGGGCTGCTTCCGGCGTCTCTTGTTATCATCCACTATCATTTGGAACAACCATCTGGACGACGTTACATCATCCTAGAGCAAGCGCCGCAAGTAGCTTCCGCACAACCCAGTTTTCAACTCAAGTCTTGGCATTGCCAAGAACCGGTAACCCAGTTTCGACCCAGTTTGATGCGCAAATATGCACAAATGGTGCTAATTAGGGGAATTTTTTTAGCATTATTATATTATCTGATGCAGAAAACTGGGTTATATCTTTTAGGATGACTGGGTTTTGGGTCGTTATCTTCGTTCCAAGTCGGATTGTGCGGAAGGCCTACCAGTAACCCACTTTTGGTGGCAAACTCTCTAAAGCAGTAGTCGAATAGTCATAAGAACTCCCCGCCGTGGCATATATTATGGAAAGGCAAGAAAGCTGGGTAACAGAACTCCAGCCAGGTTACTATTGCTTTCTCTATTTGTGGTCCCCTACCTAGTTATTTTCTTCCCTCCATTTCACGGACATGTCCCAAGATTCAAAGCAAACGGTGGCCATCGTCGGCAGTGGTTGGGGCGGTTATAACCTGGCCCAGGCTCTCGATACCCGTAAATACAACGTGGTAGTTGTCTCGCCTGAAGCCACTTCTTCCATCACTCCCTTACTGGCCAGCGCAGCATGTGGACTTTTCAATTCGCAATGGGCCCAAGAACCAATTCGACGCAAAAACGTCGACATTCAGTATATCAAGGCCAGCGTGCTGGACATCGACTTTGGGGATAAGGTTCTGATCTGTCAGCCAGCATTTGACTCCCTCAAGGACAAGCAGTTCAAGGTTTCCTATGACAAAGTGGTGGTCTCTCCCGGGTGTGCCATCAACACCTTTAATACCCCTGGAGTGGACGAACACGCCTTCATCGTGAAAAATGTCGCCGGCGCTGATGCTATCCGCGACAAGATCAACCAGAATCTGGAGATGGCTTCGTTGCCGTGCACCACAGAGGAGCAGCAGCGGCGGCTCCTGCATATTGCCATTGTCGGTGGTGGACCGACAGGTATCGAACTTGCCGCCGAATTGACGGATTTACTCCAGGGGGATCTGATGAAGTTATACCCGAATCTGAAGGGAAAGCCCTCAGTCACAGTCCACGATGTTGCACCGCAAATCTTAGCACCCTTTGACCGCAAGCTCTCCGAATATGCCAGGGACTCCCTACAGCAGCACAGCGTCGAGATCAAGACAAACTCCCATATCACGAATGTCACGAGCGACTTCATTGAGACCAAAGAAGATGGCAAGATCGCCTACGGGATCCTGATCTGGGCGACGGGAAACAAGAACCGCCCGATTGTGGACACGCTGGACGTGATGAAGAGCGACCATGGCCTGAAACGAATACTCACCGATGACGGACTTCAGGTTCTAGATACCAGCGGCACCGCTATACCGGATGTATATGCTATCGGTGATGCGGCCGATATCGACGGTGCGAGTCTGCCCACTACAGCCGAGGTGGCCATCCAGAAAGCCGAGTATCTGGCTGAACAGCTCAACGCCGGTCATCGCACCAAGCCTTTCCAGTACAAGCAGCGTGCGCTCATCACATACACCGGGGCGGGAGATGGCGTCATGGCTGGAAAGCGCGGCGATGAGTATACAGGGTATGGGGCTTGGCTGAGTTGGCGGTCAGGTAATATCTTCTGGACACGGTCCTGGAAGCGGAAGTTTATGTTATGTGTGGCGTGGTTGATGGATTGGGTAGATGGACGTGAGATGGCTCGTTATTGATAATTTCCATTTCCTTCATATGGAGAAGGCAGAGTGTTTACTGGTCAGATCCGAGATCATTAGAATATAGATGAATTTGAATCCTTCCCATGTGGGCATTATGCAAGTTGTTTCAATTGAGAAACGTACGTCACGTTAAAAGAAGGATGAGAAATAAACGGAAATGTTCTAGGCGGCAGTCGCACCATTAGCGCGGTCTTTAGCGAAGGGAATTAGGCCGCATACCATTTGGTCGATTAGACTAAGCTACAGGATTAGTATTAGTATTAGTATTTGCTGCCCTTGCTGCGTTGTATCGGCTTGAAAGCAAAAGAGCTATTGGAGATCGGCCTCCTCAAGGGTAAACGATGTGAGTAAGTACCATCCAGATATTGAAGGGATAGAGGCAGACGCTCCGGTACCCTACATTTCTATGAGCGAATGGACTTGCCGGAATAGCGTCCTACATCCTACTTCGCAGCGATGAGCCATAACAGCCTTTACGAGCCTTTTCGGCGAACCCTACTCTCTTGCTTGATCCATCGAAATCTATGAGATGTAAAGACCGACATCCGCCTTCTCGAAAGAATGGAGACCATCGCCTCTGAGGAAATCTATCTCAGGTGCACAGGCCTCATCTGACACGCGTGTCTAAATCGGCATCCTCCTGCCATGTCGGTTGCTTGTACTATATGTCTAGATCCCCCGGTCGGTGAACTCCATCTCTGCCAAACCTGTTAGGTAGCCTTCCATGTACTGGGAAAGTCCAGATGTGAAATAGTCCAAAGCCAAGATGGGCCAGCTAGGGCCGTTAAATACGACCGGTTCGGGTCCGGGGGCGTCGTCGCACCCAGATTGTTTAGTCACTGATGCAACCTGGGCTAGAGGAAGAGGAATAGGAAATATGCAAGTCAAGACGCTCTCAGGCCTTTTAAGGCTGACCGTGACACCTTCATTCGATCAGCACATACCCGCTTGTGGCGTTGGGGAACGAGCATGGAGCCCCACTTGCGATCGTCAGACCCAGTAAACAATTTCCCAAATCTAAGGTCTGCGGGGCTTGATGGAATCGCCCCCCAAGCCCGATGGTCATTGGAACTTAATCCTAATCCTTCGAGGCCGGGGTGTAGGAACGCCCGGTCCCTGATTATTCTTCCCATGATGTTGTATGCAATACCTGATAGCACGCAATCGGGAACATAAAGTTGACACTGTCACTTCTTTGGTGATCCACCGAGATCCTAAATCCCTAAGGTTGCAGTACGGCGTGAAGAATTGGTATCTCAGGATTGGTTTAGCGCGCAACTAAGCAATAGCGAGTGTATATTCATCCGAAGTATCCCCAATCAGCGTGAAACAGACCAGAATTTCCGCCCCCGCGCCCCCAACTTCCCTCAATCCTTCTCCCCGGTATCCTCCAATCAGGCCTTACCTTGAACATCACAGCCCACATGGCAGTCACACGTGTAAATCTAGCTGAGCAGGCCAGGTTCCGCGAGATGTCATATTGCTGTCGAGGGGGGGCGGTCCCTTTCCCTTTGCTTTTAAGGGTCTCCATCTTCCCCACAAACCACAAAGCAGTGCAAGGCCTGTGATCCATTTGGTCTTTCAGCAATCGCGGCTACGTCGCCGCGATGGCTGGCGTCGACGCTGTTTGGAATATTCCTCTGGTAGAGGCTGATCCGAAATTACCTCCCTTGCCAGCTGGAGTCGACCCGCATGACAGTCAAGCAACCAAAGCCAACGCTGTTTGCGTGACCCTGGTGGTGATCACAGCGATTGTGGTTGCGATCCGATTCTTCGTGCTGCTGCGCATACAAAGGAAGCGGCCTTTTCTTGACGACTGGCTGATGCTATTTTGCTTGGTGAGCTTTTTTTGCGATCGCCTTGACCAGCGTGGATCTGGTTTTCCAACGCCACAACACCTAACCTAATATGCTTGCCAGGTCCCTTTGACTGTACTTACCGCAATAGGCTATTATGGTGGTATACACTATGGCCTTGGGATGCATATCTGGGGCCAATATCTTGGGCCCTTAGTTGTGCAAGAGAAGGTAGGCGTCGGGCTTCCTTCTCTGAAAGATTCTGGTTGTTTCGAAGACTAACAAGGTACCAGCGAACATTCGCCTATCTCATAGTCTACGTGTTCCAGCTGTTTATGATCAAGGTGTCAGTCTTGATGTTCTACCGTCGCATCCTCGGCATGAGCTGGATGATTACAGCCAATGTTATCCTCACCGTAGCCTATGCTGTTGGCAGCCTCATTGCGATCTTAGTCGCGCCGGTCCCGATCCACTACTATTGGTCGCAATATATGGACCCGACCGGAGGTTATTATAGATACAACTTCTACTACTTTTGGCTGGGGAACGGGATTGCAAATGTGATTTCAGACACGCTCATCTTTCTGGTACCGATCCCAGTCGTGTGGAGGCAAAATCTTCGTCTCAGACAAAAGCTCATTGTCTCTTGTCTTCTTGGACTAGGAGTCTGGTAAGTCCTGATATCCGAGTTGGTAAATACATGAGTAACAAGCGATAAGTGTTATCGTCTCCAGTGGCGTCCGACTCCACTACCTGACTACCCTCAAAAAGAATCCAGATATCACCTACGTCATGGGAGACATCTTTATCTGGTCGGAGGTCGAGCCATGTCTCGGGATAATCTGCGCCTGTTTCCCAGCGCTTCAGCCCTTTGTCAGATTCCTTCTCAAAATTGAGTACAGGGCATATATCGGCAGCAAGTTCAGTTTTGCTTCGGAAAGTCTTGCGAGCGTTCCGCGTATGCGAGAACTCAAACGTACCGATAGTCCTGCTGGCGGCGTGGGATTCGACTCTCGGCCCGACTTTGTCAACGGGAAACGCGATGATGAGATGCGGCTTACAATTGAGGCGCTTACTGAAACGGAGCGCAATCGGATAGAGAGAGAGAAAACTGCAGCAGTACCTCGGGCCGATGTTTATTCGAGTACAACACGATGTTGAGTTAACCATCACAGAGGGCGATGCATTTTGATTTACTTCCACCCGGCTTTGTGCTTTGTGGAGTTACGGAATACCTATGTCTCTTCAAGCTCTCTCGATATAGTAATGTGATCAGGAAATGATCCAGTTATCCCGCTAGTCATAATGCAGTTTAGGCAATCCCGCGTCGACCTGAGGGACATCTGCTCAAAGCAATTGCCAACTTCATAGCTTCTTCAACGTTGCTGTCTTAGTTGAAAGGACATTCCTCACGAATCCCTGGAATAGAGATTTTGGGGCCCAATGTCTCTAGCGGTGAGACACTGCCATCCCGCCCCGTGAGAGCCTACAATCCATGGCATCTATGAGAGACTGTCAATGTCCAAACCTAAGCCAAGGGCCAACTTGCTTTATAGTAAACTTCGCGTCTTGGCTGCAGATTCGAAGATCAGCGCATGTTATGTTTCCACAATATTCGACCTGCTGGTCACGACTTATATGTTCAGCACTACTAAGAAGGCCAGCAAGAGGTATGGAGATCTTACCGCTACAGACGGCAAGGAATTTCATCCTGTGGAATGATCCGATGGGTGAGGCTAGACCTTCCCGGAAAAGAGGGTTGCGTAAGAGGGCAAGGGTTGAGCACAAATACAGGACCAAGGTTGCCTGCTCGTCGGACTGTCGATTCATTATCCAAAGATGGCTAATCCGACATACAATGGTGATTAACTACTTATACCATGGTCTATTATGACCATTGCGACTATGTATTTAAGATCCTTGTATTTGAGGTGCACTCCGCACCGGCAAGGGCATGCTGACTGTCGAAGTATAGTACTAGCGGGACAAAGTGGACACTAATACAGTGTTGGCGAAATAAGATTTCGAAAAAGGCATTCTAATCCTTGTTCACCGTGCAGCGCTCAAAAGAAGCACCAGCATTTTCGACCATCACTCCAACAAAGTTGCCACTCGTGTCAGCGACGACACGGTATTTTCCGGGTGGGCCAGCTGTTCCAATCATTAGTATTTGGTGTCACAATTCAGAAGCAAAACAACAGTGGAGAATCGTATTCTGGACAACTTACATGTCCAGGTTTCACCCGCCACGATGGGGTACTCGCGCAGTTCCTTGGTGACACCAGCGAAGACCTGACCTCCGCCACTCTGATTACCAAATGGGTGAGGGTAGCCACCGTGATCGTAGTCTTTCGAGTTTCTGAGCTCCGAGAACGCGCTGCCGACATCATCCTTCGCAAGCGTTGTGCCATCAGGGCAGGTCGCGCTGCCGATCTTCTTCTTCTTAGCACGAGTCTCAAGGTCGTTGACGCTGCGAGGGATTTCCTCCGAGACCTCTGTCTCATCTTCCTGGACGCTACGCTCCTCTTTGACCTCTTCGCGGTTAACAAGGTCCCTCTTAGACGGCGTGACACGAGTGCAAGCTGTGTAGGCGCCACCAACTGTCGCGCCGGTGTGTTGCATCACACCGCGAAAGTCACCGAGGTTGTTCTTGTAGTCAGTGACTACACGGTAGGCGCCCGGGGGCCCTAGATCTGTCAGTGTGTGTCATTTCTTTGGCTATTGAAGACAACCCTACCACCAGTGTACTTTCCGCCCTTGACAATGGGGAATTCCCGCAGGTCAGTGCCATCGGCAATGTTGGTGAATACCTTGTTGCCTCCGCTCTTGTTACCAAAGTAGGCGGGGTACTTGCCCACTGTCTTATCGTCGTGATTGCGAGCCTCATTAAAGGCCTCTCGAACATCTGTTTCTGACAGCTCGGTCCCGTCGGGACACTTGAAATCACCGAGCTGGGCGCGCTTGCTGAGCTCGGGAACGGGAGAGGCGTGCGCAAGGGCGATGAGTCCGTAGAGGACGATAGACTTGAGATCAAACAACATATCGAGAACCGAGCACTTTGGATAATGATCTTTGAGCCGGAATGAATTGCTTTGATGCTGATGGCTTATGGGATGTCTAGTGATGTCTTTGTGGCTTTATACCTCCAGGCATCATGGTACTTATGCTCGTTTCTAAACTTGGCATCCATTTGGGAAGGCCTGATCATCCTTTGGGGTCCAGTCTGATACTCTTCAAGCTGATCCTGAAGCAAATGGCCCCAAGGGGAAAACGTAGGCAGTCATCATAAAGTGGATTATTTTATATAATGGCATCGATAATGCGGACAGATATAGTAGCCGTGCCCCAGTCTTGGCAGACTGCAGGAACACTAGAATGCTTGGCCTCTTCTAGGCGCCGTTAGGCGTGCCAAACATGGGAATTGGGGCTGGGGGCCAGGGCGGATAAGAGCCCCCAAAACCCCACACTGGGAGGGGCAAGTCAGTCGTAAGCCCGCCCGTGATGTCACCCACTCATACTTCTTATTTTATCCAGAGTTTCTTCCCTGCAAGCCTCCAATCTAAGACATACCTCGTTTCATTATCAAGGCTCTCACAATGGGAAAAGAAGACTTTATCCGACAAATTGAGAACTCCGATGAGTTCAAACTCCTCGATAGAGTAATCAAGGAAGAGGCTACAGTGCAAGATGGCGTTCAAAACATTGTCAACGTGACCATGAGTGCATTAGCGACTCATGGCCCAAACAACATGAACAAAATCGGTCTCGCGGATTACAATATCTCCCCTTGCGACAATGGAACTCGCGCAGCGCCTTGAGCCATCCACTGGCAAGCACACCAAGCTTGTTGAACTTCTCTCTCATCTCCAGAAACAAATTGCCACCGATCCATCCACAGACGAGCCATTAAAAGTCCAAGGGGATACCCTCTGGACAGACATGCCGTCTCTTGGCTATACGGAGCTCGAGACCTGGTACGAGTTTGGTGGCGACTACAAAGGTACTAGCAGTCCCCCAATCCCTAACCCGCGTCTAAATGCTAATATATGCAGACCCATGTGATGCAACCCTAGATCCTGAGCAGCGAAGCCGCTGGGTGAATCTGAACGCCTTCATCGCGCAGCTGACTCAAGCTGCTGAGATTGATTATCCGTCCCTGGGGGAAAAAAGCACATTTTCTCCCCTGGACAAGTCACTACGCGCTATCTGGACCATGGTGATGGCGTTTGAGAATGAGCAATCACCTGCATCACTAGGAAATACAGCCGCAATGGAGGCCGCCTGCCAGTGGTTTATCTATGCCGCAGAACGTTTATGGGAGAATGTGCTGCATAATCGTACATATCCTGAAGCAGGAGGTGCTGGGCCCGGGAAAAGATGTAAAGGAGAGGCCTGGGCGGGCTTTACACGGGGGCGATGGGGCGTCTGGGAGGATGCGCTGAAGGAAGCGAGAGGCGCTTGCACGGACGTGCGGATGCAGAAGCTGATTGATGATGCTTTGGCGAGTCTGAGAAGGGCAGCCGGGGATCAATAGTGGATGGACCGATTCACTCCTAGCGGACTTTGGTTGAAGTCAGACCCCGGTATCTACAGAGGGGTATAGCGTACTGGCATTAGCACTAACAATACACGGGGCTCGGACTGAACTTGAATAATTGCGCGACTCAAAAGTCCCATTTTTCTCACCTAAGATCTAGGATGCCGCAGGGGTTAGCTACTCTGAAAAAGATTTTTGGATATATTTAGATTCTGCAGAAGTCTGATCCTGGGGGCTCCACAGCCCGGCCTAAACTTACTAGCGGCATAAGCTCTAAATAACCTCGAAGGTACCAGCCCCGGAGTAGTTAGCCCTGGATTAGGAAGGGAGTCTTTCGTCTTTGATTCCCAGAAACTTTCCTATTGTGGAAGCCTTTATTGGATACTAACCCTCTCGCCTAGTCAATAGGTGCCAACCCAACCAACGTAGGTCCCTTCTATCACACATGGATATCCTAGGTTCGGGCTGTCCTGGTAATGCACTTGGCGCGAACTTCCACCTCGAGACGGGACAAAATGACAGGATTAAGAACAAAAAAGAAAGCAAAATTCACATACAACAGTCAGGATTCCCATGTGGTCACCCATCATAGTACTAATTGACCGGCGTGTAGCTAAAACACAGTCAGTACTCGGGTGGGTGTCGCCCGGGTGAGTTTAGGGTGAGCGCCGCTTTACGGTCGTACGACTGGGGGTGAGTAGAGTGAGTGCGCTATAGACAGGGTGAGAACCGGGTGATCGCTGGGTGAGATTCCACTAAGGACGCATATACACCGCACAGACTCTATACTCAGCTGTTACCAAGTATGATTGGCTTGCCTTGATCTCGCTGAAACCGTAGTCTTTTCGTAGTTATTGTCAGAATTGGCTAGACAGACAATAATGTTGACTCCTAGTTTGTTTTAGGTAAGAGACATATAGGTCTATGAGATCTTAGTCTGGTCTTTATTAATTTATCTATACTAATACTATATTCGAATCATTGTTTACTAGTAGAGTTAGCAGAATATATTATCTTTTTAATATATCATTATCTTATTTAAATTTAAGACTTATAGAGTGTTGTTCTAGCCGGTCAAAAATTTAGCTAGTCAAAAATTGTAAGGGAACTGTGAAGGAACATCCCTGGGCTAATATTCAATCAACTGAGCCAAAAGACTACCATATCCGCGCTTCGTGCGCGGATATACCCAGGCACGCCTTATATAGTACACCCTCTAGCTAGAATCCGTGACAGTATTAACCAGCTTCCTCCTACCCGTACGCGGGTAGGCAAACCCTACCTATTACCCGCCAAGAAATGGGTAATGGGTACCCCGTTTGGGTAGACCCGCGGGTCGTGGCGAGGTCTCAGTTAGTTGGCGTATAATCAGAACGGGGTGTTCAGTGTCGGCCGTGTGGAGCCAAGACCTGTGAGACCCTTGACTACGAATGCTATCCCGGCGAGCCTGATAGCTCGTTAAAGGTCTCAGCTCCCGCGAACAGGGCCACCAAGGCCCGCAGGAGGCAAGATTAAGAGGATTTCTTCCTTCCAGTTTTCTTCTCTCGTTTCTCTCCTTTTCGTAAACCTGTGTATCTTTCGGTATATGGATCTTTGTGTTATCTTGCTGAAACATTACTCTAGTTTGATAACGATCGATGCCATTGGCGGGGTGTAGGAGGGAAAAATAATGTGGGTGGTTGTTAGGGTGATGGTAATGGGGCCGAGTGCACTTCTTTATAAGATTACTGCGCACTCCTTGACACACACTTGCCCAAGGCACCTCGATGAGGATTGCTCGAAACGAGGCATGGGTACGAGCACAACTCAACCCTTTGCTCGGCGCGGTCCTTGGCTTTACCATATAAGTCGGCATTGTGCCAGAACAAAATCCGGTAAGGCGGGGCTATGAAACCACCTTCGCCCATATCACGCATATTAGCCGAGCGAAAAATAAGCTCCAGCTAAATGGCCGCCCAGATTATATCCTCTGGTACGGGGAGGTGGAGGCACTGGAGACCAACCTTGTGATTGTGGAAACAAAAACCACAGAGGAATTGGGCAAAGGCCAGAAGCAAGCCCCTGCATATATGGGTAACTCTCTTGCATAACTCCTGATTTGTACCATAGTTACCGAAGGAATTGCTGACTAACTTCTAGGTGTGATGCAGACTCATTTTGTTTACCATTACCATCGTCTATCTTAACCTCACATCTCTCTCATCTCGTCTTTATATTTCACCCTCTGCCCCCTATCTTCACTTCTCCATCTTTCTTTCACCTTCTCTACACTTACCTATCCTTCGCAAATCATCAGCCTACCATCTATCAACTATAAAACCGCGAACCCTGTCTCCTACTCAAGAGAAAAATGAGTGTACTATAACGCGGCTTTGGTGGACGGCACCGGAGACGCCAGGGCCTGCGCAGGCTGCCGGTGGAACGGCCAATATAAGCGCTGCAGCATCTGGAAGGCTGCACAAGGGCCCTGTCTTCAATCAGGCCCGGCAACGGTATCGTATCCTTGGGAGACCCGAGGTTGAGGAGTTGGCAACCGAGCTTACCCAAATCACGGCGAGAGCGAAGGGGGGCAATAACCTGCCGACGAAGGCTATGGGGGACTTGACCTTGAAAGAGGTCGAGTCGATCTTCAAGATCACCCAGGTTACCCCACGGAACCGAAAGGCGGGAGATTTCTTCGACATCCTACCATTCGATACTACTACGCTGGGTAACAAGGAAGCATTTCCTGAATTCATGCGATACCTTTGTATGTCTACTACCCTCCTAAGATCAATACAGTACTGATTGAATCTCGTAGCCCGAGCAATGCGCTACCAGCGCATCTGCCAAGAGTCAGGCTGCACTGCCTAGCTACATCGAGGCAAATCCCCTGACTTTCGCGCGGGTGGTGTAGATTGCCTCCAGGAATCAAGGTATTACTCTCATTGTCATTGGTGGCACCATCAATACAACGTTATTACCGAATGGCCCTAATATCCATGATGTGGACTTTTTTTTAACGACAATCTTACACCAGCTGAGTCAAGTGCCTCTCGAAGGCAGCCAAGGCAGCATCCAAGAAGAAAACCGCACGCTCGGGCAAGAATGGCTCAACAATCATACCCCATTCTATTCATCCCTCCCCATATACGGCCTATTCTCACGATGGAGGCCCTTGACCAACAAGCAATTCATCAGAGGTTACAGCTTATCAACGAGGCTGGATTCTCGTTCCTTGCGTCGAATCGAAGACCTCACATCGAGTATGTTTGCAGAAGCCAAGCAAATGGGTGTTTCATGTGGAATGCAGCGATCCAATGGCTGTCTACTGCTGTCCAGCTGATGGGGGGTCAGTAAACTGGTCGCGCGATGCCCCCGGGGGTGCTTGATCACCCAGCTTCTCACCCGTCTATTACGCATTCACCCTATTCACCTCGAGTCGCGCGACGCTAAAGCAGCGTTATACATTTCATTCAAGACCATCGGAGGACATGGTCTCCTTCAATCTGGTAGCAAGCACATACGACCATAGGGTGTGGAGAACAGGGCTTCCCGTCCGCTCAGCCGTACTTAAGCCACACGCCGGTCAGTTAGTACTATGGTGGGTGACCACATGGGAATCCTGACTGTTGTATGTGTTTTTGCTCACCGACCCTTTTTCCACTTTTAGTGGGATTCCATAAATGTGGATGTGTGGGTCTCTAATTTCGGGGCGAATTGTACACCGCTTCCACATCGTCTCGGGTCCCAGTCGAGCGGGCCCCAAATTTAATTTGGGCGTGATCGGCATAACATGATTTATAACTACCTCGATATTCGGCTACTTCCACCTCAGCTACTCCTTCAGCTACTACTTCAGGTAGCAATGCTGTAAGCATCCAAATGGGGGGGCAAATTTGGATTTGCTGCATGGCGCGGCAATTTCTTGCTCCTACGTGAGGAAAAGTGAAAAGACGTCTGCTTTTCCGGAGTGCTCCATTTATGGTAGGCTGGTTTGGCAGTTGGGCTTTTTGGACGTGTTATGGAGTCTCCGCCCTAAGGCGTAAAGAGGAGAGAGGGGCTTTGTTAACAGTGTTATCATTTGAGGGGTAGGAAAAACCTATCTATGATAGATTGATATCAATCAGATAGCTGCTCTCGTCTGCTCCCTATATGTGAGTGACATAGTAAAACAGCTGCCCATGGCTGTTTTCAGGAAGGTTGGGGTCAACTCACTATGCCATCTGTTTGCTATTTTATTCCTCTTTGATAGATTGACATCAGAGGGTGGCATAGTAGCCACGAAGACATGACAAATTTTCCACCGGCCAAAAATCGGGGGTCTGAGAAATGCAGAGCGTCGTGGCGCATCCGAGTCTTATATCGTAAATCTGTAGTGTACAATCCGTAATGCACAATGGAGAGAACAACGCAAAACCCTAAGTGGGCCCCGCAATTAGAACTTTGGGGCTCGTTCAAGTGCAACCCACCAAAGTTGGTCCCTACGAAGTTGAACCCCGACCATCCATACAGAGCACCTACCCCATCTGCGGACTCTTACACTTTCACAATGGGTTGATATTTCCTTAGAACAAGTTGAATCGACGATGGTCACGGGCATCGAACATCCCACTTGAAGTTGTGGATGATAAGGATGGTATTGGTCAAATTTAGCATCCAACGGGCTATCTGTGGCAGGCCTCTCACGCTTTCCCCAGAGTCTTGTTCAACCACGCAAACATAGCACGCGCCATCTCTTGTCCAGCACCAGTCTGGCAATGGTAGCCAGCAACCCCATGGAACTCATGCAGAGTAGCCCTGTCTCCGAGTGCATCCTTGACTTTCCTCGCCTGGCCTGGGAAATAGTTATCGTACTCACCATCCCCCACAAACACCGGGATCTGGATCTTCTCAACGACCCCCTCCAGTTTATACTGCTTAGTCTGATTGAAGAAATCTGAGGGAGAATGCGTATAAAATGACCACAATCCCTGATCAATACCCCAGGCAGCCATCGTGGAGAGCTTTCCAGCCCGGCGCAGCGAAAGAACCGTATGATCGAACTGTGTGTAGTTACCGACTTCGTACAAGGCCAGAATGTCAGATGGCAGTTGCATTATGACTCCGGCGTGGAAGTCCCAAAGTCCGTCAATTAAGACAGCGGCGGATAGACGGGGCTCAAAAGCCGCTGCCCTGGCTGCGAGTAAACCACCGAAGGAATTGCCGACAAGTACCAGGCGGGTTCTGTCAACCACGTGTGATTTCTCAGAGAGCACATAGTCTACCACGGGAGTCACGACGGTCTCCCAGTCTGGAATGAAACCGACATCCTGTTCTCGGCGCACGGTTGATTGGCCTGGGCCTTCGTAGGTGATGCAATTCCAGCCCCGTGCAAGAGCGAACGCAACGAAGTAGTGATAGGAGTCTTCCTGCGCGGCGTCGAAGCCATTTCCGATAACTAAAGTCGGGAGCTTGCGGGCGTCCCTGCCAGGCACACCATACCAGATAGCTTCGATGGTGAAATTGCGTTCCTGCACCGGGATGCGCACCCGTTCTCCAGGCACAGGCAAAGCGGAAATTGCCTTGTCGAATGCTGCGGTCTGCTCTGCCCACAGGCTCTTGATGAGCGGGTTGCTCCAGTTTTCGTGGACGTAGAAATCTGCACGGCGGAAGTATTGGGAGGCCGAGAACCAAGTGTCTCTGACATTGACCGGATCGTAGGCATTCTCGGGGTTCTCTGCGCTTTCCTTGGTTTGATTGGCGAGCTTGTAGAACTGTTCACTGAAGGAGGCCATATCTCCAGCTTTAATGTTCTTAGCGGCTCCCAGAACCGGCGCGATATCGGCCCCTCCGGTGAGGGTGTCACCAAGGGCAATGAGGAATTGGAAGTTGAACGTAGAGTCTGTGCTCAGGGGTAGGGTAGGAATATCAGATTTGTTGGCTGCAAATGCCGGGGGGCACAGCAGCCCCGCAAAAATCGACAGTGTGTAATGGAGTCTCATTGCATCATAATTTTTCGGCAGTCTTGTCTCGATGACTGGAGTCGTCTGGTGAAGATGTGCTCTCCTGATATTTATATTTCATTCTCGGTGTGCAGGGTCACCTTTGGAAAGACAGGCCCCAACATACTAGTAGCCGGGGGGCGCCAGCTACAGAGCTTAATGAGTTTAAATTTAGCTCGGAAGAGTTGCGAGGGAACCTGCCTATTGGTGATTCTATGAGTAGATCATGGCCACAGGGCCCAAGGGCTACGTCAAGCGAATTCAGACTATGTCGATCACACAAGGTCCGGATATGGCGCTAGTTCCAATTCAGTATAGTGTTTGCGATGAAGCATTTCAATTGGTCTCATCTGTCCAGTGGGTCCCCCCGCGCATCCATCGGTTCAGGCCGCCGAGGTGATCTTTACTTGCGAAGCCCGCCTAGCAAAAGCCACCCCGGTCAATCAGGATGCTCGCGTTTTATGATTCTCCCGTCGCAAAATTCATGTCCTTTTCGGCACCCTCGCTGTCGCCATGGTGAACCGGGGGCGCTCGGGCGCCTGCATTACGTGCAAACAGCGACGCGTCAAATGCGACGAAGCAAAACCCAAATGCCAGACATGTCATCGCCTGGGACTTCGGTGCGATGGCTACCAGACCAGATACAGCAATCTCAAGTTCAGGGACCAGAATTACAAGTTCCGGGGTGTACGCCCTACCCCAGTGGCGTCAGACGAGAACCGCGTGCTCAGGCCCCGCGCGCTTGGGGCGCCCGATACCTCGGTGTCTTTCTTCCTGCAGTACTACGTCGGAATGGGCCGCGATCTAGGGTCTGCGCGGGGGTTTTACGAGGTCCTGACTCCCGTTTATTACTCTCAGACGCAGGAATCGCCTCTCTCGTTGGCGGTGTCAGCCGTAGCTTCCGAAGTATTGTCTCTGTGGCGTGGCGATCCCACCTGCGCTTCTCAAGAGATGTATACCCGCGCGATCACGCGCCTGCGAAGCACATTGCAGGACCGCAAAAATTGGGGTGATCCGGCAACTCTATTGGCTGTGTTATCGCTGCAGATGTATGAGAATGTCGCGGCCGTCTTTGATCTTCGCTCGGGAACCTCTGTACACCACGATGGCGCATTGTCTTTGCTGCCTTTCGCCGGTTCCAGTCCATCTGATGCTTTGACTTGGACCCACCTTCAAAGATTCATTCTTCATTCGGAAATTTGCTCAGCGTTGCGCCAGGAACGACCGTCGCATAGGATTGTGTCCTCCTGGGTCGAGGGCGAATATTCGATAGCGCCCTCAGAAAACCCAAGTCCGCGGCTTGATGCCATTGGGGCTGCGGTTGCTGAACTACAAGCTCGCTTTATGCAGTGCTCGAAGCAAAATGTGCAAATGCAAAACGCCCCCTAGAGATTGGAGAATTGAGGCGAAAAGGATTGACCGCCAACTGCTGGCATGGGCAAAGAGCTTGCCCGACTACTGGCGGCCACTAAAGCTATTAAGTGGACAAGAAATCGATCGGTCGATCCCCACTTATCAATCCGTAGCTGAGGTCTACCCGACATGCCAGATTGGGAATGTTTGGAATCTATGGCGTGTCCAGCGCCTTCTGCTCCTCCGCGTCATTTTCGGCTCACTGACGACGCTACCTCCTCAGAACGTTGAGCTCCCAGATGATGGAATACCTAATCGTACTGAAGATATAAGGGAGTACCTTCATACTCTTCAAGAGCTGGTAGATTCTGTGTGTCACAGTGTACCCTTCTATCTTGGGAATAGATACAATCCCATGAATCTGGCTGATTTTAGCGATACGGAAATTTGGCTTCCAAGTTATCAGTCGTTGGCTTCCGGGGATGAAAGAATATTGGGCAGCCAGTACCAGGAGTTCCAAACATCCAAAGACGACTACAGGCGCCACATTCTTGCCCAAGGTCCATGGCATATTATGAGCCCGCTGAGTCGTTTATTGACGCTCTTTTCGGAAGGCCACGGTCAGCTGATGGCAAGCTTCCTCAGGCCTGGCCAGTACGAGTGGATATGCGAGCAGTTCTCACGGGTCACCTTCTTGCTCCGGATCCCAGTATCGGGGCCAAGGGGCGTGAAGTCACCCTCTCCTCTTCCTACTTCCCCATGGCAAGGGTCTACTAGTTCAGAAGTCGAGTACTTGGCGAAGGAAGTCCGGAAAGGTGCAATATTTATGAGTGGGCCATAGTTTTGAAGCGGCCCATCGCCTCATACTTATCTTTGGAGAGTATGATCTAGTTACTAGTAATCCACCAATCTCTTCATGTGGTGCTCTCTACCTCCTAAGTTAGAAGGATCCAACCCCAGAACTTCGATTGGAATAAGCGTGAACCGGCTCATGTGTGGAGCAATGATGTTCTTTGTCCAAAGCCGCGAGCCACACTTGGTGCAGCTTGCTTTTTGAGCTGCCTCGGAGTTGCTCGGCTCATCCTGGGCGCACACGTTCTCGGGATCATGGATGCTCACATTCTGCTGACTGGTTAGAAGGGTAGAAACTTGCCGAGGTTCTTTCAGCTTACCTCGCTCAGATAGTAAAGGGTAATTTCAACAGTCATGGTCTTGGACTTTTGAGAGACGCAGTCACAGAAGACTTTCAATTCGGGTTCCCCTAGCAAAGATACTCGCACACTTCCACAAAGACAGGCACCCTGATGTGAGGATTCTGACGAAGACATATTGCGGGGAAGATATCAAAAGGGGCTTAAGTGGAGTGCATTAAGACAATCACATAAGACGAAACCTAGGAACACAACAGAAAGGGGCAGAAAATTTCGTAACACGTGTTCACTTGAGCCGCCTTTTGTGATGGGCGAATTCCAGCGTGAGCACCATTGGCACAGTCTTTTGGGGAGAAAAAGTGTGTTTCCAGTTTGTGTTTGTCATGAAAAATGTATCTCATAGTTGGGAAACCTTGATCACGCTTAAGGTAGTAAAAGACTTCTATAGGGAGGAGATGAGAGCAGCCATTTGATTGATATCAATCTATCATAGATGGATGAACAGCAAACAGACCCGAAGGGCACTATCAAAGTGAGTCAACAGCAAACGACCACCTCTTAGTGACCCCCAGAGCAAATCTCCCACTGGAGCACCCATCCAGCGAGATCTAAAAATAACTCATGTAGCAGTCCCCGTCTTCAATCAGGCCCGGCAACGGTATCGTAGATTCCGGCAGGTATCCAACTAGGTCGACGGCATTGGAATAGATATGCGATCAGGCACAAGACTCATCCGCAGGTTACGTAGCCAGACGACCAAACGCTTCGCAGTTTCGTTATAATCGTATTTATCCACATACCGGCCCCGAGCCTCCCCGCATTCGAGAGTGAAGAACACAACATCACAATCTCGTAGATATTGCGATGTAGCATGGACCACCTGGCTCTGCAGGATATCTCCATGACTTCCGTCTTTCTGTCGCCAAGGTCCTAGCGAAGGATATTTCTTCAGTTGCTCTGCGCTAACCAGTCTTCCGAACCAGAGTAGCCCTTCTTGCTGTAAAGGGTGAATAAACCCACAATCCAATTCGCTACAAGGATAGATCAGATCACCAATTCGTAGATAATCTCCATCCGGTTGGACCTTTATTTCAGTGTATGCGGGGCCTTCCACCGCCCTTCCATCTTTCTCCACCAATCCGATACATGATCGAGGAGGTTGCTGGAAGAGCATTTCGTTCCAACTTGCCCCTTCGCGGAAGAAGCGCTCACTGTCGCGAGGATCTAGCGGGGGGGATTTTCGCCCCCTCCTTCGACCGGCGGGGGCCTCCACCTCTCTGCGTGTCTTGCTGAGAACCATGGCCATATCACTTCAGCCAGTAATGGGTTGCGAGTGCCTGGCACCCCTGGTGGTAGGCGATACTTGACAGGCTTCAAGAAGAGGGCAGCCTGTAGGACGGACGAGTGCTTGATCAGACTATGCCACTTGCGACAGACCCTTTGCGCAGATGTGAGTAGTGTGCGCATATCGGTTTGAAGCAAGACCATTTCAAGAATCTCGGTTATCAGAAAGGCTTTGTGGGGTCCTGATGAAGCCATAGTCCTGGTAGAATGCGACATTTGTGCGGAAGATATGTAGAAAGTCATAAGCCTGGAAGGCATTGCTGACCAGCTTCAAGGCGTCGTCCATTCCGGGCGTCAGGAGCGTGGTAAAAAAGATACCACGGTCTATGGAATTGTCACTGATAGTAGAGAATTCCAGTTCCACAAGCTGAGCCCCAAGAGCAAGGTAAGAAGAAATTGCCGTTTCCTTGAATCGTTATTCTATTAGTCTAATATTCGAAAGTGGTCTATAAAAATCTGCTACTGGGGTCAAGATGACCACCAGGATGAGAAGATTGTTCTGCTCCTCCTCCAGATTATCTCAGCTGCGTCCCTGCAGTCCCCAATGGGGACTAGACAAACAAGCAAGGCGAGCACTGGCCGGAGTAGGAACAAGCGCCGCCGGTACAACAGCTCTGCCTCCTAGAGAGGAGGCCACCGGGATTGATGACATATTTTTCGGGCGTTGCCTACCAATGTATTGCTTACCGAACTTACAAGAAAATAGTACACACGTGTACTGGATGGCGAGTATATGTCAGATCTGTAGTCCGTACGAGTACTATCACAAGTTCATTGCCTGAGCGGCCTTTGCTTCTAGGAGCTCGTCTATCCGCCCGTTAAGGCGTTCAACCAGTGCCACGGCCTTATCTCGCACAAGACGGGCCTCTCTAAGCTCCCTGTCGATTTTATTCTCAACCCCATCCATATTTGTAAAGCTACCGGGGACGACTGCGGGCTCAGTTCCCCGTCGAGGGACAAATGACACGGGAGGACTGGCGTGGAAGCTGCATCGATCGGACTGCTGTGACCAATGGCAGTTAGCGCATTCGGCGAAAATGCCCGGGACAACGATACAGGAGACGAAAGGGCCTCTGTGCTTCTGGCAAGGCAGACATTCTTCCCCAGGGTTCAGCTGGGGGCCGGTGGCCTGAGCCAGCAGAGCCTCTATATTCACCGTCTTGTCCCCTACTGCCTTGAAAAAGCGTCTTCCATCATACTTAGCCCTCGATAGCCGTAAAGCCGGCTCACGGTATAAACGATTTTGACGAAGTTGATAGAGTACAGAGCCACTTAGGTAGCTGTTTCGGCTTCCTCGAGTCTAGGGGTTCTCGTATGCCGCATGAGCCCAGAAACCAGGTTCTGCTCTATCTTTGCTCAGAAGTGGTCGAGGGGCAGTAGAGGCATCGAATTCCATGTCTAAGTACCCTATTATTAGCTCTCTGTCTATACAGGGATAGACATGCCATACTGGTTACTGTGGTTGCGTTGAGGGATGAATGCGATAGGTTATGATGTTGAAGAACAGTCGCAAGAATAGAAAGCAGATAGCCCAAATGCCTTGCATGTGACGCAGACTCATTTTGTTTGCCATCTTCTATTCTAACCTCATATCTCTCTTATCTTGTCTTTATATTTCACCCTCCGCCCCCCATCTTCACTACTCCATCTTTCTTTCGCCCCCCATCTTTACTTCTCCCTCTTCCTTCCACCTTCTCTACACTTACCTATCTTTCACACATCATCAGCCTACAATCTATCAACCATGGAGCCACACACTCCATCTCCCACTCAAGAGAACAATGAGCGTGCTATGGCGCGGCTTCCAAGCTACTAGTGAGTTATCCTCATACTTCGAAAGATTAGACATGGAAACTGACATGATGGTAAGCCGACCCCTGCCATCCTTCACTGAGATAGGCGACGTTATGACTATCCCACAGGGGTCTGTGGGCACCCAGGATCGGCCTCCTGGTAAATGGGCCGAGTTGGTGTGGGATACGTCCTGGAAAGCAACGGCCACGGGCCAGCAACTGAAGAGAAAGCTCCTCCTAGAGCTGTTAAAGAGGCCGCCAGTGAGGGAGTTGATGGCCCGACCTGGTTTCTTCTTTTCCGGCAAGCGGGAGGAGGAAAGGATTTCCGACAAACGCGCGAACATTGAATCAGCTGTCATACAGTGCATGGGGGAAGTCCAGGACCCACCATGCACCAGCTGTATGAGGCTCCAAGGCCCCTGGGTATGGTAGCCATTGATTCTTTCTGTTGTCGTTCTAGCGTCCCTTTCATCAAGATATGCTGACTTTCTGAATTGTGAATAGTCTAAATGCGTCGCTTTGGCGGACGGCACCGGCGACGCCAGGGCCTGCGCAGGCTGCCGGTGGAACGGCCAGTATAAGCGCTGCAGCATCTGGAAGGCTGCACAAGAGCAGTCGACCTCGGGTGACGTGGGGGCGGATGCTAGCAAGTCCCGATACAGCGAGAAGGACTATCGCAACTGGACTTCCGTTCTGGAGACCGTGGAATTCATGGCAGAGGCTGCTCAAATGGTTCGCTCAGCCGCTGGCAACCACCCTGTACAGAGCGAGAAAGTAATGTTGAATCGCCTTGCTGCACAGATCGAGCTGCTGCTAAGGGTCGGAAAACCCGCTCGTGATAGCCTATCGGAGTTATGGCCTAACCCATCTCCCTCTAACCCTGGCTCTAGCCAGGGTTAGATTAATGGCTTAGGGTTTCTCGCTTTGCTTTTGTGTCCTTTTTTTTAGCAGGCTAGCCTTTAGGCCTGGCCCTTAGGATCTTTTATACAAAAGTTCAGCCCTATGGGGCAGTCTCAAAATTTCTTTCTCACGTAATATACATCAAAGCCTCCAGGGCTATTAGAGGGTTTATTGCGTGGCTTTCCTGTACTGCCATAAAAGATTATGCTGGCAAGTTCAGAAGTAATTACGACCTACCCTATAGCATGGCCTTCTTTTATCTCACCGATCAGGTTGTGCACCTGGCGCATTGGATTTCCAGCCCCGAACGGGATATACCGGGGGCGCTTGACGCCCCCGGTATATGTGCCCTTATACGATATTTCTACTCATATTAGGTAGTTCTGCAGGTAGAGTTGTTAGCGACAACCACGAAAGCAATCGATCTATTCAGATGTATATGACTGAGTCTATCTGCGTCGCAGATGAAAATTCCATCACTATACGATTCCCATCCTCCCGGAATCCAAAAGACCCACCAGCGCCACGCTGCAATAGTGAACAGTGAGTAACATAATAGAAGAAGGCATCTTTTTGTCATGGTCCAAATATGGAAACACGTTTCTTCTGAGTAAGACCATCCCCAGAGGAGGAGGAACGGGAGAGTGAGGGCGGACTCAGAGACTGAAAAGAAATTCGAGCCGCAGTGGCATCCAACACAGGCTCCTCCTCAACACCAAAGACCTGTACATCATCCGCAAAACCAATACCCTTCCGTTTCTTTGGCTTCGGCGACATATCCCCCCATATCTGCATCAAAGTCCGTCGTCAGAGCCCGTTTATCCGTGGGGCTTCGCATAGGAACATCCTCGTCATCGGGGATAGGAAGACGATGCCGATCAAAGAACCCAGTCGGATTCTCAAGATACGCGGCGCCTGTATCCGACTCATCCGCCATAGCCAGAAAAGGCTCATTCTGAATGATATCGCTCATGGTATTATCATCCAGAAGACTCTTCTCTGCATTCTGCATCTCCGCCTCGGTCATTTCCTTCCGGCGAAGTAACATGCGGTGCTCCAATGTATCTCTCAGTACCAGCGTTTCAACGTAGACCGGCCGCGTTTGGCCGATTCTGTGAGCTCGTTTGATGGCTTGGCTCTCGATTGTGGGCTGCCAGATTGGGTTCACAATGTAGACTCGGGAGGCTTGCGCGATGTGCAGCCCATGGGCGGCCTGGCTGAGGCTCATTAGGAGAACGCGGATTTGGTCTGTCTCCCGGAACAGGCGCAGGTACTCTGTTCGCTGTCCCGTTTTGAGGGTGCTGGCGTAGATTCGGAACTCGATGCCTAGGAGCTCTAGGCCTTCAGCGATCCAGAAAGCGGTGTTGTCATTTTCGTAGAAGATGATTATCTTTTCTGTCGCTTGGTATTTGATGATTTGATCCAGGAGATAGGTCAATTTTGCAGAGGCAGTGGCGACGAGCTGGGTCTTGTTGAGGGGAGAGTCATCGGGGAAGTGATCGGAACAGTTTGCGATCGAAGGTCTTCTTCGGCAACTTGAGCGTGGATGGCTTGGGGCTATGATGGAGATGGTCCGGGCTCTGGGACGAGGCAGATGACTCAGGGGCGCCCTTTTTGGGCTTGTTCTTCGCATCACGCTCTGACAGTTCCTTCCGGGTACTGATGCCTGCGCCCGAGAAGCCCTCCGTTGGATCGAGAGACCGGAGATGCTCAGTAACATGTTTTTGTGCATAGCGAGCCTGCGTAATACCCATGAGCATTGGATTTCGTTCTGAATTGTCGGGGCTCAGCGACCAATGCATTCGATGATCCTCGGGGAAATTCATAAGATATACTCCAAGTTCCTGCAGTTGCTTGAAGTGGTTCCAGCCAATCGATCCTAAAGCTCGACGAGCAATTTTCATCCCATGTTCAAGCGTCTCAATATCTGGCTTGGACATCTTTCTCAGATTCTTGTCCATATACTTGGTGGCATGCTTGAGTGAGTCCTCTAAGTTGACATTGGACCCAATCCACCAGAACCCAGCCTGTCGCAAATTGGAAATCAACAGATTCAGATCTTTCCGATTGCTCGGCGCAAACATGTAATCCGGCCCTTGCCGCTCAGATGTGATCGAGTTCACCGCCAGGCCAAAGATAAACAAGTTGATGGACAGTTTGTCATAGAAGGTCGGTTCTAGGTAGACTGGCTTGTTGTAGAGCGGCGGGAGGATATTCTCCTGGTGCACAACATCTAATTGGTGGCGCACCACCAATCCTTGGAGAGTGGCCCGGATAGCAAGACTCTTCCGCCGTTTGCCATCTTCTCCAATTGGCTTCATATACGTAGTCCAGTCTGCGGGATCATCCCCCTTTGAGTTGGACCAGGGCTTCAAGCCGAGAAAATCAACGACGATCCGTCGAAGTTGGTTGAGAGTCTTCATTTCATTGTTTATAGCATTTCCGGTTTTGTTCCGTGCTTCCAGGGCGGCTGCTGTGGCCCTTTCAGGAGATTCTGTCTCCCTGGCACTAGCTTCTTGAGATGCAAGACTGATCTCAACCCCATACAGCCCAGCTGAAGGTGTACCGGAGATGACCCAGCGGCGTTCGATGTGGAGCTGGTCGAGGAGGTGGCTCATGTTAGTCTTCCCTCCGTTTCCAGCAACATTGTGACCTTCGTCGACAATAACACGCAGCCAATGGAGCTGAGTTAACGGTGAGTCGATCCGATTCCATTTGACACTTCGATTGTGAAGCGGTTCTCCAGCCTCTCTTTCGAATCGGTGCCGGTCGAATAGCACGATGTCGTAATCAAGAAGCTCTTCCGCAGATGGAGTCTTCTGGGCGCTGTTACGCAAGACCAGAACTTCGAGGCCTTCGGTATGCTTTGCAATTTCGCTTTCCCAGTGATCGACCAAGTTCTTGGGCACAATGACAAGGGTACCCGAGCAAATGAGAATACGCTTAGCCGGTGGTCGAGGATACGAGGTGCTATTGCGGCCTTGGTACCTGGAAGGTGGTGGTGGAATCTCGTACGAGCCAGGGTTTCGCTTGCAGGCTTCAATACATCGCTTATAGATCATATTCTCCTGGAGCTGCCTGTCGAGGAAAAAGCTTTTCCAGGGCTTAGAGTGCCGGCCAGCTGCCGCCGCAGCCATATCCATAAGAGAACCAGTTCTCTCACGGATTGGTGTTGAGTTGGGCTTGTCTTGCGGAGACTGATATTGAACGGGGATTTGGGGTAAATGGCCTCGGGTGGCCCATATGACTGCAAGACAAATGAGAGTTTTACCGCCGCCCATGGTCTCCGCTAGAATACCTGGATGTAAAAATAATTCAGCTTTTTCTTTTGCTTTAATCAAAATGCTTCTGAGTGGCTTACCTCCACATGCCTCTGAATAAACAGACTTCTCCCTAACGATACAGCCTTCTTCTTTGTCGTAATAATAGGGAAGCCCTAACGGAGTCTTGAGCTCCTGCAACCTCGGATCCAACATCAAAGCAGGCTGCGCCTCCCGTTGGATCATCATAGCTGCCGATCTCCGCTGATACGGAAACAGATCAGTCTTCAGCCCATACTCCTTGAAGTCGCCACCAGAGAGCACTTCTTCCATAGCTCGTCTGGACCAGGGATCTTTCATGGTCCCAGCATTCGGCTTAGGATTCTGCAGCGTGTTGTAGATATGCCACAATGACTCTTCTTCTGCTGCAGGAACCATATCCCTGTTCTGTACCTGAGGATCTCGGTGGCCCTCCCACGCGTCAGGAGAAGAGTCGACTTTGGACATAATGAATTTCAACGATTTTCTCAGCTTTCCAATGCCCTTTTGAGAGCTCGTGCGGCTTGCCAGGATAGTATTGACGTATATGCGGATTCCATTGCTTATTTCAGTTGCGCGGACACCTATCCACCTGTTTTGAGCTAGTAGTTGAAGACTGGATATGTACTCGGGTGCGAGTGCTTGCTGGCTCTCTAGGGTACCGACTGGGAGATAAGCCTGCATATCATCTCGGAAGTCTCTCTGAAGGTCTATCAAATCGGCTCTTGCTGTGGTTCCCTCTACAGTTGACTGCGATGGACTCGGAACAGATATGTCATTGACATTGTCTGGGGTGGCCGGTAGAGGCGGCGTCATCTGATGCGGCAAATGAGTGGAGCGCTCCTCTGGCACGTCGATTGGGCTTTTCGCAGGCCATGAGTCGTCCAGTACTCCCCCAAGAGGCCCTAGAGAACCCATGTTAATAGACCGAGGAACGCCGCAAAGATAAAATGGACGAGTCCTAAGAGCCCGATATCAGATGGGCGCGTGGCAGAACACTCACCGCCTAAGTGGGTCCTTGATCCACTGCCAATTGGAGTGAGTCTGGAGCAAATGAAAGTTGGGATGAGTTTTGAGGCTCAAGGTTATGTTGATATGAGTGATTCAATCAAGTCATTTGAGGCCAACAGACGCGTTTTATGAGATCTACCCATACATGACCGTACATGACCGAGTAGAAGAGGGGAAACAACAAGCAGTACAGAGTATCCACCACCCCGCAATCCACTAGTCAAGCGACTAGAAGAGGGAGGAAAGTACGTCCAGAGAAAGGATCCACAGGTGCTTTGTCGCAATTGTATAATTTCCTCAGGTATATTCCAAATTATAGATATATTCTCATTAAGGGGATACTTCTGTACAAGATCATCATGCTCACACGTCCTCCCAACAAAGATAAACGAAAAAAAAAAGAGACAATAGGAACACCTATTCCAATTACAACCTACGAAAGAAACCCAAAGATACAAGCACCTCCAACACCACCACTAAATCACTGCGTTAAAAAGTCCTCAATCTCAAACCCAACTCGTTTCAGCGCCTTCTCCTCCAACTCTCTCCCGACCCGGCAACCTTCCGTAACACGATCGTCCTCGCATCCTGCAACCTAATTTCCACGGGATTGCCACCCACAGAGGCTAGCTCTTCGCGCGAGCACTCGCGGATATAGACTGTGATATCTGGCCCAACGCAGGTTCTCCATAACGACGCCATCCACTGCCAGTGGTCGAGCGGTTTATAAGAATCATGGATGGGGGTCGAACAAGCAAAGGCATCAGCAGTCGTCAGCTGATACCGCGGAACCAAAGCGACCGGGGTGAAGACAGAGTGAGCGGGCGTACAGGGACTTCCCCTCTGAGCTGTTCTCACTCGAGTGTGCCGGCGAATGGATATTCATGTTTGCGGTTTGGGGGACGAGGGTCTTCGGAGAGAGGCTACCGGTAGATTTAGTGTCTACTTCGGGGCTGGCCCGCGAAGGGAGTGAGGCATTTGGGGCTGCGGGAACGGATTTCACGAAGTGGACTATTTTTTCGGAGACGGAGTGCCAGGCGGATATCTTGGTTAGGTACTCTGCCGTTGTGTCGGTAGTGCCGTTCTCGGCAGAGCTGGGGCGTGGAGTGCGGAGCTCAGGGCCTTCGAAAATGCGGACGTGGTACTTTGTTTCTCGTTTGAGGAGTCGGTCGATGTGCTCGACCGCTATTTGGACGAGGTGAGGGTCTTGGCCTTCGATTGCGATGACGGGGCCTCGACTTTGGGGAATTGTGTGGAAAGAGGGCGAGAGGGGTGGGGAGATCTTTGCGAGGACTTTTATCTTGTTCAAGAAGGGGATTGTCATGACAGTGGCCTCGACACTAGAGTCTTGTAATTTTAATGGAGTGGCGGGTGTCATAACTGGGGTCACGGTCTGGAGGGGCGGTAGCTTCAGGCTGGGGTCAGGATGAGGATTGAGCTGGGGAGGTCCATATTGGTGCTGTGCATGAACCATCGACCCCATGGCTCGTGGATGCACATCTAGACGAGCACTATACGACTGTGGGTAGGAGCCGGGGCTTCTGTCGCGATGCATTGATTGGATCGGGTCGTTTACATCCGAGACACGGCGGCGTTTGATCTCTGGAGAACTGATATCCTCCGCCGAATGAGGTCGGACTCGAGTATCGAAGGCTTTCCCAGCTCGCATGTCGAAAAGCTTTGGCTCAGTCGGGTCCCTTCCCATAGCGCAAGCACTTGAAGCCGACATCATCCGTGATTTCGACTGTCCAGCACCCTGAAAATTGGGTGATCGATACTCAGGTGAAACAGACGGAGTGAATGGGGTCACTGGTGAAGGCGGATGCATGAAGCGGCCGCCACATCGAGCGCAGTGAGTACCTCCAGATGGATTGTTATTTATACCAGAGCCCGCACTACGAGGGCCACCATCGCGGCCGCTTCGCCGCGGCTGGTAGCGATAGCCAGGATACTGTTGATTGTGACGAATTTTTTCCTCCTGATCATGTTGTCAATTGCCATTCCCTAACGTTCATGGAGGGTAAACCCTTCTTCCCCCCAACAAAAGAACATACCTCGGCAAGCTCCCGCCATTTTGCTTTTTCCTCGTCTGATAAGCTCCTCCACTGGCCACCGATGATTTTCGAAATATCAGGATTGGCCATTCCGGGATTATGAGCCACCACTTGCGCCTGGTAGTGCTGGCGATACAAGATGAAAGCTGTAGGGACAACTTGTCAGTGGTGGGATCTTCTTCCAAGCTTCAAATCACAATGTACCCCAGATTTCAATATATAGACAAAAGAAAAGCACTTGCCATGCTTTTCTATCAGTGTGGATATTAGCGACTCACCATTCCGAGGGCGGGGGACTTTCGGGTCCGGTTGGCAGAGACAAAATGAGTCTCGTTCCTTGACTGATTTCGTGGGACTGGAACTGCCAGAGCCGGAGGATGATGAGGATCGAGAGATACCCTTGGTGGCTATCACTGGGCCCTGTTTGATGCCTCTTACATCCATTGGGTCGGTCTGGAAGGCTGCGCTCTTCTGCTGGTTGTATGGGTTCAAGTGCTGGTGCATTTGAGACACCGCGTTGGCGCACAAGTCGGTATATTTGACATCGGGGCGGTATACCAGCCGATCATGGAGCTTGGGGGAGTCATTCATGATCTTGTGGTCAAGCAGATCGCTGGGTCTGACTTGAGAGGTTTCATAGTGCAGACCAGCCGGAGCAGGAAGCACTCGATCCCAAGACATTTATCTATAGCGGATACGGTGGTGATGACAAGGCGATTAGACGAACAAAAACAAAAGGAACGCTCGAAGGCGATGAAGTCAAAGAAACACAATAAAGGAAGGCTTAGAAGCCGGGCACCCAAAAAAAAAAGAGTCCAGTATAGAAGTGGAAACCAGAGGCAAGAGGGAAGCGGGTTGAAAGAAGAAGATGTAAATAAGAGGCGTGGAAGAAAGCCACGAGGGGCCAATCGCCTGGTTTTCCGGGGCAAACAAGGGCAACAAAGAGGAACGACCTCTATAGTAAACTCAATCACCCGAATCAGCCAGAGCAAATGGCGTTAGTAGGCAACGGAGCCAGACAAAGGACCAACAAGATTGAAAAGCATCACCTGGTTGCTATCTTTGTCTTAGGACCGATGGCCATCCCTGCTGTGGCGGCTTGTTCTTTGACAATAGATCCTGATCGACCCTAGCGCATGCGGGCAGTTGCTATTTGGACCACGCCAACCGAGTAAAGGGACTTTTTTTCCTTCTTTTTCTACATATATATGGGAGTGATATACATTCAGGGCTAGGGCGGTACCTTGGGCAGTGCCACCCTAGAAGATAAAAAACCAAGGCGAACCACAGGAACAGGGTCTCAGGGATCTGGGACAAGTCCAGCAAACGAGATCATTGTTTTCTTTGTCTCCGGAAACGGCGACGCGCAGCTTAAAGGTGCGGACCGGCGCTTCGTGATTGGTGGGTCGCGGGGACTCGGTTCCCGACAAATCGCGGAAACAAAGAAAAACGCAGCGAAAGACAGCAAAAAAAAAAAAGAAGAAAATATCCTGAGCAAACAGACCATAGTCCCCTATTTCAAATTCTATACATCAGGATCCCGCGACACAAGATGTAATAGGATTGTCCAATGCAATAGTCAGCTAACAGGGAACATGGCCAAACCAACCCTACCTACATTTCACTCGTATGTCACCACGACTCCACCCGACCGGTGATCTCATCCCGTCGAGCCATCTCCACTGTTCTTGTAACTGTCGATGGAACAATACCACTTTGACGTATACCTAGTTGGATGGCTGGCACCCTGGCTCAATGGTCTCATTTTTCTTTTCTTAGTTGGGCGGGGAAGATTTGCGAGCCGCTAGTCTCCAGTAGTCCCCTGTCACCCCAAGGCCCCCCGCTGGATCCAGCCTTGGATCCAGCCTTGGACCCAGCCTTGGATCCAGGCTGCTGGAAGCTACCGTGTCCCCCATCCCAACCAACTGGAACCTGTCTACGCCGCTTTGGGCAATCAGATGCATCGTGCTCGCGGATCAATCGTCTGTTGGGCCTCTCGGCTACCGGCCGCTTGACACATGACACACATGACAGAATGAGCGAGATAAGCCCAGAAATATCAGAGACCAAGCCTGATCCACACATACACCATCGGCCAGTGTACTGATCACAGTGTCTAAGCTGCAGACCCCCGGCTGTGGCGTTTCTCGGTCTGAGATTCCCTTTCCCCGGCGGGGGTCTGGTTCAAAAAAGCCTCGCTGATTCCCTGGTAGATTTCGGTGCCCATGAGCCGATGCACAGATGGACCCAGCGTCATTCCGTCCCTGCAAATCAAAAGATATACGGTATTAGTGTGGGGAACTTTGGGTACTTCTTTTTGCTTGGGAACGGCTCGGCCAGTTCCCTCTTTCCCTTGGGGTCAAACTAACCAGAAGAGATACTTGTCTGGGTGCTCACACCGTGCCTTCTCCCCTGCTCCCTTTGACATCATGACTTGAAATCCCATGGATTCGACGCACCCATCAGCCACGTTCTCCCAGCCCGGGTCCGTATTCGCGCCCAGCCCACTTTCCGCCATGATCCCAGAGGCGTAGAATTGCTGGTCCCGAATGCGATCCAGCAGGAAGGCGTTAGTGTCGAAGAGATATACCGTGCCCGGTCCCACGATGCGAGTGTCTCCCGCATCTTCGCGTTCCAATGAGCGATGATCTTCACGCTTTCCTTGTACTCGGTCCCCGAGGTGGAGAACGTGGGCTCGAAGGCCGGGAGGAAGGTCACATCAACCGTCTGCGTGAGGATAAGCTTAATGTCAGAAGAGCCCCAGCGGTCAGAAAGCTGGTTCAGCTGGCCGAGAAGCGACTCCATGCGGCGGTCGATGGAGGCTACTGCTGTGTCGTAGTCCTTCTGCACGAGGTCCCATATGTCCCAGACACCAAACGAGACAGCGAAGATGGTGCGCTGTTGGCGACTCCAGAGGTCCTCCTCCGACAGCCCGTACAAGGTCTGTTTCTCTGCAACTAGCCATTTCTCGAGTTGGGTCTTAAAGTCGAAACCAGCCACCTGCATTTGAGACAGACGGCCTACCAGGCCTAGCTCTTTATTATCGATCACGGCGCCAGTTTCCTTGCCGGTGAGTGAGGTCATTGATGCGGCGAGGTTCTCTTGGTGGCATGAAAACTAGGCGATCAAGTAAGACACGAGTCAGTATGGGGCTAAAGCTCCTGGGGCCAGTCCAAATAGTGTCGTGGGAGCAGACATCGTTTCAGAATATTCAAGACGATTTCCAACTGGGCGGGCACAGTATGCTTACCATCGAACAAAGCCAATCAGTCCATATCGGGCCCTCTGGAGCGTTGGTCTTGTTGTCACTCCAGGAGTCGCCGAACACTACCAGGCGCCGATCGAATGTTTTAGCGGTCTCAAAGTGAGAGGATAGCGACACGAGGTCGTTGAGGGTGCGTGTGCTCAGAAACCAGGCGGAGTAGAGCATAGAGCATGCCGCCACTCCGCAGAGGACGTAAAACCGATTACCCAATCTAAAGCGCATCTTATAGCGGCCGGCAGATACCGGCAACGTATGACCTGTGTACAAAACCCCCCCTAGAACCCTATTCAAGAATGGACGGTGGACAGGATTGTCGGAGCTGCAAGGTGTCCCATCTGCGCCCACTCTTCATAAGACTTTCTTGGTGTAGGTATTCGATGATTGTTCCGTCCAACGGCAATCAAACAAAAGCCACCCGTTGGCAGGGAGAACGGGCGTGCAGGAAGGAATCTTCAAAGGGTCGTGTGTAGGAGTGTCGCCGGAAGTCTAGTACGAAGTCAAAAATTCTGTTCCATGACCAGAGCCTAAAAGCCAGGTAGGAAGCAAAGAGCAGAAAGATAATGCATTTTATGTCCACATAGAGTACATGTATGAGTGCGGCCACGCGGCCTGCGGGCCTGGGGCGTCGCCTTCACACGGAAAAGCATCGCGTGCAGAGTTTGGTCACACCGCAGAAAAGCTTAGCCCCCTCGAGATCTTCGTTGGTCTCCGCTAATCATAGAAAAAAATCAGAGCCAATGAATTCAAGCCCGTTATCGTCTAATCGTTCATAGATTTGAAAATGACCATTGCTCCAGATGAGGGTGCATTGCGATAAAGGGTGTATGCGTAAGCCTCGCCACCATTGGCTGTACCGTGGGAAAGAAGCCCCCCTAAAGCTGGCTTAGGCTTATCTTGCTAATCTACTATGCCGTTGTGGACTCGGTGCATAATTTAGGGACAAACCTTCAGGGCAATCCTATCGGTGTCTTGTACCCATTAATCTTAGATTGAGATTAAATTCGCAGAGTATATGAGAGAGTCCATATTTTGGTCCTGCATATACAAGAGGCCGCCTGCTTTCCCCTCAATAACCGAACTTTCCGGCAAAGCGGGGCCCAGAGCATTATCGAAGGGTACAGACTGCAGTTAGCGGAAGCTTAGGCAAATGTTCGTTCGGTCTATTCGATAACCTGATAGCCGGGTCTGATAGAGAATATTTCATTAGATTACCAACATTTTCTTCTCTCTGATACTTAGCTTCAGCATCTTTGGGGCTACATCATCGTTTTTACCTCCAGCGTCGTAGCCACACCTGGGCATGGATAGATGGGATTCGTGATTGAGCTAGTTAACACTTTGTATGCCATTTCCCTCAGGTGTCAAGAATAAGCTTCCCTCACGTGACAATATATTGGCCATTTTCTCACGTGATAGGGTAAGCGACGCGGACTGAGGGTCGTCCAAACAGGGTCTAGCGCGTTCTTAGTCACCACACACACTCGCTACGGTAAACCTTGGGAACTCGAAAAATCCACACGACCGAACCCTTCAACCTCACTCTAGTCGACAACTCCGCGCTACCGTCTTGACCGCGCAACCCCCGTCAAGATGAAGCTCAACATCTCCTACCCGGCCAACGGGTCCCAGAAGATCGTCGAAGTCGATGATGAACGCAAGCTCCGTCCCTTCATGGAGAAGCGCATGGGCACCGAAGTCAGCATCCCCGAATTTCATATCTACATACCCAACCCCGAACGACTCTTCCACCAAAGCCAAAAGAACTATTCACTACCGAAATGCAAAGAACAATTGGGCTGATAGGTTACTTTTCTTTTTTGAATAGGTTCTCGGTGACTCTCTCGGCGACGAATTCAAGGGCTACATCTTCAAGATCACCGGTGGTAACGACAAGCAAGGTACGACCCCACAACCGGCATTTTCCTCCACGAGGAAAGGAAAAATTAGGGAAAGAAATCAAGCAGCTAACGGGACATGTTTAGGTTTCCCCATGAAGCAGGGTGGTATGTTCCAATCGACCCCTCGGCACACGACCGCCAAAACCTCAAAATTTCCCCCAACCCGCATACTCATGAATCTCCCACAGTTCTCCTCCCCACCCGTACCCGCCTGCTCCTCGCTGAGGGCCACAGCTGCTACCGCCCCCGTCGCACCGGTGAGCGTAAGCGCAAGTCCATCCGCGGTGCTATCACCGGTCTGGACCTTGCCGTCCTCGCTCTCTCCATCGTTAAGCAGGGTGAGGGCGAACTCCCCGGCCTGACCGACACCGTTGTCCCCAAGCGCCTGGGCCCCAAGCGTGCCACCAAGATCCGTCGCTTCTTCAGCCTTGACAAGAAGGATGATGTCCGCCAATTCGTCATCCGCCGCACCGTCGCTAAGGAGGGCAAGCCCGAGAAGACCAAGGCCCCCAAGATCCAGCGTCTGGTCACCCCCCAGCGCCTGCAGCGCAAGCGCCACCGCATTGCCATCAAGCGCCGCCGCGCTGAGGCTGGCCGTGAGGCCGCGTACGTGCCACCCTGATTAAAAACCCCCCCTCTGTGGTCCTGACTTGACTCGCTAACATGATTCACAGTAACGACTACGCCAAGCTCCTGGCCAGCCGTGTCCACGAGGAGAAGGCCAAGCGTGACGAGATCCGCAAGCGAAGGGCCTCGTCTCTGCGCAAATAGATTCCTTTCACGGTGTTATGATCTATCTCTGTGATTTGGGGATTTAATTGTGAGGGGGAGCTTCACGTTGCTGGGATGGTTGAGGGATCCATTAAAAAAAAAAAGATCACTCCGGCAACGCGGATATGTTTGATAAAGAAAACAAAAGGGCTTTAAAAAGTTATGGGGAGCCCAGGTTCGAGTACAACGGCGAAATGGTGATCCTCCTTCCCGAGTTGCCTTGTTGATTTGGGCCTCGGGGCGTTGCATTTGTGCTGGACCTACCTTTTGATAACCCTTTTTTCTTGAATGGAGTGCATGCAAATTTCACTAGTTATATTCCACAGACTGCTTGTTGTAGTACTAGACTTGTAATGGCCGCCCTGACTAGCCAGAGCTCCCCATATCTAATAGTATTTTTCATTGTGGACCCTCGGAATCCTCCCGGGGTTCATTAAATGCGGCCACGCCACCGCGGGCACCCCACGATCGATATTTCATGACAGGACGAAGGAACTGCCCTATTTCCTTATAGGTCAATATATGCCTGACACTCGATGCGCCTGTGGTTAGGCTCCTACTAGTGATAGTCTAATTTCTATATAATGAGCTTTTCTGCTTCCATTTCTTGCGAATGTGAAGCTTTTGAAGCCCATCGCATTGGGGGCCGGCCTGGCTTGAGGTATATATATACGAGTCCCGACTTAAAAATCCTGCAGGTCAAGGACAACTCAGACATCAGACAGATACCTGGAGCCAACCTTGTCTATTTTCCCTAAGACAAAGATCATTTGTCAAAAAAAAAAAAATCTCTTTGGAATTTTGTCTGAAAGTCCCCCCAAAACCTGTGTTGTACTTCCACTAGGATATCTCATGAGTGCTTGTATAGACCAAGTATGAATTGCTACTTGAACATGTGAAGGATATCCCGACTCAGAATAACACTTTATACTAGTAGTATGAGGATATTAATTATGTTACGAATTTACAGTTGTAATGCTAATCACTATGAAGAATAATCAAATTGACGGCCCCCAAGGCCGATTCCAACAAAAATCTAGTGATAATCCGGAACACATGCAATTGGAGAAAGCAGACATAACACGCCAACCAGGCCACTGGCTGTAGAAATCTAGACCAGCCCGGCACCAAGAAAAAATGACGCAAAAGAAAAAGAAATGACCCAATCGCAATTCCAAAAACAGATCATAAGAATCGTATTTTTTACTTCCTCAAATCCACCTCAACGAGCTGAGGAGATACAGATAACAATGGAGGGAAAACAGTAGACCGAGAGTCCGATAACGACGACCAGGGCCCCCCAATGTGCGCATGCAGGGGCTTATGAAACAGCGTGGGAGAAGAGGAAGCTGACGGACTCGCCGTTGTGAGTGCGGCGACAGGCCTCCGCAAGTGTGGGGCTGATATCAATAGTCTCAATCTTATCACAAGCTTCCTTCTTCTCCTCGTGGGGCACCGTGTTGGTCACTACCAGGCGGCTCAGACGGCTGCTGTTCAGGTTCTCAATGGCCTTGCCCGAGAGAATGCCGTGGACGACGATGGCATTGACTTCCTTGGCGCCGTGCTGCATCACAGTGTCGGCAGCCTTGACGAGGGTGCCACAGGTGTCGGCCATGTCGTCGACGATGATGGCGATCTTGTCCTGGACGTTACCGACGAGGACCATGCGGGAGACTTCGTTGGGGCGGGCTCGCTCCTTGTGGATCAGGGCGAATTGGAGGTCTAGGCGATCGGCGATGGCAGTGGCCCTAAGGTCCTTGTATTAGAGAGTGCTCTAGCATGAAGTCGAGGAGCACGGGAAAACTTGTATACTTACCGCTTAGCACCACCAGCGTCAGGACTGACGATGATACAATTACTAACATCCAAGTTCTCACGAATCCACCTCAGGATACTTGGCTCGGCGTAAAGGTTGTCAACAGGGACGTTGAAGAAGCCCTGGATCTGGCTCGCGTGCAGGTCCATGGTAATGACATGGTTGCAACCGGCAGTTTGCAGCATGTTGGCCATGAGCTTGGCGGTAATGGGAGCTCGGCTCTTATCCTTCTTGTCCTGGCGAGCATATGGGAAGTTAGGGATGACGGCAGTAATCCGGCGAGCGGAGGCAGTTTTGCAGGCATTGATCATGATCAGAAGTTCCATTAGACCGTCGTTGATATCATTTGGGCGCGTTGACTGCAAGATGAAGACTAAAGAAGTACGGAGATTAGCGGGGCTCTAGAGCACCGTCTCTTCTCTCATGCATTCTGCGTACCATCTTCGTCTCGCACACTTTCACCAATAGTGACACTGGTCTCCTGGTTGGAGTACTGCAGCACCATGATCTTGGTTAATTCGATGCCGAGACTGCGAAACCGGTTAGTTACCCGTAATAATATAGCTTAGAAGCCGCAGCCTGTAGATGCATCACATACCGGGCAGCCACGAGATTGGCAAGCTCGGGGTGGCTGTTGCCAGTCAGCAGCTTGACGGAATTTGAGGCCATGGCAGGCGAGTAGTGTCTCAAGGCAATGGTTCCCAAGAGAAATGAAGAAAGCTTGAAGCTTTAATTCTGGAATGGGAAAAATCAGAATCGAACCGCCCGCAGCTGCCCACGCCCGCAACTTTTTTCACATCTCGTGACTACTCACCGCCTTCCGCTCCGAATGCGGAACCACTTCTATAGCTCATGCACTATCGAGTCTACATCTGGGGGAGAATACCTAGGGGAAAGATGAAGCTGAAATAAATATGGATATTCCCGTAAAAGCAGAAAGCAGTCTGTCTAAGTACACAATAAAGGGCTCACAAAACCAGTTGGCCTGCACTCCAACCAGAAATGTGAGATCCCTGTTTTTCCTCATCCATTACTTTTCCTTCTCGTCCCCTGATACCTCCGGAGAAACGCCATCGAATGCGAGAGCTAAAGGACTCAAAAGAGAACCACGTAGGGATACTGAGAATATCTATGCGAAGCCGAAGTACTCGCTACCAGCAGTCATGGCGGTGTACAGTCGTTGGCGGAGATCCTCGTAGCTCTCATATTCCGGAAGATCGAGTTCTGCAGTTACTAGTTAGCATAAGTCGAGTAGACAGAGACAGGTATGTGAAACTTACGGTTGAAGCATGTGTGGGAGCTAGGAAGGCGATCTTTGTTGCCGTAGTCGCGGTGGATACTGAACTTGCTCACGCCATTCATGCCTTCAAGTTCCTTGAAGCCATTCAAAGGCACCTTACTGGTTCCAGTGACGAACTGCAACAACTTGGCTCGTTCTTCCTTATCAAATGAGCGGACAGCTCGCCAGAACCATTGGATCTGCGGGGACGAGGCGGAATAGTTGTGGTACTCGGTGTTGTTCTTCCACTCGTCCACGTCGATCTCAGGCAAACCGGAGATAAGTAGCTCAAGCTCTTGCTCATTAAAGATGGAAATGAGATCCGGTGGAATGATTTCATGGAAGCCTAATTTCGTAAGTTAGGGTCGTGACTTTGGTAAAATTAAGGGATTCGTGGTGGGTGGGGGGGGAGAAACATACCTTTGAGGAAGTTGTCGAGCTGTTCGCGGACAGAGTCCACAAGACGGTACTCGACCATACGCTGGATGTACTCTTCCTTGTTCTCTTGAGTGACTGGGATGTTGCGACCATCAGGAATAAGGTCGATCACCTCCTTCTCACCAAAAGCCTCAGTCTCGATGGAGAAAGTCTCTGTTATAATGTCGGTGATATCATTTTCCAGCATCCATAGCAAAGACTTGTAGTAATCTAAGTCAAGAGTCTCCATGTCCTTAATAGACACCGAGCGTCCGAGAATACACTTGTAGACAGCACGGCTGAAGTGGCAATCAAGCACCCGGCCTTCATAGAGGGCCTTTCCGATGATTTGGCCAATGAACTTGAAGAACATCAAATGCTCGGAGTTGACACCACTGAGGCGGTTAGGGTGGAACGTTGTGCGGTCGGCGGCGACAGGAATGAACAAGGCGTAATTGGGGTTGAACATCCCCCGAGCGAGGACCTGGAACCATTCACGAGTGACGCCACCAGCATCAACACCTTCTTCTCCGTGGAATCGAACATTGAGTTTGCCATATTTGAGTTCATCGGCAGTCTTGAAATAGAGATGCTTGAATGAATCAAGGAAGACTTGGTCTCTGCGCACAGAGAGTTGGAGAGGAGGATGAGCTTGACGGGGCTCAGCGCCACGAGAGTGAACGCGGCGGGTGAAATAATTGCGCTTGTTATCAAACTCCAAAACCTTGGGGTTCTTGACAAGGAGCGAGAATGTACCACTCATCAAACGAGGATTCTGGCGAACAAGTTCGTTGAGGATCTTGCGGTGTTCCTCAGTGAATTTGAAAAAGAGGTTCTCCATGCTAACACCGGGATCACCTGGGGCGCTGCTGTTGACAGAAAGCTCACGGCTGTTGCGAGAGAGCGGCTGGTCCTTGAGAGTGGTGTTCTTGCAGACGACCATCAGTGCTTCGATAAGTGGCAGAAGAATAGTGGCGACATTGAGCATATTTTCCTTCTGGCGGATTACCGTTAGGCAGTCACTCAGCTTGGTCCAGAGAGGGCCAAAAGTAGCACTCTCATACAGCTTCTTGAGGACGTCCTCCTTAGGCGCGGATTCAGGCTCGCTGCCCTTAGACTTATCAACACGAGTAGGGTCGAAGAGATAGTCCAGAGCAGTGAGAACACGGAGTAGTTTCGCTTGATCAGAACTGGCGGGAGAGAACTTAGACAAGGCTAGACCTTGCATGTCGGTGCCAGTCTTTGATTGATGGATATGAGGAAGAAGTTCCTCAAGGTCGCCAAGGATGATGTCGCTCAAGCTCTGGGCCTGGCTCACAAGTTCGGTGCCAATCACATCCCGAGCTCCGGGAATGGCAGAAAGGTTGTTGATGGTAGAAAGAGTATCACGGAATGTCTTTCCATTGCACTCGCGAGCAGCAAGTATTTGGACAACCAGGCGGAAATTGTGGTCCGGGACAACTGGAGGCTCGAGGGAGCGTCGCTTGCGTTTCTCTTCTTCGGCAGGCCGTTCGGAGTCATTGGCCTGCTTTGTCTGCGAACCACCCTCAGCGGTTACTTGCTCGTCAGATCCCTCAACAGTGGGCACCGGAGCATCGGTCATGGTAGTGTCTGTGGTTGTTTCGCTAGGCTCAGTGGCCTCAGGCGCGGGGGCTTGGTCGTCGGATTGAGTACCTTCAGGCTTTTTGCCCTTGCTTTCCTCTTCTTGTCGCTCCTTCTCACGGCGAAGGAGCACGGTCAGTGGCTGCGTGATACTGCTGAGTAGACTGGAGAGCTGCTCCATGCAGTTAGGGCTGTCCATGATCAATTTTCTATCAAGGAGAGAGAGGAGAGCATTCAAGGCAAATTTGTTAGCTCGGGTCTCTTTGCCCTTGCCCTTGCGGAATGCCTTGATTTTCAGAGACGAGGCGGAGTCATGCTCAGTCAAGAAGAACCAGGCAATATGAGGATTGAACTGTGACAAGAAAGAAAGAGTGCTGAGACACTGCTGTACAACCATGATCGGCGTCACATCATTGCTAATACTGGATGATGTTTGAAGACTCAGACTGCGCTTAACAGACTGTGGGGTCTTCTGAGCGCCGGGAGCTTTAGCACGAAGTGACAAGTGGGAGAAGCTACGCTCAATAGCGGAGGAGTCCACGCTGCCGTCCTGCAAGACAGACAAGAGTAGACTAATAACCTCGCCTCTGTTCTGACGATTCTCGCAGACGTTGTGGAGGATATCGTTCAGTTGATGACGGGCGTTTCCTTGAAGATGCATGAACATCAAACGTAGGAGTGTCGCGACACCTGCTTTGTCGAGCATTTGCACGATCTGGCGGCGCTGAGACTTCTTCGGCTCATGGTCCCCAGTCGCTGGCTCGTTTCTATGTAAGCGAGAATCGATTCCAGGGATATGATCTGGGAATTGAGCAATGCGTCGAGCTCCACCTAGAGCTCGAGCCTCAGATATGTATTCAGGACCCAAAGAAGCAAGAACTTCCTCTGGCTGATCGGCGAGGACGGCTTGACGGAGCGAAGGGTCCAGTGTGGCCAGGAAGCTTGCTGCATCCATATCCTCAGCACGTGGGGCACCGCTGGTTGTAGCTTGGCGGCGAGCAGTCTCACGCTCGCGACGGCGCCGGTCCGCAGCTTCCTGCTGGAGCAATTCCTCACGGATCTCTGCTGGCAAGGCTTCGAGGAACTCCGGGTTTATTTCAGTGGGTTCCTCGCCCGCAGCAGCGGCTTGAGATCGCTGTTCAGCGAGTTGTTGCATGATCACCTCCTCACGAAGCTCCTCTGGCAGGGCCTCCAAGTATTCAGAATCAATCTCCAGTCCGGTAATGTCCAGTTGACGACCCCGAATGGTAGTGAAAACCCGTTCAACAGGCTCGGCTTCCGCTGGCTGGGCAGATGACCCTTCTTCCGGGTTGGCATTACCGGTCGACTGAACATCTTCCATGGGTTCGTCAATGCCGGCAGCGAGACGTTCGGCCTCTTGCTGTTCCCTTTCGGCCTGGATTCGAGCATTATCTTCTTCCTCCTTGCGCTTACGCTCACGTTCTTCTTCTTCACGAGCGGCACGCTCTTTGCGCTCTCTTTCCTGTTGCTCTTCTTGCTGGCGTTTGCGTTCTTCAGCCTGGATCTTTTGGCGCTGCTTCTCTTCTTCAATGGCAGGTGGAATTAGAATCTTCAGGAGAGAGTTGACCACCCGCTGTGTCTTCTCAACGTAAGAACTGCTGTACAAGATGCGAGCTTCTTCTTGCCACCGAGATCGAGTTGTAGACATGGAAAATTTAACAGCGTTGTGAGGGTCATCGCGGCTGCCTCGCGAAGGTGGTAAGTTGCCACGAGCTAGAGAACCGAACATGTCTTGGAAACGGCTGTGTGGGAGCGCACGACGATCAACATGGACATGAATTCCGTCTGGGCGACTGACAACTCCAAAGCCGGGGGTCACTTGTCCGCCGATGGCTTGCATAATAGCATTCATGAAGCTCATAGGACTGTCCACGGCAAGCATTCGACTGCCGCCATCGGCCTGACCCCATTCGGCGCTGAAAGGATCACCGCCAACGGGGCCAAGGCGATGGCTCGAAGTATCAACAGCACGGTCGTTCCGCAAAAGGAGGGGATTAGTTCCGTCGTCGTTGTTTCGGTTAGCAAGCTGGCCTCTGTGCACGCGAGGGTAGGGTTGGATGGGGACAAGACCACCACCACGGCCAGGTGGCATGATTTCAGTAACGGTAGCCCATGCTGGTGGTGCACCACCGCGGAACCGGCGATGATGGTGGTGGGAACGGGGTGGTGGGCCTTCATCGCCTTCCCAGCCCCAGGGCTCTAGGAGGTCTTCTTCTATAAAATGATTGTGAGTAGGTGGGTAGTCTAAGTAGCGAGTCCGAGAGGGGTTGATACCATCCATTTCACCCTCCGAGTCGTGCTCCGGATCATAATCATCGTAATCATCGACCTCTTCTTCGAGTTCATCGATTTCATCGTCTTCTTCTACGCCATAGGTTTTAGCAGTGAGCTCAAAGCAGTGGTGGAGAAGGTTATCTTACCTCCGTCCTCGTTAAGCTCGTCAAGGATCTCGTCGTGGATATCACCCCCAAGACCACCACGGTGGATATCATTGACTCCACCAGTGGCATCGTTCAACGCTCGGAAAATATCATCCATATGGCGGCCTTCAATGTTGCGGGTGGATTGGCGAATGTCGGCCAATTCATCTTCAAATTGATGCATCATTTCAGTATCTTCCTCATCTTCGGTCATATCTTCGCTCTCCCATTCGTCTTCTTCATCTTCACCCAGGCTCTCGTTGTCATGATCGCCCGTGATCTCCCCGGCATAGATCTCGTCATCTTCCATGTCGGACTGGTCATCTTCGTCGTCCTCGTCATCTTCATCGTCCTCCTCGTCGTCATCGTCGTCGTCAATGATGACTTCTACGGCATCACCAGGGAGACCTTCAATTGGGCCGATGGAGCCGTGGCGCTCGTCCACGTCTTCGTCGCTGACAACTTCTCCATCATCCTCAATTTCTTCGTCGTATTCCATTTCATCATCATAGCCGTCATCATCGTACATATCCTCGTCTTCGTCTTCAGAGCCCTCACTCATAGATTCTTCTTCGTCGTCGTGCCGAGGTTCCAGCATACCGAGAGTAGAGTGGCGGAACAGATCAGGAGTTTCTTCACGCTCGTCCTCAAAATCAGAGACCGAGGTTGCCGACGAAATCTCATCCTCTTCTGTTTCACCAAGGGTAGAGATGTCGGAAGTTTCGCTAACGAGCACGGCAGTTTGAGTGAGTTTGTTCAAGGGGCGGAGAATGTATTTGATGACGCGTTTTGATGATGGGAAATTCAGATCGATGTCCGCGACGGACGCGGTCAAAGCAGGGATGAAGTGCTTCTCAAACATCGTTCTGGCAAGTTGTCTTGTCGAAGACGGGAAGCCTACATCCTGGGTGTAAGAATAGCCACTGAGCATCTTGTCGAAAAGGTCGGCGAGACACATGAGCTTGGAATATTTGGCGTCCAAAGGTTCATTCGACATGTTAGTGTCCTTGTAACACTTGAGGGCATGTTCAAGCACAAATTTGCGAACAAATGCAAGCTCTGGCTCATCTTCTTCGCTGCTCTTGGTGTCGGCACCACGGCGTCTTCCAAGACCACCATGCTCGCCGGTTTTATTGCAAAGAGCCACAAGAACCTGCATGGTCCAGTTTGAAGTGATGCTCCGTTTCTTGAATGCGAGAGACTCGTCGTGCTCCATTGTCCCAACAGGGACAAGGACATTCAAAAGGTAATTGAGGACACCCGACCGCGGCTTGGAAGGTGTTGTAGCAAGGGGGTCGGCCTTGCGTGAGAAGTTGATGAACTCGATCTTGGTCCTGTTGTATGAGGAGAGAAGTTCGGTAAGACATTGGAGAAGAAAGCATCGGTAGATGTAGATGGGATGATCTTCAGCCTTGAATGGCGGCTTCTCACCCTTCTTGGTCGAGTTCCGATTAGGAACAGCCTCTGAGCTGCTGGTGATGGAAGGCGTAGGCTCATCAACAGACATTTCCACGTCAGTTTGGCCGTCAGGCTGGTCTGAGGAGGAGTAGTCGCCAGGCTCGGTAGGTGGTTCCTTGTCATCAACATCTTTGTAGGAGAGAAGCTCTGACAATAGATAATGAATGACACCATCGGGGTTTTCGACAATGGGAGCCCTGAGTTCGCCAGTCTTGGCCTGGCCCTTTTCTTTTTCCTCGGAGCTTGATCCCTCGCCAGGAGATTTCTCGACTTTGGTTTCTTCTTCCGCCTCACCAGCATTTTGCGACTTTTCACCCTTCAGAACGAGAACCTGCGGGCGCTGGTGAGTATCATGTCGTAGAAGCTTGACCTTTTCATTTGTGACTTCCACGAAGATCTCAGGCGCGCGTAAAACGAGATGGTACATTTGCCGTACGTATCCAGTGGTGTCAATCTGGCGGGAGGATTTGTTTTCAAAGTTCGATACTATCTCGCTCCGCATGATCTGGCGGATCGTAGCTTCGTCCTCAACGATATGACGTAAGATCAACATGAAACTGCTCTGGAGTTTGTCGTTGGTAGCGCTCGCAAGTTGCTTGACCATAACAAAGAGCCGCTGAAGTTTTCGCTTCTCGCCGAAACGAGCCGCGATGTTGCGATTCCTGGTCAAGATGACCAGAACACGGCAAATAGAAAGTGCAAGGGTACCATCTTTGCCCACACGAGGGAGAATCTCAACAAGAGCTTCAAAGAGTTCAGTTTTCTCATCTAGAGAAACAAGAGGCTCCTGAAGTGATGCAGGTTCCTCTCCCGACGAGGGATCCTCGAGGTTCTGAACCGACCAGTTGATTTGAGGAGGCTGACAGTCATCAGAAAGAAGTTTCTCTAGAATGAGCAACACATGTCCAACCCATGGGAAGTTTTCCTCGGCGGGCTTCTCAGGGGCGGGAAGCTTGATAAAGCCAAGAAAAGTCGAGAAACAGTCCTTGAGCTCTTCGAGTGTTGCACTGTACATTTCACGGTCTTGCAGAACAAGAGCCAGAATATGGGCATAAGCGGCCACCTTTTTACCAGCAGTTTGAAGATTCTCCATTTGCAGAGAAACGAGTGACTGAACAAGAGTCTCGCCAATGTCTCGGCGGAAGCTTTCTGGCTCGCGGTGCTTCTTGATTGCAGATGAGATTAGGTCTGCAAGCTCGAAGGACACGTCATGATGAACATTGAGAACATCGAGACAGCGCTCAATGAGATTAGATCGGACCTTCTCGCGTTCAGCATCAAGATCTTCAATAGTGACCACTTGGCGCCGGCGCACAAGCTCTTGAGGCTGACTTGTAGGCTCTGATGCAGAATGAGACTGGGGGCGATCCTGGCGAGGGTGCCCAGTCCGCTCAGTACGCTGGGGGCTGAAAATGTCGTCACTATCATCCTGAACATCCGCAAGAGCTCTAGCAAGCCCATCACGCATTGGCACAACGTCCTCTCCATCTTCCGCTGTGCCTGGTGGCATAGTCTCGTCCACTGGACGTCCTGTTGCCTGTGCAAGGAGCATGGCGAGAGCAGAGCGTTCCAGAAGGTTCCCACTGTGGAATGAAGGCGCATCTCCAGAGGGCGTATCTTCAAGCCCATCTCCACCAGAGGCGACATCTGGGGGTCCAGTTGAGATATCACTTGAACTAGGAGGAAGTCTCGGCGGGGAAGGAGGCATTTCTGGGCTCCGCAATATTCCTCGGCCTGGCTCAAAGAGTTATGACAGCGATAAAGAGCCTCTTGGTTTAAGTCGGCATCCTCATATCCCTTCTCAATGAGAGTTTGCGCCCGCTCCTTGTGAATCACGAATGTCTTTTTAGGCGCTTCAGTCAAAGCTGGTGGTGTATCTGCTCTCGTGAGAGCGCCAGTTTCATATTCACCATCCAAAGATGATCGGAGAATATCAACTAGGAACTTGACGATGGGACTTTGCGACTGGGTTGCAAAATCAGAGTTCCACATTTCTTGAGCCATGGGCAAAATCTCCATGCGAAGATCCACAAGGAACTGGCCAGCCTGGAAATAATCAGGGCGGTCGCGATCGCGTTCATGGGTGCTAATAGCCTGTGTCTGTGTAGATTCCACAATGCTCTTACCGGCAACGAGCTCTGCAAATATGGCAAGAATGATCTTAATGCCACCCTGGGCAGAGGCAATTCGGTCAACCACTTCTTTCTCGGTATCGGCGCCTTTCTCGTGTGGCTTAAGTGCTTTGACTTCGTTCATGAAGACCTCGCAAATATTTTTCAGGACCTTGAGGCCGTTTTTACGCTTGAATGCAAGGAGAACCAAAGTCAGATAATTCGACTGCGGGCGATCACCGCCCACCTCGTACAGTAAGCCGGAGAAAGATGACAGAATGATGATGAGATATGCAGATCGAGCCTTGACGCTGGAGTTGTTGCTGGGCGCGGCAAGCTCAAGCCCGTGGAGAACGGACTCCGCGATCGCATCTGCAACCAAATTGGCACTCTGTTTGCCCTTTACGTAGTGGTCACCGCGGCGCTTGTTGACCAGGCCAAGCCCCAGATTGTGGAAAAATCCAGTAATGGATTGCGGAAGAGTACTCAGGAGATAGCGAAGAGTTTCCACATTCTTGAAGGCCGAGCTCTCTTCATCAATCTTGTTCTTGGTGATTTCCGAATCACTCGCTGCTGGCTTGGACTCCTTGTTTGCTGGAACAGAGCCACCCTGCTGGGAGGCGTCTGCAGGGTCCGTGGCGCCCTCTGAATTGGTGAGCCCAAGGAAACTCTCAAGCTTTTCAGCGCCAGGTTTGCCACCAGCCGTATTCTTAGCATGTGACCATAGATCGGGAACACTGAGTTCGTTCGCGATTGACTCCCATACACAGGCAGAATAAAGCTTTCCAAGCGTAGAGACCAAGGCACAGTATTTGTCGGCAAGGTTGACTTGGCCAAATGCCGAGGCTACCTGCATGGGGCGCGTCTGATACAAAGGCAAAGCATAAACCTCACGGAGGATATCGGTGAGGATGAGGGCTGCATTGAGATGTCTAGCATAGAACGTCCCATGTGCAACAGCCTCCGAGTTCGCAGCAACCGAGTCCCCTGAATCAATCGGTTTAGAAAGGGGAGTGAAGAAACCTGTTTCAGAAGGAGCGTTCCAGAAAGTTGATAGGTTGTCTACTGCTGTTTGAGCTCGATGCACCAGGGAAGGGATAATGAGATGTGGCTTCGTTTCAGCAAGCATATGCACGAGAACCGTAAGCTCCTGGTTTGCATCTGATCCATGGAAGTCGTATGGAAGGCTAGGGATCGTGGCGTAGTCAAGAACTAACTCAGCAGCACCGGCCTCGATGAATGAGCTGCAGTTTGGTTGGTTCTCAAAAAGTGCGCCAAGGAAACGCATGGCAGGGAAAAGGTAATCTGCCACTGTGAGGCCATTTTCATCCACGTCTTCGATGCTGACTTTTTCATTCGAAGGAAGAAGATCATTCAGGTCACCCAAAACAAGTGTTGTACCATTCGGGAGAAGACGACGGTTTCGGTCAGGGTTGAGCGGAGGAACTCCAATGACTGCTGGATCTTCCACCGAGCCATCGAGAGGGGCTCCAATGGCACGGAACAGGGAGGAAATGTCCCCGGAGAGAGAAGGATTCTCCATTGGCCCTGTTTTCCAGAGCTTTGTGCCCAGTCCATATTTCCACGTCTTCACCCTGGCGAGGAGGTTGACACGCGCAACCATAACGATGACAGCAGACATGATCGATGACTTGAGGGCTGGATGGTGACGAATAAGTTCGTCAAACGCAGTGCCCAGCTGGCGGACGAGGTTTGGGTCATCCTTCAAGCACTTCACATGTTCGGGGCTCTCGAAAATCTCGAAAAAGCTCTCCAGCGCGTCAGAGGACTGGAAAAGATCTAAACCGGAGGAATTCAGGCAGATCGCGCCAAATGCACCTGGAATACATGCCAAAGCCTCGATAGCAGGGATAATACCTTGTGCAAGCGGCGTACCCTGCGGGCGAGCCATGACATACTCTTTTTTGGGAGCATGGCTAGAAGCGACTTCTGTAGATGCCCCTTGGGTCAGTTGTTCGCTCTCGGGTTCAGGATCAGCATCCTCTGGCTCGACAGCGGGTGGCTTCTCCTCAGCATTCAACTCACGGCCCATAACAGCAGCAAGAAGGCTGCGGCTCAGACCGGCTTCAGCGATGACAGCATAGCTCGTGGGCTCGTTGTGAATAAAGCTGCTGAGGATGTTGACAGCATTACTCCAAACGTGCGAGCCAAAGACTCGGACATTCTCGAACACCAAGCGCAGTGAGGTGAGAATTTGAGGCGAGTCAATCAAGTTCCTCAGAACACGGTCAAAGCCACCGCCATTGTGCGTCATGATATGGTTGACGAAGCGGAACATCCATCGAAGAGTTTGTTGCTGGAAATACGGTATCTGGTAATCAATTGTGGGATACTTGTACTTGGCGGGGAAGCCTTCTCCACGTTGGACACTCTCAAATGCAGTTTTGGTCTCGTGGTCTATGAGATCAGAAATTGCGTCGAATCCCTTCGCAGCTGTCAAAGTTCCTAGAGCGTCCCGGACAGCATGCACGAAGGTATCAAGAAACTCCATGATCCGAGAATACACTCGACGAGCCTTCTGCGTTCTTAGATTAAGGATATCAACGAACATGGGGATCAATCCGGCTGCGACAAGAGTATCAGGCGTACGCAAGCCAGAACTTGGTAGGGTCCGCAGAAGGGCAAGCAGTGCATCTCGCCACTCATCATGATATGGATTGTCAGTTCCGTCATCTTCGGCACCCAGCTCGTTCACCACCTTGCGAGTGAGGAACATGAGAACTCCGTGGTTGACATTGACACTCAGGGCGGCGCAAACATCGTTAGCGCGGGATTTGTGCTTTGCTAGGGCATCAAGAGCTTGAATTGCCAAGGTCTGCAATGTTCGTGACACCTTGATGTCATCACTTGCTCCAAGGTGAACCAACTCCGCGAGTTGAAAAGTCAACTGGAGGCGCTTTGGCAGTTCCATATCATATTGCAGAATCTTCTGCTGGTATGTTGACTCCGTGTGAACGTAAGCCAGGTTCGTTGCCGCCAGAATCCGAATGGCGAGGATCTGTTCACGAGTAGAAGCCGATCCAGCTAAAGCCCGAGCAACACGGATCTTGTGAAGGAGCTCGTATTTAGAATCCAATGGCAAGTGGGGTAAGTGGGTGGCCAGTATGTCTTCCACTTTGGCAGATGATAGTTTGGAGACGGGGAGATCTAGGATCTTTCCACTACGTGAGACCTCCTCAGCCTTGCCGCCTGTGTTTGGAGTGTTTCCAACAGGGGTGTCATCCACATTGGAGCCTCGACTTAGGCGGGGAGTTGGTTGTGTCGCACTTCGCCTCAGCGGTGTGGGGGTAGCGGGGGAGTTTTCGGATTGACCAATCTCTGAATTGGTTCGCGTTCTGTCGGAATTTCCAGAAGGGTAGTAAAGCACACGAACATGGCCCCATTCTTCCCAGCCATCCTGGTCGCGTACCAAAGACACTAGTTCATTGGCGTTGAGCTTAGTCTGAGTAGATTTTTCCTTGCCTTTAGTGGGAATCGAAGGGGAAGCGGTGGGGTTGAAAGGACGAGGGAATGGTGCCGCGATTTTCTGTAGCTTTTCCAAGTCGATGTTATAGTGTGCTGCCAACGCAGTCTGCTGATGAGAGCCCCGCTGGCGAGAATGATATCTCTGAGCGAGACACAGGGACAGCCGTAGAGTAGATTGAAGGAGCGAGAGGGAAGTGGTGTTCAGGAAGTCTCCTAGCCGATCACTGCTGCTGTAGAGACTCCGGTTTCCACACTTTTCCAGCAGGAGCCGGGAGAATTCAAGCAGTGCTTCCACCAGCTCTCGGTCACCTTCAATGCTATAGCCTAGAGAATCTAGTCTCGCGTCGTTTTCTTCAGGCGTCTTCGTGGCATCATGTGCGGCATATGCGTCTTGCAAAACCTTCCTGCCGAAGGATCGTGTCTGAGGCCCAATGCTGAGGAAATACTCATCGATCACAGCTGCCAAGATTCCATCGAACCGGTCCAAGACCTTGATCCAGTGGTACAGATCACCCCGGGGGAACGGCCATTGCCTTGGGAATGTGCGGAGATGAGCAGGAAGCTCGGGGACGGGAAGATTGATCGCGCTCGCTATGAAATCTGCAAGAAAAGGAGACTTATGATAGAAAAAAAAAATTTTTAGCCATGATCCTCGCATATAAAATGGGTCCCGGGCTAAACTTACGACTGTAGCCTCATGCTTCTGCGTTGCCGCCTTCTTAATTCTCCCCATGGTGACGATCAGGCAGGCAGCCGATCATGAGGAACTTCAAAGACGTCCAGGAGAAAGACCTCCTAGAAGGGGAAGTGCGGTGGGGGGTGAAAGCCCGCCTGGTCGTGAGACCGGGTCGCGGAGAAAGCGCGAGAAAAGCCCTATGACGTTTTTCGAACCTCGTCTGCTGCCTCGCTGAAGTCTGCGTCACTATGAGTTTAGGAATCCACGACGTGTGGAACACGAGTAGCCTTCATAAACAAGAAAGCTGATGCTTGGTCGATGATAGGAACTTCTTCAAAGCTGTCTCGTTGAACTGAGTCCAAGTCGGCAGCGAATAAAGTATCGGCGGGTTTATCGACGAGTCAAACCGGGCGGGGAAACGAGTGCAGGACGTTTACCCAACAGGAATGACAATGGAGGTAGTCGAATTTGGGGTATAGAGGATGAGGGCCGTTTTAGGGGATGGAAAAGGAGGAAGAAGGTTGGAGGAAGAATCCCAAAGAAGTTGCTAAAGATGAGCGAGCCCGAGCTGCGGATAAATGAGCGAAACGGAAGCTGCCAATCCCCGCCAGAGGCGGTCAGGCTCCCAGGCATCCCATCCCGTCTTTGTCTTGCGGCTCACATTTAACTAGTTAATTGTGGCCCGATTATTTTTTTTACTTCTGCTCTCTCAAAACAGACAGTGGCTGCTAGTACTTTTAATTTGTACTGACGGGACTCCATGCTCCTCCTGTACTACAAAATTAACCGGATACAGGACTGAGATCAGCGACAGATACGTTCCAGCTGCACAAGCAAGCATAGCTGCCGTTTCTCTTCGAATGATGATATCACAATGTACCAGTGCTGTACTGCCATTACAAGACTTCACTGAATTCGAACTCAGAGGGAAGGTAGATCCGTCAATCAGGGGAAAACTGCCGACTAAGGATGTCTGGGTACTGTAACCCGCGCTTGGGCGTGATTGCTTCGAGTTACTGCCCGGCTAGTCCTCTACTCCCTCTGCAAAGGACTTGAAGGGTAGTTGGTATGTACCCAGAAGCCCCATGAACCGCTCATCTGGCGAGTAGTTACGCTTTTAGTAAGCCACTGCGTCTAGACCTCGGGATAAGTAGACTAGCCCAGGCTAACAGAGAGTAACTTAAAAAGTGCCAGGTAACAATCTAGCTATGTGAATTATTCACAATAATGAGTCTCTCAAGTTCGAGTTTGCGTACCTCAAAAGTATGAAATGCAAAGGAACATAATTGGTCAGTTTATAAAATACATCCAACTGGTTTGAAAGCTTCGGGAGATTTCCCTCTCACGGCCCTTGAAGCTAAGGCAACTCTCCATCCCACTGGATCTTCATGCTAGAAGGATATGGAGAGTAAGAACTATACTCCGGATCCAGATACATCGTGATGCCACCAACACCAGGGACCTTCTTCAATTGGCCCTGGGGCCCTGGGTGTCCTGCGTAGGTTTCCCAGCCGTCCTACAACGCGGAACATTGTGGGGAGCGCGATCTTAACAATATCGAGGCCGAGGCATTGGTGTGGGCCATATCCGAAGAAGATATACTGGCTTAGGTCGCGGTCCAGGCGAACTGTTTCAGGATCTGGGAAGGCTTCTGGATCGTGACTTGCAGCCGACAGGTTGCAGAAAACCTCCTGGCCCGTTTTGAGCGTCACTTTCTCGCCTTTATCCTCGATAACGGTGGGCTTGGCTACTTTTCGAGGCAGAGCGACAGACGAGCGGATTCTAGCACCTTCCATAAAACTGGTCCTGGTTAGTACCAATTTCAACGGTCGCGAAATAAGGAAACCACACAATAACTTACTATCGCAGCAAAAGATCATCAGATTCTGGTGTGGTCTCTGTAGACAGGCGCTGGATCTCCGCGAGGTGAGCCGCGTTCTCTTTGTCCAAATAGAAGTCCAAAGCTTGAGTAAATAATTGGGCTTGGTTGGCGACCATCGCGGCTGCTGACGGGAGAATATGTGTCCAGACAATCTCTTTTGGCGCAAGTTTGCTATCCAACAGGCGTTGTATCATGTGGACGCCGTAGTCACTTAGAACATCATGGCGATGAAGGTGAGAGACGATGCTGGCAATGATGCCGACTTTATCAACGACTTCTACATTAGCCAAGACCAGCTCACCCAGCTGCTGTGAAAGCTTTCGAGATGCCTGCTCAAGCTTGAAAGACTTGGCGACGTCAACATCGTAGAAAATGCAAGTGAAGATCAATGCCATCATGTTGTACATTTCGACTTCAGTGTAAATCCCTTGGGGGTTGGATTCAGTTTTGAGAGGCAAAGAGAAAACACTAGAGCAGAAGTGGACTTGGGCCAAATTAGCCACATCGCGGCAGATATCCACCTGGTTTGTACCAGCAACCTTGTAAGAGTGCTTCTTGATAAGCTGCAGGGTAATCTCCTCATAGAACTTGCTGACTTCCAACTGCCACTTGTCGCGGTAAAGAGCATCGCCGACCATTTTGCGGGACGCAGCGTTTGGAGGTAGATCCCCAGACAGCATGTAGTCTCGACCATAGGGATGGCCATCGCGATGGAGAAGGAACTCCAGCTTCTTACCCCAGGTCACTTTGAACGCATCTTGGTCTCCAAGCACAGCCTTACAGGCAGCATGAGATTCAATCATTCTCGGAATGGCATTGTAGCGAGGGCGATCAAAATTATACGTATCATACTGCCCAAGGCTTTTCATAATCTTTTCGTTCTCACTGGGAATGACCATCGGGAAATGAGCATAGATTGAATCACCTCGTAGGTGATGTGGGAAAGCACGCAAGGCTAGCTTGTAGAATACTTGGCCTTCATCCTCGTCGGTATCGTAATTAATCTCATTGTATGCCCAATTGGTCAGGTGCTTAGGAGTGTAGTCAACCGTGTAGAACCGATCTCCACGAACGAGAGCGACAGCATCTGACAAAATCGCCCGGGAGATCGTGTAATTTGTGCACAGCCCACTGCCTGGAACTACTGGATGCTTCGTGTCTTCCACGATGATGCCTGGGTATAGTTCGACAAGGTCAGGGTGATCGTAAAAGTGACGGAGCTGATCTGCAATGTAAGGATCCGGGTTGATCTCTTCAAACGTCTTGTATGGAGCCAGGTTAAAGAAATCTCGGAACTCATTCAAAGTTGCCAGGTTCCAAGAGCGAGCCTGTTGCATCCCGAGAACCTCAATGCTTCGAAAGACGGACGGGACATTAGAGGCACCGAAAGCGCCAGCAACATCCTCCACACTCTCCTGGAAAATCTTGACCAAATCATCGTCATCAAAAGAGCCATCTGCTTGACGATGCAGCTTGGCAAAGGGACGATCCAAAGGCTCTGCGGGCATACTGGCCTCCCAACGCCCGAGTCCTTGCATGAATTCGGGAAGAGACAAGGTACTGGGGTCTTGACCAGCAAATATCTCTTTATATAGGTCTTCTGACCATTTCTGGTCACGTTCAGAGATGCACGAATGCCAACGGTAAACAAGGTTGAACTCTGCAGAGACCTGGTTGCCAGTTGCCTGAGCTGCAGCCTCGCTGAGCAGTCCATCTTTGATATCCGCTCTAGGATCCAGGCTCCAAGTACTGTTAGTCCGGTTCAGATTGAGGATTGTTCGAACGTAGTCCTTCAATACAATGTTGATGTAAAGACCGCATGTAACTAGGCGACCCGTCTGAAACAAATCATTATCCCAAGCGGCATATGCCTTGGCATTCGACTCGTCAGGCTTTGTGAAGCGTCCGCCTTGATTAATCGCTGCCAGTTGCGTAACAACAAAGTTGTGGAAGCGATTAAACATTATCAGCAAAACACCAACGCCAGGGGGAATCCCAGGATTCTTTTCGTGGAGAATACATCTGGCTTCAACCTGCCATCTTTGAAAGTCCTGACTTGGTTTTGCTCTTCCTGGTTATTACCGTAGAGCGGCGACAAGTCTAGATAAGACGACGTCAAAGAAATTGTCGAGTCCCGCGAATCTGTCTGGAATAGATCTGGTTTCGGCTTTAGAATGATTCTCTTCTCTTTGCTACTTGATGGGAAATTTACCATGGATGATAATCGATGCAAGGTAAAATAGCACACTCGATATCTTGTTTGGGTGCTCTTTGAATTCTTTCCGAGACAAGAGACTGTCGAACAGCGTTCCTGGATCAGGCAGCTCAGCGGGTTGCACCGTTTGTGGTCGGACAGATCGGGCATATGGAGTGCCTGCTGCTCCAATCTGAGGCCAGAAGATGTTCTAAAAGTGGTGTCAGCGATTTTCTTTCTATTAGCGTTACGTCTTTCTGTGGGGATTTACGTTTCCAGAGCCATCGGCTTTGCGGTATGATGTATCTCGACCAAGATACCTGAATAATATTTGGAATTAGTGATGCTCGCGAGGGTGTATACGTTCTTTGCCTCACTCACGAGATAGGAGGGTGCTTCAAGTCGTTCCACAGCATATTTAAAAATGTATTCGTCACTTCCTTTCCATTCTTGGATGTAGATGGAAGATCGGCTGCGAGCTGTGAAGATATGAGAATCAATAGCAACCTATCTCGTTTCGAGAACTCACTTGAATCACTCGCTCCATGATGTACTCCCGGTCGTTTACGGGATCTCCGCTAACCGCACTTTTGGCTACATCGACGAGTGTCTTGACATCTTTCAAGTCGATATGGCTGAGATCTTTGGCCAGGCCCGTGGTGGTATCACTTGGTACATAGGTGCCATCACCGGTCTCCGTTGGCAAAGGCTTCAGAGATGCCCGAATGGCATTTTCAGCTCGAGACAGCAAACTATCACTGCCATTGGTGGCTCCGGTGGACTTTTCAGCCATGATGAAGATGACGCAGACTTTGTATAATACAGAAGAAATGATCGCAAGGCTGTCTTAGTCGAGCAGTGGTAGTGCTTAAGATAGATAGTTAGTGGCCAGGACATCGAGATACTAATTTTTGATGGCTATATTTCTTCTTGGCACGGGTGCATGATTTTTCATGGTTCGGTATGAAAAGTGACCACCTGCGGTGATCAAGAGACTCCAATAATTTCCAGAAATGAAAATATGCAAGAACGAACCCCCACATACCGATTGTTGCCAGGTAATTTAGCAACGAAGTTCTCAATACAAATTTCAGCCCAGCAGGTCCTCAGTTGTGAGGTCACTATCGTACACGCAATCGACAGTGATGCCTGAGATGGCACTTTGAACGTGGAAGGGCAACGTGCAATCTGATGGGAAAGATGAAAGGTAAAAAATGCGGGCGGATGTCATGGGGTCGTCTCGGAGGGTAATGCAAAGATTAAATTTATCATGGGCATGTTTGGGTGCGCCACTCAGACGAGGCAGTTTCCATGGCTTGGCCAGCAGCTCGGTAGCGCAATCTGGTCCATCACCCCACCTCCTCCTTTGTATCCATTGTCAGGCCGTCATCAGGGCGCCACAACCCTAAGCTGCTGTTGGACGCAGCGTGAGTTAGGTTACGACTGGCGAAGAACTAGACCCACTGTTCAGGCCGTTAGTGGCGCCTCATACAGGCATAAACAATGGAACATGTGGGTAACTGAGGTATCAGGAGGGGCATTGGGCATTGCCCGCACGCCTTCCGCATATTTCTTGCAGTGTTCCACCAAGTTACGATATGAGCGGCCAATCGATAGAGTAGTTTCGAGCTCGCTTCAGCCGTGACCCATTTTGGAAGAAATGGTTCGCTTTAGCCTGTGTTTGATTGGCGCGACGCATTGGCATGGCAGCTTGGATTGCTTGTAGCGATCTGCAATTGGCAGAGTTGCTCTGCAGGAAATGATATTCCGGATTCCCTCTTCACGCGGCCAGGGATCAGTCCCTTTTCGGTTATCCGTACCCGAGGAGAACCTTTCGCTCGATGTTGTAATTCCTCGCGCCAGCTGCTTCGCTTACCTTGGCCAGGCGTCAACTGATGATCACTGATTGGCGATGGCTTCTCGGCCAGGCTAACCGGTGCAGCACCAAAGCCTCAGCTGAGATCCGGGTCGGCTCGCACCTTCAGATCTAGGCAACGAACTGCAGACGATTCTTCCAATCATGTCACAAGAATTGCGTAATGTGCCCAGCTTGAGGGTGCTCGGCTGACCTCGTGGGATACACTACTATTGATCCTGCGCCCGGTGGGGCCGTTCAGCTCGGCCGATTTGTGGAATTTGTGGAATTTGTAGGCGAGCTGAATTCTGGACCTCGAGCTGAGACAGGGCTGATTCGTATTGGAATGCCAGGGTGTCGTAGTGGCCAGCTGACTCCAGGGGTTCTTTACCCTGGTCAAAGGGCTGACCTACGCATGCATGCAATGCACACGATACGAGTTATTGAAGTCAAAATGTGGCCTGCGACTTGATGGTGATATCAACATGAGAGTGGATGGCACAGTGACACTTGGCTTCATACGCAGTAGACTATGGGTAGACTATGGGTATATATGGTACTGCTTCAGACTTCCTGTTCTGATGCAGACCAGTTTCCTATGCAATACCAGGGTACTAATACATGCTAAATAGAAATCGAAGGTTTATCTTATTATCTCCTGCTTCCTTTCATCAAAGAAGCCATACAAAACTTATTAAGAAGCTGCTCGTTAGTCAACTAATCTAATCAATCTATACCTAGAAGTGATAGCTTCCCGTTCTCTTGCACGCAGGACCATCCTCGTTCGACATCATACTGGTTTTCCCAACAAAAGTGAACCTCGGCTCGATGGCCCCAGGACACCACGTGACTTCGTTGCTGCTTCCAGAATTCAACTCAACAAAAGTAGAAGGGCACCATCTCCTATTGGGAATTGTCCTCTCTGTCCCCGGAAGCTTGTCCGCAAATCGCAATGGCATCTAAGATCACGCTCTCCGTTGAGCCGCGGGGTATGCCCCTTATCCAGAGCTACCCAGCTGATCCCAAATTTCAAACAAATACAGCTAACAATATCAGGTAAACCCATTGGCAAGCTTCCCAAGGAACTTGTTATCTCGCTCAGTGATTCAGGCGCGGCTCTGCACGAGAGTATTGCCCAGATTTCTGGCGCCTCCGTCCACCGACTCCGCATAACCAAGGGCAGTGACCGTAGCGTCGTCCCAAACTCCAAGGATACGTCTATCGAAGCCACCGGTCTGCGCAACTCAAGCGTGATCCACGTCAAGGATCTTGGTAAGCTAGGCCCAGCTCAGATCACATCAGACGAAAACTTCCAAGCTCACCATTGACTTCTTCTAGGTCCTCAAATCGCATGGCGCACTGTCTTCATCATCGAATACCTTGGTCCTCTTCTCATCCCCGCACTCTTCCTTTTCCCACTGCGGCCCCTCGTGTACTTCAACTATGACCAGCCCCTTCCCAACCCCTCGAACGTGCAGCTGCTCACATGCGCAATGCTGACTCTCCACTTCCTGAAGCGCGAGTACGAGACGCTCTTCGTGCACCGCTTCAGCAGCGCAACGATGCCCATCTTCAACATCTTTAAGAACAGCGGTCACTACTGGTTCCTTGCTGGATTCAACGTTGCGTACTGGGTATTCCGCCCTGATTCTTGGGCTGCGAGCTCCGAGCCCAATCAGGCGCTTGTGTGGGCGGGCCTGGCTCTGTTCGTGTTCAGCGAGCTGGCTAACTTGAACGCGCACTTGGTTCTGCGTAACCTGCGCCGCCCTGGAACTACAGAGCGCGGCATTCCTTCCGGTTTTGGCTTCAGCTGGGTCACTTGCCCCAATTACTTCTTTGAGATTCTCGCGTGGTTGGGGATCTTCCTGGCTAGCCAGTTGAACCTGAGTATCCTGATCTTCACCCTTGTTGGCGGGCTTCAGATGTGGAGCTGGGCTTGGAAGAAGGAGAAGCGCTACCGTAAGGAGTTCGGTGACAAGTACAAGAAGAAGCGCACTGTTATCTTTCCCTTCCTCTTCTAAACGGCAGAGATGATAGCTGTGGAGCGATGTGATGGTCGCGAAGCTCTTGCGAGTCTACGTTTGGCTTCGACGATATACAATGGTGGTGTCCTTTATTCACCCTTCAGCCCTATATCCCAGGGCCTTGTCATCATTATACCAATGCCTTGAGCTTTGTGGGCTTTGTCAATTCCGGGCTAAAACTTCGTACTATTGTTTCGGTCTCGGAAAAATTAGCAACTTGAGGTTACGAAACATGTACTTTATCGATTTCACAAAAGAATATCATGACCTGTTTTCCGTCGGCCATGTGCTCGTCTAGAAAAGTGTCAATCAGAACTCGCTATGAGAAAACCGAAAACTCCCTCTCCCGGGTTTAAGAAGACAATGATAAATAACTCCAAGCCCTGCGCCCCACGTCCACAAGAAAACGCTTTTCTCATCTCTAATCATCGGAGCAGTCATTCATTTTGCACTTTTCTCTGCCAGATCATGTAATAAGACTCCATTTCTCCACAATCATGTGGAGGACCAGCAGGGCTGCTATCGCAAGCCGGAAAACGGATCAAAAAATCCCCGTCTTTGTAGGAACCATCCGCCGAGGCTCCGGACGAGTCTTTGCTATAGGCGTTGAGTAGGCGCTGGGGAACGAGAGCGGTCCGGGCGAGGACAGTTGGATGCCATTGCATGATATGATCCTATTTAAAGAATTACTCATTAGTCCCACTTTCTCCCAAGCTGCGGACGGATCGGTAGCTTACCAGTCCATGGACCTCAGCTTTCACAAACTTATAGTTGCGGAAAAGCGGTTCAAACCAAAAGTCCAAGAAGAACCGCGCAAAGTCGCCGTTTTTCAAAATAAAGCTCGCGGGACTTATATCCGTACTATCTTGCGTTGCGATAAAGTCGATGTCCTTCTCTTTTAGATGCGAAAATGTCTTGATAATGCTGTCGGGTGGGACGACGGGGAGGTCTTTTAGCATCAACGATTCAAGGCGGCTCTTGTCTAGTATATGCGATTTGAGAGACTTCGACGGGTTCATGATGAGGGCGTGCGGGCTGAGGTGGAAGTAGTATGCGGAGCGAGGGTAGGTTGCCATTGCATGCCGGACAGCTGGTATTAAAGCCCAGCTGTTCGGTGAGTCGCCGACCGCGTCGGAGTAGTCTGAGGTATTTGCAAAGAAGTTGGTGTAACCTGTGCGAGCAGAGACAGTCAGCGGTCAATTTATATTGGAAGTCCAGATAGCATGTACCATGGCGCTTTGCGTAGTCTTCCCGGTTAGACACGATCTTCTGAATATAACCCTCACTGAGATTGTCGCGATCCAGCAACGTCACAATCACCACGCCTGCCGTACCTGCCGGCGCCGCACTGGAGATCGGGCTTGATGAGAAAAGTTTTGGGAGCAAGAAAATGATGACAAGCACCGCGATTGCAAATAAAGCGACGGTTTTCAACTGCTTCTTGCGGTAGTAGGGTAATCGAGATGAGTGGACGCTGGGGAGTGGATGCGGACTCTTCCGCGGCGGCAACGCGAACTGCATGACGCTGAATGTCACCGCGGGCACTGTGAATGAATTTAAACAGGTAGTGTTAAGATTACTTCTTATTCAGCATGAGCAAGCGCTTCCCATGATGGCGGGATTATTGGCAAGTCTGAGAAGTGCCGTACGTGGCTTGAGAGTTGCAAGGGAGATGTGCTCGTCGTTGCGACCAAAACGGGCTCAAGTCAACGGCCGAATCCGGGCGGGTCGCCATGTTGAGCCGCACATTCCATGCATGGGTTCACTTATAAGGCCGGTTCCGAGCTGGCTTCTCGGTCGCATGGCTGATCATTGAGAGTTCTGTCAATAGACATGTGATATTAATGTCTTAAAAACCTTGTTGCTGTATGTTCCAAGTTCAACAAGTCCACTTCTTCTCCGGTCCGTCTAGAACATCATTCACGCGTACATATATATCCAAGAGAACAACCCCCCAGACCAAATTGACCTCGGAGAATCTCCGCATATGCAAATTTAGCAATACTACCAGCGAATCTATTTAAACCGGGGAGTAGTTGTATGGAGAAGAAATTTGTTATGACTGTAGTATAAATACACACAAATATGTTAATATGCACGCCTTGAGGATCGTATCCTAGCATTAGGATCAACATAAGGTCCCAACACAAGGGACGAGGATTTGCACCCCATGGAAAACACAAGTCAAGGTAAGTCGCCTTGATGACGTTGGTACAATCGTCGCAATAATGGTACAAATATGACTGAAAAAAAAAAAAAGCTAAGCCTCATTCGCACTGGATGCAAAGCCATGCAGAACCACAAACGATTGCCAGCTATGAACGCTCGTCCAAGCAGAATTTCGAATATTGCTTATGCATCCGCAAAAATCTTGCTATTGCATAAGCTAGACTTGCTTGGTAGGCTTTGATTCAGGCTGTCCTCGCTCAGCCTGCTCCAGCTCATGTGCCTCACGCTCTAGCTCTTCAAATTCTCGATCCTCCCGCTCCCGTTCGGCTTGCTCCTGAGCCGCCATCTCAAGCTCAGCCAGCTGGTGCGTCCCCAATTGATAAGTAGGCTTCTTTTTCTGGGCAAAGCGAGAGGGATCGGCACGACCCTTCAGACGGGGCTTTGTGATATCCTTGATATTGAGCCTCTCCTCAACTGTCGCGTTGATCTCATCCTCTTTGCTCTTGAGCCATTCCTCCATTGAAAGAGGTTCGGGGATGCCTAACTTTTTGCGCTCTTCTCTGAATCGCTCTTGGATTGAAGGTGTCTGCATCACCTGCCACCGAAGGTGCCAGCCGAATATGCCAAGTTCCTTGATGCGGCTTGGTCGGTCACTCAGGAGGTAGTTGTCCAAACCGCCTTCCTTCTCAATAGTTCGTAGTGCGCGGTGAGTCACCTTGATGAACAGATCTTGGTCGAGCGCATCACTTCGCAACTTCTTCCGGCGTACGTTGGGTTTCCAGCTTCGTCGTGTCTTTCCTTGATTGCGGCCCTTGGAGATCTTGTTACCGAAGCGAATGCTAGCACCTCCGTAGAGACCGGTATCCGCCTGTTTGTACCACTGTCTTGGGCCATAAGGGTAGGGCGGGACGTGTGCTGGGAGTTGCTGGGTGGTCTGTTGTGCCGGGGTTGTAGAGAAGGAGCGCTTCGGAATGGATAAGGAAAGGGAACGGAAAGCTGACGCCAGAGAGAACTGGCCAGCAATGGCGACCCGTGATTGGAACCCTGCCATTGGATAGAAGGAAGGGATTCTAAAGGTCGTTTGGTTGAACTTGAACACCAACGAAGGCCTGAGTGAGGGTTTGGGATCGCGGAAAGAATTTGGGGGGATTGCTGACCGCCTTGAGGCGCGGGTCGTGACTGGCGCAGATCCCTTGCTCGTGAATTTGCGTGCAGCAGAAAGCATATACGACACCTCTTCTGGAGACCGCTCATCTTCACTTTTACTCTGAAAATTCTCTCTACTATCCGCTCTCTTCCTCCAAACCACCATAAGCCCCTTTCATTGGCCATACAAAGTCATCACCCTCCACCATGGTCCAGATCAGCGAGGTCAAGGGCAACTCGCGCGAGAATCGAACTGCCGCGCACACCCATATCAAGGGTCTAGGCCTGCGCGCTGATGGCACCTCAGAGACAACTGGAGATGGATTCGTTGGACAGAGTGCTGCCCGTGAGGTGTGTTAGAGCAACATTGGACTATTGAATCCGGTTCATTCAAGCTCCAACACCTGAATGATTGCTGATAGGACATCTCTTTTTTTTATAGGCATGCGGTGTAGTTGTCGACCTCATCAAAGCTAAGAAGATGGCCGGACGAGCTGTCTTGCTCGCCGGTGGTCCGGGTACCGGAAAGACTGCTCTTGCGCTTGCTGTATCACAAGAGCTGGGAACTAAAGTGCCATTCTGTCCAATCGTCGGCAGCGAAATCTACTCTTCGGAGGTCAAGAAGACAGAGGCATTGATGGAAAATTTTCGGAGAGCAATTGGTATGCAATGCGATCACCTTCCACCGACGAGTTCCACGATGAATCCCAAGCTGACAATCTAACACCAGGCCTTCGGGTGCGGGAAACAAAGGAGGTTTACGAGGGCGAGGTGACAGAGTTGACTCCAGAGGAGACCGAGAACCCCCTGGGCGGCTACGGTCGCACTATCAGCCACTTGATCATCGGTTTGAAGTCTGCCAAGGGTAGCAAGAAACTTCGGTTGGACCCCAGCATCTACGAGGCCATCCAGAAAGAGCGAGTCACCGTGGGAGATGTTATCTACATCGAGGCGAACACTGGCGCATGTAAGCGCGTAGGACGTTCTGACGCTTATGCAACCGAGTTCGATCTGGAGGCCGAGGAGTATGTGCCTGTCCCCAAGGGCGAGGTTCACAAGAAGAAGGAGATTGTGCAAGATGTTACTCTCCACGACCTGGATATGGCCAATGCGCGACCTCAAGGTGGCCAAGATGTCATGAGCATGATGGGCCAATTGATGAAGCCGAAGAAGACCGAAATCACCGATAAGTTGCGCCAGGAGATCAACAAGGTCGTGAACAGGTATATCGACCAAGGTGTGGCAGAGCTGGTTCCCGGTGTACTTTTCATCGACGAGGTAAGATCCAATCAATTATATGCATCAACGGCTTTTGTACTAACCCTACCAGGTTCACATGCTGGATATTGAATGCTTCACGTACCTCAACCGCGCTCTTGAGCAAACTATCTCTCCAATCGTCATCCTTGCTTCCAACCGCGGACACACTGTCATTCGTGGTACGGAGGATATTAGCGCTGCGCATGGTATCCCGCCTGATCTGCTTGCCCGTCTTCTCATCATTCCCACCACTCCCTACAGCCCTGACGAGATCAAGACCATCATTCGCCTCCGCGCAAAGATCGAGAACATTGTCATTTCTGAGCCAGCCTTGGAGAAGGTTGCGGAGCATGGCAGCAAGGTCAGCTTGCGATATGCCCTTCAGCTGCTGACTCCAGCAAGCATTCTGGCACGCGTCAACGGCCAGAGCGGTATCGAGGCCGTCCACGTTGCTGAGTGCGAGGACATGTTCCTGGATGCCAAGCGTAGTGCCGCAATTGTCGCCCAGGATAGCAGCAAGTTCCTTGCATAGATGAGAAATGTTAGGGAGGAGAACGGGACCATGATCATGTATACCATGGGAAATTTTTTAACTTCTTTTTTTCTTTTTACAGAAAAGGCGAAATGAGCTTGTGTGGGCTTGAACTTTTACCCTAATGCAATTTTTGATATTATCAGGTTTGATCAATATGGATCACTGTTTCTCTTGTAGACAATTCGGGTACTTGGCCGAGGACAATTACAAAAGCTTCGGCAGGTAAAGACCCACGCCTGCAGCTGCGCAGGTATATTCTTCCTATCTAACCAGAGTCCAAATGCAAAGCCAGCTAGACTGTTATTTGAATCTCTCATATATGCATTTACCAGATTATTCTATCCGTCTAGATCGATAAATGTAACCTCAACCTCGGCCAAGATCACGTGTTGCACTTATCGTCATTGCCAGGCTCCCAGCCTTCCTCCGCTGTCAGCTCTTCAAGAACAACCAGCTTAAGACGTGTGGTCCGCGGACGGTGCATGGCCTCTCGACTGCCTCATCAATAGCCATATTTCTGCCAAGCCCCTTTTACGGGATCGCCCCTCGGCTGTGGACTCCAACTGTATCATCCACTTACTGCCAGATAACGGTGGAGCCTTGAACGCAGCAGCCTACATAACTCAACGCCCCGACCCGATCGGCCGTACCTCAACCACCGGTACCGCCCGTTACTCACACCCGCTGAAATGTCGAACCCGTTGGATACCGATGCTGGCTCGGAGATGTTTGCCAGTTACGAGAATGAACTCAAGCTGGTGCAAGCTGATCTGAACCAGAAACTCGATCAGATCGAGGAAGCTACTGGTGAACAGCGCAAAGCCGCCATCCGACAGGCAGAGCAGGTGTTAGACGAAGCCACTGAATTGGTACGTTCCGAATAGATCCATCAAACAGCCCAAGCCACCAGCTAGGATCGAAGCCATCCAGTACATGATCTAGAAAGAGATACTAATAAAGCTTCGGCGAACTAGCTTGACCAACTGCGCATGGAAAAGCAGAACATCCCCTCCGCAGCCCGCTCAAAGGTCAACGTGCGCTTCCGCAACTATTCCTCAGATATCGACGAAGTAAAGCGCAAGCTGAAATCCTACTCCGACGATCGGAAAGCCCTCTTCGGCGATAGATACACCGACGAACCACAGGACGAGCACCTGGAGCAGCGGCAACAGCTCCTGTCTGGCACGGACCGATTAGAGCGCACCTCACAACGGTTGCAGGACAGCCAACGGGTGGCGCTAGAGACTGAGGATGTTGGCCGAAATGTCCTTGCCGACCTCTATGTGCAGCGTGGTACGATCCAAAATACCCGCGACAACTTGCAGCAAAGCGAGGATACGTGGATACGAGTATCAAGACTTTGAGGGGCATGGCCCGTAGGTATGCCCTCCTTTCTTCTCCTCCGATCCAGTGGGGTCGAATTGGTGCTAACGGTGCTGGTTTAGGATGGCTACGAATCGGATGATCACTATTGCTATCATTACGGTCCTTGTTCTTCTGATATTCGCGGTTATTTACGGCAAGTTCCATTAGCGTTGCCCTTTTATGGCGTTTTCCCCCTCGGAGGGTCTTTACTGTATTTCCTGAACATGTTGTATGCTAGCATTTCTGCAAGTTTGATCATCGAGTATCATGATCTTACTCTTCAGCTCTAATGAACGCTCATCACGGATGAATCGTACCTCTTTTGAACACCTATAAGCATAAGCCGAAAATTATACTCCCTGTCTCCATAGTGGAATCATTCGATAAATGCCGCTCTAAGAAAGTGAAGTACAAATACATGGCACAGATGAGAGGGGTATCATAAGACGAAAAGAAAGGCTAGAGAAACAAACTATAGCACCACCTAATTCATAATCCTCATAGCCCCAAATGCAACATTCACCAAGACCCCCACAAACACAGCAACCCCCTTCCTCCAGCTCCAGACCCCCTCCTCCCGCCGCAACCACATCGCACATCCAATAGGCCAAAAGAAAACCCATAACAGCCCCCCACAGCATATCATCCATTGCGCTCCTAGACCCCGACCCCAGCCCCCCCATCATCATCCGCACCCACAACCCCCTCCCCGCCCGCCTGCGCCTGCGCAGCCGTCGACCCCTCATCCATCCATCGGTCCTCTAGATCGCGCAGCTCCTCACCCGTCGGCATGGTATCCGGCGTCCGCGAAACAGACTGCACAGCCAGGAATTGCGAGCGCAGAGCAGTGACCTCCGATGCCGAGAAGCCGGCTGCAAGGAGGCGGTCGAACCCGCGGGGCGCGGGCGTCGTAGTCGCGGGGGCATGGTGGGTGTTCTGCGGTCGCGAGAAGATTGAAGAAGCGCCGAGCGGATCGGAGGAGGTTTCGGCTTTGCGCTCCTGAAGCAGGACAGTGGATGCTGCGGCTGCTTCGGCGGCGAGATCGGAGTCTGAGAGTGCGATGTCGCCGATTGAGCAGTGGATGTACAACCGGGGCCGGGTGTCGCGGACTGGCTGTTTGCCTTTGTCTTTGGAGATTCCGCTTAAGAGAGCGTCAGAGGCATTGGGCTCTGAGTCGGATGTGTCTTCTGTGGCGGGGCGTGGTGTTCTGGAGGGTGATGGGGGAAGTTTGAGGGATGCTGCTAAGGCGCTTGTGTCGTCTAGACCACGGCCGGCATAGATTAGGCGTAGACGATGTGTTTTGAGGGAGGAGGGGAGCTGGCCCCGTATTAACTGTTTGAGACCTGCGCCTGTAGTCGTGTCTGGATCGGAGACATCGAGGTGGAGATCGGGAATTGATGCTGAGAAGCGAACGGTGATCAGGAGAGCGTCAACGGTAGGATCAGATGTGACTGGACCAGGAGGTGAAAGAAAGGCTGACGAGGCCATGATTCCTTTGAGAGGACAGGCTTAGTGCCCCAAGGATCCTAAGGCAAAAGGAATGGAGAGCTAACTTCGAAGTCTAGGTGCTCTCGTTATCGTTGCGATGACCTCAGGGCGTCTGGCGATAACGAATCACATGATATGGCCGCTATGAATAGTTACTCGATCGCGTTTATTGACATCACCTAGGGTCATTTTGAATCCGTCTAAATATGGACATAGAATATAGGTAATTGAGTCTGCAGCTCAGAGATCATAGCATTCCCTGCCCGTATCTCCATGTTTATCCGCGTAGCCTTTTGATCTGCAGCATGACATGTTAGTGGTGTCACCATTATTCCTAAACAAAACCGGTTGTTCAAGTATGAGTCTGCGACTGGGACTCGCAGGTATCTTTGCGGAGAGTGTGAAACGTGGTTCGGCTATACTTGTCATCGCGAATAATGAAATCATGCATGCATAGCAGCGTAAAATCGGTACTCAGTGTAGTGTCTGTCCAAATCCCATTTCTATGAGTGATCGTAATCATGAATTTTCACTGGCCTAATCTATACACATAATAAGACATAGATGAATCTCTGAAATGGTCTCGTGCTGTAAATTTTGACATCTTGACCAAGCCTCTAAAGCTAGCCAGTTTGCATGACCCAGGTCAGGACTTGGGTTTCATGAACCCTGCAAACGAGCGATGTTGATAACACATGGAAAAAAAAAGCCATAAAGTGGGAACTGTGTTGACTGGTATCAAGCGGATGTATGTACTGAGCCAAAAGGCAGCCCATATTCAAAACCTGTAGTACGAGAACGCCGTCCGATGCACCGAGAAGGGATGACGCCAAATGAAAGAAGACATATCGAAATAAGCAATTAAACCATGAAAGACTCTCCACAGCCGCATTCCTCCTCTGTAGAACATGTTAGTAATCATGGGCACGATGAATAAAGAACTAATTCAATCTGAAGGATGGGGACTTACTGATGTTAGGGTTGCGGAAAATGAATCGCCGACTTAGTTTATCTTCTTGCCAGTCCATTTCACTGCCAATAATACTGAACAGCGCCTTGCTGTCGATCAGGACCTTCACGCCATCCTGCTCAACCACTTCGTCGAACTTGCCGGGCTTCTCCACGTACTCGAGGTGGTACGCAAGACCGGAGCAACCGCGGTTCTTCACACCAACCCGAATATATTTTGGGTCTGGCTGTGACATGAGCTTGCGTAGCTGCTCTGTGGCAACCGGGGTCAACTTCATGGCGGCTTTCCTTGGTCGCAGTGGTCGACGGGGTTTCGGAGAAGCCTTGGTGGATGCCGCTGAGGCTGGCTTGGAGACTTGTGCTTCGCCTTCACGTAGGCTCACATTACTGGAGTCTGGCTGAGTGGGCTTCTGGGCATTGTCGGCAGGGAGAGGGAACTCCGCAGAGATTGAAGTATCGGCGCCTCCAGCGTTGCGAGGCGGCGGGAAAGAAGAAGGGAGGCTGTGCGGGCGGTAGGCAGTCGCGGTTTGCATATCACGCTTAGAGGACTGATGGGCGGTGCCGACAGAGGAGAAACAGCGAGTAACTGGCGTGCGTGCCGCCGCCGAGGGCATCACCCATCGGAGGATGGTGGCGGATGATGTCACAGGACGTTGCATGGCGAAAATTCGAGGCCGAGGGGTATGAGAGAAGAGCACCTCGACACAGAAATGACTTATGAATTCATATGACTGAAAACTCTTGCGCTGTACTGCGTACGTGGTGGATGGAGAAAGAATGAAAAGAAGAGGGACTGATGCGTTGATGATTCTCCGACCCGTTTTCTCGGAGGGATTAAGTAAGGGGATTGCATGATGTGGCCGCAGCCAATCAGCATTTGGGTATTTGCAGTCCCCCTAGTCCACCAAGGTACCGCATGACTGTGCCTCAGTAATGCCGTTCAGTGGCGCCACCGGGGACCCGCGGGCCATAAGTGGCTTCCTGACAGATATTTCATGGGGCATATCATGCGTATTTCTCCAGTCGTCCTGTCACTTCAGAAACTCACAGATCAGCTGATTGGATTCTGACCGGTAGCTGAGTCATCAATTTTAGTTACCGCGGTCGAACCCGATTTTCGGAGCGTAACTACGCAGTACAAAGCTACCGTGCATGAAGGCGGCGTTGAGCATACAGATATGGCATAGTAACTATCGATAGCAGATCCAAGAAGGGAAGCTTTACCGTAGTCAATGAGATGAAAACAGTCAGATACTAGAGTACGCAGGCAAGAAGATCTGCCACCAAGGAAATACATAGTACAGCCCAAAAGGACATGTGGCTGGACCGCTGACAAAGTGGCTGGTGACTTGGCTAAACGGGATGCAGCATCGCCAGGAGTCCTCCTTCCATGCGTCCAATGTGTCGGTAATCGGCCTGCAGATCTCCCGAGCCATCATGGAGGCATCGCCCCTCACCCAGCAGGCAAGACCCGACCACTTCCAGCCAAAGATTGTCCAGCTCTACGAGTCCCTCTTTAAGGTATGCCCCTCCGCTCCTCCTGATATAAGAGGCTAATAACAATCACAGGCCACGGATGATGTCGAGCCAACAGAGGGCTTCTGGCGCGAGTTCTTTCTCCTGCCGCCCGATCGTGGTCAACTGCACGACCTGCTGGATGGGTTGAGCCCAGACGACGTTTTGAGTCTGCAGGTGAGTCAACATCGCAGCACGGCTCTCTCCAGTATAAAAGTCTGATATCGAGCATCAGGTACAAAGTCAACGACTATTCAGCCGTGCGATTCATGAAGCGGCCTCTGGAAATGCTCCAGCCGACTCCTATGCGCTAGAAGTGGGTGGCCGTCACGCCTCTTTGTAAGAATCACCAGGAGCTAATATGCCTAGACCTTGACCATCTTCTTAACCAGTATCCTGGGCAAGAAATATACGAACCCTAGCTCAGATGTCATCACTGTACTCGCAGGGCTTGATGAGGTCGATCGTGTCATCTCGGACTTTGTAGCTATCTTGGACGGGATCGTTCGCAATGGGAAGACCCGTAAGCACATGGCCTCTTTCATTATCTACAGAATGCATTGATGAGCACTGCTAACTTTTGCTCCAGTCGCATTGCGGCGCAAAGCTGTCAGAGTGGCGGTTGCTATAACCAGCGGCGCATACAAGACCAGTCTTGTATCTTACTTTACACATCGCGATCTATTCCCATCGTTGATGAAGGTATGGGTCTCCAATTGGGTCTACGAATCCCTGGTCTAACGGCCACAGTATGTCAATGATGCTTCATCCCCACTGGATGTATTCGAACCGTTTCTTCTACTGGGCTTATTGGCAAATTACAACAAGTTTGAGTTCCAAAATCCCTATCAGCTTCGGCTAGAGGGACTTTGTCAATGAAGCGAGTATCCAAAGGATCGCTAGAGGGGTTGGTCTCGTCTGTGGTGGTCTACGGAATGGATACACTGCCGTGCAAGACGATGTTCCAGAAGGCTGGACGCTGACCAATACATTAATTTTCTTTGGGCTTCGAGCCCTTGCGCCCGGTGCGCGAGAGAAGACAAACCCCCCCAACTGCGGAAGAGGCGAAGGAAATGTTTGGAGAACTGTAAGGGAGCAAATGACAGACTATCCGGCATGAGCTAATGAAACCCAGTCCTGCCAAGGAAGCTGCTATTCTGATGGCCACTTATGATTTTACAAACTCGAACAAGCTCTTCGGTTACCACTTGGTCCATCACATACCAGAGAAGGTCAATGAGGAATCGCCCTTCTCCAGTTTCCTCTCCATGACCTCTTATTTCCTACAGCATGCGTACAGATCTGTGCGTGTTGCACACTACTCCGAGTTAAGCCTTTTTACTCTACGTATCCTCGTCGAAGATCCAACTCTTTGCAAGCATATTTGCAGCGAAGAAGGGAAGCGCAAGGTACGGATTTGTCGTCAGAGACAACCCTATCTTCCTCAAGTCAATGGAGACCGGATTTTGGCAACTGTTATCTTCGACATCATGATTGACACAATTACGCACAACCTACGGCGTCGGCTAGATGTGAACATATACAGGTAAATCGAAGTTCTTAAGTCGAAAAGGAAGTTCGTCCGCTTACAAAATACCAGCCACGCCATTGCAATTATCCTCCGTCTTCTGACATACCTCTCTATGAATAAAATCCGCCTCACATATCACTGGTCTGAGCTCTGGCGCACTCTTCTCTCCCTCATGCGCTTCTTAACGACGTATGCCTCGGACCTGTCCTCAAACCCTCAAATCAACACTTTAACCAGCTCCCTCGCCGAACTCCTCGCCTTCTGCGTCTCTGGCGGCGACACTTTCCTCCCAGACCCAGCCTCCTACGACGACCTCTTCTACAAGCTCGTCGAGACTGGCCCTGTCATCTCCAAATATCGCGATCTCTACGCCCTTAACCGCTCCCCGGCAGGCCTGTCCGTGGGCTCCTCAGCCCCAGCATCCAAAACCCCCGATCAACTCAACCCAGCAATCGACACCCTCCTCTCCGTGTCTACGCATTTCTACACCCTTCTTTTCCAATCAGACGGCAACTCGAATAATGAACCAGGTGCTGCATCGCCGAAACCCGATGGCGAGCCTACACCTGTCGTCTTGCCGTCTATCAAGAAGAAGAACCTGAGTCCGCGAGAGGTCCATCGCATTATCAAGCAGGGCTATGAGACGCTGAGTATCCAGCCACCGGAAGGCCTGAGCGCGTGGTCTCGGTGGAGAGAGACGGAGTGGAAGAGTGAGCTGAAGCGAGCAGCTCGCTGTGCGGTTGATGATGCAAGGCAATTAGTTGCTTGAGTTTGCTGGACCCGCCTGCTGAGATGGCATCGGCCGTCTTTGATGGTATGAGGATCCTCAAGTCACGCGAGATCGAGGGTGTATTAGGACCATGCAGACTTGTTTGCATCCCCTTTTACTTCTGTTCAGGTGTGGGTGTTCTGATTGTTATCGAGATATCCAAGTAGAAAGCTCTTATGGGTTATGCAATCGAAGTCTTTCAGATGTCTAATGATAGAATAGTTAAACTTATTATTGTATGCCAGCCGGTAGTAGATGGTGTTGCAGTATGTCTGTACCTGCTCTGGAGGCACTTGAAAATAGCTCATTAATCGGAAATGGCAAAAAGATGAACATTTCAATTCCAATATCAATTTTGAAACCTGGAAATTTGCTTATAGAACTTGGGAGGGACAGCGCTTGAGGACCGGGATTCACTCGGTATCGTTAAAAGACTGTAACCTTGAAAAAAAAAGACAGAAAAAAAAAAAAAAAAAGCAACGCAAACCCTCCGGTCGCTCAAGCTCTGCGCTTAGACCTTTTCCTCAGAAAGCTCCTCGGCAGGGAAATACTCAGTGCGGAAGTAACGGTCTGAATTCTGGCTCACGAATGCCAGGAGCTTCTGCCAGTGCTCGCTCATGATGCGGAGTTGATTAGCATCCACGTTGGTCTGAGCCATCAACTCAGGCAGGACACCTGAAACCCACATTAGAAAAAGCCATGGAATTGAGAGTTAGGGATCCGCATAGGCTGGTTCCCGGTCCTGGGTACTTACTGAACAGGCGGATGAGATGCTCCGCACCCCAAATCTTCTCCGGGGAGGAACGGTCCTCGGATCGGCCATACTTCTTCTTGAGTAAACGCTTCTGAGGGCGTTCCACGCGGTACAGCAGGATACGCTCGACGGTTTGGCAAAAGAAGACCGTGATGCCCTTGACGGTGGTGGTGACCAGCTGACGATCCAGCAGGCTGTTGCATTTGGGATGTTCGTAGGCCATCCAGTCGTTAAGTATGGCTTCGACAGTCAAGTTCTCGGGAGCAGGCAGTTTGACGATGCAGTAGTCTTTGGTGCAACGCTCCCAGTCGTCAACAATCAGGCTGCGGAGGTTGACAGGGATATTGAGATAGATCGAGGGGCGGGCATGAAAGGCTTCAACCTGTGCATGAATTAGTTCCTTGTTCATGCAACGCAAGCGTAATAAGATCCGCGCTAGGTCCAGATTCTGCTCTGCAATTGCAATAGGAAGCAGACACACAAAGGATATAGCCTTTTAGGTTGTCTGCATGCCCCCAAAAAGGAACTGGGTTCACGAGAGCGAGTAGAACCCGAGCCCGACATGGCTCGCAGCTCATGGTTTCGCAGACGTATCCTTTTTATGAAGGGAAGGCATGGTGACCGAGGTGGAGCGTAATAGGAGGGGAATGAAAAGGGGGAAAGGTGGCATAACAGCAGTCAATAGTGAGGTGCAACAAGAACAAAGCTCTAGCAATGTAGAATGCAAACATGTGGAACTAGGGGGCATTCGTGGAGATAATGGATAAGAACCTACCGTCTCAATCTCGTTATCACGAGAGCGTTTATTTCGTCCAGATGTTGACCCAGGGCCTTCGCTGCCACGGACCGAATCATTATCCGAGGCAGCACGTTTTTTCGATGCTGACTTGGCGTTGTTCTTCTCTCGCTGGGCAGCCTCGGCCTCACGGCGAATGTTGGTAGCTAGCTCGCGATTTTGCTCGTTCCACTTGCGCAGGCGGTCTTCGAGAACCCAGTCATCCCACCTGGATACTCCTTGTCAGTACATGCACGTTGGATAAGATGCTGTGGGAAGAAAAAGAAGAAGGCTGCTCAGGGCGGTCCTTGCCAGTTTGGACCCCATAGTCTATGTCCGTATGCTGACACTCAAGCAGGCATGGCACCCCAGATACAAAGCGACGGGTTGGATATGAGCAGATTGGGATGTTCAGAACTCACGTTGATTTCCAGCCCTTGTAGTGGACCTTGTACTCCATGGGGCTCTTCTTGTCTGAGGGATCTTGATGGCGCACATCCAGGATCTTGGCCTCATATAGGATCTCATGGTGGAAACACAGGACACGCTCGTCCTTGACATATGGGGAAGGCATGTTGAATGGTTCAAGTCAAAAGCAGGAAGAGTTTATAAAGTGGACACAAGGAGCTTGTGATAAGGCAAATGCTTGGGGCTGTCTGAGGATGATGAAGGGAACAGAAGGAAGAAAAAGGTTAGAGAGAGCCAGCCTGGGTAAAGAGACACTGCCGAGTCCTTCGGAGCTTTCGCAGTTCTGGTCTTTCAGGCAAGTGTAGATCCGATAAGAAAAGGAATAGTCGCTGAGCTCCAGCTGCTAATCGGGCTCCGGAGATACAATTCAGAGGACCAAGACAACACCATACGCGGCTGACGCAAGGCTATTCAAGGAAAGGGCCTCCAAAGAAGATCAACCTAGTGTCCCACCAGAAGCACTCAATTGAATGCTTCTTTATCTTGGAGTTGGAAGGCCTGTTCAAATTCTTGATTCCAGGGCTTGTATCTGGTTGGCAACTCAGATGCCCGGAGCAGGGAATGTGCAATCTTTTCACTGGGCTTTGGTTGGCCTTTTATCAAGGGTAGTACGCCTCGGTCCTAAGACCCTGAGATAGACGTATCTCTCTTAGTCGACGTGAATGCCAGGTTGGCTGTCGGCAGACGTGGTGACAAGGCGGAGTGGCCCCTTGAGAAGCCGCAGCAGATTAAGGAACGGGAAAATGGGTTCCACGCGGAAGCATTTGCCATTCACAACATTGCGCGCCATCAGCTGCTCTTTTCAAAGCCGGGCTTCCTTGGTCTCTATAATAGAATAGGCCCAGAAGCATCATCTACTGTAAACCTACAAAGCTTTTGTTTGACCTACATCCTCTCTTCCAGCATCAGCGTTTACGTGACGGGATCCGAGACGCGACTTTTCGCGCCGCGCCGCCCGGGAGAGCCTGAAGTGTCTTCGCTTTGTGGAAATCCCATCAACCCCACACGCAACACGTCTATCAGGCAAAATTGGGCTCTCTTCTTTAGAATGGCGCCCTCAGAAGAGTCTATCTTGAGCAATTTCTTGCTCACACCAGCTCCATTGCCTACGGTGCTTTCTCTTCAGAAGTTCACCGAGTTCTTCCCCAAGAGGTTGAGGAGCCACCCTCATATTCGGACTCTTTATAGAGAGCTACAGCAGGTTCGGGAACAGGATATGGACCGTGTCAATGAAAATATCGATCGAGAAATCCAGCTTGGCGAGAGCCAGAAGGCTGAGTTACGGAAGGCCAACCGGGCTAAAGGCGTTGAAGCTACTGATGAACATGAACAGCGGGAGATCGATCTTGATGCCCACCTGTTTGGTCAAAATACCTCAGACTTGCATGAATACCACTCTGTCGGCAGTTTACTTGCCGAGATGGAAACAGCCTGTGCCAACGTCGAGCGGGAAATCGAGAGTATGGACCAAGAAGCTGCAAAGATCATCGAGGCACTCACTTCCTCTATTGGCGACATGAGTGACCTACGTTATGGCAAGTTCTCTGGCCCTACGGGATCTGCCCACAGTGTGGCCCAAGAGGCTATCCAAGGTTTACAAAATCTTGAGGATGTTTGTTACGCAAAGAGTATGCCACCTGGCGGCTCTTGAGAATCCAGGGAGCCATTAAATACTGAAGTGACGTGCGTCGGACGCGTTTTTTATCCTCATGGCCCACAGGGCACTTGCCGGGCTACCTGCTTTGAGATCAGGGCAGAAACACTCCGAGTCGCACTCAAAGAGAGTTACCACCGCAAAAGATAGCTCAGGATTGACGGAACACAGGATCTCATCCTGGACGAGTTTTTGTCTTTGCAGAAAGACAAATCCCATCTATGCAATTCAACTATATGCTTCTTGCGGGAATAGAAGTCGAGAATATTGTCTGTCAACAACCCGGCCCAAGATTTCCATCTTCAGACACAAGAATCAATTGCGAAAGAGCTTTGAAGCTTATCTACTTAGTTCTGAATTTCATTTTCACTTTTCCCGAAGTTTGTAGCTGCTCCTGATTATTTGGGGCCGTAACTGGCCATGCTTGTCGGAAAAACTCGTAGTGTGCTGACTGATCCGCACAGCCGTGGAGCGCAACGATACACAATTTAGATCTCGACACTCCATGAACCCCTTCAGGCGCCTAGCCCGGGCAGATGCCTGGAGCAGGATTGGCCTAACTTCAGAATTCCCCGATCTCGGTCTGAACGAGGATGACAGCCAGGTCTTGCGGGCGTGCAAGGCGTTCAACATCCCCAAAACAGCAGATGCCACTCCCGTCCAAGCAGATATTAATCTTCCAGGGGACTTGAAAGACCAAGTTCTGGTATTTCAATATAAAGGGAAATTTCATGCCATCGATCATGTACGTAGCCGAGTCTGATCTGATCGCATGCAACTTGAAGCTAATATTACCCTACAGCAATGTCCGCATTCGGCTTTCCCGCTTTCCCAGGGCAGTCTTTTTGATATTGAGGACTTCGGTATCACGCTCAGCTCAGGAATCACATGCCCTAAACATGGATGGTCCTTTGATTTGTTCTCCGGGCAGGGAGACCGCGGCAACTATAAGCTCAAGGTGTGGGAGCTTGAACTGCGAGATGTTCGAATTGATGGGAACGACGAACAGGAGGTATGGGTGAGGAGGAAACAACGAATTGGATAACTTAGTAGCCATTTCACTTGAAAAATGATTGTCGAAGGACCAATATCAGAATAGATGTGGATGGATAAGGGTTCCCAACTCGAAGTCGGGAAATACCTCTCTCAATACTGCCCAGATGGTGATACCACCAGAACCTCCCTTGTACATAACCCCAGATGCACCAACGCCGTACATAATCTCTCACTCCCGAACATATGAAGTCCCTCCGAATAAAGAGTCTCTGAATTATACCACATTTAAGCCAATGAGGAGGTGGTCAACATTTTGCCTTTTCGGGTATGATTGATCAAGGTGGGGGTCGCGACCCGCGTCGCGTCAAATTTCCACTAACAACTTCCGCAAAGCGACTGGCAACCAGCACAATGCCTTCAATACAGCTTCATCCTCGTCAATCGGAATCCCCAGTAACTCGTACCTCATCACACGCGCCAACAAACCCTCTCCCGCAGCTCCTCCAAACCCCTACAGGCCTCGCCCTTCTCGAGCTCCAAGGCACCATCAACCTCCCCGAGCATGAGCAAGACGACTCTGCGAATGAACCTCCTACAACAGCCACCTCGTACGAGACACCAGTCGGCAAGCTGATGTTCCCAGATTACTCTGCAAATAATCCGGACGACACCAAATGGATGAAGCGCGCGTACCTCTACGTTGGACGCTACCAGCGTATGACCGGCGAGGTGAAGAAGCTCCCGCGCCCTATCGCAGTGCTGCAGAAGCGGCCGTCTTCAGCGCAAGATACGGAAGAATTAGAGGTCGTGGAGATTGTGCGGTACAAGGTGTTCTTCAAGAATCGACCGGAGCCGGTTAACGATGTCTGATCAACGTTGAATCGCGTCCTGGAAGTCCTGATCTTGTTTGCCTGCTTGAAGGGTGCTTGAACCTTTTTCGAAAATACGAGGCTCGTTACATCATTCTCTTACGCTTGACGATGCTGCCTCCTTCGTCCTTGCCTTCTGCCTTCGACAGGGTTCGATTATGCAGGCTACTGCAGCCTGTATCCTGCACACGCATGTACGACGACACTCGGGCCACCTCAAAATTTAATGGGAATTCAGGCTACTGGCTGTTCCAGAGAGCAAGACATGTTTCGACTCGAGGACTGCTAGTCTAACGCCATGGAGAACCCAAGATGTCATGATAAGATGATTAAATGTTACATACTTTATACTCTTCATAGCAAGCCCAAATACCTTTCCTCTGTTTATTTCTTTTGCTTTCCGTACCTTTAACTATATTGCAGTCTCTAAGAAAGCGGTGTTCAAAAAAGTTGACTTGATTGTTGGGCTGGGTAGCGCGCGCGCCAAGCCAGGCTGAGATAATCCTTGGGCCCACCCCGGGCCTGGAGAGGTGGGATTCATGCGAGCAAGGCATCAACGGTCTTCCATACTCTATGCCTTGTTCATAAATTGACTCAGCTAGCTTGCCACTATGGAGAGCGTGAGTAACACGAGAGGCCTAATGGGATAAGCTAACAGCTTTGAAAGCATAACATACCGCGCTACAAACCTGTGGAGAAGACCGAAGAAGCGCGACAGCAGGAGCAGCGAAAGATAGAAGAATACAAATCCTTAGAACACGAAGTATCTCAAAAGGTATCCCAAATGACTCTCTGCTACTATCTAAACCGCCTATACTGACTTGACGAGGTCTCCGAACATGTCTACACGCCTGACACTCTGAAGAAGATCTCTGATCTGCTGGGTCGCAACCCAGAATACTATACAGTCTGGAATTACCGGCGACAAGTCATGCGGCACCAGTTCTCGGCCTCAGACGTTGACTCCAAGGGCACCGAAGACAAAACCGCGCAGCCTGTTGTACAACTGATTCAACAAGATTTAATGTTTCTTATCCCACTACTGCGGAGTTTCCCCAAATGTTACTGGATCTGGAACTACCGCCTCTGGCTACTGGCCGAAGCCCAGCGACTTTTACCCCTTCCAGATGCCCGCAAGCTATGGCAAGAAGAGCTTGGGTTAGTGAGCAAGATGCTGTCGCTCGACAGCCGTAATTTCCACGGATGGGGTTACCGCCGTCGCGTTGTGGAAACCTTGAGGCAATTAGGATCCCCGGAGGAGGCGGCCAGCATGACCAAGCAGGAATTCGAGTATGCGAGGAAGAAGATCGATGCCGATCTCTCCAACTTTTCCGCGTGGCACTATCGCACAAAGCTGATCCAGCGGCTCTTGGATGAGAAATCAGCTACCGATGACGAGCGGAGGAAAATGCTAGACGATGGTGAGTCCATCCCCCTTTCCGCAGTGTATTGTTTGGAGATCTAATTGTCCTTGCCCTTTTCTTATAATAGAGCTGGAGCTCATCCATCAGGCTTTGTTTGACCCGGACGACCAGTCGATATGGTTTTACCATCAAAATCTCATGTGCGTGTTTGATCCATCGGTCGCGCATCGGACCATGGCTCCCCACTTGAGCACGCCAGAACGACTTCAGTACCTCCAGCAGGAGATTGAGCTCATTGAAGAGATGCTGGATGGAGCAGAAAAGTGCAAATACATCTACCAGTCTCTTATCGAATGTACGTTGCTCGTATCCAAGATCACGGGGAATTTGTCTGCCGAGGATCACGAGCGGATTGTCAGCTGGCTCTCTGAATTGAAGCAATGTGACCCACTACGGCAACAACGGTGGCTGGATTTTGAACGTGCATTACAATCGAATGCATGACAAAACAAATTGGGACCAAATGGGATCAAAAGTGCCGAAGATATCTGAACAAGGAAAGTCGGGATACATCAAAGAGCGTGGCTTGAGGGGGTGGGACGGCCGGTGTCGCACGAGACCCAAAAAAGATCAGGATATGTCCAACGAGCATTTTGGTCCGGCCTAATAGAAATTCCCCTACAGATCTCATGGCATACGTAGAAGATTCATAGGTGCTCCTTCTGATATACATCCGAAATTCTGAAGCCTTCTGCATTCTATTCATCCATTCTCGAGCTTTCCCGATCGACTGGTCTGCCCCGTCGTGCTCGTCATCGGCCAATCAGCGCCCGCGGTGCCTGGCCCTCCATCGATCCCCAAACTGACATCCCCGAATTCCTTCCACCTGGCTCATTCCCAACTCCCTGCCCCCTTCTCTCCAAGAGCTAGAAGCTTTTCGTGCTTTCTGGGTCCTATGGATTCTTTTGTTCTAATCATTGCTTGAGATCTCTGCCCGAGATGTCTTCCCGGAACAGTCACGACTACGAAGGGGTACGTTTGCCATGAACCCCCCCGTGTTCCATGATGATTTTGTTGACCGATGCTAACCCATGTATTGCGAACGCTTAGGAGTCCTTCGATGATGCCCCTGAATCGATTCACAATGAACAAAACCTGAATGTCTCAATCCCAACGTCCTCTTCGACACGATCCTTAACTGATAGTCCGGTCGTGGGGTCCAGCGTTTCTCCAGACAATACCGAGAAACCTCATTTGCCTTCTGAATCGCAGGCCGAGCAGCAGGTGCATGAGGAGAACGAGTCGATACAACACACGCTGGACGAACCAAATAACCATAAACGCGAGAGCCTGGACCAAAATGAGAGGTCGGAGGTCGAAGGACAAAACAAGGACGAAATGGGTGCAGAGGAGTTTGACAATTCAAAAGACGAGGATGATAAGACGCACCTGCATGAAAAGACTGCAGCCTCCCCAGAGCCTGCCGAGTCTGATTTGACGGAGGATGGGCATGATACCCCTGGCCGCAACGTTGCTCAGAAGTCCCCCTTGCTCACCTCCCATCGTCTCTCATCTGCGTCATCTCTTGACGAGGTCAATCTTACGGCAAGCAAGGAAGATGAGCCGATCGATATCAAAGGCACGACCCCCGAGATCAGGTCCGAACCTCCCGCGCTGCCTCCCAGAGAAGAGGAAAACAACACCCTGTCCGGTGGCCTGATGGGGTTGTCCGGAGCTCTTCCACCAATGCCATGGGCAGCCCCTCCAGTCAACAAGAACCCTCCCCCGGTCGCTGCGCCACCCCTATCACGGAAATCAAGCAGTCCCTTCGCGTGGTTCCGAAGCTCGACTGGTGCCGCGAAAGATACAAAGTCCCCTCCTACCGGAAGTCGCCGCAACACCGCCAGTTCTGTATCGACCATCGCCAGCAAGATTGATCAGGCCCGGTCTCACGACGGCGACGATGGTGACGCTTCCAGCGTCAACTCAAAGAAACCGAGACGAAATAGCCTTAAAGACCAGTTCAAGGCACTACGTATGCGAGAAGACACACATTGGGCGGAGCATGATGCGGCAAATATCCGACCAGCCAGCTTTGGTCAGTCTGGAGCCGGTCCATCTCTCATCCCAGAGGAGCAAGAATCTGTTGTTCTTGAACCTCCTATCTCCACCTCCGCAGCTACATCACCAGGCGGTGCCACCACACCATCAACCATCAACCCTGGCTTGGCCCCCGGTACTGTTTCAGGATTCTCTCGATCTGCCACTGATGCGTCTGCACCAGTAGACTGGGACTTGTGGCAGCAGCTCGTTAACAACGGGCCCCAGGCCATCGCTTCCTCCGAGGAACTGAACGCGGCTATCAAACGCGGCATTCCGCAGACAATTCGAGGCGTGATATGGCAGATTCTTACTGATTCTCGGGCTACAGAGCTGGATGACGTATACCGAGATCTGGTCACAAGGGGCACAGACAAGGAGCGCCGGCCATCAAACGGGACCCTAAATGGCGTCCTCGAAGAATCTGCGTCATCTTCGCGATCGTCCATTCGGTCCGAGCACTCCGGCTCTGGGACGCAGTCCACGAGCGTCGCTCCCAGTCCCGGCCACGAAATCGATCCCGAGAAACTGTCAAAGGAGCAGGCTGCCGCCGAAAACGTCCGCGCAAAGAAGGCCAAGGACGATGCGGCTTCGCTGCAGAAGCTGGAGAAGGCAATTCGTCGAGACCTGGGTGCCCGGACAAGCTACTCCAAATACTTTATTTCCCAAGGCAATCAGGAGAGTTTGTTCGGTCTGTGCAAGGCATATGCTCTGTATGATGAGGCCGTGGGCTACGCCCAAGGCATGAACTTCATCGTTATGCCTTTACTATTCAATATGGACGAGGTGGAAGCGTTCGAGCTTCTCGTGAAGCTGATGAATAAATATGGGCTGCGGGAGATGTTCATTGCCGACATGCCCGGTCTGCACCGCAGTTTGTACCAGTTCGAGCGATTGCTAGAAGACCTGGAGCCTGCAATCTACTGCCACCTTCGACGCCGTGGCGTGCCGCCGCAATTATATGCTACACAGTGGTTCCTGACGCTGTTTGCGTATCGCTTCCCGCTGCAGCTGGTGCTACGGATCTACGATCTGATCTTTGAAGAGGGTCTGGAGAGCACGATCCTCAAGTTTGCTATTGCAATCATGAGACGCAACGCTGAGGCACTGCTGGAAATGAAAGACATGAGCTCGCTCACTTCTTTCCTGAAGGAGCGACTTTTTGATGCTTACATCGATAAACAGCCTTCGGCTTCATCCATCCTCGAGTCCGGCTTCTTTGGAAGCTCCGGAGCTGCAGACAAGGAGGTTTACAGAGCTGACATTCTGGTCCAGGATGCCTGCGCTGTACCCCTTACCCAGGCAACGATTGACGCTTACACGGTCGAGTGGGAGGAAAAGACCCGAGCAGAGAAGGAACGCGAGGTCGAGTTGGAAACCTTACGACACAGTGTCGCAACGCTGACTGCTCGCGTGCGACTTCTTGAGGAACGTGCTGAAGCGTCCGATAAGGAACACGTTCAGCTCGCGTCGGAGCTGGTGCACGTCAAGGTCGAGAACGAAGAGCTCCGTGATCTCAACGATGCTTTGAAGCTTCAGACCGCGGAACTGAAAAACGTGGTTGATAAACAGCCCGCTGAAGTGGAAGAAAAGCTGCGCACCGAGATGGAACGTATCATGAAGCGGAATATCGAGGTGCAGAACGAGAACCGGGCTATGGAGGAAAATATGGCCGAGATGGAGAAGGAACTGGTTGCCACAAAGATGAAGTGGGCCGAGGTAGATTTGACAGACCCCCCAAGCCAAGTGGACAGGCCCTTTACTGACTCTCATTCCCTAGCTCTCCGAAAACCACGACAACCTCAAACAAAAGTGGAGCGATCTCCGCCGAGCTCTCGATTAACCCACCCCCATCCCGATTTCTACCGGGTCTCTCCCGGCTTCTGTACATTTCCCAACCCGCTGCCCCGCGTCGGAATCGACCACCAGCACTGTATCACGCTTAAGGGCCGGATGTCTGCTCTCTTCTTTGTCCTGTTAAAGCTTGTGCCAATCTTCCAATCTTCCTTTGTGTCCCCGTGGACAGGCCCGCCTGTCCATTGACGAGTCTCTGTATCAGATGTTCTTTCCAGCCCAGCATGCCCGTCGACGGCATCGGTGTTCTCCTTTCTTTGCCTCGCTACGTCGCGCCTTCTGTTCTTATCATCTTCTATTATTGGCGCCGTGTCTTACTACATCCTCTTTTCTGTCGCTGGATTTTGGGACTGGGTAAGGTTTTTGATAGTTGCGCATACTAGAGTAGTGTGCAGTGTACATCCGAATACAATGACGTTCCAACAGTCTCGGTTATTTCTTTTGTTCATTTGGCCTCTCAGTCGAGGTAAAGCGGGTTCATATGGGAGCAGAAAATTCCATGTGTAGAAGTGGCTTAAAGCAGATGGAGATGATGCCCGAATTTAAAGGACGTTCTCGTAGTAAGTCGTCATGACATCTTCCTTAATTGAACCGGCCAGGGCCTTGAGCGCTTTGTGGGCCTCGCATTCGTTGTCGTAGTACTTCATGTCATCGAGCGAGGCGAACGTGGTCTTGGCAGAGACGTTCCAGCCCTTGTTGCGGGGATCGTCGATCGATCTGCCGACGGCCGCAGAGAGGATGTATGGCTTTCCGTCCTACATTGGTGGTAAGCATAAACCGTTCGCCTGGGCACTCTGTAGCATGAAAGAACGGAAAGGCGTCCTAGGAAGGAGGCCAGAATACCTTAGTGGCAGTGCTTGCAAGCACCTTATACTGATTCAGCAAGCGCTGGACATCGGCCTCATTCGGAATCTTGAAAAGAGTGATACGCTCGATAGGGGCCATTGTGAAGGTAGAGTTAACTGGAGGATGTTTTGAGCGAGAAAGATCGAGGAATTGTTGTACAGAATCTACTATCCCGACGCGGGATCAGGGCCATCTTTATACTCGATTGTAGACGGCAGCTGCGTGGATGACTGAGCGTTCAGGTCCGCTCCACGAGTGGGGCGCGAGTGCTGCTTTACCGGCTAATGGCGGCGTTGGGTAGGCGTAGATCTCAGTCTGGACTCATTCTATGAGAACTATTAAACAGTTTCAAAGAGTTGCAAATCCATCAAGTGAAGATGATTCCCCCGTCAATGCAAATGCTTTGCCCGGTCATATACTCGCTTTCGTCGCTAGCCAAGAACGCCACTAACTTTGCAACATCTTCCGGCGTCCCTGTTCTCCCCAATGCGATCGCCTCGCTATATTTCTTCAAGGTTTCGCCCTTCGCCCTCCCCTCCAGTTTCCCCAGGCTGGCATCGATCTCGTCCCACATTGGCGTCGCATGGATACCAGGGCAATACGCGTTAACTCTGATCCCGTACGGCGCCATCTCCATCGCCATGCCCTGCGTTAATCCCCGTACAGCAAATTTGCTAGAACTGTAGTTAACCAAATGAGGAAATGCCTTGTGGCCCACGATACTGCCCAACGGGTGTGACAAGTCAGCGATATCTGACAAGGAAGGAAAAAAAAAAAACTCAAAGCAACGTCTCTAGGGTCTCGTCCTACATACCTCGCCCCTCCAATCAGCCGGCCCGGCGTGCCCTGGCTGATCATCTGTTTCGCGGCGGCCTGGTAGCAGTTGAACAGGCCGAATACATTAACGCTGTACATGCGCCGCATGTCTTCCTCGGTGACGTCGAGCAGCGGCTTGATCTCGCAGACCCCGGCGTTAGCAACCATGGTGAATAAAGGTCCTAGGTTCTTCACGTGGTCTGCGACCATCCTTTCTACGCTCGACCGGACGGATACGTCGCCGAGGGCGACGAAGGCTTTCCGGCCCAGACCTTCAATCTGCTTTGCTGTTGCTGTTGCTTCGCCGGACATGGAGGGAAGGTCTGCGATGGTGACGTCGTAGCCTGTGCTCGCGAGTTTCAGGGCTATTCCCTGGCCGCTGGTTACTGATGAGTCTCTGTGGGATGTTCTCTGTCTTTCGAGATTGGGTGCTCACATTCCTCTTGCGCCACCTGTTACAATGGCCGTTTTTAGGTGCTTTGCGACTGATGCCATTGTATCCTATGGAAGGCGGGTGCTCGTCCTGATGGAGACTTGAAGGCTAAGGAGTAATCATGATCAACCTTGCCCTTTAAAGCGTCAAGAGCTGGGGTTTACCCCGCACTGCTTGTCGTTTTGTAGGATTTATACCCTGGTCGTTCAGACGATACCAGCACATGAATGCGGGGTTACTGGGAAAAGGCTTCGCGTGGAGCCAAGTCGGCCATTTGGCGGGTGGTCATATATTAACGATGTAAAGATTAAATTAGCTTTAAAGCTTGTAAACATTGAAATATGCAGTTCCGGTGGCGTGCCTACTAGTAGGTGAGATCACCAGGAGAATACAGTACATTCAAATCTATTCAGATCAACGTTGCGGGACTGAGAAACCACAGACGCAAACTAATAGACTGAATCAAATGGGCCAGGAGATTTTCGAAATGACATTAGAGTAGCATTTCCATATCAAATATTATGAGCTCGTCTGGATCTGCGGCTCCGTCTGCGGATCCGGTCGGCAGACTTGTAGATGCAGAGCCTCCGCACATCAAGAACATCAGTGTGCTCAACTCGACGCAGCAACGCCCAAGGAGAAAGAAGCACCAGGGAAGCGCTAAAGCAGCGAGCGGCTTGCCTCAGCGCGGGCGTAAATCCGGCTGATCGTCCCGCTTGACTTGCTCCGAAGCTTCGGGGCTTGAGTTAACCGAGGGGCGAACGTATGATCCACGTCTGAAGGTCCCTGGGTTTAGTCTCCAAATTATCAGTGAGCTTATTGACTCGTTACTCATTTCTCTTCGTCTTACTTTTACAGGTCTCCATCGCTCTCTCGGAGAAGCTACAGTCTCGTATGATTTCTGATGATATACTTTCGAAGTGGCATCGAGTGGCATCGAGTGCGGAATAGTGAGCGCTTAAATTCCGCACAGATTTGAAGCTGCTTATTGGGAGCGGAAAATCAATATTTATTGGATGGACACTCTGCGTACCTTACAGACCCTTCTACTGAGGTTCTCACAAAATTGTCTCAAAGTGTCCAGAGGGCTTTTTCTCGGGCAAGTGCATCAGTATGTTGGATATCGATCCTTGTAGAACTTCGTCCTTCCATACAAAGTCATACAGCAAGCTATACCTATAGAGAAAAATACAAATAAGTCGATTGTTCAATCAACACTTGGATGCATCAAACCCAAGAGGTCATCAATGACAATCTTGGGTACTCATTCCATCCATCATCCATGGGCACATGGTTCAAGTTTCTCGAGATGGGCAGCCACGACAGAGGACGAAGGCCTGGGCTCGCCTGCCAAATTTTACATTTTTGACCCCATCAACTCTCCGTCTTCCACTATAATTTAGTGTCAGCATAAGAAGCCAGCAGCAGCCTTTTTGTATGTCACGCGGTATACGCTCCTTTGATCAATCGTCGAGTGGACTCCATTCATCTGAACCATGACCATCTTGCAATGCCATTCCTTTCAAGTGACGACTCGGGCTCATCTCATGACGGCGCACTCCCTCCCTCCTATCCCCTACCACTAGAGGATCGAGAGCGCGGACGAAGTACAATAAAACAGATCTGCCCTATACCAAGACCCCGAAGCAACTTCCGCAGTCCTGCCTCGCCCGACAGATTCATTCCCCAGCGACGAGGCTCGCCATCCACCCCGTTCCGGGTGAACAAGCTCCCGCAGCAACTTTCCCCTCAAGAAAAGCTCTTCCGACAGCGTTCTCCCAATGAGGACCCATTTCTTCCAACTCCGCCTTCCACGCCCGAACCTGCAAGTCGCCATTCCACGTATACCAGGCTTCCCATCAGGCCACGCCCACGACCTCGTCCAGTTCTAGGCACTGGCTCGAATGACTTCCTCAGGCGCATCAGCGCGGGGTCTGTCTGGGGAGTCGGTGGAAATGCTGCGATCACAGGCGGTTCGTCTGCGGCCGGTACTAATGGCCCGCATGCAGGGGGCAGGAGCAGCATGGCGCCAAATTACATCGCGAGGTTCTTGCCTCGAAGAACGAAGGAGGACGATGTGAAGAAACATGAGTCCAGAATTGCGCTGGCTATGGATATTGATCCGACAACCAGATTGCTGGGTACTTGTTCGCCGGGCTTGAGAAAGTCGCCACCTAGCCCTCTGTCTCCTGCTTATGAGCGTTTTGCGCCATTCGTGTGGAAGGGCTGTGCTTGGAAGAAGTTAGAAAGAGAGCACTGTAAGAGGGTTTGATCGGCTGAAACTTGCCCATGCTAATCAAATCAACCGTCAGGGCCCAAAGTTCAAGACCGCAGAGAAATTGTACCTCCCAAGCCTTTCCGAATTCTAGATGCCCCGTTCATGCGTGATGACTTCTATTGCTCTACTCTCGCCTACTCGTTCACTTCCGGCATCCTAGCCGTTGGGCTTGGCCAATGTGTCTATCTTTGGTCAGAGGGGTACATTGTTGAGCGGCCGCCGTTTGGAGATGTCCACCCCTCTAACTATGTGACCTCCCTCGCCTTCTCATCCGATAATGGCGGCAGAAGTATCCTTGCTGTTGGGCGTCATTCAGGTCAGTTATCGTTATGGAGCGTATCGGAGGACAAGGTCAGATTCGAAATTAGCCATCCTAACAGCATTTCATGCGTGGTATTCAAATCGAACACGTCGCGAAGACCGTCAGAGGGATTTTTCAACGTCGAGATCGAAGCAGAAGATCTCGTTGTGGGTGACGAGCGGGGGACGGTGTGGTATTATTCCGTTGAATGGCATCCGGTCCAGAACCAATGGAGTTGGTCGGGATGCATGACGCTACTGGCTAAGATCCACGCGCATAGTCAGCAGATCTGTGGATTAGCCTGGTCCCCCGATGAGCAATTCCTTGCGACAGGCGGCAATGATAATGCGTGCATGCTCTTTGAGCTACGAAGCATCCTTGGGAGGCCACCCAGTCAATCCAGTTCATCTGCTGCATCAGATCTCCCCGGAGTCCCACGAGTTGGTACTTTCCCTTACCTATCACCAGACAGACAGACCCAACGGCCAGTTAGCAGGCAAGGCATCGTCAGCAACTTCCTACCGTCGTGGGCCCAGACGCTATCGGGAAGAGCGGCAACTATATCTCCTCTCCTAAACGAAGCAGGCTGTCTCATCTCAGGGGGCGACAAAACAATCCTCATCCCCTTCAACCGCCAAAAGTACCGTTTGGCCCACTCGGCAGCAGTCAAAGCTATCGCGTTCGCCCCCTGGCAGCCCTCGCTCCTGGCTACAGGCGGAGGCTCCAATGACCAATGCATCCATTTCTTCCACACCAAAACCGGTATCTGTCTCGCGACAATCAATGTCTTTGCACAGGTGACCAGCTTGATCTGGAGCCAGTCGCGTCGCGAGATTGCTGCAACGTTTGGATACGCGCAGCCAGAGCATCCATTCCGAATTGCCGTGTTCTCTTGGCCCAGCTGTGCACAGGTTGCGGTGATCCCTTGGGGCCCGCACGGTGTTACCTGGGATGGCAGTGACCACGGTCTCAATCTCGATTGTGGGCGGGCTTTGTGGGCTGTCAGTTACCCGGGACGACCACCGCGACCATTGAAGGCCTCGCGGAGGGACCCTAGATTTGGTTACGGGACGCCGCCTTCGCCGACTTCACCTGCCTCCCCGGCTGATGAAGAGAGAGTACGCGCGCGAAGCAGACTGCCGCGTGTGGTCCGGCCCAAGGAGAAAGAAGGTGGGATGTGGTGCTCGCGAACTATGGAAGAGGGGTGTATTATCGTGGCGTCAAGCGATCAGACGGTCAAGTTCCACGAGGTATGGACTGGGAGGCGAAAGAGCATTGGTCCTTCGTGCGGATTGCTCGGAGGAAGTGACATCCTGGAGTGCATGGAGGGTATTGAGAAGTGTGGGAACGAAGTCATTCGTTAACCTAAAGGTGCACAATGCTTGGTTCTTATTCTTATTCTGACACGAAACGTGTCTGCATTCTTATATTGAAACTCGTGTTTTCGAGTTCGCCTCCGCATGCGGAATATGGGGGATGAGATTATTGCTTAGCGTCAATAAATTGTCGATCTATACCCCCACACCAGCCTCACCCGCCTCTTCAGGATTTCCAGGTTTTGGCCCCTAAATCGTATATTCGACCTTTCTGGGCTCGTCCGTTCGATCCTGCATCTGGAGCTTCCCCTTCGATTCAGTATCCAGCCTGGCATCCCATGATGCGTCTCTCAATTCTCCTCCTCATAGTCGCATCGACTCTGGCCACCACCGAGTACCTCAACATCACCACGTTGGCTGCTCGTAACAATCGCTCCACACTGGAGTGCTGGGCCCTGGAGCCCGGCTTCAAGACCTCGACCGAGTCCGGTACCGCTGGCTCCAAAAGCCTGAACTTGGGCCCCATTGGCGGCAGTAGCAACTCTACCTACGGCGTGATCCCGGCCAACTTCAACGGCGGAAGACACAACGCGCCCACCGCACAGTATGTTTCTCCGGTTTTTTTTTTGAGGTCTGATGCAGCATACTAAAGCTTCCAAGATGGGTCATTTTCCTCTCTGGTCTGGCCCATATCACCCTCCCGGACTCCACTGTTGAGGCATATGTTGCTGGTGGTAAGAACGGGGCTATCCTTGCGCTGGACACAGCCGACGTGAGCAAGCTGGGCCATATTACCACGTACCCCTCTAGCGAGAACACTGTCAGCTTTGAGATCCCGCTGGGCGCGGAGGGCGTCCCTGCGCATCGTGTTCTGTATCAGGGGCCTTGTAAGGGCGCAGAGCTTTCTTGATTCCAAATGGTACGAGATGTGATACTATCGGAGTAGTAATAGCTACCTCCGTAACGGCAGTCCAGAGATACAGCAGCATATCATAGATTGTCAGGTATAGACACGCATGTATAGATGCCAAAATGAATACACGGATGAAATGCAGGCATCCATGCATCCTGAAGAAAATTCTTTTATAAACCGTAAACAGACGGAGAGCGAAAGAAACAAACCAAAAAGAGAAAAAGCCATCAGCCCCCAGGATCATACAGAGAGTCCCCTTCACCTGGAGCTGCAATAAATGCAAACCCATTATTTCTTGCCACCCTTCTTCTTCCCACTCTTGCTCTTTTTCGCGGGCGGCGGCTGGGCAACAGCATCGTCCGACTCCTCGTCCTCGGTATCAGCGATGAAATCCACCATCGACCCATCACTATCCGCTTCATCGTCATCGTCGTCCTCATTCTCCTCAAGCGACTCTTCCGCATCAGAAGAACCAGCCGACTCCTCCGCCTCGACGTCAAGAAGGCCCTCATCGTCATCCTCCTCTTCATCCTCACTGCCGTCATCCACGTCGTCCTCCGATTCATCCGCAATACCGTTCATCATAGACTCATCTTCATCGAACGTCTGCTCCCGGATAGACTTCCGCGGCTTAGACTCCGCCTCGTCGCTATCCTCATCCTCCTGCCCTTCAACATATATCACATCATCCTCGTCCTCATCCTCGCCCTTCGCACCACTCTGGAGCGCCCGTCGCAATCCAAGCTGCGCCTCGAGCATATCCAACTTGCCTTTCAGCAAAAGCAAAGAAGACAGACTCGACGATCGCTGGTCCATGACCTGGTATAATGTGGAAATCCGCTTCAACAGCTCCGGGTGTCCCGCGAGAGCACCGCCATGTGCAACGCAGACCCACTGCATCCACGCCAGAAGGCGGCCGTAACGGCCAGGCCGCGAGGACAGGCGCTCGGCGATCTTCTGCAGCAGGGTCGCGGCGAGAGAGGAGTCGAGGCGTTGGATGGTGGTGCGAATGGTGTTGATGTCGGTGGTGTAGAAGCAGGATTCCAGCATGGCGCTGTCGTTCGTCTTCAGCGACTGCGTCAACACCGTGGAGAGCGAGACGCCGGTAGGGATCTGCTGCACGGCTGCGGCCGGTTTGCCGGGGACCAGGGTGCCGAGGTTGACGTCGTCGTCTAGCTCGGCTTCAACATCGACCTCTTGGCCCGCGCTGGCACGGAGGAGCTCACCGAAGGAGGGCTCAACGCCGTCTTCTTCTTCATCGTCGTCGTCGGCTTTTTCGTCTTGTTCTTCGTCTGAGCCGGCAGCGCTGTCCATTTCGATGTCTGAATCTTGGGCAGCTTTGATGGCCTTGGGCTTCTTTTCGGTGGGCTTATCATTGTCATCGTCTTCGGAGTCAGCGTCTTCGGAGTCAGACACATCGTCGCGGGTGTCATTCATCTCGACGTCGTCGTCGATGTCGTTTCCGGTCTGCACATGAGTGAAGGTCTCATCAACGCGGCTTTCCGTTGCGTCCTTGGTACCACTTGTCTTCGCGGAAGCAATGATCGAGCTAGACTTTGTCTTGGCCACGACCTTTGTTCCGGTAAAGGCGAGCTCGTCGGTGTTCTCGTCCAGGAACTTGACCCGCTCGAAAACCGGAATCACACCACCCTCGGCGTAGGCCACGATGATTTCGTGGCCGTGGAAAGTGGTTGATACTACTGATACAGTGGTGTCAGAGGAGTTCACGACCTTCAGCGCAGCGCTGGCCTTTTGGGTCATCTGTTTGCGGGAAGCCTTAGCGCTGCTGGACTGCGCAGTTTGTGGCTGGGCGAAGGGTTTGCTGAAGAACTCGATAGTTCCATCTGAAGTAACAGCGGCAAGAATTTGCTTCTCTGGGCTGGCGGCTTGCAGAGACAAGGAGGTAACGTCGGTCTCGGCGACAAGGTTGCGGACCAGCTTCTGGCTGGAGGCGTCAAATACGTTGATGAAGCGCTCTCCGTCCGCTGCGAGGAATGCGCCCGTGGCTGATTCCTCGGATGAGGTGATCACTGTGTGGATCTGGTTTCGCATAGCAGAGAACTGGGTGGGCTCCTCGGAATTTTCGATGTCTATTAAGAAGGGAGCCTGAGATGCGCAGATAACGGGCGGGTTGGAGGGGACAGGGCGAGAGAGGGTGGAGAAGATAGAGGAGGACGGCAGGTGAATAGTTCTTTAAAAGGTAGATGGTTAGCATCTGAAGTTTATCCAGGTGAAGGGTTCTCCATACCTAAGTGATTTTCCTGTTCGCAGATCCCACTGGATAAGCTTGTTATCGCCGCCAATACTCCAGCCTTCCTGGCCCGGGTGTCCAGCAGTGAACTTGAAATCCTTGATGCCTTTCTCATGTGCACCAGTCAGAGTGCTTACGACTGCATCCTCTACAGGTGAGTAGAAACGAATATCGGAGGTGCTGGTGCCAAACGCAACGACCACATCACCCTGGTCAAACCCGTCAGCATTGCCGTTGACCTCGGAGCCGCGCTTGCGCTTCTTCTTTGGGGAGTTCTTGCCACCGCAATATCCCCAGTCCAGCGAGGTCACCACCTCCTTCGGCGCCAGCGCATGCTCACATTGTAGTCGGCCGGTAGTGGTATCATGGATGCGGAGATGCTGGGCGTCCAGGCCCTGGATGACGGAGGCGAACAGGGCCAATTGGTATTCTGACGGGGAGAACGCGGCTCGCAGGATAGAGGACTTGCTGCCGTGCGACAAACCTGCCCCAGGCGATGCGGCAGAGCCGACCTTGGTGGCCGGTCGAGATGTCTTCTTTCCCATTTTTTTTCTTGATCTCGGGAGCTTTCTTCTTTTCTGAGTTTCACGGGTGATTAAATCTTGCAAGGGGTGCAGCTGATCGGACCCCTAGTCGGCAAGGAGATTCCCAAGAGATATTTTCACAAAACCCTAGAGAAACACGGGCTGAGGCTCTGGGACTCTGGGACGTTCTCGCAGACGATGCGGAAAGGAAAAAAAAGTTCTGTAGACGGTCTATGCGCTAGCCCCGATATGGACTAGCGTCTGAGCACCTTCTCCGGTCTTATCTAATCAGTTCACTGAGCCCCGAGCCCTGAAGGCTGTCCTATTGAGGGAAACAGATGACATGTAGCGCAAGACTCCGATTTGAATAGACAAGTTGCATTGAGGAGTCTGAAGATGAGAGGCTTTAGCTTTTAGTGTTAGTTATTCAGTAACATTGAAAATTGGATACTCAGGTTGCCAGGGCCGCAAATTATTAGCCCTCCATAGTAGCTTTTACCTCGATTCGCAGCTGTCCAAACCGGGAATGGGTTGTTCTGTTGAAAATAGACTTTGGCGATGGAAGTTCCCGCTACATTGCAGCACCCATTTTTTGGCTGTAGAGATCGCCTGATTTGTTGATTCTACGACGCTTGGACAGTGTTTCAGAAGTCGGTACTCTGGATTGGGTAGAACTGGATTGGAATCATATCATCGAACTTGCGCAACAGATTATTTGTCCAGTGAATTAGTACTACATGGAGTTGTTTGTGGATAACTTCACTGGGCAAGTAGCTTATTTGGTGGATTCCTTGCTGTTTCAACGGACCTTCGACGGAGAATATTCGGTCTCGACTCTACTGAGATCATTTTAGAGTCGAGTTGAGGAAAGAGACTAGATTGGATATTTCAATATCCGGTCGAAAGCAAGCCATTGCTATGCTCAAGTAGTTGAGCAGCACGTAAGCAGAAGCTGGACCTAGAGGAAACTGAAAGACTGAACAAGTTGCGATTAGGTGGGATAAACCGGTACTGTATGAGAAATCCCAGCATTGGCTTGGCTGCTTAGTGTCAGATTAGGATTTCAAATTATAGATAGATGAACATCTCCAAGTCTGGGTATGGTTGAAACATTGATGCCTTTAATGTCCGCTTTGGGAGACGCTGAACTCTGGGAATCAATACTGCCAAGTCAATCAAAAGCATGAGGATGATTCTACTTGCGAGCAATATTGACGTTCTCATACTAGTAAATCTTGATAAGTCTAATATAATAAGCTGAAGAGTCAGAAGTTCGGTCGGTTGTTTTCTTTGTCCACATACACCGACACGCTGCTCCATCATTCTAAACCAGGCGGCATGATCAGTATGAAGAAGACAGCCCGGAACAGGGGGTTAATGACTAGAATGGAATAGCCTTTGGGTTCCGGCTACTGCTGTGATTGCTTGTTCTTCGGGTAGGAAATATCCCATCTCTGTCTGTATTGGCAGCTTATCACCTGGGCATTGACTGACTATATGGACAAAGAAAGGAAGTTGCCATTCAATGGTCGGCATGTCCTATGTTGCAATGACTATGGTTGTTGAAACTGATGTCTCTCGCAGGGGCATCTTTGTTGCTATGCATGTACATCGATTATGAATTATATCTGGGGCATTTGCATTCCGCGGGGTTGGCCCATGTGGAGAGCGTCACCCATCCGCAGGAAGATGCTTTGCGTCCATGATAGATCCATGTGATCGGATATCTGCCTAATCTGCAAGGGCCCATGCCCAACTCTGGCTCAGCCGATTGGTTGTGCAGACGGAAATTGCAGATGCAGCCCTGCATTTCCCAAACCCCAACTTCTGCCCCAGAATCACAATGGAATGGCCCAAGAGGATCCATAACATGATAGGAGCTTGCACGACTCCACCAACTCCACCGACAAAGGAGAGATCACGTGAAGGACCGGGACTCGTCTGGCCCACTAGTCCGGTTTCGGTAACAACCCTAGGGTTAGAGGTTGGACAGGCGTGAAACTCATATTTTGCGGGAGGACAGAATGATTTCATTCGCATCCCTCGCAGAAATCTTTCCAACATCGGGAGATATCATATATATCTCTGCAGCCAGCATTGCTTACACAATACCATGACTCATACTCATGTCTCAAGAATGGTCGAGTCGCGACCCGCATGCTGATCTCATACCATGATCATGACATCTCCCTCTCTGAGCATCAAAAAAAGCCAGAACCGATGATGCTAGGAGAGCAACAGACAAGAAAATTTCTGATCAGTGGTGAAATACGGTACAATACTGGTCTGGGCGGGCCAATCAAGTAAACGGATCTAGGGGCCGCATTGGGGTAGAACCAATGAAAAAGGGGCGGACCCGGTCGAATGCGGCGTAGCGTAGGCAGTGGAGCCGCGGTGGAACTGGTAGCAAGAGAGCGCAAGGCGCCCGTCTGTACTTAAGGATTCTGGCATCCCCTCCGAGGAATTTTCTGCTTCCGTCCTGGAGCTTCTCCTGTTGTGCTGACCGCCCTGTCCCCTTTCCCTTTCTGGTACTAGACGCGTCTGACCGCGTCGCGCCGCGACTCTACTCTAAAGATCGCTTCTCCTACTCCTTTTTTCATCCTTATTTTCCCTAGATTGAACGTCTCCTGTCAGGCACCTTCTGCTTGGAATCTGATAAGAGGCCTCACCTAACCCTTTGTCATTTGACTTGTACTTCACCGGTTTACACCTGAGGCCAGCAAGTCCCCCTATTCGTGACCCGCGGTCTATCCATACCGCCCACGTGATCACATCACCGCCTTTCTTGGCAACATAAAACCATCGTTGCCGGATCGCATTCTCCACTTCTCTTATCCCCGTCTTTTTCTTATCGTCGCGCTTCAATTTCGTCGCGTTTTCTGTTCTTATCTGCGTTTCCTGTCTCCGCGCGATCCTGCAAGTCTAGCCTGTGGTAACGCGCGGAGAGAAGTGTGTATCCAGTCTTCAGCAATTCGCGAACACAATCCCCCAATAACTTCTTTCACATCCGTGTCAACTAGACCCTGTACCTCAGTTCTGCTTGAGCTTCATGGCGACCCCGCCACCCGAGACTCTGACCCAAGTGGTCAAGGAGGAGAAGCCTCAGCTTCCTCCATCCCCTACGGGAGGCTCCGCACCGGACATCGCCCCAAGCAGGTAAGAGAACTACATATTCCCCCACTTTGCTGTCATTACGCGCGTCATATCTCTTCCCGGGGCGCAATCACTAATCGCATAACAGTGTGTCTACAGCAAACGAAGGCCCCAAAATGGACGTGACTTCTGAAGCAACTGAGAGCAACCCCTCCCCACTGAATGGCAATGCAAACGCGGAGCCTAAAGTCGCGAATGGTACCAATGGTACTACCTCTGCTACTTCCCCGCCAAATCTCCCCGCACCCCCTTCAGGTGGTGACAAGCCTGCAGAAGGACTGAACAGGGAAAGCAAGGAACCCGCGGCAGCCCCGTCGGCCCCCGCAACTATCGACACCAGCGAGACTGTCACTGCTCAAGCCCCGCCAGTCCCGACTTCTGAGTCCTTTGAGGCCTCCCAGGGCGACAAGATGGATGTGGACGCGTCTCAGGAGCCGCGAACCGATTCTGAGCCTGCGAAGTCCAACCTTCCCCACCACCCTGTTTCCGAAACCCCAAAGCTGCCTCCACTCCAGACAGATCACGAAATGAAGGACTCTACACCTGCCCCATCCTCACCCTCGAAGGTTTCCCGCGAGCGCGAGGCAGATCCGGCAGAGGAGCCGGCTGCTAAGCGTACTAAGGTTGACGGTCAAGACTCAGCTCACGTGGATTTCAAGCTTCCAGAGGCACCGGCGCCAGCTCCTGAAACTCCCGCCGCAGGAAATGACACAGGAATCACCAAGATGCAGCACAAGTTCCTCACGAAGAGTCTCTCGAGCCTGAAGCGTATGCATGATTCTCGCTTCTACCGCGATCCCGTTGATCCTTTGAAACTCAATATCCCTTCCTACTTCAATATCATCACTAGTCCCATGGATCTGGGCACCATGGAGAAGAAGCTGAAGGCCAACCAGTACTCGTCTCCTCAAGCCTTGATCGACGATTTCAACCTAATGGTGTCAAACTCTGCCACCTTCAATGGCCCAGACCACATTGTGTCGCAAGAAGGCCAGAAGCTGAAAGCCACTTTTGAGAAGCAGATGGCGAACCTCCCTAAAGCAGACGAAGTGGAAGAAAGAGACCAAAGAAGGTAGCGGAGAAGAGCATCTGCCGCGCGCAGGGAGCCTCGCACCTCTCTCGGCAGCGTGTCCACGAAGGCTGCTTCTCCCCCAGAACACTACTTTTGCCTTGGGTCCCGAGGGGCTACCAGTCATTCGTCGTGACTCCTCCAATCCTGATCGCCCAAAGCGCTCCATCCACCCTCCCAAGCGAGATCTTCCCTACTCCACTAAGCCCAAGAAGAAGAAGTTCCAGTGGGAGCTGCGTTTCTGTCAGGAGACTCTCAACGAACTGATGAAGCCGAAGTACGTTCAGTGTGCCTCGCCATTCTACTACCCCGTGGACCCCGTCGCGCTTAATATCCCCACCTACCACAACATCATCAAGAAGCCTATGGATCTGCAGACCATCCAGACAAAGCTCAAGACCGGCCAATACGAGAATGCCAAGGAGTTTGACAGTGATATCCACCTCATGCTCAAGAACTGCTACCGATTCAATTTGGAGGGTGATCCCACCTACATTGCCGGGAAAGAATTTGAAGCGGCTTATCAGGCTCAGTGGGCTAAGAAGGAAGACTTCCTTGAAAAGCATGAGCCTCCACCCGAGCAAACCGACTCGTCTGACAACGAGAGCGACGCGGAGGGTGATGCTTCCGATGAGGAAACCGCCAAGATCAATGCCCTCCAGCGACAGATCGCAGAGATGTCTCGCCAAGTGGAGTTGATGACCCAAAAGAAGAAAACACCCCCCCTCGAGCAAGAAGGCCGGCAAGGCTAAGTCTGGCAAGAAGGATTCTAAGAAGAGCAGCACCGGCAATAAGAAGACGAGCAAGAGTGCCAAGAGCGGCCAGCGTTTCATTACCTACGACGAGAAGCAGATCATCTCCAATGGCATTAGTAGCCTTCCCCGATAAGAAGATGCAGGAAGCCCTCATGATCATTCAGAATAATGTCCCCAGTCTTAAGGTATGTACAGTCTCTCATCATCATCCCTCCCTCACCCCCCATGAGCAAGTCACTAACTCTATATTAGGGAAGCAACGAAGCCGAAATTGAGTTGGACATTGATGAATTGCCCAATGACGTCTTGCTTATGCTGTTGAAGTTCGTCAAAAAGAACGTTCCCAGCATTGTGGATGACGAAGACCCGGCGCCTGCTAGCGTCCCCGCTCCCAAGGCAAAGAAAAACAAGCCCATGAGCAAGTTTGAACAGGAAGCCCAGATCAATATGCTTGAGAGCAACCTCTCCCGTTTCCACGGAGGCGGTGGTCACTCTCCCGACCCCGTTCCTTCCGTCGAGGCCAATGAGTCGAGCGATGACGAATCTGAGGATGACTCTGAGGAAAGTGAAGAGGATAGAGCTACTCCAGCCTTAAGCTTTGCTGCGTTCGTGCTTGTCTCGTTCCGCTGGCTTGACGGATGTAACTTGCTCTGATTTTTGCGTTCCAAGCGTCAACTCCTTCCTCGTGATTTCTTCTGGCTTATTTCGACTCTCAACACGTCTGCTGGCTTGTTCAACTTGCAACTTTTCCAGATCTTTCAGGTGTAGCTGGCTGCTATCCTCTCGTGCTGCCCTGGCCCTGATCAATAACGGGATACATTCCCATATTGTACATATCTTACCTTCTACCCTCTTCCCTTCCCCCGTTTTTCTGTTTCAAATATCCCGGGCCTGGCTCTTCATTGCCCTGAAACCGCTAGGCTTTAATTTTGTGCTTTTAGGGTCTGGTGGACTGGATTGCTTGAACTTCCTTTTTGACCTTCCTCTCTCCGAGTATGTATTCATATCTCCTTTGCGCGTTAAGGGATGAGAATTATTTCTCGATCAATTTCAAGAGGAGGCAATGGAGACTGAGCTAGAACCGGGGTGATTCTTAGGCCTCCATGGTTCGTCTGTACGATTACGAAAGGAATGCGGAAATGCTAAAACTGTATGCGGATTTCTATGTATAATGTCGGCAATTATCAAGTGTACTGCGACTTAGTTGATCGTCCGAGTCTTTTGATTCTACTCGTACTCCTTGCGGGGTGATATCATCCCCTGCGACAATGCTATCGCGTGTTTGCCTTGCAGCATTCTGAAATAATGCAGTAAACCATGGATTTTAGGCGCCGTCGGACCTGGGGCCACTTGGCACTTCCAATCTCCAGCAATAGTCATTAGTGAAGGTCCAGAGTTCGTGAAGGTATACGTAGGGCACAGCGAGCCTCTGCATATCGCTTGTTTGATACTATGAGCATAGCTCCGGAGCAATCTGTGGACTCTCAACTGTCCGGCGGTGAACATTCCTCCTGCACGTCGCCATGATCCCCCCCTTGCGACCCCTCCATTCTTGAGCATAACCCTCAATTCAAACGGCTCTACGAAAATTTGACAACGACTCTGTTGAATCCCGATGGCTCGACTCGTGCCACCAGCAAAGACCCGGTGCGCGCTGCCGCAGTTGAGGTATGCCAGAACGCGTTCGAGCAGCCCAAGTAGCTCAACCATCAACGCGACCATCCAGAAATGGCCGAAACAGGCTGACCAATTGCCCCTCAGGAGCTGAAACAGTGCCAAATAAGACGTGCAAAGAAACAGATCCAACAACAAACGCTCCGACGCCTAGCATTCGCGTCGGATAGCGAGCTCCTCGACGACGTGAGTCCCCACCGTTCTACGAGACAAACCCAATTGGAAGCCAACCTCCATTTGTGCTATCCACAGATCCAAGGGCAATCTTACTGACCCTCTAATCCTACAGTTCCATGATAATCTCGCCTTAATATCACTCTACCTCGAGACTCCCAGCAGTGCTCTCGACCAAGACCAACCGCTAGACCAATCCCAGAGCCTGGGACACCTTCACGACAATGCGCTGTCCCTCCTCCAACCTGAATTCGAAACTTTCTGCTCCAATATCCCCTCTTTTATCACCCAATTCTCCAACATCCTTTCCAAAGCCAGCCACGACCTCCGCGCAATAGCATCAACAAACCCCGACAACAATGACCTAGACGAAAACATGCCCGGCCCCTCGCACTCCCGCTCCCTTTCAACACACAATGCCCGCGCCCGCGCAAGAGATCGGCGCGTTCGCACATCAATGGCGCCTGCGCCCCTCCTCTCCTCCATATTGAACGACCGCGTCCGTGCCCTCCGCTTCTTGCAACTGGAAGAACTGCCGGCAAAGAGGCGCGAAATGGCCGCGCTAGCAGCTGACGTCATTGCGGCGCAGGCGCAGGTACTAGAACGAACAGTGCTCCTGCTCGAAAGGGCGAAGCACGGGGCTTTGGCGCGGGCGACGAAGGCCAAGGCGGAGCATCTGGCGACTGTTGCGCAAGGGGTGGAAGGGAAACTTGAGTACGTACCACTCGTATTTTGATTTACTGATTGGCTCTCCTTGCTATGATCGGTGCTGACTGCGATGCAGGGTGACCAAATTGGAGATCGCTACTACTCTTTATACACCGGAGACTCTAGCAGCACTCTCACGGTACCAGAGGCATCTACGCGAGACGAAGGCTCGGCTGGATGAGCGGCGCGAGTCGGCTATTGAGGAATTGAAGAGGTATGGGGATATTGAGGCTACCAGGGCTGGGGGTGCGGAGCGTGTTGAGGGGGGTACGTTGGCGGAGATCGCGCGACGTTATGGTCTGCTGGTTCGGGAGGTGGACAGTGTGCGAATGGAAATTGCGAGGCTAGGAGAGTAATATCTCCATGTCGCCAACCTTCTCTTGCCTTGGTCTAGCGCAGAGACCTTTCTGGACAGGCATCATATGCTCTCTTTAAACGGAGGCATATTTCAGGACAAATCCAGATTGGTTCTGGGTCAGGATGGCCAATTTACGGGCTTAGAGAAATTGGGACCCTCACGGCAGCTTCCTTGTTCCTCGTTCCGCTCTGGCCTGCTGTCACAGCTCGCCTACCATCTTTATCGATTGGGATCAGTATCGATTCTTCTCCCTGTATCATACCCGGGAATTTTTCCAATGATGATGAAAGTTGTGTTGAGTGTTGTGTTTCCTCATGATTTTGCACCTCATTTTAGCTGTCTGGGTGATGTTACAGATCTGCATAGATCGCCATCACGTGATTGATGATTTTTGTCCGCCACCCGCAACTTTTCCCGCTCCGATTTGGTTCCTGAAGGTCCAACTTTGCCTTTTTGGTTATTCATATGCCTTTGCCCCCCTTTGAAAGGCTCATCATCTCAAGTTTCTATACTCGTCAACATGGCCGACGACGCACTCTCTATCTATGATGAAATCGAGATCGAAGATATGACCTTTGACCCCGCCATCCAAATTTACCATTATCCTTGCCCATGTGGTGACCGCTTCGAGATCGCCATCGACGACCTACGTGATGGCGAGGAAATCGCCGTTTGCCCCAGCTGCAGTCTGATGATTAGGGTGATCTTCGACCTGGTAAGTCCCGAATCCGTGGGAGAGTTCGAGTGAAAAGACAGGAGATTGAAGTATTCTTTTTTTTGGGCGTGGCAAAATGCTAATGGGTTCTCGTCTCTACAGTCCGACCTTCCCAAGCCAGATGACCAACAGAATCCTGGCGCAGTCGCTGTGCAAGCGTGATTTAACATGCGTGTGCTGGGCGTGCGAACACTGCGCCTGTTGACCACCAACCTCACCGAGCCAGTCCCTGTCAGACAACGCGCGCAACATCCATGATTTTCAACTGTATGGCCTGGAATGCTTGTACAATCCCACTTTCCTGTGACAGTATTTGCTACGCAGTGAGGACAATTTGTCTCTGGCAGCAACCGGGAGGCTCAACGGTCTGAAGCCACCGACTACCACCCACCAAGTTGGGCCTGGACTAAATCAGGACCAGGGCGGGTCTACCCGGCTATCATTGAATGAGACCTGGAAGATCCGCGACGAGGCTGCAAAGCTAGCTCACCTGAACTAGACTTTTCAGTGATTCTAAGTGTCTTGGAAGCGTCTAGGTCTGAGATTTGGGTCGATATATTCTCTACGATTACTAGCAGAATTTACCACTTTACAGATGAACCCGATGATAGTACATAGCAGGCAATAGCATCGAGTGTCTAGCAGATAGGTACGCAATGCAACCAATATTGAGGACTTGTTAGCCACCCACTTGAAACCTACTATACAGAAATTTCCGAACACCCTACTCCTGGGTTAAGAACTACAGGTCTGACCCTACAAACCGAGGAACTATGCACCGCTTGAAATTAGTCGTGCTTAATTGCCCATAGAATACAGAATGCCCCATTCCCTCGGGGATGTAAGAAGTAACCAGATAACGTAGGAATCGTATCGCAACAGTACCACGACAGCAAGGTCTCGACCAATGCTAGCCGCCACAAAAAAAAAGTCTAGTCAAGCTCGACTCCGTAGATATCGTGCGGCAAGTTGATCTTCAGCTCCTCATTGAGCAGATCGGTCAAGTTGCTACCGTCCCGCAGATAGATCCACTGCCCGTGGGCAAATTCCCGAGTATCCTGCTTCTCATGCATGCGATCCCCTTCCAGGACCCAGTCGTAGCGCTTGGGCCCGGAGATGGGCGAGCTGAGCCAGATCTGCTTGTTGGGGGGCTGCTTGTTTAGCACGAAAGTGCCGACAGAGGGGACGATGATATTGAGGACGCCGGCCTGGACGGAGAGGTACGGTTAGTGCACCTTGCGATTCAATGGGGCAATGGAAAAGTATGGCTACGCACGCTGTACTCGGCCTCGATATCGGAGCCAGCTTCCTCCTGGGCTTTCTCGAGGTCGTTGATGAGCACGTTGAAGTAGTGCTCGGAGTAGTCGTGGTATTCCTCCGGGGTCAGCGGGGAGGGCTCGGTGACATGGGCCGCGGCGCCAGCGACAGGAGGAGCATCTGTCTTTGGGGGGGGCGGGTTCTCGGTATCAGGTTGGAGGCCCTTGGCACGGCCGCTGTACGAGTGGAATGCGGGCGAGGTGCCGCGCAGGAAACCTTCCGCTGCGGCTCGTAATTGCGGGGAGGTCCTGCTGCGTAGGGTGGGGCGCACTGCTAGCCGGGCGGCACGAGCACTGAAAGATGGCAGCATTGTGCTTTTTGGGAGACTTCGAAAAAAGGATTGGAGTGTTTAGGGGTTAGGAGGTTGGACTAAGGTGCGTGGACCTTGGGGAACGTTAGCTGATTTTCGATGCGGAGGGAAAACTGCCGGGTACATCATCGGTGGGCCGCTCTACCGCCTTCTATATCCTGCTTGCCAACAAGGTGCAAGCTCATCCACCCGGGATTGCTATCTTATATTTGTCTACGTTGGATCATCACGGTCTATAGCTAACTAAATGAACTTTTTTTGATCTCATTTCACGTTGAATCTCATGATAAACATTTTTCACAGAACAGAGTCCAGCATAAAAGCCGTATGCTGTTCACGGGTCTTCATGGGCGAAGTGCAGCGTGCCGTTTGTATTTGTGATATAGGGAGACAGATCAAGATGGTCCCCAACATAGTCCCCAGATAGATTCTTGAGCTCTGAATGCAGGATTACTTGGTGATTTGGGCCCTCAGTTGTAAGCCTGGTATTCCGCGCATCCTTGCTGAAATTAACTCCACCCCATTGGAAGGAACCTGACCAGGCAAGAAATTTGATTAGCTACCAGACCGGATATACAAGTCAGATAATAGAGCTCACCGTCGAGGTTGCCAATATATTCGTCCAGGAGGATGTCTGATGAGACTCCAGCCCCCTCCTCATTGTTGCAAATTGCTTTGAGGGTTGTTCCGCCGGAGTCTTGCACCAGCTGGAAATCACAAGCACTTTCGTTGAAATACATGATTGTTTTGATTGAATTGGTTCTTAGCTTGCCAGAGAGGCTTTCTTTATATACCATGTTTGAAGATATGAAATCATACCTTTAGTCATGAAACAAGATTTGCCACTTACTCATCGCGTGGGGATGCTCCAGCTCGACTGGTTGAGCTTTTTTGGACCCAAGCCCTGGAGCTAGCCACCCCGGAAGCTAGGAATTTAGTTTTCCCTACCTCTAGTACTTGAAGTTTTGTGGCCTAGATCGCCCGAGTCCATATCTGCGCTGAGGTACATTGTGACAGTGGAGGATGCCATAGATGTCTCCGAGCAGTTGGAAATTCACGTCATATTACTGTTGCTACGGGATTTTTGAAATTGTTAGACGGAGTTTGCTGGTTGGCCAAAGCTACAGCAGCAGGTATTTTGTACTAATTCCCCTGCAGCATGCGGAGCCGAGTAACCTGCAGCGCCGGTCATCGGGAAAAGGAAGAACAAGCATCAAAGGCCCACTTTTCCTCTGAGAATCAGCCTAATATCGAAGACGGATCCTCTGTGGTCCAGAACCCAATCAGTGTTAACATAAACATCATTCTGCTTGGCCCGGAGATAAGAGGCGGCATTGGAGGCACTCATCCGATAAATTTGCAAGCAGATAATGGTCGCAGAAATACTATATAAACCCTTGAATTGCTAGAAGGAAAACCAGAAACTCAACCATCAATCATCAAGGAGCGCTTCACGCTTCCCATTCACGTCCAGTCACAATGTCTCTCCCATCTCTCCCATCTCTCCCAGCAACCCTGACACCCGCTCTCAGCGGTCGCGATGCCATTGCCGATGCCATCTATCGTTGCGTCGAGTCCTTTGATCGATGTGACGTGGACCTCTGCAAATCCGCTTTCACAAGCGATGCGATATTCGACCTCAACGGCAATGCGATGGAGGGAATCCAAGCTATTATTGACCAATGCTTCGCTTCGGTCTCCAAGATGGATACGACCCACCATATCACTGGAATCAGAATCAATATTCTAGACGACTCGAAGGCGCAGGCTACTTGTTCCGCCCTCGCTCAGCACTTTACTTCTGGGGAAGGGCTCAAGGGAGACGGGGTTCCGATCCTTGTGGGCTCTGTCTATTGGATTGATTTTACGAAGGATTCTGAGGATGGATTGTGGAAGATCAAGAAGTTGATTCTCAAGTCTCATTGGGCGCAGGGTGATTGGGGTGTCTTTAGCAAATAGGTGTATTCTTGCAAATGCTCCTAAGTAGCAGCTGCCAATACAAGGTGAACTTCAAGTTGGAGACTCCGAGTCCTTCACGAATATATCTTGGTTAGCAATAGTAGTGGTGGTGGTGGCATGCTTCAAGTCTTCATTGTCCCACACAGAGAATATTACTAGTACCACTGGCATCCACTGCAAGTGGCAAGGTTTCCGCTCGAATTACACAAAATTACACAACTTGACAAGCGATTCTTAGTACATTCTTGTATATTCAACTGTTAATACTAAGGTCGTAGTACATGCAAGACGGCTAAATTGTGCTTCGACGTCCATGCAAGCTCTAGATGTCATGATATATTTGTTCCAAGCTTGAAGACTGGTTACAAGTGGGTGTCCAGAGCGGGGAGGCACTGAGAACGGACATTAAAACGGAGATATGAATAAAAGCGAGACTCTACCCAGATCATCACAAAACAAGGACTCTCCCAGTTTATTGGTACTGTCTTTCGCAGTGGCAGCTCGATGCAGCAGAAGCTCGAAAGGAGGCCCCACCTGTCGGCCGACCGAAGCCCCACCGAAGGCTGACGGGAATTGCCCAGGAAGGACGTTTGAGAAAATCAGCTGATAGCTTTTCCATAGACTTATACTTGCTATGACCGGATCACGGAAAAGAAAAAAACATGCATAGCAAAGAGGCCTTGAAACTACTACGCCTGGACAGATAAGCGTTAAAAAACCTGTCAGAAGGAGACAATACACCAATTGTCACTATTACTCGATTTTCGCGGCGTGCCCGCTTAGATAGCACGCTCGCTTGGGATTTACGTTAAATATTCGGTGCCTGTCATTTTAGAACTTTCAGAGTTACATATATTTCACTCCATTACCATACATTACAACCCCTTACCTCCTGTCGCTCCAACAACCCTAGGGTTCGTATATAGTCACATAATCATACACACATGACTAACAGAATGCGGAAGAATGTGGACGTCTTGGTCAAAAGCTCGCCACAGCGAGTGCCTTCCTCTTATGTGGCGATCAAAGTCTTACACCCACGGGTCGAGAAAGTCATCCACCGGGACTTGCGCATCATGCATTTCTTCGCCTCCTTGATCAATGCTATTCCAACAATGCATTGGCTCTCGTTTCCCGATGAGGTCCAGCAATTTGGCGAAATGATGAAGCTCCAATTAGATCTCCGCATCGAAGGCGCGAACTTGGTCAGATTTCGTGAAAAGTTCAAGTCTCGGTCCACGGCCTGGTTCCCATATCCATACCTGGACTATACCACTCGTGAAGTTCTCGTCGAGGAATTCGCCCAAGGAATCCCGCTCGCCACTTTCTTAGATATCGGCGGCGGCGTCTATCAGCGAGAGATCTTCGAGTCTAGATGTGAGCCCCACACAAAATCGGAATCGAACCGGAGACCCGTGAAGCGCGGATATATTATGAAGGAACATCCCTGGGCTAATATTCGATCAACTAAGCCAAAAGACTACCGTATCCACGTTTCATCATGAAGCGCGGATACACCCAGGCATGTCTTATATGATACACCCTCTAGCTGGAATCTGTGACACAAAGTAAGTATTGAACAGTCCTAAAAAGTACCCCTGGTATATTGAAATTATGCTAAGAAGAAAAAGTCTCAGAGCCCCAATTCTGGGTACGCCAAATGACTTCCTCCAGCAACTTTACTCGTAGGAGGCTAAACTTGGAGAGTGTGAAGGAATATCCCTGGGCTAATATTCAATCAACTGAGCCAAAAGACTACCATATCCGCGCTTCGTGCGCGGATATACCCAGGCACACCTTATATAGTACACCCTCTAGCTAGAATCCGTGACACCCGGTGTGGATCACGTAGGACACGTGGCCTTAGCATACTAGTAGCGGAGGACCGGTGTATTAAACTCCTCTCCTTAAGTTTATCGAACACAGTTCGTGGCCTAGTATAGATTGAATCAAGTGTTGCTTTAGCCCTTCACATCCAATAAGGGTTAGTGGTATAGGGTATCAGTATTTGATAGGCGGACTTTTGCCCCCTATTGTAACTAGCCCCTTATATATATAAGTAATTACTAGGATAACAACTTGCGGAAATACGAAGAAAATTGACAAAGGAACGAATAATCTTCACACAGCAGACCAAGCAACACGATATCACAATTATTACCAATGATCTTCCTGGGAGTATATGATACTGCGACCGAAGGCTGCCCTAGGTAGAAAGCTTCAAGATTGCTTCGCCTTGATTTCCTCTTCGACACGTTTCTGTAAGGCTGACCCTAGGTCCTTGTTTACCCGGCTAAAAAGAGCTGGGATGAGGGTTAGCTGTGCACGGGGGATGAAATTTCTCCGACGACACAGTTTGCTTACCATAAACACCCTTGCGCAATTCCGGATACTTCACGCCGATCAAGCTGCCGACGAGATTCTCGATAACCCTTTCTTGGTGACCAGGCTCCCGCCCGATGACTTCCCACAACTGTGCAGGTTGCACGAAATCATCATCGGTGATTTGACTGGTGAAGATCGATACCTCCCTACCCATTTCTCGTGTGCTCCGCTCAGATTCAACGCCTGGGGGGTTGTTTTCTTCACGTCTTGGTAGTATAGGAGAGGCTGAATCGTCGAACCGACGTAGTTCGGGTCGCCGCCGTAGTTTCCGTCCATCCGCATCGCCCCGTCACGTTGGAAGGGGCAGTAAACTTGCGATTTGGCCGCGTTGGTGGGGAGTTGTTGATAGTTCACCCCGAGTCGGTACCGGGCGGCATCAGGGTAAGCAAAGAGCCGTGCTTGCAAAACTTGATCGAGAATTAGCGAAGGCAAACTTTCAAAGCACGGCGCTTCTTACTTGGGTCAGCAGATGCGGCAAATCCGGGAACAACCGTGGATGGCGAAAAAGCAGCTTGCTCAATATCCGCAAAATAATTGTTTGGCTGATGTGTTTTAGCCGCCGTTGTTTTCCAAGAGAAACAGTGATATGACAACACTTACATTGCGGTTCATAGTAAGCCGGCCAATTTGGATAAGTGGGAAGTCCTTGTGCGACCAGACCTTGGTCATATCGAAGATGTTCCATCGGTAATTTTCCGCTTCCTCGGGGCTCATCAGTTGCACATACACATTCCAAACCGGATATTCCTTTCGCTCAATCGCCTCGTACATGTCCTGAATCATGTAGTCTGGATTTTCACCTGCAATTCGAGTGGCTTCCTCACGGCTAAGGTTTTCGACGCCTTGCTGTGTTTTGATATGAATCTTGGCGTATTTGAAAGAGCCGTCCTGGCCCGGGTATCAGCAATGACCCTAAGGCGTATTCTCATTGGTCACACTTACCGGCTTCGTGAATCTGTACGTGTGGCCGCTGTACCCGTTCAAGTAGCGCACGGATCGGGGCGTGCCGCGGTCACTGAAGAGAACCAGAAGTTGATGGATACCCTCTGGATTGCCAACGTGAAAGCTTCTTGCAGTTAGAATCTACCATATCCATACAAGAGAAGGATAAACATACTCCCAGAACTGGTCACGAGATTAGTATTCTGTCTTTTGTTCTTTTGAGATTTGGCAACTCACCATGTTGGCGTCAGGAAGGTGGCTTCGGGGGTTTCGCTTATGAGATCTATTCAACGAGGGGAACTTGACCGGGTCGCGAATGAAAAACACAGGCTAGGCACGTTAATACGAGGCGTTTATAGGAAGACGAAAAGAGGAAAGCGATAGAGCACACAAGACAAAAAGTAAACATACCGTGTTATTGAAAACCCAGTCCAGGTTTCCCTCGTCTGTATAGAACTTCAACGCAAACCCGTGAACATCACGAGATGTGTCTGCAGAACCCGACTCGGGGCCAACGGTCGACACCCGCTGAAGGACTGGGGTTTTTTTCCCGACTTGGTTCAGAAAACTAGCACTGGTAAAGTCGGAACAATCGCGGGTAGCTTCGAACTCGCCATAGGCGCTAGGCAAGAGTTAACGCAGGTTTTTCCCAGCGAGCCATGGCAACTTACCCTACAGCCTTTGCATGCACAACACTGTGAAGGTCTCGACGTCAGTATTGGCTCATAGGACTTCTGTTGCAGATCTCTGTGGGGAATGTTTTTGTTTTACCGTTCAGGGATTCTCTCTCGCGAGAAATGAGCCAAGGTCTCTATGAGCTGTGTGTCTTGGAGTAGTCCCAGCCCACCGCCACTTTTATTCCGCATCAGAACACTTGTTTGGCTGCTTGCATAGGGACATCCTAGGAGATTTTAGAATTGTCCCTCCGAATTATTGCCAATTCCTAGTACGTACCTTCTGCCAAAGTGTAGTACTTCTGGTCAGACATGATGAGCAATTGGGGTTGACTTAGTGATGATCAAAAAATGACGAGGGAGAATGGAGCAAATGGAAAAGATGCGATCAATCAGCCGACGTTTGACCGGGTAAATTTGGGTTATTATACTCCGGCAAAACTGGCTCGGTATTTATGTTCACGTTGTTCTGCACTGAGTCTTAGTATTATGCGTACATTCATTGGATACTCGGCCATTCCCGGGTAGCCCTCTGGTATCTGACGCATTTCACTGTATAAGGTGATGGGGCAAGTATCATTGAAAACAGCAAATCATGGTGTTTACATCATAGCTGTTTTCTGCACAGATGACCTACTTTAATTCTAGCGTTACATTCGTCAATGGTAAGTGGGGATGTCTATTACGGCTTAGTGCAGATAACAGGGAAGCTTATGATTGGCTTAATAGCACTGCCCCAATTAGCTATGCGTCGACATCCGAAAGCTAAGCTTGTTGCATGTGTCGCGTCGCTGCTTCTGGCAATACTAGATGCGATCTGAGGGCGGTTCTTGATTGGCTCATCAGTCCTACCTAATCCATTAGGCATGCGTCGACTGCCGCAATGTTGCTGCACGTGGTGCCATCGCTGCTTCTGGTAATGCGCGATCCGGGCCCGCCGGATAAGCCAGGGTGCAGACAAGGAGTTCGGCCGATCCGCAGTCTGAACGGCCCGAAGTATTGGTTCGAAATCATGTTAACGTGAACTTCAATTCACTTCTATAGCAAGTAAATCAGGTTGTGGCGTAAACACGTAACGAATAATCCATGCACTTGGTCCACCCTCAACGTCACCCGAGCTACAATGGTGGAGTTTCGAGTGCGAGCTTTTCGTCGCATACTGTCCTGATGTGGGAAACACGAGCTTGTAGATGTCCATGGCTGCGAAAAGCAGATCAGGAGACTTTTTTTTTTGTGTTTCTTTTTTTATCAGCAGCAACTGCCCGTAAAATAAGAAGCATCTCATTTACCTTACAAGTGCGGCCCTTCCCAAAATTCACCAATGTCGCTTCGGATTACGTGGTATCTGTGGAGCATGCGGGGGATATTTCGAATCCTATCAGAAAGCTATATTAACGAAACCTATGCAGCACGCGAGCCCGGCTACTTAGACCTCTGGAGTGAATCATGTTTGGCTGGGCCAACGATGCCCAGGGCTGGCTCAAACATAGATCCTTCCTCATCCGCCGACCGTACGACATGGGCTATAGGCTGCGCCATTGTCTTGACGTCGCACTATTTTATGCAACTCCTTATTTTGCCAGGATGTTCCTATGGATGGATATGTAAGCCTCTATATCTTTTCAACTTCACGATTTCAATGGAGTCTTTCCCGGGCGGGAAATGAAGACTCTATGACGTTTTTGACGGGTTCTAGATGGGTCGCTGCAACCGATTGTACTCCACGAAAGCTGCAAAGACCTTGCGGGAGAAGAATCCGTAGATCGCAGATGCTATGTGTCACTTCTGTGGAACAAGCTATCAGTCGACCCGCTTAAATCAATGACGTAGATGAGGGGTCAAGAATGACCCCGACACGTTGCTTTCTGTAAGTCATTACGAGTCCGCAAGGCATAAAAGAGCTCCATAGTCTGCTCTGTGAGATGGAATGCTGCCATTTTACAAAAATTATTCAAACATTCCAACTTTTTGACAACTTCCCGGACGTGTTCATCATCCAACATGACGGTTGTTCAGGACAATGCCAGATTTGACTTCATTGTTGTTGGCGGAGGCACAGCCGGCAATGTGGTCGCCGGCCGTCTAGCAGAGAATCCAAATGCTAGGATCCTAGTCGTCGAGGCTGGTGTCGGGAATGCGAAAGACCTTGAAGAGATCCGAGTCCCGTCAAACGCGATGGAACTTCGTGATACGGAATATGACTGGGCTTTCAAATCCACTATGGTCAAGAGAGACGACTACGAGCGCATTGAGAAACCAAACACGCGTGGAAAGGTCCTGGGGGGTAGTTCGTCGCTGAACTACTTTACGTGGGCTCCCGGATCTAAGGGCACCTATGATATGTGGGGGAGTACGGTGGAAAAGAGTGGACATGGGAGCCGCTTGTTCACTACCTTCGCAAGAGTGCTACCTACCACGATGACGCACAGGCTTACTCGCCCGAGCTCCAGAAGATTGGCAAGGGTGGGCCGATCGATATTTCTCACGCAGAGCTCATTCCCGAGATGCAGTCTTTCAGAGAACTTCTTACCAAGGCATGGACGTCGACTGGCCACACACTGACCGAGAATATCTTCGACGGCAAGATGTCCGGTTTGGTCCATAGTGTCAATACTATCTATAAAGGACGTCGGTCCGGAAGCTTCCTTTGTGTTGCCGATAAGCCAAACGTCACTATTCTCCCCAGGCCCACGCCAAAAATCTTATTATCGATGCCGCCGACAAGACCTGCAAGGGCGTGACAGTTATCTTGCCCTCGAACTCTGGCCAGGAGCTGAATCTATTTGCCGAGCGCGAGGTTATTGTCTCTGAAGGTGTTTTTGAGACCCCCAAGCTTTTAATGTTAAGCGGTATCGGTCCTGCTGCTGAATTAAAGAAGCACGGGATCCCAGTGATCGTGGATAGCCCACACGTTGGGCAGCATCTTCTTGACCACCCTGGAGTGCCGTTTGTTCTGAAGGTGAAGGATGGCTTTGGTATGGATGATTACGTTTTACGGGAGGGAACGCCTCACAATAAACAGGCCATCGAGGCTTACCAAAAGACTCGCCATGGTCCGCTAGGGTCAGGGTTCCTCGAGCTGGTTGGGTTCCCCCCGAATCGATGACTATTTGGAAAAGGACCCGCTTTATCGGCAGGCTAAAGCCGCGAATAACAACAAGGATCCATTTTGTCCCGATGATCAACCTCATTTCGAACTTGATTTTATCTGTCTTTTCGGCAGTGCCTTCCAGTGGCACTATCCTACCCCTAAGAAGGGCAATTACGTTACCGTCATGGTGGATCTTGTCCGACCTGTGTCTGAAGGCGGAACTGTAACCCTCAACAGCGCGGATCCTCTGCAGCAAGCTAATATCAATTTGAATTATTTCAACAATGAGCTCGATATAATCGCCATACGTGAGGGTATTCGCTACGCCTATGATGTCCTCGTGAATGGCGAAGGTTTCAAGGATATTGTCGAGGACGAGTATCCTTTCCCCATGCCACTCGATGACGACAAATTGATGAGAAGAACTGTTCTGGATCGCTCTCAAACTTCTTACCACCCTTGTGGAACGGCTCGCCTGTCGAAGAATATCCAGCAGGGGTGGTGGATCCTGGCCTCAAAGTCCACGGCATCAAGAATCTTCGAGTGATCGATGCATCTTGCATTCCCGTTATTCCTGACTGTCGGATCCAGAACTCTGTGTACATGGTTGGGGAAAAGGGTGCCGATGCCATCAAGTCGGACCATCCTGACCTGTACAAGTAGGTCAAGCTTCTTCAGTAAGCTGAGGGTCTAGGGACTTGAATTTCCTGACAAAAATTGTACGGTTTGTGACCGTGAATTACATGCACGGTTCTTTTGATGAGATTGATTACGCGAGGAAGGGCAAGAGTGTAATTATGTGAATCGAGTGGATATGTCCTACGTCTAACATCGTGACTTAAGGTGCGAGATCGTCAAGAATGCTGATGGAAGGTGTCAAGAACATGCTGTGCCGTTACCACCGTAGCACACGACGCTCATTTCTTCTCTCTGTAACTAATTACGATTAAATAGTGTCATGCGATGATCCGAATCAAGTGTTATGCATATTCCCATCCTTATAAGATGTACATTAGATAAGTCTAATATGAACCAAGATTTTTCTAATTACCGGAAAAGTCTAGAACTGTTTCAACAAAAGCAAGGCAACATTTATTGCGTTATCAATTTGCAAAGTATCGCTTTTAACTAGGTGACCGCGTACGAGCCATAGTTAATACCGGATCATCTTTGCTCCGACAACGTATCCATGTCTGTCGGACGTAAACTAACGCATAGTGAGTTAATGGTCTTTACATGTCTCAGACCTGGAAGATCGAGGCAATATCCTGGCATCATTCATTCCAAAAAGACCATTATCTGCTCGCTTGCTACTACCGACGAATTCCTGGGTTCCAAGTCTCCAATCATGTCCAGTCTTCACGAACTTATTCATCGACAGCGACCCGGAGTATGGCAAAAGTTTCGCGCCCAATCTTACGTCTCTCGTGGACTACCTTGGTCTGAGGTGATAAAGCTGTTTTTAGATCAATATCCCGGAAGGAGTCAGGGTTCTGTTCAGGTACATTGGAGTACAAAGCTCAAGAAGAGATGCCCATGAGTATCCTTAGACCTCGGAACCGCCCGCAAGCCGCCCTCTTGGGGCCACCTACAGACCCGCACTTTTACAGGCGGAGGGCGGCCTTTTCCTGCCTGCAGGTTGGGTAGGTCTCTATCCTGCCCTTAAAGGACAGCCCTCGGAATATTTCGAGGGCCGACAAATATGACAAATATAGAAAGCTCTATGGTTACATAAATTATGCTAGTTTTAACTAGACCTCGTCAAAAACATTTCGAGGGCCAGTATCTCCCGCCCTCCGCCCAGCCCTCGCAGGTGGAGGGCAGGTTCTTAGACCTCGGAACCGCCTACGAGCCGCCCTCTGAGGGCCGCCTACAGACCTGTACTTTTACAGGCGGAGGGCAGGCTCTTCCTGCCCGCAGGTCAGGTAGGTCTCTACCCTGCCCTTAAAGGGCGGCCCTCGGAATATTTCGAGGGCCGACAAATATAACAAACATAGAAAGCTTTATAGTTGTATAAATTATACTAGTTTTGACTATAATTTTAGATATTTGATATATAGCTAGGTCCTTTAGAATAAATTATCATGATTAGGGAAAGTGTATTGAAAATATCAAATAATTACTTTAATTCATATTATTTTATACTATTTCTAGAGCTAGATACTATAAATCAACTCTTATATCTTTCTAAAAACCTTAAGTGCTTTCGAACTTTTCCTAAATACCGAAGTTATATATTTAGTAAGTCAGGCTTGTCCTTTTTTTTATACTCTCTATTTTCTAGCCTTATTAACAAGAGTTGTTATTATTATAATTAAGCTATAATAACTACAATCTATATAATATCAATAACTAATCCTATATTATTAATCTCTTTATTATTACTAATTAGCTTAAGATATAAAGTATTTAGATCTTTTACCTTCTAGTTAGTTTATATCTCTTTATATAAGAGATATTTATTAATTAAAGCTTATTAACCTTCTTCAATCTTAAACTTTAATATATATATAAATATTATCAGATCTTAAATTATTAATAACTTTAATAAGCCTCTCTAATAATAATAGATATCTTAGACAGAGTTAAAAAAAATACTCTATACCTACCCCTATTACTAGACCTCGTCAAAAACATTTCGAGGGCCAGTATCTCCCGCCTCTCCGCCCGGCCCTCGCGGGCGGAGGGCGGGTCCTTGCCTGCCCTCGCCCGGCCCTCAGCCCTCAGAGGGCCGCTCGCGGGCGGCCCTTATCCGCCCTCATTTGCATAAAAAAAGTTGGCTATTCCTCATTTAGATGTATAATTCTGCTGATTCATTCTATTTAATTACTGTTTTTTAAGCCTGTTCCTGTTTATAGTTTATTCTCCATGGTATCACTATTTAAGTCTTATGAAATTATAAGAAATTTAGTTGTATTGTAATAAAGCATAGTAGGTAATGATTATATTACAGGTTTTGAATCTCCAAAAGTAAATGGTAGAGGGTGAATAGAAAGGAGATGATTTTTGAATATATTAGTTCAATATGGTTGGGTTAGATATATATATTTACAACGTCATGTTGGTAGGAATAACAAGAACATTAAACATATCTCATAAATTCTTGATTCTTCACCAAATATCATATAATTCTTCTTTATAAGGTGAGCCCCCCGATAAAGTCTAATCATACTATATTTACTAATAGAAGAGCCCCCATAATAATCTTTGAACTAAAAGCATCACTAGATTTGAGGGGATACACAAGTCAGCGAAAAACCGAGGGCGGATTGGTGATTCGAGGGCGGCCCGCATGTTTTCGAGGGCCGTTTGGGGGCCGCTCGAGGGCCGCTCGAGGGCGGCCCGCACATTTCGAGGGCTGGTTGAGGGCCGCCCGCATATTTTGAGGGCCGATTTGAGGGCCGCCCTCAATCAGCCCTCAATAAATAACCAATCATAGGGGAGATTAATAAGTTAAAGTGGGTCAATAGTTGATGTGTTCGATAATAGTCAAGCTATATTGGAAAGCTACTCAAGCTAGTCAATAATTCTATTTACCAGAGCCTATGGGCTTTCTTAGTAGGTATCTTCTCCAGAAACCAGTCGCTTTTCCCTTTTCAAATCATGCTTTACTAGCGATCATCTGATTAACAATGTCCCAAATGTCCCAGTTCTCAGATATCTATTCTTCATCAGTATATGATGGTGATCCAGTTGATGCTCTTCTCTCTTTTTCGAATGATCAATTCCCAACGCCTGATATTTCTGGAAGTCAGCACACACTTGAATCTGCATCAAATCCCGATTTTCTCACTCCAATTACTCCACCCTTGATTCCTTCTTCACTTCAGCGTGTTGGTCCTGGTCGATCACCAGCATTCATCCTATACTCCGAAATGTCAAAGGATGACTTCGTCGCTTGGTGGTTGGAGACTGAGTTTGGGAAGAGGAAAAGACTTAATTGGGGTGGTAACCGTACAGCGGCATGCTGGGAACAATTTGATCAAGTTGCCAACGCAAAAACTGGTAAACCAGGGGTAAAGTGTCGCCAATGCCAGAAAGTCCTTGATCATCCAGCAAGTGGGCGGTATGGAACAACTGCCCTTAATCGGCACTTAGCTGGTCCAACCTGTCGCAAATCTACTAGCCAGAAGGCTAATATCAAGGGATTACTCGCAAATGCAGTATGTATCACTTAGGACATATAGTCTAATGTTTTACTAATCATTCTCTTTTATAATAGGCACAGAACACATCAAATATAACAAAAGTCTTTACGCAAGAAGCATGGGAGCAGAAGCTTCTACAATTGATCACCTTATCACGTCTTCCCTTCCAATTCATTGAACATCCAGAGTTCCGTGACGTTATTACCTTTGCCCGACTTGCCCCTACACAACCCCATATCCCTTCAGCAAAAACAATACGATCTCGGCTACAAGAGTACGTCCAAAAGCAGCAACAATCTATCCTTCAGAAGCTTCCTCCAAACGCAAAACTTTCACTAGCACTAGATTGCTGGACATCTCCCTTTCGACAGGCTTTTATGGCTGTTACTGGCTACTTCCTAGACCAACACTGGCAATATCAAGAGGTGCTTCTTGGATTTGAACCTTTATCTGGATCCCATTCTGGTGTGAATCTAAGTGATGTGGTTTTAAAGCTTCTCCGACAGCATAAAATCGCAGATCGAGTACTTGCCGTGACAACTGACAATGCATCAAACAATAACACGTTAATGTCAAGTATACAAGAGTCATTACAGTCACTTGAGCTGAATAATGGTTCTACAATCGTTCGAGTTCCTTGCATTGCCCATGTGATTCAGCTTAGCTTGAATGATCTTCTTGGGAAGTTAAAGGCAATTCCAAAGAATGAAAATGTGGAGATGGATTGGTCTGACGAACGATTCCGTTCTCTTCGTGTAAGGCAACAAAAAAGAGAAATTGTTGATACACTTAACAAGGTATGCCCCTACTTTCTTACCTTATTAACAATACTAACTCTTTTATGATTATATAGGTCCGAAACCTTGCTATCTACATCAACGCAAGCCCGCAACGGCGCGAGTCATTCTACAACCTTCAGAAGGAAGAACCAAGGCTTATTCCTATCCAGGATGTTCGAACTCGCTGGAATTCAACGTTTTTGATGCTCCGACGTGCTAAACGGCTTCAATCAACCTTTGATGACTTTTGTTCGCAGTATGATCAGGACCACTTTGCATTGAGTCAAGAGGAGTGGCGACAAATTGAGTATCTTCTCTGGATAACCCAGCCTTTCTTCAAATTCACCACTCTTCTTTTCTAAGACTAAGGATGTTAGTATTCATCTAGTCTTTAGCATCTACAACAAGCTCTTCAATCATCTTGAAAGGTCAATGAGTGCGTTAAGACGGAAAAAGGTTGCTTGGAAGCAGCTTATGCTTTCTTCTCTCGAGGCCGCAAAGAGAAAGCTTTCAACTTATTATGGTATGACGGATACAATTGATGGCAATCTCTATGCCATTGGCACGATACTTTCACCGCAACAAAAGCTTCAATTCTTTGAAGGAAAGGACTGGGATGA